TAATACAACAACATTCGACCAAAAAAAAAAACATAATACAACAACAGGCCACCCCATCGTTACATAATACAAAAAGAGGCGACCTCATAGTTCCATTTCCCTGCTATTGACAAATTCGAAGTTGCATACTCTTCAAGTGCGGCGACCACGACCCATGAAATTCATGACCCCGGCCACAGTCATGTTGTCCCAGTTTCCTGCCGGATCCACTATTTTTGCAAACTTACGAAATAGTTCGAATCCGCTTTCCACTTCTTGTTGCTTCAACTTGGCCATTTCTTCTGATTCCTTGAATACCATAATTGCAGTGGCAGGGGCAATTTCAATTTTTCCTTTGATTGCCTTTATATGTAGGAGATGCATGCGGGCATGATAACGAGAGCGAATTGTGCGGTTTTTTATGACACCCCATCTAGCTTGGCCCTCCACAATTTTTGAAACTATGTCTGCATGGAGATTTTTCCAAAACATTGTATTGCCTCGACATTGCTGCATGCCATGGACCAAGTCTGCAGTGAGTGAATTGGGTGACTTGCCTTCTGTTTCAATCTTCCCTCCTTCAGTAATTGAAAGCGTTTGGTTTGGTGTGAGGTTATGATCCATGGTCTTCGATATTTATTGTAGGCTGCTGTATGACTTAATTGGAAATAAAGGGATGGAAGTGAGGCTGATGGGGAAGGTAATGGCTGCAGTTAATGTGATTGCCGTTTTCACCTTCCATTCAGCTAGGTTGATTAATAAATAGGCAGCCTTTTCAGCATGGAGTAAATGACAGAGTTATTGGCGGGAGGAATGAGGGGGAGTAATTGGCGGGAGGGATTGGCGGGAGGGATTGGAGGGATTGGCGGGAGGGATTGGCGGGAGTCTTAGGCGGGATAGTCTTGGGCGGGAGTTATTACCCACTTCACTGTATGACTTTTTCTAATATATTTCTATTTTGGATGTTCCGAACTTGGTAATTTTCCCATTATGTAATTCAAATAAGGGATTTGCCTATTTGCCTAATTGACCAACTCATTCAAATTGACCAATATGGTTATTGTCTTATTTCTCATTTCAGCAATCTCAATTCGTTTCCATGTTTCCATTTTTCATATTTTCCTATTTTCCATGTGTCATCCAATTTTTCATTATTTTTGCCTATTTTTCCTATTTCCCATTTTCGTATTTTGCAATTTCCCAAGTTTCCTTTTATACTATTTCCAGTTTTCCAATCTTTTCAATGTTCCTATTTTCCCATTATGTAATTAAAATAAGTTGCCTACTTTGCCTAATTGAGAAAGTAAATAAAATTGTCCAATATGGTAATTGTTTTATTTCCCATTTCCACAATTTCAATTCGTTTCCAATTTGCCTATTTTCCACGTGTCCCTGTTTCCTATTTCCATTTATCCAATTTTCAGTTTTTGTCCAATTATCCAATTTGCTTTTTTCCAATTGCCCTATTTTCTAAGTTTCCTTTTTTTCCTATTTCCAATTTTCCAATTTGCTAACTTTCCTTTTGTTGTATTTCCAATTTTGCTATTTTCAAAGTTGCCTTATTTCCTAATTTCCAATTATCCAGTTATCCAATAGTCCAATTTTCCAATTATCCAATTTTCAATTTTCCAATTTGCGAATTTGCCTATTTTCCAAGTGTCCTTTTTTCCTATTTCCTATTTCGATTTTTCGAATTTTCCTTTTTTCGAATTTTCATGTTTTCAGAGTTTCCTTTTTGCCTTTTGCCTATTTTCCAAGTTTCCTTTTGTTCAATTTCCAATTTTCCAATTTTCGAAGAGTCTTTATTTTCCAATGACCCAATTTTTGAAGTGTCCTTTTTGGCTTTTTCCAAATTTCCAAGTGTCCTTTTATCCTATTTCCTAGTTTCCTGTTTCTAATTTTCCTTTTTTCCTATTTCCACTTTTCCAAAATTCCAAGCTTCCATTTTTTTGTATTTTCGTATTTTTGTATTTCCGATTTTCCAAATTTCCAAATTTCCAAATTTCCAAATTCCCAATTTGTAAAATTTTCCTTTTGTTCTATTTCCAATTTTCCAAGTTTCCTTATTTCTCATTTTCCAAGTTTGCACTTTTGCTAATTTGCTATTTTGCTATGTTCCAATTTTCTTTTCTGAAATTCGCAATAAATGCTTAGTTACATAGTCCTTGTTTGGGTTCAAATCCACACTTTCCAATTTCCCATGAAGGTTAGCTTTTTTCCGTTTGTCAGCCCATTTTATTGTTGTTAATGTAATGCTGTACTGCTGTGAATTACAGCCAACGAGTTAATGGTCTACTTTGCAATCCCATCAATTGAATGCACCACCTACATACCGAATGTACTTAATATCAATTCCTACATATAACTCAAGCTTCCTATCAATAATTGCAACTTAGCCAACTTCTTCAACCTCAGAAAGGTAATGAGTCGTACTCAAATGCAAACATTCAGTCGCCAGGTGTGAATTGTCCCCATCAATAGTTCAAGATGTCGGATGTACGCCCTCCAAACGAGCATGGCAGTTACCCGGGGGACCAGCCATGGCATGTGCCATTCCCATCTCCACCTCCGACTCCCAATCATGATCCCACTTCATCTGGAAGTGAGGCTGAGAGCAGTGATCCGCTTGACAAAATCTCAGCCGTCAAGCACGACCTCCAATATTTGTCTAAGGCAACAGATTGGTGGGAGACTAAATGTGATATTCATGGCCAAGTTATGGGAAATTTGGCCAACAAGTTGAACAAAGCATATGCTGGAGAAGTGAAGCAAACTTTAAAAGCAAACAGTCGGAGCAAAGAGTTAGAGTCGTTGAAGTTGAAATTGGAAGAGATAAAGAAAAATGCCGTCGATAAATTCACCAAATCTGAAGAATATAACCATGAAATGGTTGAATGTTTCAACAACGGCTTCGAAATGTTCCGAGATTATGCGTCGGTCATCTCACCAGACTACAATTGGAGTGAAATTGATGTACCTGGTGTCTGGCAGGTGCTGAATATGGGTGCTGAGGGAATGGCTCATCATAGCCTCGTGCATGCAGCGAGGAGAAAGCCCAAAGACATTGATCTTTTCATGGACCTGTAGTAAGGGTAAGTGCTGCTGCAGTTCATCTCACCCGATTACATGGATCTTTTGGTGCCTTCGGTTTTCCTTCGCGGAATAGGATTGTTAAGGTTCGGAGGCGATTTGGTTTGCATGTGTCAAATGTAGTCGTACTTTTTGGATGTGTGTGTATTGTATGTAGATTCACTTCATATTGCTGTTATATTGCGTGTATATTGCTTAATATTGCCTTGGTATTGTATACATATTGCATGTATATTGCTTAATATTGCCTTCGTATTGTATACAAATTGTATGTATATTGTTTAATATTGCCTTCGTATTGTATACATATTGTATGTATATTGCCACCCTATGAGAAGTATATTGTGATCATATCCCTATGGTATTGTACTTATATTGCTTTAATATTGCCTCTACAGTGAAGTATATTGGCCTAATATTGCTATTACATCGTATGTCAATGCCATTTGGTCTAATAACAGTCTCCATTTCGTTCAAAGTAATCCTCAATTCAAATATCACGGACAGGACAATTGTTATCCATCCTTATATTACCATGAATTGATGTTTCCTTTTGAAATGATAGTTGGAGTTGCACATCGATTCATATTCAAAAGGAAAGTAATTCTCTCCCTCAATGAATCGTCCTTCAAAAGAAGGCAGCTTTGAAATATTGGGTACAAAAATGCAAGAGCCACGGTAAATTCATTGGGCTCAAACCACATCTTACAAAACCAGGATGATTTTTGGCATGCTTGAAAAGAAGGGTCAAATACAATAGAAAAGAAAATCCATTCAAGCTTGGCCAATGGAATGCACAATAACCCTTTTACATCTCCTTCCAACACCAGTGTTTTGCCTGGTTTAGGGTGCCATAAACATGTTTTCTTCCCCTGACTTTAACTAAATGAACTTTAGTTTAATTACTTGTAAGCTCCAGCTAGGTCCTTCTGTTTTCTCTTCTTCCTCTTCTTCTTCTCATGACTCTTAAGAGGCAGTTTGATGTAAAGAAATCCTAAGATTTCCATGTGATGCACACGCAATTGGAATAAATAAACAATAACAAATAAAGGGATCAGTTCATTAGTGGTTACATTTAATCTTATCTATGACAAATGTAAGAAGAAAAATACAAATTTTTTGTCAAGTCTCATTGGATGGTACCGTAGACCTCTAGCTCCATGCGGAATTTGACAGAAGAAAACTGATTCGGAATCTTTCATATTTGTAACCACTTTGCTTCTTCTCCGAGCAGGAAACAAAAAATAATAATAATAATAATAATAAACGGTGTGATTTCAATTATTTCAAAACATGTATGTCAAAACCGTTTGTTTGACATCATAAGGGCATCTCTCACAGAATTAAGGCCATAAAAGAAACTAAACATGCTATAAAGTCCACATTATATTTACTTCATCTCCATAATCATAATATTGGGGGAAAAAAACCACGGACAAATACATGAAATGTAAACCAACTCGGTACTGACTCTGAGATTGTGTACATACAACTTGGAACAACCAAACCAATTCAAGCTAAGCCATCTCATACGTATGCCTACATCAAATAACAGTGTATGGTCATCTTCTTTAGAATATTGCAATCAACACTTGGTTGAGACGGACCTGCAAAAACAACTGGCACACACATATGACACACATAGATAGAGTTTATGAATGGGAGTTCCAGAATTAAGACCTCTGTTAATTTGTAACTGCCACCGAGTCTGTTCATAGTGCCAAATGCAGCTATCTTGCACACAGATATGACAAGCCAAAAGAAAACAAGCAAAGTAACAAAGAAAATAGAGGATGGTGACTACAACAACAGGGTTGGTACAAGCATTAAACAAAAACAAATAACTGAAAACCAAAAATAGGCACTGCAATGGAACTACTGTCTCAAACAAACTCAGTCATCCAATTGTTGGATATAATCAAAGAAATTACTCAAAGTTTCTCCTCAAACTCGGATAGTGGGGTCATTTGCTCCTTCAAACCCTTCCTCTTACGGATATCTGTCACAAGTTCTGAAGCCTGGGATCCAGCTTCCAATGGATCAGACATCATCATCTACCAATGATCAAAGACACATTGTGGGAAGGCCTGCCCTGAAGTCGAAGCCCTCATTGACCAGAGAACCCAAAACATGCAATGACGGGTAGGTATGCCTTCATATTGTACAGTGGAGTACCAGGCCTCTGCATTTCCTGAAACACGTGCCCACGTTTCTGATTAAGAACACCGTAGATACCACTAACAGTCTGCTCTGGAGCTTCGATTTCAACAAGATATACAGGTTCAAGGAGGCTTGGCTTGGCAGTGAGCTGGGAAGCATAGATGAGTGTCCTAGCAGTGGGAATGACCTGACCACCTCCTCTGTGGATGGCATCAGCATGAAGAACCACATCACAGACTTCAAAGCAAATACCCCTCATGTTTTCTTATGCCAATGCAAGCTGAATAGAGGTTGGTTCTGTAGCTCATAATGAATGAGCAAGCAACACCAGCTCCTAAACACAAATCCATCAATTTTTTCAGCAACAATACACAAGCTCCTAAATAAAAAACAAACTCATAAAAACCCTAGTTGACCAAATGCAAACTCATAAAAACCCTAGTCAATTCACACACATGAAGACATTTACCTCATAAATATGCCTCCCCCCTTAACCCCTCTATTGCAAGCTTCAGTCGGTAATATTTGATCTTCGACGGGTCAATTTTATGCACCGAAAGCCCAGCACTGAGATGCTCGATGAATTGAACGGTCATGATTCCGCAAGACGTACTGTGAGGCCAATAAGTTGGGAAATTACAACTGCATTTATGTAAAATTTTGAAAAAATGAACTAAATTCACAATTCTTACCCATCTCGTTGTTGTGGCACACCTCCAATGATGCAAACTGAGAAAGGCGTAAACCTCGACATCTGCAGCCCCTTTTGCTTCACCTCTTCAACCTCAGAATCTTCATAAAACTTCATATTGTACAGCACTCGTGCAAGCGTATCGCTAACAGGTTGCAGAAGTGTAACCAGCTTCGAAGATTTGGTATAATCAACATATGAGTCATACACAGTTGCAGTATGTCGGACGAAATCAATTTCGATTGCAACCCAATGGGACTCTCGAAGATTATATGGAAAATACACTCTGCGGACTTTTTCCAAGCTTGGGCATACCCGTGTTGCCACGTACCGTGCACAAAGTGATGTACATTCTTCAGCTTGTTGGCTGGAAGGTCACTGGTGTTTGAAGCTGCTGCCTTCTTCGATCCACGTGTCTTGCCAGTCGCTTTTAACGGCTCTAGAAATTGCTGCAGACATTGAAATGAAACCATATGACATAATGACGAGGGAAAGCAAATGAAGCAGTGAATGTAACATGGTAAAAAGTGTACCTGCAAGGCATAATCTGCCGTTGTCCAGTCGGTTCCAAATAGCAACGGATGAGAGAGTTGCCGTTTCCGGATAAGAAAGGTTGCCATTTCCAGGTGCTGACAGTTGACATATAATATCAGCACATTTTCAGACAATTGTACACTTAAAAAAGGTGAGAAAACAATTGAATGATCATAATAAAGTAGAGATTTGTGTATTCTTACCCTTGAGCTAATCCATGCCGTTTCATCGATGAGTTTGTAGAAAAAATCAGCGCCCACTGAAAATGCTTCAAGCTGCACCTGCACACTAGAAAAGGCAAACTTGGAACGGTTACGTTTGTACGCATCTCATAAATCTGACTTTGTTGATGACAAATATACACATGCATATTAATAGGATGACAATTGGATTTCGAAGGTCAAGAATGCGAACCTGATATCGTTTTTCCAGGCAGTGCAAAAATCTATTACTGCCTTCACATCTTCAATGGGCAGCGGTTTTGATGGATCAAAACATGGCGGGGTTGCAGTCGCATCCGACACACTCATTGTCCTCTTCTTCCTCAAAGGATCAGTAAATGGACTTAATAATGTCTGGGCCGGGCGCTTCTGTCTACAGCCTTTACCTTCCACTTCTTTTTTTTCAACACTCAAACTACCTTCTTCATCAGCAGCCATACTAATTGTAGGTATACTTGGAGGATTCATCGGACCTCCCGATGGCACTCTGTCAGCTATTTTCCAATCTTCTAACAAAAACATAAGTCTTTGGCAGATTTCGTCACACCCGGCCACATCTTCCGGGGTAGGCAGCTTCTCGGATTGTGCATGCGCAGCTGCTTCATGCACTTGTAAGTCAGGAACTGGAGTGACCATGGCTGCGGAAGGTTCGGCTCCATCACTGGGGACTTGTGTTGCCATTGCTGCCGATTTTGTGGGCGGAGTGACATTGTCATGTAATGGCGACAATTCATTGTCACCTCCTTCATTCATATGAGGAGTATCGAGGTCCTCATGTCCTTCCCCAGCTTCTTTCACCCCACCATCTTGTTTTCGCAGCTGCTCTAGCTCCAGCTTAAAATAATGCTCCATTGATGCCACTGTGTTGCGCAAATCCTCCACACACTTGTTATTTCTTTCAACTTTGGATGACTCCCTCCGTACCATTTCTTCCAACTCATGCACTCTGTTGTGAAGCGCTCGATTTGAACTGACAACTTTGGCGAATTCATCCTTCATCCTTTCAAAGTCACGCTTCAAAGTGCGTAACTCAGTGGACGCCATTTTACCCTGCAATCAGTTATAATGCAAGTGTTACAATATTTCCAAAATATATCGGAACAAAACAGCAGTTCATTTCCTATTGTATTATGACATATATATTGGAATATTGGAAAATAGGTAATGCTTGCCTTAGAAGACGACGGAAGGCTAGCAGTTTCTTCAATGTCCTCATCTTTTTCTTCTACAGAGGCAGACGTGCTGGTTTTTTGTTCAGCGTCATCGCCAACCAACTCAACAAGTTCTTCAGTGTTGTCAACACTGTCACCCCAAGTCCAATACGCCTGCTGCTTGTCAATTACAGATGGCCGGATAAGTTGCACATCAACCTGCAATTTACGCAGACAATAGAAATATCAGTAAACTTATAAAATTATATTTTCATATGCCTAAGATTATCATTACAAACTGAACTAACCTCACGGTTTTCGAAGACTTGGCTCATGAGCTCATAAAAACGCGGCAAAGTGTTGCTCCTCCAATGTAGTATACGAGGGATGTAGGCATTATGTTCGTGCACCACCAAATGTAGTGCAGCCAACGCTGGAAATACCTCATAAACCCAAATCTGGTTTCAGGAAGAAAAGCCTTAGAGATCACATGCTATAACCTTAAATAGGGCATGAAAAGCCAAGAATACAATAAAGAGAAATAATTAGCATGTATTAATTGCAGTCTAAACCTTGCCCTATGATTGACAAAAGTTAAACGAAATACAGCCATCTAGAGATGCATAGAGGCTAAAAGTGGTTCGGGCCACATTAGTCATTAGTCTAAGAGCATTCAACACAAATCAGGAAAAACAGATTATTTCCTAATATCCAATATCCCCCACTTACATAAAGGGGTGAAAATGTAAACTTGTTTTTCTGACAACTTATTTCTATAATGAGGTCATTAGTGTTAACTTAGGGTTGTTGATAGAAAAACACGGGGCTCATCATCAATATTAATGATATAATATTCAGCAAAAACAGAATAATATTACTAATTAAATAAAATAAAACCTTCTGTCCATTTTCTATTCTTGAATTCCCTTCTACCCCTGACCCCCTCCCTTGAATGTTTCTCCCCTTTCCCATCAATTTTTTAACTTTGCAAATTATTATATTTCTTTGTAGAATTCTTTTTTTAAATACCACAGCCGCCCAGAACAGCCACCCAATTTGCTCTCTCTCTCTCTCTCTCTCTCTCTCTCGCTCTCTCTCTCTCTCTCACACAAAATATCTATCAACACACACACACAAACACAATATCATTAGTCAAAAGAATCTGTCAAAAAACAATAACAGTGGACAGAGTTCCTTTTATTCGTCTTCATCCTTCAACAACTAAACCAATCAATCCCCCAAATAAGTAATAATTACAGAAAATAAACATGAACAAATGATGTTTTAGCTCCTCCAATGCAGCTCTCAATTTCTCTCTCTCTCTCTCTCTCTCTCTCTCTCTCTCTCTCTCTCTCCCCCATTACTGTTTTAGAACCCATTACTGTAAACAAATGATATTTAACTTCAACAGGAATCGAAATGTGCTCACCTGAAGTGCAAAGGCAAAACCCTTTAGGTGGTACTCTCTTGGTCTACCGTTGCCGTTGTCTTTACTTGCTTTTCAGATTTTTTTGTTTTCGAAGCTTTTTTGGGCCCTTTCACTCGCTGGTAATCTGCACACAGTGCCCTCAGCAGTGACGCATTTGTCTTCGCATAAGACACAGCACCCCATGGATATTTCCCAAAATCTTCAAGGTCTTCCGCCAACTTCAAATATCGCATGTCAATGTGGACATGTTTTTCACTGCCCAACAGCACAAACACAGCGAAGTATACAAAGCCGAGCTTCAATGCATCATCCGCATCAGCGCAGTCGCGGAAGGCTTTTTCTAATTCCAACAGGCTCACTGTTTTATTGTTGCCAAAATACTTCCTTTTCAATGAGCAGTTGTCATTACTGGGAATTGGAATAAAGGGAAGGTTTCCAAACCTTAGCCCTGTGACGACGCAAAATTGCTGGGGTGTGAATTGGATCACCTTATTGCCAACAATGAATTTGATCCCGTTCACTTGGGAAACAATCTTCGGATCAGCTTTCCTCAGCAACAATCCGTGTACAATTGGCGACGTCCACTTTAGGTCCTCGATGAGTAGGAGATGCCCAAAACAACTCTCTTCGAAGGTTCGTAGCTGTTGCTCACTGAATTTCTCTTTTATCGTACTTATTGCACTCTTTGTATGGGATAGCGCCAATGCTTTTCCTTGGAACTTTTCTTCCTCTCCAATCATCAACTTAATTGGCGAAACCATGTTTCCCTGCACGGCATTATTATTAAAAAAAATTCAGTCCGTTGCAATCTGGACAATAACAAGCAATACACAATTCAACGGCCTATTATAGGATATTAAGTGAAAATTAAACACAAATTACAGCACATGAACCACAATAAATTCCCACACTAAATATGCATCATAAAATGAAACTGAAAACACGCATCACAAACGAACCAATCCTACATGACAAATAGCAACTTGAGGCACTTCGTCATCCATAGCATGAAAATCAATCAGACCAATAGAAGTTTCATCCAAGCATGAAGTAATTCACAGTTAAAATACAGAAATTTGCAATCTCTCTAATTACTAAACTTCACAAAATCAGTCACAGGTTAGTGAAATGATCCTTTTCAAATGAAAACCGTACAAAAAGACAAACTAGTCAATAACAAATACAAAACCTACCTTAGAATCACTCGTTTTGCACACAGACCCGAATTGGAAATCGCAGAAACACCTAAACAAAAGCTGGAATTCTGTCTGTGAGAGGATTGAGAATGAGGAGGAAGTATGTGAAAAAAGTCAGAACCGAAACCAAGAATTTGGGTTTTTTGAGGCCCTGAAAGGGCAGAGAAGAAGAGAAAGACGTCCATTGAAAACATGAAAAGAGAGGGAACTGAGAGATTGTTGAAGGGAGAGAGCATTTAACGAAGCAACCCTCTCTTTCACCTTCAAGAACCCCCTCAACAAACCCTAACATTGACTGCAAAGAGAGAAAGAGAGAGTGCCATTATATTTTCCCACTTCCTTCTTTTATATTTTCTCTTCACAAGGCTTCCTAAAAAATGCCATTAAACTACTTGTCTCTCACTCAGTTTTTCATGTGTCCTTCAAATTACTTGTCTCTCACTCCAATTTCTGTCTCACAAGGATTTAAGTCTTTACCTTACATGATCATTGACAATTAACTAAATATCTACAGACACATCTCCAAACACCAGATAATCATGACAGCTTAAGCTACAATAGGAATGTGCAGTAGCAGAAGCCTAATTCAGAACAATTCAACAAGAAGACATCAGGAAACAATTTATTGACTTCAACGTATAATGTCATGGAACATCCTATCAATTAGTGGCAACCACAATCATGACTCCAATATGCCCTCCTTTCAAATGTAAGGAAATTAATGAAATTGGCACCATCCCTTCAGTTTTTCCTTAACAAAATCAGAGGTTTGTATGTATTGTATGTGTTATCAATATCAAAGATAAATGAATAAATAAACCATCAAAACTGTAAAAAATGTTTCTTACACATGTACAATTAAAAAATTAAAAGTTCACCTCATAAACAGAGTTGTCTAACTATCCATACACAAAAAAGACAAGCAAAAGCTTAAAGAGTTAGCTTATAGCAAAATCCATGGCCCCATTTCTCTAAACCACACCTGCTGGTGGCATGTTCCCATCTTCACTCATTTCCCGCTTTGTTTTAAGCATACAATGATCAAGCACAAAACAGCAAACTTTTAAAGAACTCATATTACACCACATATGGTTCCTTGCCCTTTGTTTAGACATTGAATATTCATCCCCAAACTGAAATTCCAAATAATCACAAGAGAATATGAAAAACATAGAGAACTTATCCATATCCAATATGCAAGCCCTTAAGTTAGCAAACAGAGTTAAAGCAAAACCAATTTTAGTGAAACCCCTAAACCCTATACCCATTTCAGAAAACCCACTAAACCAATTTCAGAGAAACCCCCAAACCCTAAACCAATTTCAAACAACCCCGTCAACCAATTTCAAACAAACCCATAAACCCTAAGCCGTAAAAGAATTCCGATGAACAGTACCTGTTTGCTGTGAATGATGGCGTTGTTCTTCGATGCACAGATTTCGCTGGGAGAGGAAGACAGAAGCGAGAGTGACAGCTGAGCGACGAGAGATGAGAGAGTTAGAGCTGAGAGACGAGAGAGTGAGAGCAGAGTGACCAGAGAGTGAAGATGAAGAGACTGAGCGACGGAGAGCTGATGGGCGGGAGGTCAATTTCAGAAAATGTGTTAGGAGAGCAATAAGGGTACAATAATTTTCTATTTATAGTTGATAGTTATAAAAAAATTGGGAAGGGATGGTATTTTTAGTTAAAATTATTAAAGGGGTGGCACTGAGGGTCATTTCCCTAAATTGATCAGGATATTTAATTAATATTGAAACTCGGACCATACCTTGGCCCAATATAGCTTTAATCTCAACTGTGTAAAAACCAGGCCCAAACAATATCATTTGTTCTCTTTTTTTTTCTTTTTTTTTCTTGGGTCTTAAAAGATGCTTTCATTAACAGAGCGGGGAAAATAACCTAAAAGAAAAAACATTAAAAAAAAAAGGCCTAGCCCACAAAGGAGAAGAGAGGTGCTCAAAAGATACACATAAGTATAGATACAAGAGCAAGAAAGAAATGAACTGATGCTAACAGAAAAACAATAGAGACCATAGCTTTAAGCCAACATTCATTTTGGCTAACAACCATCAAGAGCCTTAGGTAGGGGGAGAGCAAGGGCAACCGTCTTTGTTCAGAATATGTGTCAGCAAGGATGGGGGTCTGTCGACCCAAACTTCCATGTGTACCCTCGCCTGAGCTAGCAATGCCAAGAAATAGGTCACTTTTTTTTGTTGATATGGAAATCCAAGACCAGTTACAAGAGTGGAAATACTTATTACTCTCCTTAATTTTATGGAGAGTAAGGTAGATGGTCCAAGCACCCTTGGCATGTTACCATTCAAGCTTTGGATGATGCCCCGAGAATCAGATTCCACCACAACGTCGAAAGGAGAGCCCTGCCATGGTCGGAGGGAGAGCCATCAACAAGTTATGGATCAAGTCAGCTAATAATTGGAGGAAGCGGGGGCATGGACTACATGGGGCATCGCCCACGGGGTCAAAGGCTTCCTATTCAACTGATTCGGATTATTTGACTTTAGATGCTTCAGATGCTTCCTCGGCCGTGCAGTACGTACTTCTGTTTGGAGAGTCTGTTCCTTACTTAGCTAGGACTAGAGTAGCCCATCTGTATCCGAAGGCGCCTTTTGGCTCAATTTGTCCATGGTTATTTTATTGTGAATCCTGCCTTTGCCTTTGTGTTAGCACTCTTTGATCAACCCAGGAAATAGTACCAGAGGCCAAGATTAGGTATTGATTAGAGAAAGAAAGAAAGAAATTATTAAAAAAAAACTTATGGGGGTGTATTCAATTTAGATTTTAAAAGATTTTAAAGAAGTTCAAAAGTTTAGGTCTATTCAATCACGATTTTATAGAAGTCTATTCAATTATGGGTGTATTCAATTCAAACTTTTTAAACTTCATTCAAATTTGAATGTATTCAATCACGACTTTAAAAGATTACATAAAAGTTTGGGTGTATTCAAGAACTCATTGATTTTAAAGGAAATACAAAAAGTGGTGAATTTCATTTGATAATAGACTAATTTTAGGCCAGAACAAATCTTTTGCTTCCCCCCCCAGAGATTTTTATAAATATATTATTTTTATTCTCAATATATGATTTCACCACTTCTACCACCACCATCTTATCATGACTATAACCATAGCCACCGCCGCCACCACCACCATAATCATTGTCGCCGCCGCCAGCACCACCACCATCGCCGCCACTCTTAGCACCACCACCACCCGCTGCCACCCCCACTACCAGCCCCACCATCACCCCCATCGTCACCACCACTACTGCTAGCACCATCACCATCACCATCACCATAACTGCCACTGCCACCACCTCCACCACTACCCTTACCCTTACCTCTACCACCACTACCACCCCCACTATCAGCTCCACCGTCACCACCACCACAACCATTGCCAGCATCATCACCATCACTGCCACTACCACTGCCACTGCCACCTCCACCTCCACCACCACCAACACCTCCACCACCTCACTCCCACCACCACCATCACTATCACCCCCACCTCCTTCACACCTCACTCCCACCGCCACCACCACTACCATCCCCCACAAACCACCATCGCCACCACCATTGTCATCACCACCATCGCCATTGCTATAAACTCCATTAAAATTAATAATAAAATTCTGACAAACTCAATTAAAATCTATACACAAATTCAGTCAAAATCTATGTGGAGTTTATAGAATTCAGTCAAACTCAATTAAATTCAATTAAACTCCATCAACTTTATAACTCTTTTAAAATCATTTAAAATCTAAATTGAATACACCCTCCTTAGTTACATAGAGTAACATTTAGAAGAGAATTTAAGATAATACCTTTACACTCCTTTAGCAGTAAGAGCAACTTTAGTATCCCCCGTTGACCTTCTTTTGCAGATAGAATCTCCAATGAGTGGAAACAAGCAACCTTACTAATAAAGGTGCTTGTTGAGTAAGGCCGACTTTTGAGCCCAAGCCCCTTGTATAGGTTGGGTGCTTGAGCACATATTTCTCATATCGATCAAGGCTTTCCTTGAGTTTTCAATAAGGGGCGCATTAGCACTCCTGCACGAAAACGGCCTAACTAACACGCGCTCTTACGTTTTCTTCGCTTGCTCTGCCTGCAGTACGAGCCTCATACAGAGCCGCGCCCCTTTAATAAGATGAGAATAAGATGGACCACCCTTTTGTTTTTTCGCACCAATCCTTATTTACTACTACATATTTTTTGGGTGTATAACTCAGTTGGTAGAGCATTGGGCTTTTAACCTAATGGTCGCAGGTTCAAGTCCTGCTATACCCAAACCTACCTTACACAATACTATTAGTAAGGATGCGTAGTAGCATTCAAAGATCACTCTTTGGCCTTTAGACTCACTTCAGTGACTTCGCTTGTTAAGGAGGGTAATTTGGTAGCTTTGCTAAATGTGCTTTAAAAAAATATCCCAATTCTCCAACACCATTGCTCTTTGTTTTTATATTCCTTTTCCATCTTTCCTCTTCCTCTCTCCGTTTACTGTCTCTCATTCACCTCCCACTCTCTCTTTTCTTCTTCTTCTTCTCTCCATCTCTGTTTTATTTTTCCTTTTCTTCTTCCTCATTCCGTCATTCTCCATTTCTCCTTTGTTTTCTTCTCTTCTTATTCGTCTTTTCCTCTCTGTCTTTTTTTATTTTATTTTTTATTTATAAAGAATCTAATCAACCATTTTTTTCTCTTTTTGTGACCTCCCACTCTCTTCTTCTTCTCTCCATCTTTTTCTTTTTCTTTTCCTTTTCTTCTTCCTCTTTCCGTCATTCTCCATCTCTCCTTTCTTTTTCTTTTTTTTAATATTCTCTTTTTATCTGCATCTCTCGTCTCTTCCTTCTTGTCTTTTTTTATATATAAATAATCTAATCAACCCCTTTTTTTTCTTCTTATTTTTCTTTATAGTATCTCCAACCAATGTATCAAAAGTGTCACATAGATATTTAACAGCTAGAAATAACATTTCACATCACTCCAACCGATGTGTCAAAGCTGAAGTGGAATGAAGGTTGGAGGTTGAGATGTTATTTTTGACATTCTAAAAGCAAGACGTCAAATGAATATTTTTTTTAATTTTTTTTAATTAAAAATAAATCAACACTAAAATGTAATAAAATAATAATTTAATTTGACATATCAAATGAAGTGTAAAGCTGTGTAAGATGTCAAATTGCCACACCAAACATCAAATTTAAATTTGATGTTTGGTATTTGACATCTCCCTTGGAGATGCTCTTATGTAAGTTTTCTGGATGGTGTTTATGAGATGGAAATTGAGAGAAAAAGGACAAAGAGAGTGGTTACTGATTGTGTGTTTTTTTTCCTTTTTTGTTTTGGGTTTATTCTTAACGGGTCGTGTCGGATCATTCATGAATTATAACGGGTCGTGTTTGGATATGGTATTTTTTACCCGTTAAATTAACGGGGCGTGTCGTGTCAACCAGTTAACGGGTTGACACAACACGACCCGAAACCCGTTACCATGACCCGTTTGCAGCAACCGTCCCCCTGCGCACCCTTCTTCACCTCTCAACGCAGCGCCGTCCACCTCCACCTCCCAATCTGCTCTCTCTCTCTCTCTCTCTCTCTCTCTCTCTCTCTCTGCTCTCGTTCTCTCCCCCTGACCTCTCTCTCACAGCGGGTGGTCCAAGACTCGGCTGGGTCGGGGGAGTCACTGAAGCAGAGCTGCTGGGCTCAGATGCTTCAGGAGTTGCTGAGGGAAGTATTGGTGAGAATCGAGGCCTCCGAGGCCGCTTGAAAAATTGAAAAGACGATAATAATGTGGAACTTGTGTAGCTGAGAACGAAGAGTTTGACTGCGAAAGACCACATCAGGCAAACATTTTGGCTTGCATTTGATGTGTTTGATGAAATCCCTCTTCAGTATTTTTTCAGAATACTAATGCCCTTTGCACTACTAGCTTAGTATGGAAAATCACGACAAAGACCAGCTTCTAAGTTTTCTCAAAACTCTCCCCCCCTGTTGAGTTCTGCTGTGTCTATGGCTCATCTCTTCATCCCAACAATCCTGGCAGTGCAACGGTTTCTACTATACTTCTATAGCTCTTTTTCACTCTTTTAGCAATTGCTTGTTCACTTAAGTAATATACATTTTGAACTTTTGCTTTGCATTTGTGAGTTCTGGGTTGGTAGTCAACCATGGTAGATTGCATTCTTGGTGTATCCAATCCCCGACAATGGCATTCTGAGGTAAGCTTTAGACTTCCACACAAACCATATGTCTCTTCTTGATGCTTCAATAATCAATCATAGTGTTTACTAATTTGTGTATGTACAACTAGAATCTGACATTGAACAACGATCATTATTCCTCGTGGATGGTGCTTCTTGGTGGGGCAAGACTGGTACTGCTCTCTCTCTCTCTCTCTCTCTGTGCTTCCATGTTCAGTTCTATTTTCATTGATCCTGACATAATATAATCGTCCATGCTAGATTACCGACGTTGCAGATGAAATAGGTGTGGGGGTGCACTTCAATCCTTTTGTTAGTTGGAACGACAAGGTATTGATCATTTAGCTACCCCGTAGGTTCAAGTTTAGGCTATTTCTTGGGTGTCTGAGCTTTCATGCCATATTTTAAACTGATAGTGCATTAGTGTTTTGTTACACATTCTGTAATCTTTCACATCTTGTATTTTGTTACACATTCGTCACACTCAAGTAATTTTTTTACAGATGTTCAAGTATGGGGTTGTTTGCATGCACGACTTGGTTCAGGACATACTAAATTGGGAGAGGTTCTATTTGAGCGGCCGATTACAAAAACCAGTATGTCTTCTTCATTGATTCTCAATTTTTTGTCTTTATGTTTGTGGAAGATTAATTTTCAGCTTCATATTTGTCCTCCTTTCATTTTGATTTTAGTTAACTTCCTGTTTAGTTACATTATTTTCTAACTAGTACCACCCTTCACATTGCATGAAGATGGTCTAAGTTTTAGAACTTTCAATCTGTTCAATGATAATCTTAGTGAATGAAAAAAAAAAACAAAAAAACCCTAGCTTTGATTAACAAATTTTTACCTTATTGAAATATTTTGTAGCACACGGAAATTGCCTGAAACTAATGAAAATTAAAATACATGTTCTTATGCTATGTCTTAAAATAATGCCATTCTGTTGAAGACCCAAGACTCGGATTGTCTCATCTAGTACATGTTAGGATACATTATCTTTATATTCAACATGAGAGTTTTCAATGTTTTTTTCTACAGGTTCATGTACTTCTGGATAATTTGGATATCGCAAATGTAAACTCGGTTAATTTGAGGGCTGCAATGTCTGCAGCTCTCCTTCTTTTGCCGTCCAAGTTCACTGAGGTCTGATTCTTTGTCACTGCTCAATGATTTTAAATTTTTTGGAGTTCTATAACATATTCCATTTAATGCAGAAAGAATTGTATGCCAAAATATGTAGCCTCTCGTATATGGGCGACTTGCGTATGCTTTTTGCAGAGGACAGAAATAAGGTAAAGCTCAATCAGTGGTTACATAAATCCACAAACTTGCATTCAGTTGTTGGGTCTTGTAATTATATAGCCATTTATTGAAGAGTATGAGACCAAAGAGTTGTTGAGACGCTCTTTATCTGGGAATACTCAACCAATCATATCTCAGGTCTATTCTGGCCTTTAGGTTGCAGTTTGAAGTTGATCCAACATTTCTTTTACTGGCGAAGGGTTGATTTATAGCTTCTTATAAAAGTTGAAAAAGAAAAAGAAAAAACAGAAGCGTTGATTTAATGGGTGGATGGAACCTCAGTGCATGTTTTAGATCATAAGCTAGATACCAACTTTAAGACTTCACTATATGGCTAATTCTTCTAAAAGTTATGCTATGTAGTGTACAGTTCAATGCTTTGAAGCTTAAGATACATTATTACCTGTTAAAACAGGATGGTGGTTTATTAGCAGCTCGATCTCTTGTTTCTTCTCTGCCCCAAATGGTCAGAAGCCAAATGGGGATGAAGCTAGGAGAAAAGAAAGTACTGTGTGACTCTGGTATGAACCTTAACTCATCTGCAGTGGCTTATAAGGAAAAAGGTTTCTTAAGGATTGATCTGAGTTCAGATTTAATGATCATACCTGACCCAAAGTTTTTAGGAAAATATTGCTTGTTTGTTATAAATGGAAAGGTGAAAGTTCATAGAAAACTTCCAGATTTATGTGCCACAGGGATAGTGTTTTAACTGGGGTGGTAGTTTAACATATGTACTTGTAACTCTTGAATCTGGATTTTAGTCAATCATTACACATGTCTTGTACTTCAATTGCAGGTCGAGTTATTCAGGAAATTGTGATTGGCTCCAAAGACGAGGCTGCTAAATGCATGCAGACTATTCTGCGGCGAAAGGTCATGGTTTCGAGTGCAAGACAGGCTGTGTCTGGTCTCCTGGCTTTAATGCCATGAGATATCTTGGTGCTAAAATGAGCAAGGCTTGGAAATCCTGGAGATGATAATTATTTATATATAATTATTTATTCATTTTTAGCGCCAGTCTTGTTCAGCCATAAACTGTTAGCATCAGAGGGACGTGGAAAGTGTGATTTTGCAATTCCATCGCAACAAGAGGTGACATGCTCGAAACATAACCTATATGAGCTCCCCAGGGTTCACTGGTCAATAGGTTTCGCTCAAACAAGATATTGTTGTTTGTACCAGGGAAGAAGACACTGGTGTTATCAGTGAGCATTTTGTATAAGAAACTGAGAGGAAAAGCAAGTTTTGTATACTGCGACATGCAAGTAAATTTTTTCAAGATTAACTATTCATATCTCTATACATATACTACCGATAACATTTTGGTAGAGAGTAGAAGTATTGGTTCCTGGAGAAGATTATTAATGCCAAGTTGCTGAAAGTTAGGTCTGAAACGGTAACTGGTATGGGTTCCTTCATAGGTAAAGCTCAAACCTTTCAGACTTATAATCAAAATAGTGACCTTTCAAAGGAAATCTAGGGCAGGATTGTAAAATTTCAAAAGGAGTTGAGGATGGAAATTTTGTTTGCCTAATGGCATGTTTACTAATCCGTAATTGGATTAGGACTTGAATTGAGGATGAATAGAATTGAGGAGGAATTGGATTGAAGAGAATTAGATTCCGGATTCCTATTAAAGTTGTTCACTAAATCATATGGATTGAGGGGAGTTAGATTCTGGATTCTTATTAAAGTTGTTTACTAAACTATATGGAATTGGGGTAGGAGTGATACTAATTACTAAAATGTCCTCGTTGTTGGGTAGTAGATGAAAATTTTGAAAATTTAAAGTTGTGTGAGGATATAATGGGTCAAAAAGATATTCCTAATGAGTTAGTTGTCCAGGAATTAGAATACCACCTCCCACTTAAGAATTGAATTCCTCCAAAATCAGGAATTCAATTTCTAATTTTGTGTGGGCCCTACTAACTTTTCAATTCCTTGATGTGAAGTAAACGCAGGAATCCTCCATAGATGGAATTCAATTCCTAATAAGAATTCCAATTCTTAATTAGTAAACACACCATAATTGAAGACGGCGTGTGTCCAAGATTACCTCAACGATCTAATCCGTGTCAATTGCTTGCCCAAACGACCTCAAATTGAGCCTACTGGACTTAGGGCGCAATGGTTGCCCGTTTCCAACCCTCAGCGAAAAGCTATTGGATAAAATAAAGTCTTTGGGGCACTTGAATTGCTTAAAAACTGAATTATCTGTTAAATTGATAATTACCTAGAATTAAAGATGGATATTATCTTTTCTTAGCAGCAGCAAAGGCAAGGTAATTAGAAAATTGATCTTAATTGATTAGGTATTATCTTCATCAATGTCGTTCCCTATCCCTGGCTGACCATTACCTATGAGTTAAGGCAAAAGTAATATAAAGATGAGAGAATAATTCATTGCCTAGACACGCAATTTATCAACAATAGCCTCAATACAAACCTTAATCCTTCCTTCAAGGCACATAGGTTATTGATATTCCGAGGCTGGTAATCGATTCCCAATTGATCTATGTCAATTGAAGGTGTTGTTCTCAATTGCATTGCGAAGTTTTGACCCCATCTTTTGATTGTTGCTAGACCTCTCAACACTGTGAAGCCATTCTTGCAATCCGGGAGTAGCCCAAGGTGATAGCAGTCCCAGTTCTAATCAGATCTCTTAGATTTGGCCCTTTGTTTACTGAATATTGTCGTTTATTTCCTTTAGTTTGTATTAGAGAAATATTGAAGTCCTTGTTTGTCTTGAGGCATAGAAAAGAACCAACAGTGAACCAATTCCCCATTCAATACACAATTGCTTGGTTGGAAGTCAGATTTCTTGGTGCGCAAGTTACTTAATTTTATTCAAGTATATTAGGGTTTTACAATGCTAATAGTGGCACGATCACAATTTAGTACAACTTCTAGCCTATTTCTAAGGCTGGGAGGTTTGGAACAATGTCAAAAACCTGAAATTGAATGAATTTATCATTCAATATTAAGTAATTTAAAATACATAAATAAAAAAAACCAATCTACAACAAGCATCCTCTCAACCACTAATCCAAGCCATATATCTTGACAGCTTCACTGACATGGCAAAAATCTATCCAACCAAGGATCCGAAGAATGTGTGTTGAAAGTGGCAATGTATAATCAAGGGAGCTATGTACCAGAACTGAGGGATGACGAGGAAGCATTTGCCATTGACAGAACCAAAAGAAAATTTAGACTTTTGTGTAATTGGAGAAAAGCTGCAGCAGTTTCCCCAAAGTTTCAGGATAAAACTTTCTGGCAAATAGAAAACAGGGTCTCTTCATCCCATTCCAGAAGCAAGGAGTGGTCAGTAATTGCTTCTGCAGAATTCAATGCAGACCAAAAATCAAAATTTCAAAGTCTGTCTTCCCAAATTACAGAAAGCATTACCACAACAAAAATATTATTAGAGTCGTCAAATTTATTCACCAAATGATGTGTGCAGGATGATACGATATGTAGTTAGATATAAATGAGGTGCCGATAGAGCTGCCACATCATTTTGCAAACAAATTTAATGACCCTAGCATTACTGATTACTTTTACCACAATCAAGCCAACTTGTTTGATCCAACTCTGAAAGGGTTATTTGTACCTTGTCTTCGCTTGTAATATGTGTGCTCTCAGCGATGGACTGAAATGGGTGAGAGAGTGGCACTAAGTGAATGGCACGTCACATGAAAATGAACTGAGGGTTAAGAAAGAAAAAATTTCGAAACCATACCGTGATGTTCCTAAGGAGGTCATAAGTAACATCCTGAGTTCTATATGCTCTTGGGTGCCACTTCCCTTCAGACCAATCAACATATGTTACTGACCAATTCGCAAGTCCACTAGGATCTTTCATCTGAAAACCATTAATGGAAAATGAAAAAGAGAAGTAGTGGCAGCAAAGAAATTAGAAAGGATTGAAATGCAGTTGTAATGGCAAGCAAACGGAGAAGGTTTGTTGTGCTGACTTGAAAGAAAGTTGGCAGGTAATGCTCGTCCGAATAGCAATTGCGCCCATCCATGTTTGGCTGAGAAAGTCAGAAACAGCATCGAGTTCAATCCAAAACTAGCAAGCCAGGACTAACAATAGATGTAAATAGTTTGAATTTTGGAGAGTAAGATTCTTAAAATAAAAAATGAAAATATTTGGTGTTCAAAGAATTTACTCTAGATAAGGCCTAACTTAATGATGCCAAAAGCATATCATAACAAACAGATTACCCTGCAGTAAAGCTTGAACTTTGTATAGTAAAGACTATCTGCCATCATGACAATTGCATGTTGCCGCTTCATAGAGAACCACTGCAGTGCAAATGTCAGTTAAAACCAACCATATACGAGACATATCAACTGTCCTTGCACAAATCTTCATCTGATCAATGAGCACATTATATACCAAAGCTCTTGTTGATCAAATGCTCTGTCAAAAGGAGACAATAAATGTGAACAAGAACAAGAAATCAATCCAGACATTGCAATCATTCATACACTTGGGACAAGAAAGATAGGATAAAGAAGCTCATGTGACTTATAAAGAACAAGTGACAAGATTCTACGAATCATAAATATACTCATAAGAACTGGTTTTACAACTCTGAGACCTATTTGCAATCATTCATCCAGCTTCTTTTCTGGTTTCAAGGTGGGTGGGGGGGGGGGGGGGGGGGGGGTGGGCAACCAGATATAAATGAAGCCAATTTGAAATTTTGCACACCTTGGTGTCTAACATGGAAATATACACTTAAGAAATGATTTTAGAAACGTATCGATAATTCAATGGAAGGAAAATATTTGAAAGTATAGCAAGTAATCCATCTTCTTTTGTGGCTCCACGTGCAGCCTGAAAAGGAATATCTTGCCCCATCCACTAAGCTTTAAAACATTGCATTGAGACTAAATTTTACTTCCCAGATGACACCAGATCCAAATTAAAGCCAGTCTGAAATTTTGCACTAGTCAAATCATATACGTTTAGCATAGGTCATAGGTTAACTTACAGGTCATGTATATTCCTAAATAAAGTGCTTCAAACTCCAGTTATCATTCAAGAAATAGACTTACAGCAATTAGCTGAGTCAACAACAAGGTTATTAAATTGACATAAATGCAACTACCTGCAGTATCCAACTTTGTTTTATACCCCTTAGAACCTTTAACTTCTAAGAAATTCTTATAGTAGAGGGGACTTTAGCAGTTGGCACTACGGTTGATTATATAAGCAGGCTTGTATGAGACACCAGTAAATAAATTCACGAAAGTTCTTCATCCACAAGTTTCTACATAAATTCACGAATGTACCTGTGAACCCTTCCGAAAATCCTTCTTTTCAACTTCAGGCAACATATGTTCTGAATACCGGCCAGTTCCGTGTGGACCAGGATCAACAAAACTAGAGAGAGAGAGAGAGAGAGAGAGAGAGCTAAATACATGGAATAAGCAATTGTTCAAGTACACCAGAATAAGAGATTTAACATAAATAATTGGAAGGAATTTTTAGAGTTCCATTTGGTTTACTTCCTAAAATATAGTTTGCTTACCAATCAATAAAGCTGACGTTTGTGTACATGAGATAGTTATATACATAATCGAAGTTATGTAGTGGTATACAACTGAAACCAAAAATGTAAAGTAAAATCAATGAAAGAACTAGCAAAATTCCATCATAAGGACCTCATGCAAAAGTCACAATTGTAAATGTTTACAATGCAATGACCTATCAGACAGCAAGACAAAATGTTGGTTGTCAGGGTCTAAAAGTGCATTTGCTAAAAGTCTCTTCTCTGCCTCAACCATCGAAAATTTTCCCCAAACGACCTGCAAATTTATTATTAATGGCATCTTTAAAGAAAACCATGTGTACTGGTTACTGATAAAATAATGTTGAACTGTAAGAATGTTATGAGAGGCTTCTACGTACCTGCTCACTATGTACGTCTCTGTCAACAAAATAACGGCTTACATGTACTGGTTTTTGCTTAGAAGCATGTACATAAACAGTGAATTTGTCCTCATGGCCCTAGGCAACATGATATTTTTGTTAGACTGTGAATTAGCTTACAAAATATATGGCTTTTTATATAATTTAAGAAAATATCTACACAAGTAGGTTCTTCGTTTTACTTTAGCATGTATCTATAATATAATCATAAAAAGGTCAACCAATTACTTACCCTAGCTTGAGTTCTTACTTCTAGTTCTCACTAGATGCTAGAGAACTCAACACCAAGCATAAAGAAATGGAGATTCAAGGGCTATATATAGATTATATTAAAACGAATTTCGTACTGTTTTCATTGAAAATGGTGTTGAACACACCAAGCCTAAAACATGTTTATCATATCTCCTGAGTAACATACTCCTCCGATAAGTCTCAAGTTAACAGACTGGCCCTAGTTTGACATTTCCTCAGGTGGTCAAAAGACTGGCCCTAGTTCGACATTAATTCTAACTCTGGAAAAAGAGAAACTGTAATCTCATGAGATACCATTACATTGCAGAGGTGAGCATCAATTCCATCAAATTACTTGAGCATTTTAGCTACTAAACATCTGCCAGTACTGCTCAGTGAATGGCAGCTCAAGGAAATATGCCTAAACTGTAGCGCCTGACTACCAAACTTCTTAATGCAGTTAAACAAATACATTCATACGATTCTTTCGTAAATATATGAAAAAAGAATGACAGCTTATGGAAATAACAAATACCAAAATGTGATGAACTCAAAAGGGAAAAAAGAAAAACATAAAGGCAAAACCTTACTTGAAAGAAATTTTCCCATAACTCCTCAAAAGGTAATGTACCAGGAGTTAAAAACATGAAAGCAATTTTGGGGTTCTTTGATTGAAGAGGAGGTGTCTTGAGAATTTCCTTAACTACAACATCAGATGCAGTCTCATCATCAGTCAATTCCCTTGCAGGACCAGGTGGATCCTTTCCAAACACAGTACAACCACTAGAAGAAAAGAGATAGCAGGTGGCAGAGCTTCTCGGTGGGTAGAAATAGGCTACAATAAAAAAAACACAGACGAACGAAACCAATGCAATAATCCATGTTGGTCTTTTCAATGGTGGACGAGGCCTTGACTTGGACATGATCATAATATCCTTCATCAATTGTGGCCGCCATGCAAAGGATTTTTTCATCTGGACCGAAGGCAACACAGAACCTCTCATTCAGACCAACTTTCGCATTCTTTGCTGTGTTGTTGCCAAGTTGTGTTCAATTTGAACTATGGAAGCTGAAACTTGCAACACAGAGAAGACCATTTCAAACGCGTTTTCAGATCATACAACCAAAGGAGCATATAATTAATTGCACAATTTAATGAATACCCTTTTGAGAAATTGTCATGAAAAACATGAATATCAATTCAATATCACCAAAAGGCAAAACAGAAACGAAACGCAAAGATCAGACCTTCATTATAACGTTGCAATCAATAAATGGCACTGGTGAACAAAAACGGCCGAATAATGAAGAGGGTGAGAGAAATAAAAACCTGGGTTATCGTGAAGAAACTTCAAATGCAGGTGATCACTGAGACAACGAAGAACAGAGGGGAAGCGGGTTCGGCGGGTATGCGGAGAAGTATGAGGGGATGCAAAATGATGAGAGGCATTGTATATGGCAATGAGTACGTATGAATATCTGGTTCTGGACAATTGAGCAATTGGATGGTTTTTGGGCGATGAACACTTCAGCCAGTGAATTATGGCAACTTTCCCACGTAATATTGAGAAATTAAATGTTATTAATTTAAGATTAGGGGTTAAGAAAAAAACCAGGGATACCTTAGTAGCTGTCAAATCCATAATCTATATAATTATTGTCGAACATCATCCTAAAATATATAAACATATGTTTGTTTCTTTTTCCTCAAATGGGCACATTGTCAAATTTCAATGAAGCTAAACCGGAATGAATATTTAACACAATTAATCTCTCTTTTAAAAAATTCACAATTAACTGCAAAACTCAAATTAAGAAAGAAAAATAATTATATATTTTGTCTCCGGAAAAATAAAAACAAGTGGTTCCTTAGCTTTTAAAAGTCTTCGTTTTAGTTCTCACACTCTCAAATCAATCAACGTGGTTCTTCATCTTTTGGTCTACACATTAATTTGGTCCCTCCTATCGCATTCCCATAAACTTCAAGTAAAATTGATCATGTGTCATCTCGTGAACAACTTTAAAGGGATATTGTCATATAAATATAGCTCATTTTAGTTCTAAAATCCACATTTTTGGTGAATAAGGCCATATTCCCTCCAATGTTTGGGGCAGATAGCCTTATTGGGCAAATTATGTGAGCTTACTTTGTGTAATGGGTGGATAGTTTGTATTTTGATGAGAATACCCCTTTAAAATTTGTTAGGTCATCAATTTTATCTAAGATTTTGACAAAATGCGATGAGAGGGACCAAACTGATGTGTGGACCAAAGTATTAAGCATCACATTTGTTTGATAGGGCACTTTTTTTTTTTTCTAATAAAAAAACCAAATTGAGAGCATGTTTACTTACTAGGAATGTGGAAGTCGAGAATCAAGGAACTTAAAAATAAGGGAATTAAGGAAGTGGATGGATCAACTACCTCCTAAGTTGAGATGATTTCTATTCGAGTCCTTAATTAGTTAGGATTTTGATTCCTTACTATGTTAGAATTTTGGTTACTTACGTATTTGTCTAGTCATATTATAATAGAGATTTATTTATATTGTAATTTAGATTTATTTCCTATTTTTATTTAGGGCTATACTTCTGTATACATACATCCATATTGGAGAATAATGCATACCTAAAATAACTGAACATTTGCCCTACTTTGACAATTTCCAGTTTTTAGGGTATTTGATTACGAATTTTAACATTAAAAAACACATAAATTTTTTTATTTCTTATGCATTCGTAAAATCAGGGGAAGTTAGGAATCGAAAAGTGAAAAGTTTAGGGACCATTTCTAATAAAAATCATAAAATCAATGTTTGTCTGAGTACAAGCGATAGTCTAAACTAGAGGGGAGGATGTTTCACACACACACACACCCCTAAAATGGCATGAGGATTTGAACATGAAACCTCTAGTCTACAAATCAATGCCATTATTTCATTAGACTAAACTTGGTTGGCAAATCCTAAAACCAATGTTACGTATGGGTATTTATATTGGCCTAAGCAGAAGCAGCATTTGCCTGCATGCCTGCTTGCTTTGGTCTGAATATAAATATCAAATAAATATATTTATATTTAAGAATTATATTGGCCTGAATATAAATATCAAATAAATTCAATATTAGGTGAGAAGAGAGACATTCTGTAGAGTTGGGGGTGATAACGTGTATGAACGAATTGGAGTCAAGCGTTGCAAAAAGCAATGTGTGTTTCCACCTGTTGTCATGGCAGAAGGCAAATACTATTCATTTTCTTGTTTTTTCCCCAAATTTTTTTACCTAAACAATTAATTTGGATAATATTTTAATATTAGATTTTTGGGTTCGTACGTGTCAATATTTATTATAAAATTCATATCTCATAATCGGATAAAATTTTTAGATAAGATTTTCAGTTTCAAAATTAAGATAAATTTCAAAATTCAAAATTAAGATAAATTTCAAAATTCAAATTTTAGATCAATTTCAAATTTCAAATTTCAGATGAGATTTTCACCCTTTAAAATTGCGCCACGTGTCATCTCTATTGGCCTAATTTTTTCTATAAAATCAGAGGCTCAGCTCATACCTCTCATACCAGATCTTCTTTGTATTTTCATTTCTCATATTTTAGAATTCATACTCCATTCTCAATGTCAGACATGAACGAGGTCTTGGAAAGGCAAGAGCGAGAAACTAGAGAAAGAAGGCGTAGACGAGCTGCAGGCAAAAGGGTGCAGAGAGAACTAGATCAACAAATTGTCATAGCAGTGGCTTTGCTTAAATGTGGTTCACAAGTCGGTCGTGGCCCGAATGTGGACAGACATAGGCATTCTCGAGGTAAGAATCTTCTGGAAGATTCTTTTATCCCAACTTCTCTATACTATGATGTTCATTTTCGAGCACGATATAGAATGCAACTCATTTGTTCAATAAAGTCATGCATGATATTTGCAATTATGATGAATATTTTGTTCAAAAGAAAAATGTTGCTGAGGTTTTAGGACTTCTTCTCGAGCAAAAGTTTACAGCTGTTATATGAATGTTAGTGTATTGTTCATCTACTGATCAGGTGGATGAGATTGCCTGGATGGGGAAGTCCACTACTTTGGACAGATTGGTAAGATTTTGTGATGTAGTTGAAACTCTGTACACCAAGGACTACCTGCACAGACCTACACGCAGGGACTTGCAACGGCTTTTACAAAAAGCCGAAGCTCGAGGATTTCCAGGAATGATTGGTAGGCCATATGGAAGACCTGTGGATTCCCTTAGAGACGATCACAAAAGAAAAAATTGTGAGAGAGTGGAGAAGAAGTTCAAGAATGAGAAGGACATGCAGTTCTGACTCATCTTTTTCAAGAACCTACACTCTGCGACGGTGGATAGCCCTCTAAATGCTAAAGCCCCAGGTGGATTTTGGATGATTCAAGTCTAGCTCCATGTGTGCTTCCCAGAACTAAGATTTCATGATTTAGTTCTATGTAAAAACCACCCATTTGTTGATGTTAGCATAAGTGCTAAAGAGATCGATTGAAGAGTATCTGACTTTCTTCAGAGATTGTACCAAGAGGTCTGCTGCTCAGTGGCAAGTAGTGCTGAGAAGAACCTACTCTTGGTTCAAACCAGGATATAGACTCTTCGAAAAAGAACCCAAGGAAAAAAACGAAAGAAAGGAATTTAGGCACAAGTTTATGGGTGTTGTTTTGAACAAGGATCTTCCATACGGAGGAGGCATACCACCAAGCTCTCATCTGGTGGAGAAGTGTATTAGACCAACTTCTGTGTGAGGCAAATAGGTTGCCTCCAAACCATTCCAGTGAAGTTCTAGAAGGTTTGTAATAGAGGCACATCCTGGAGGGATATAGATAACATTGAGGTTCACAAAGACTGTAGATGCTCTGTGAACAAGATTAACAATAGCCTAGATTTACTTTATCCCTCCTGGGAGTCTAACTCATGTTGCTTAGAAGATTTCAATTTTTGGTGGAATACCAAATTCCATGGTATGAAGCCTGCTAGAGATGCCATCAACATTATTTTCAAGAAATGGGACATTGGGGCATTCCAGGTAGAAGACGATGCTAGACATTATATAGAGAATCTGCTTGAAGAGATTAATGCCCAAGTGATCGAAGGTAAACTCTAGTAATATGAACTTATTTAGATATTTTTATCATTTTAGATCCTTCCATGGTTGGAAGCTCCAAAGGAAAAGAAGTCCGAGCTGGGAAAGTGTTTGGTGAGTTATGCTCTTTTTAAAACTTCTTTATTCTATTCAAAACTCTTCCTAACTATCTGTCATTTCTTTCTAGTGAACTCCATCATTTCTGCTGAAGACCTAGAAGTAGAACCAGAAGAAAAATAAGAAGAAGAAGACCAAGATCCAAGTAAGAAGTGGAAGTAGAGGTGGAAAAGGAAGTTCCTCTAGTTAGGAAGAACAAAAGAAAATGAATTGCCCAGACTCATGAAATTTTCTGCTTATCCAATCAGAATTGAACAAAAATTTAAAGTTGTGCTTGCTCTGTGTTTCCAGCTGCTGCTGCTAGTAATTCTTCACCTACTCAGGCTAGGAAAAAAGAAGCCTAGGAAGGACTTTGGTGGAGCTACCACTGATGCTCATGAAGAGGAAGTGAATGAGACCCTTTTGAACCTTGTGGTTGACCCAGATGCCTAAAAAACAAATGAAGAACTCCAGGAGGTATTCAAAGATTTGAATGAGGAAGTTCACGCTAAAAAAGAAAAGGATATGGAAGAAGAGGTATAGTCCTAATGTACTTAAAACATTTTTGTTTCAAACCTTTTAGGTTTTGAACAAACCCAAGGTGTAGGTGTAGATCTTACTCAGTCTGAATCAACCATGTTTGAATTTGTTGAGGTAGATAATTCTTTGGCCATTATTCCATTGAGGTGTCTAGGCCATATAGGTAGTTTTGAGTATGTTGTCATGCCATTTCAGTTAAAAGATCAAGGTGCTACCTATCACAGAGCCATGACTTGATATGATAGGTCATTTCTTAGAAGTATACATTGATGGTGTAGTCATTAAATCTCAAGAAAAGCTAGATCATGTGCGTGACTTGAGAAAAGTTTTTCTAAGCATGAGGCAGCACAACTGAAGATGAATCCCAAGAAGTGTGCATTTGGGGTTCAAGCAGGGAATTTTCTAGGCTTCTTGGTTCATTAAAGAGGTATATTGAAGTGGAGAAAAACAAAGCAAAATCCATCATAGAAGCTTTACCCCCTCGGACCAAGAAGGAATTGCAAAGTCTCTTGGGGAAAATCAACTTTCTCAAGAGATTTATCTCCAATTATGCTAGGAAAATTCATCCTTTTTCTTCCTTATTAAAATTGAAACAAGAGTAGGATTTCAAGTGGGAGGAGAATATCAAAAAGCCTCTGAAGAGATCAAGCAGTACTTGGCCAATCCACCAATTCTAACCACACCAAAGAAAGGCAAACCACTCAAGTTATAAATTTCTGCTTTTGAGGTATCCATTGGAAGCCTTCTGGTTCAAGACAACAAAGAAGGGAAATAGCAGGTTGTTTATTATCTGAGCGAAACTTTGACAGAAGTGGAAAGGAGATATTCTGCAATTGAAAGGTTGTGTTTAGCATGATATGTTGTTGATGTTAAGCTCAGGAATTATGTTCTACCTTTCACCATTTATATCATTCCCAAGACATATTTGAGCAAATATATGTTAACCATACCAATGTTGAGAGGCAGAATTAGCAAATGGAATTTAGCTATGTCAAAATTTGTTTTCCGTTATGTACCTCAAAAGGCCATTAAGGTCAGGCAATGGCGTACTTCTTAGCAGATCATCTAGGAGAGAAAATTGAAAGTTTGGATACTGTGGAGATTGACACTGTGGACTTATTGAATAGAGCTCATATCTACTTCAATAATCCAATCTATTCTATCCATCTTTCTCCTTGGAAATTGTATTTTGATGGATCTAAGACAAATTTAGTTGCTTGAGCAAGAATTGTTTTGGAGGATCCAATGGGAATAAGGCATAGTTATTCTTTCCATCTAGACTTTGAGTGTACCAACAACAGAGTAAAATACGAGCCTTTAATGATTGGCCTAGAAATGTTGGTGGAACTAGGAGTCGAGTGTGTGGAAATTCTTGGGGATTCTATGCTAGTTCTAAAGTAGATTGCTGGAAAGTACAAAAAGTGTACTAATCCTACATTAGTAGTATACCTTGTAGCAGCAATAAATCTTTTGGTAGAGTTCAGAGAAGTGACTTGGGAGCAAATTCCGAGAGAAGACCACCCATTTCCAGTTGTTGCATTCTTCTTAAGGATGCTCAAATGTTGTGATGTTGTTGAACCCTACCATCCTGAGCAAGTTCTTAGGCAGTTTGGTCAGGTGCAGATGATTTCCCCCATAATAAGTGCTCATACCATAACTGGTAGTCATGCCAATTCCTATAATTATTATCTAGGGGGAATGTGGGACAATCAGGAGAACCACATGTTGGCAGGGGCAAACCATAGTGTACCAATGAGGAGACCATCAAATACTGTGCCTGGGTACTTAGAGTGGTACCTCAACATGGGATATCCATTTGTCCAGAATCTTAATTATGGAGTTGCATTTGACCCATTTGCCTCAATGCAAAGTAGATATTATTAGGTAAAATTATAAATTTTTTATGACTTCCACTTTTTCAATTTTTGTAAATTTTACTAAAGCATTGAATTCAAATTCATTACAGGAGCGTGACGAGCGTATCTTGTCCTTTATTAAGCCGGTCATGGTATTAAGGGAAACAGTTGCATTTGCGTACATGACCTACTTAATTTTATCAAGCAGTTGAGACCTTGCAGCAAATTTTAGAGGGTACAAACATATGGTCTACCATAACATATTAACGTTGTCATGGTTAACTGAATTGTCAGCATGTTTGTATTAGAACTCATGGTACTTTGGTTGTTTTGATTAACTTTTGTATGTTTAGAACTCATGGGTACTTTGGTTGTTTCAATTAATTTTGGAATGTTTGTATTAGAACTCGTTGTGCTTTTAAAGTCTCACATTAGAAAAGGGGATCCATGTTCCTAAGGACAGTAAGCAAACAAACTCAATGTGCTTTAATTACGCTTAAAGAAAACAAATTCAAAGGTACTGTTATAAAATTTTCTTTTTAGTGAGGCAGTGAGGCTTTCCTCTAGTTTTTATTTATTTATTTATTTTATTTTATAGGTGGAGCAGTGGAGGTCAATCTTGCCATTTGTAGGCATTGGTGACTGACTTCATAACCAAAATAGGCAAGGGTAACCTCAGCAATCTCAAATTCAGATGGCAAACGAAGAGTAGAAGTGTCGATTTTTCGCGGTCTCCCTTTGGTCTTCAACTTATCTTTTAGTTCAGTAAGTGTAGTAGAACTAGAGTTCATTAGCTCCTCCAGTGTCATGTGAACTTGTCTCTTCTTTTTGTCATCTTGTTGTTCATACCACATATTGAATTTTTGTAATTGTGACTTTATTGGTGAAGTTGTGCCTTGACTAATCTTTCCTATATTGATGAGATCTATTTTCTCCAATGTGAATGCACGACATCAAGTTGGATTGGTACACCACGATCTCTATACTCTGCAATTTCATATGCACATGGTAATTGGTGGGTTTGATGAATAGCACAACCACATGCCCCATCTGTCTCTAACATGTTTTAAAATAAATTACAATGTTAACTATGTAGGCCATGTATGTATATGCAATAAATAAATTGAATTTACCTTTTTGACTCATACACAATTACACTCAAAGCTTTTGTATAAACAAAACCTGCTAACTCACTCAACTCTGGATGCATGAACCTTTGTTGAATAAAACATAGACTTGTTTCAAAAGATGCCTTAATCCCTGTGTGCTCCAACTTTAATAAGGAGTGAATAGTTTCTCATGATCTCCCAAAGTTAAGTTGACTTGAGCGGAGTTGTCTCTTCAACTTTGCATGTGCACTTTCCACTCTGTTGATAACAATAATAAATTCTATGGAAGCAAAATAAATTATCAAATTAACCTATCAAAAGTGGACTAAAATACTTACCTATTTGAGGTCGTTGATTCAAGATGCATACAAGTGTACGTCCATGCAGCCACAAACCTATCCTTAAATATATTTAACCAATTGTCATGTATGTATTGAAATTCACTAAACTTAGACTCAATTTGTCTCAAACAATACTAATATTCCTCCTCCGTTTCTGAACCAACCAAAGTATTCCAATCCCCATTAAATTGCTCCCATTGTTTGAGGGTCCCAAATAACTTCTTGCAATTTTCCAACACTCCTTTGTTAATATGCCATCTACATAATAAATGTCGTGCTTTTGGAAATATATACGTAATAGAATAGTGCTAACACCATGAAGACAATTATACACTCTTCAATCGAGTCAAACTCCATGTGTAATTATCTTCCTTCTTGGGATTAATATATACATACGCACCCGAGAATGTCATATTAGTAGATGTCACCCCACAATTTGCAATAGTGGGAAACGCTACCTATTAGTCTTACAAGTGCAATCCATGATAAGTACATGTGGAAATGCATGCAAAATCTCAATATTAATGTGGTGTGTCCAAAACAAGTCAGTTACAGTTTCACCAGATGTCCTATGCTACTCAATATAATTGTGTTCGGACAACTTAGTAAGCAATTATTTCATCTATGTTCTCCCAACAAATTCTTTGGTTCTATTTCAAATCCTAGCATTGTATATTGTTTTCATAGTTGAAACATTCATTGCATCTTTATCCTTCAGGGTGACCAAAATATATGTGGGTTTCACCAAACTCTTAGACATGTCCAATGGCGGATCCAGGAATTTTCATTCCGGGGGTCAACGTGTAAAAAGTTAAAAAAAAATTCTATATGAACTAGACCCATCAAAATGAACTGATAATATTATAATTCATAGTTAATAAATAAAACCATACAAAATACTGTTGTTCATTATCAAAGAGAATTGTATCAACTTCAAAAAATAGACACACACTGCAATAAACAAGAAATATATCTAAGAATGTGATAATAAACAAAAAAATTAGTTCAATCCTTTCACCTCCCAAGGCGCCTCATCCTAAGGCATCTTGTCCTATTCGACGTAAGAGTTGGCATATATTAGCGCAATTATGCTCATTTTAGGGCATTTATGTCATTTTTTAAGTCCGTCGTTATTTTGATTTTGGGCTTTATCTGCATTTCTTTTGGGCTCTAACTCTCAAACTTTGGACCCTTATGAGTACCGTCATAGGGGGAGCTTATTCAAGCAAATATTTCTTCAACACGTAAGAGTTAGGTTATTCTTGTAAAACTCTTTGTGGATTGAACATCTAAGGCTTTTTACCTAAATTGACCTTAGTAAAACTCTTTGTAGATTGAACTTCTAAGCCTTCATGAAAAATTGTTTTATGTAAAAATATTGGCTAAGTATTAAAAATGGTTTTTCGGAATAATCATTTTCTCAAGATAATTTTTGGCGGCTTTTATTCCTTACACATCAAATAAGAAAACTTGATTTTATGGGATTTTAGTATGATGTATATATTGACTTAATGAGCCATTATTTTTAGCCTAAATCGTATTTTGCACTAAAACCGATTTTTCATATTTTGATTTGATGGGAATTTGATTTTCTAGTATTTTTATTTGAATCCAAATGGGGGGTACTTCCTTATTTACATTGTAAATTTAAGTAAATGGAGTAATATAAAAATAAATGAACGTAAGGACAAAGACATTTACTTAAATAAAGAAAATGAAAATAAGGTAATCTGTACAACGTCATCGTTTTGACATCTGGAGCATTTCATCAAGCAGTTTGTGGACAATTTGCATGGGTCAACATCTTCGCCTCCAATGGTGAATTCTGGGCTTTTAAGGGTCAATTAACCCCTCTTGCACCTATGTGAATCCACCCCTGGACATGTCCACCAATAAGGCATTCTCCTCTTCAGAAAGTTACCCCACAAATGAATAATCTTGAAAATACTCTTAAACAACACGGTTATTTACCAAATAAGTTGTGAATTGATCACTATAATCCATTACACATTTTGTTCCAACATTGTTGCCTTTAATAGCAGCGTCACCTTGTTTTTGTTCATTCAATAAGAATAAGTTCAAAATAACTAGAATTAAATTTGTGGTCGACAATAAGTTACTAAAAAACAAATATATTTCGGTTCTTCGCCACTGAATGATAGGTAAAAATCGATCATACATCATCGAAGCCCTTTCCACATTACTATGGATCTCCACCGCATCTTAAGTTAACGGCTTATCAAACACAACCGAAACAGGTTCAATGTTTCAATGGCATGCCATCGAAATTTCCTGTTGCGTTTGGTACTAGTGTGCTACATGTAACCAACAACCACCATGCAACCCTAAACTAGAAAAACACCAAAAAATAAACTTATATCTCATTTGAAGCCTCTCTAACTTCAACCTCACCCTTCATGAATAAATACTATATATGTTTTCACCAATATAAGTATATAAACGTTATTAGGGTTGTAGGAACATGATGGTTTGAGAAAAAAGTCTAACTAGGGTTGCAGGAACGGATGGAATGACTTATCTTAGCTACCTATTTACAATACTTACTACATGAGAAAGAAGCAAGAAAAGGGCATGCGATGATGTGGTGGTGAACCTCTTATTCTAATTCAGTGCTCTCTGAACCGTGCAGGAAGGTTTCCCATCACATGGCTCACCAACTTCTCAGGCTTTTGAGATAAACACTAAGTTATTAGAGTTAAAAATACCCCTACTAGGAGGTGTAGTGAGCAAATTTAATTTTTATTTTATATATTTTGTCCTTAACGGTACATACGTGTAAGAATAAAATAAGTTATTCATGTTTAAAATTAGTATAGGATTAAAAGAGCAAATAATGAGGTGCAAATAAAATCAAAATTTTAAGGATGTTGCGTATGGAGGGCAAAAGTCAAGTAGATACTAGTAAAAAAAATCAACACAGAGGATCGGATCCAAATCCGAATCCGAACGGGATCTATTATGTGCATTCAAACTAACCAAAATACATAAGGATTCCAATAAATAAAGGCATGGATTGGAGTGCACATATTAATTGAGAAAACTTTGCAATTTTGACTCGGCCTGTTTCAGACCAAATTACCCCTACCATTTGTTTTATTTCAATACAGACAGATATTATCAATTAAATTACCGATTGGATTGCAATTGTCAGTCGGACGACTACATCAGCCACTTAGTAGTGCTTCACTCTAGGGTCTTATGGCCTTGAGTGTGCTAAACCCTAAACCCTACATTCTGGCTACGAGCTTTAGCTAGTTGGTCATATGGCCCCTAACAACTAGAGAATAAACACTACAACAAATTCTCATTACTTGCACTGTATACATAAATATTACTTGCACTGTATACATAAATACTAAGCCCGAAACTCACTTAAACTATTTTAGAATGGGAACCTGGGCTAACTGTTGAAGTTGATGAACAACATGAGACATCCTTGGGCGCATTGATGGCACATGTTGCGTACAAGCATAGACAAGGTCCACCACCTTTTGAATCACACCGGCCTCCGGGATATCCGGAGAAGAAGGGGTTATATGAGGATCCAGGAGATCTAGGTAGCGATGAGCCTGCACCAGAGGCGTTGCCCACTCAAAAATACTCTGCCAACCGACTGGATCAACAGCCTGCGCTGGTCTACGCCCACTCACAATTTCAAGCAGCAGCACACCAAAACTATAAACATCACTCTTGGTTGTAAGCTCATTTCTGTAGACAAATTCTGGAGCCAGGTATCCATATGTGCCACCAGCCATCACTGTCCTCTCATGCATCACTTCATACGGCACAAACTTTGAGAGACCAACCCCCATTAGATGTGCTCCGAAATCTTCATCAAGCAGTACATTACTGGCACGGATATCACGATGCACAACATGTGGCTTCACTTTGTCATGCAGGAACCTGTTTTAACATATTAACAGGTGAAACACCGATTAAACACAGTTCATTGTTCACCATTCAAATCCTATCCAGACATGAAGCCACACAGTTACAAGCGAAAGCATCATAAAAATTAACAGAAGGACCTCTACAAGAACAAAAACAATGGATGAAACCATTACAATCATAACAATGATGTCCAGCAGGACCAACTTGAAGATAGGTTTGTTCCTGGTCTTTCCAAATTTGGGCACACAAATTCTGGCCAAAAAGTTAGAGCCCTTGGGAACAAACCTTCCATTTCATAATGTGTTGTTTTTCTTCCAAAACGCCTCTTATCATACAAAATTTAACAAATGCTCATCTGAGATATTTAAGACACAGTTCAAATACAATATCAAAGTAGCTTCAAGAAAATTGTCTATGGTGTGTACAAGGCGATTTGAGAACACATTAACCAAAAGAACTATGGTAACAGGCATAAAGAGGAGACTTGCCTTCAGAAATGTTGCTAACAAAGTCACTTGGACGGTGGCAAGCTTAGAAATTTAGTGAGGACTGAAATTGTTCATAATTATTAGAAATGAAACTATCATTTTTTTTTAAAGAATAAGGAAAAAAGCACCCATTGGAAATATCCACTGAAGCAAGAATCAGTCTCAGATTTTAGATGTTTGGTTTTACCTAATAAGACTACAAGGGAAAGTATTGTATAACTTACGCAATTCCTTGTGCAAGAGTTGTTGCAATTTTCATTCTCATTCCCCAATCTAAGCTCCGACCACCCCTAGGTATGTGGTGCAGCCATTTATCTAAGGGCCCGTTAATGATGAACTCATAAACTATGTAGCGATCACCATGATCGTAACAGCAGCCCTTCACAGCCACCAAATTTGGATGGTGAAGCTTTGCAACTCTTCCAATTTCAGAGTAAAACTCCTTTTTCCTTTGAAAACTAGATCTCTTCAACCTCTTAACTGCCACCCTTGAACCATCAGGAAGAAGCCCACTGTATGTTCCTCCTGTCTTGGCATCTCCCAGAAGACGGTTTCCTTCACTAAAGTTCTTTGTAATTGACCTTAGTTCTTCTTTCATGAAGACCTTCCATGATGGAGGGACTAATGCAGTAGCTGCTGGATTAGAAAGTCTGCGGGAACGTCTGCGCTTCTTGCTCCGCTTGTATGCAAGAAGCCAAATCACTACAGCTAATGTTGTGAAGAGAATCAACCCACTTACAACTCCAAGGATGATAAGATATTCTCTGTGGCAATGCATGTGGTAACATGTGTTCCCTGAAAGAAACAGGGACAACATTAAAATTAGCTGGATAGGTAATGCAAGATTGAAGTGCACAATGACTTGGATTTGACAGAATATATACCTAAATCAACCATGCATATAAAAGCATGAGACATGTTGCATCTTTCAACCAAGAGGGATGTGGATCCATTAGTAACCAATATACATACATCAATAGAACTATTGGTGTGACAAGAGATGTTACTGCAAATGGATTGAAGGGGTTCCCCAGGAAAGAGAGACTCATTCCAATATGAAGTATTATCGGACCAATTCCAACCAAGACCAATAGTAGAGTTGACACCTCTTCCCCCTACCCAGCAGCCACTGATGGTTTCAGCACATAGATTCTGAGCAGAGGCCAGTTCTTGAGATGTTTTGAATGCTGCTAAGTTTCCATTATAACTTTTACAACGGGTTTCTGACTCGTTCCAAGGCTGGCGGCTGCTCATATAACCAAAGCACTTCCGCTTATCGGGTCCAAGAATCCAACCACTGGGGCATGGTGCTGTTAAAAAAGAATTACAATGTTAACATAATAGCTCGATTACAAACTGATAAAGACTCTAACACAATCTATATTATCAACACACACATTACCAGCATGCTGTAAAAAATAAGGCACATTAAATCAGCTTATGAGGGAACAGCATATTCACACCTTTTAATTGCATGGTATAACGTACGCTATCAGTTTCAGGAGCATTATGATTATTCTTTTCAACAGACAAATTATATGTGTTCTGGTGCCTTCCATAGCTAAGCTGAATTTCTATATCATAAGTATCCTCTATAGCAGTTTTATGCATTTCAGACCTCAGCCATCACAGTACCAAGTGTTCTATATAGGTAACATAAAATTGAATGCCTTGCTCTTAGTTCTTGCTAACGGGCGAAGAAAATGATGTGCTTTTTTCATCAGTAAAAGCAATGAAGCATAATCAGCTAGTACCAGACGTCTTAAATGTTTTTGTTTTTGTGATCCAATAACTTTTGTTCAGCACAAAAGACCTTGAAAACATTTTGAAGGTAAGGACAATGGATAATTAGAGTCTACTTGCTCTTGGTTTTCTATTGGGAGCTGTATTAGGATCTTTTTGGATGGAAAAAACAAACTTGAAATTGAGATAAAAGTCAGGATTTCTGAAATAACATATACTAATTAGTAATTTCCTTGTTTGGGGTCATAAGAAAATCAATATTCACATGAAAAAGAAACTTGGGAGTCAGAAATCCAAACTTAAGGTAACACCAATTTAGGTGCCATTTCTAAACTCTCAAAATTATGAGAGATTTTGAGAAATAAAGCTACAACAACCACCACCACCATCACCGCTGTCATCACTTTGTCATTGCCATTACCACCACCATCCTACCTCCACAATCATTGGTGCCATTGCCGCTGCCGTCGCCATCATCACTGGGACTGAAACCACCACCACACTACTACCATCGCCACCTCACTCCAACCACCCTCTCTGCCTCTAGCACTGCCATCACTCCCGCCTTTGTTGTCACCACCATTTCCACAACTGTCACCACCACTCATTTACGTATATTGATACCTCCATAAAGATAAACTTCAAATTCTGTTATGCTTAACAGGTTAGCAAAAGAAGAAAGTTCATAAATTCTAAAAATAAATTCCATCTTTTTTAGATTCCATCGTCCTGAATTCCCTTAGTACTCTTAAACTCCCTCATCCAAACACATCGTTAGAATTCGGAGAGATGCTTTTTTATTTTTAATGGTGATAAAATTTATAAAAATCCACACACAGAGAGCACCCCTTAATGCTTAACCTAGGATTCATAGTATTAAGAAATTCCAGAAAGAGAGAGATGCAAACAACTCAAACAAAGCACTTATCAAAAGACATTGGTGATGATATTTAAAAGAAGAAAAAAAGAGACAGATTAAGGAAGCATCCAATGGTAAAGAAACTTTAAAATAATTAGGATAAAGCAAAAAAGTGGCTTTCAAAAAATAATTAGGATGGCTCAACACAAAATTCAGCACTTGAAGTTAAAAGGGTTACTCACACCTTTATTTTCTTCAGTTCCAGGAGCAACCAATTGCCTATGAATCGACTCATTATATACCTAACGAATGAGAGCGAGGCATCAATAAATGGATCCACAATGTAAATCATCTTAACTCTTCAAGTTGAAAAAATGAAAAATTAAACTACATGGTTCATCATAATTTCTTACCCTATGCGAAGCGCATCCACCGAGCAGAAGGCAAACAATCAGAGGCATAAGCAATTGCAGAGCACCCAGATTCCCCTCCATGAGAACCATGCCGCAAACCCTAGAAAGCAAAAATGTATACAAGTGAAATTTCAATTGTTAGCATTACACCTTTTCAGTCTTCGAGCGAACCATCTCAATAATTAGATCTGTAGTCATTTTAACTCTACCGCCATTTCAGACCACCAACCTCTCACTTCAGATGGTCACCCCAACAAAGCAGCAAGGAAGTCCTTGTTCATCTGCAAGAGTGCAACTTGGCACCAAACTACTCTGCGAGCCTCTCTCCCACTCTTTGTTTCTCTGAATCCCTCTCTCTCGCTCACGCTCAGTCGGCCTCTCTCTCGCTCATCTCTGTAATGTCTTCCCCTTTAATTTTATTTTTTTTTTTTTTTTTTTTTCAAAACCTTTTTTTTTTCCAAGAATTGCTAGAAACTTTTCTCTATCATATGTTTAGATTAGGGGTGGGCACGGTACGGTATGGTACGGTATTGAACCCGTACCGCTACCGATACCGGAAATTTAAATCGGTATGGTACGGTATGAGATTATGGTTTGCCAAAATTGGTACCGTACCGTACCGTGCCAAATCGGTATCGGTACGGTATCGGTACCATTTCGGTACCAAAATGATACAACTAAAAAATGAACCAATTCAATATTCAACACCAAAATAAATGATGCCTAAGTTACAAATTCAAAGATTCAACATATTCAATTTCAATATCCAAATCCTAATCAACATATTCAATATCCATCAACATATTCAATATTCAAATTCCAATCAACATATTAAATATCCATCAACATATTCAATATCCAAATCAACCAAATCAATATTTATCCATCAAGAGATTCATCAAATTCAAATGGTTAAAACTCATGCCTTATGGCTTACAAACCAAAATAGTTAAAATTATGCATTATGGCTTACAAAAATACAAACACAATCCAAACATAAATAACAAAAACATAAAGTTATGCAATCCAAGCTTCATTTGCAGCCCCTAGCTTTGAATTCAAGTATCCCCATCATTTGCATATTCTGCAAATTACCCAAACAACCATTAGAAAGAATTCAATGCAAACTAATATAAATAACAAACAATATTTAAAATAATTTACCTGATTCAATGGTTTCATAAAATTCAAATTCTTCAATCGAAGGTGTATCTTCTAAGCTTGAAATTTCATCCCCTTTCAACCAATTTTGCATGCATATCAAAGCCTCCACTGATCTAGGAGTTAATGAACTCCTAAATGCATCTATGACTCTGCCACCAGTGCTAAAACAACTCTCAGATGCCACTGTGGAAGGTTGAATTGAAAGGACATCCTTCGCAATTGCTGCTAAGACAGGATACTTGGGTCCATTGAGTTTCCACCACATCAATATGTCAAAAAAAACATCTTTGGAAACAAATGCCAAAGGATCTGTCAAGTAAGAATCAACTTCATGTGACACCACAGTCTCATCACTCTCTTCCACCTCCCTAATCCAATCATCTAGAAAATCATCACCAACACTTTCTCCAATATTATTACTACCACTTGCAGATCCTATATTTTCTGTGGTAGAATTTTGTCTCATGTGAATGCCACCATCTACCTTTGGTACATACTCATCATAGAGAGCCATTAACACACTTTTCACTTCTCTTGTCTTTATTTGCACATCATCCTCATCAAATTTTTCCTTTTTAAAGAGATGGGTGATATGCCTCAACTTGAACCTTGGATCCAAAACAAGTGCAATCAACACTAACATGTTCAAATCTTGATATTTAACAAAATACTTATTGTATTTTGTTCTCATAGCTCCAGCCATGTCAGTCAACACTTTCTCTGCATCTGAACCAGTAGCAAATTCAGGTGCCACAAACAACTTGTCAATCTCCTTTTTCCATGGAAATAACTGCGTGAAATGTTTTATGAATTGTGGGGTGCAAAGATGCACTCACCTTTAAGGTCACCTCATAAAACACCTTCAAAAACCTCACAAACACTGTTGCATTGTCCCAATCTACATCAGTTGGTGGTCCAACCCGACACTGCCTACTATTAGTCTGAACTACACCATCCTCATCAACTACCTCATCTGCCTCTTTGAAATAAGCCATGAATGGGCTGTTCAAATCCTCTGCCATTCTAGTAAAAGCCTTCTTAAATTTCAAGGCTGCATCCAACATCATGTATGTTGAATTCCATCTTGTGGGGACATCCATGCATACAAGACCTTTGCAGGTCAGTTTTTCCTTCTCAATAGAGGTTTTAAAATAATCCAATCTCTGTGGAGATGACCGAACATACCTCACAGCATTCCTAATTGCCATAACAGATTTTTGCAGCTTCCTCAACCCACTAGACACAATTAAATTAGTGATGTGAGCACAACATCTCATATGTAAGTATTTCCCACCCAAAACAGCCTGTGAATTGTTCCATTTGTTCATTTTATATCTCACCCAATCAATTGCCACTTTATTTGCAGAGGCATTGTCCACAGTAATGGTTAAAACCTTCTCTATACCCCATTGTAATAAACAACTCTCAATGAGGTCTCCTATGGTGTTGCCTTGGTGATTAGGAATAACACAAAAGTTTAAAACCCTTTTGTGCATTTTCCAATCACAATCTATAAAGTGTGCAGTAAGCACCATGTAATTGGTGTTTTGGACACTTGTCCAAGTGTCAGTTGTGAGGTTGATCCTATGTGCACTTAAATCATTCTTCAACTGCTGTTTTTGTGCATCATACATTTTAAGAAATTGCCTCACTGTTTTTCTCCTACTAGGCACTTCAAACATTGGACAAGCAACACTACAAAACCTCTTAAAACCTTTCTTTTCTACAAAAGAAAATGGCTATTTAGGAGGACATGAAGCTACATCAAATTGGCTATTAAAATATTGGGAAAAATTTATTAAATTTTACTTTTCTTTGTTAAAATTGTGTTTCTTTGTTATCTTTTTCATTGACTCTTGTAACTTTGAATGATTGCTTTTATTTATTGTTCCATTTCATTTGATCATGTTTATGTTATTGATGATGCAAGTGCCCACAACTTATCGTACAAATAAAAAATCCATGTGGTCCTTTCAAATCTTATAAATTCTTATGATATAAATCTTTAAAATCCAAACATAAAAAATCCTGAATATAAAAATCTTTCAAAAAAATCTTATGAGTCATTACATTCTTAAATAGTCTTTTAAAATCCACTGGACTTATTTATCCATAAATAGTCTTTTAAAATCTCAATTGAATACACCCCCTAAATCTCCTTCATTCTCCCTATGACATGTTTCACTTTCCTTGCACTTAAAACAATACCTTTAATGAGTCATACAAACTAATTTCTACTTTCCAAGATTTCACACTCTCTCTTCTTTCCTCTCACTCTTCCTTTCTTCTCTATTTTTTCTTTCCTCTCTTTTTAATTGGTGTGTTTTACTAAGCAATGAGAAGTTTATTTATAGGCAAATTGAATGGCTTCTAACATCATCATTAAACTTTTTGAATATTACTCCCTTTTGTTTTTTATGTGAGGTACACCACTTTCTTTACAATAATATGAAGTATATTGATGGACTGACTGGGTTAAATATGCAAAGAAAAAACATATATATTGAAGAAACCCAAAAAAAAAGAAAAAAAGAAAAAAGAAAGAGGTAGGTGAACTTTGAATTGGTAGGTGAAGTAGAAGAATTGAATCTATATACATAAAAACAGAGAAATTAGAAGAAGAAGACGAAAAAGAGAGAAGAAATGGGAGGAGGAATATACGGGGCAGTGATGGAGGAGATAACGTTGTACACGGGACTTTCACCGGCGGCCTTCTTCACAATCGCAGGGATGATGGTTGTGGTTTACAGAATTGTCAGCGCAATGTTTGTAGGGCCCGAAGACTACAACAAGCCTCCCGTGGCGGCGAGCATCGGCACCGATTCCAATTTGGTTAACAAGTACTTGAATCTCAACCAAACCACCACCACAACTCCGACGCAAATGGGAGACATGACGGAGCAACAATTGAGAGGCTTTGATGGTTCTGATCCCAATAAGCCTCTGCTCATGGCCATCAGAGCTCAGATCTACGACGTCTCTTCCTCCAGGTAGTTTGCCGGGTTTTCCACTTTTGTCTATGTCATTTCAATTGTGGCAATTAGACCCATGTAGTTTGATTTTCTTGCAATTTAAGGACAAGTCATAATTTCCGTCTAATTTAGTGGTGGAGTAAATACGTGTCGCTGATAGAGTATTTTGAACGGAATTTTGGACGGATTTTGGATAGAAATTGTAATGTGTACTGGCCAACTGGCATAATTCACCCCACACATGTTGCTAATTTTATTTTTCAAGTTAGGTTTTGTGGTTTATTTTTGAATTTATTGGACTGACACTGAGTGAGTTTTGCGGCCCTTACAACATGCAGGAATTTTTATGGTCCTGGGGGACCGTACGCAATGTTTGCTGGAAGAGATGCTAGCAGAGCTTTAGCTCTTCTGTCCTTCAAGCCCCAAGACATAAATGGCAACATTGAAGGTCTTGGTCCTGATGAACTTGAGATTCTACAGGACTGGGAAGATAAATTCATTGAAAAATATCCCAATGTTGGGAAGCTTGTAGCAGAGCCAACAAAGACTGAGCAAACTGAAGCTCAACAGCAAGGAATTGGGCAAGAACAATAGAGAGGGGAGGAGAGAGGAGAGGCTAATCTGTTGGTATCTAAATCTATCAACTGTTATTTCTTCGGAATCTGAACTTTGCGGTTGTTTGTTGCTATTATTGTTCATGTAAATATGGTAGGTAAGGTAGTTAGAGCATCTTTAACCGATATATTAAATTGCGACGTCGATATAAAATAAAGACTCCCCCTTCACAGTGGTCAGCCCTTCCATCCCATCTTTTTTATTTATTTTATCTTAATGTAATTTTTTGTCAAATCTGAGATCCAGAGCCACCAAAACTCTACAATCAAACGAAGTATACTCATTTCTAGAATCAAAGCAACATGCAGAGTTCTTCATTTGAAAAGGATCTGAGAAAAACAACCTGGGAACCCCAATTGCCATCATAAAGCCAAAAAATTACTGGTTAGGTAGCTCAAAGTTTGGCTCATTCCATTAGTCACAACATTGCCAATAAGAATTTTACTTTAAATATTCCTCATACAAAAGCTCAAAGGGGAATATATAGCCCAGCTCACAACACTCCAGCTACCTGCTATGCAGACATTCTTTTCCCCCATTTGACTAAAAAAAAATAACTAGAGGCTATAATTCAGACTTACTAGATAACTCCATCCTCAGCTTACTGCCTCCTTGGTGAGTTCATCAGAAGGCACTTGCCCAAAAGTTGATTCTACCAACACAATAGCCTTTCCAACAATCCGACCGTCACCGCATTTCCAATCTCCACAACATCCGGCAAGCTTATTACAGACCCAACCCCTCATGTTAGCAACTGAAGCCACTAAAAATTCCATCAGATTTCGTCTTCCTCACTTTTCCAGAACCAGAGCATCACTAGAAATAGAACAGTTTCCATACTCTGGAGCATCAACAAATCAGCTTCTTCAGAATTATCTTCTTCTGATTACATGGTCAACAGACTAACTTCAATACCAGTATTGTTGAAACTTCCTTTGCTGAAGGGAACATATTTTCAAGGCACCACCTCAGCGGAATCTGACAACAAATTCCCAGGGCCTGTTACTAGCTTGAGCATGTGTTCTATCCATTTTCTTCTCTCTGTAACATTGATCAATAAGCTCAAATTTTCATCCACCTCAAATATCTTTCAATATCCCCTCTTTTGCTATATCACTGGTACATCAATCCTCACACAAATGTAATAACATTATAAACAGATTATGCCATCACAATAAAATAAAACATGAGCAGCAGTTAGAAATGGAATCATCAGAATCGATTTAACCTCCCAATGATTAAAAATAAAATAAAAAATTTGAAGGCTTGACTTCACAGCTAAATTTAATTTCTTAGCAAGAGCCAACCAAATCCTTCTCCTTCTAGCAGATAATCAACCGGCAAATACCAAAATCCTATCCTCCGCACTAACCCTTTTTTCTTGTCGAGTACCCTTAAATATACATATGACTACATAAGCATATGAAAACGACTACAACCCAACCTTTATCCACAAATTCAAGAGAGTAAAGCAAAAGGGTTAATCAGAAAGAAACTAGGAAAAAATAAACCAACTCTGATAATCACAAGAAAACCACCAACGCGGGTCAGTTGGAACAGTCAGGCTCATGGTTTGCTCCCATGTGGTCTGAGGTTCAAAAGCCCCCAAAGCTATATCTAGCAATTTTCTAGTGTTTCCTGCCTCCCAAAAGATTGTAGGCCTTGGCGGGGGGCCCAGTTTCAAAGCTGAGTCCGCAATGCGGATTGGTGGATTCCTGGTTATATTAAAAATTAAAAATTATAAAAAAAAACCTAGGTTTTCCTGGATCTAAGAGAACCCATCTCAGATTATCTTGAGAAATAGGCCTCCTCTACCTGTTTCCTTCTTCTTCAGGAACAAACCAAAATCCAAATAAACAGAAACCATCATAACAGGCAAAAATAGAAAAAAGAAAATCAGAATGTAACATAGAGAGGCTTTAAGGAAAAGAAGAGAGATTAAAGAAATATGCAGATCCTTATCCGTTTAAAAAATGAAAAGTAAGAGAACAAAGCTTTCCTTTTGTGCCAAAATAGAAAGAAGGGTTGAGAATAACATTTAATAAAAACTCAATATTCAAAACTCCTACTAAAAGTATTTATACAACTTGATTTATTTTTCTTTTGTTTTATGTATAATACTTTTAACATTTTAAGTTATTTTACCAAAATAACTGTACTTATCACTTTCATGCAAGGGACATGTTAATGTGCTTGTGTGGATGTGTGAGTTTATTGATGCATCAAGAAATTTTTATGATACATAACTTGAATAACATGACAATTGAAGAATTCCAATCATTGTAATATATGTCCACATGAACAAAGCGCATTATTCTTCAGAAAGAGAAAAATATCAACACCGAGAAAGAAATACTGAATAAAATATAGACAGATTACACAAATACTTTAAAAGCAGCAAACTCCATCTTCAAAAACCAGTAAGAGCTCTTTGCTTTTACCTGGACAAAAATAGGACTCTGTTTCATACATAAATATAACAATTTTAATAAACTTATAATAAAATGTAATGGAGTGATTACTGTGGTTGTGTGGATGTGTGTGTATACATCAGGAAAATATGTATGATACATAACCTGAATACATGATACTTAAAATGTTCCATTTATTGTAACTATTTTTTTTTATGTACATGAACAAATACATTATTGTTTCACAGGAAAAAACTTATAAAGTGACATACTCTGTCCTCATAAACTAATGAGAACTTTTTGCTTTTATCTGCACACAAATGTGGTGATTTGACCAAGAGGACTTGTAAGTACAATAAGAAGAAGGCAAACTAGGTTTAATGGCCACCTCCTACGGCTTCTCTTTACGTGCTTTGGATCTTTCAAGGGATCTCATTGTTTCTTCAAATGATTTCTGAATGCAAATGAAAGCTTGTCAGTGAAACAATCTTGGAGAACATTCATTCTGCATTATATCCCTGGTATGATTTCAAAATGACCAAGTAGGGCATTCCCCAATAAAGTAAATGTATTTAAAGTTCAGTAACGAAGAAAAAAAAGAACCTCCAGTAGGCATCTCAGGTCTCAATTACTGTTAGACAAGGTTTAAGAGAAACCAACTGAAAGTAGTTCAAAATCAACGGCACTAACAAAGCAACCACATGTGTGCTTGCTGGAGCTAATATCAGAAAATTTTGATTGTGCATGCCTCTACATTTACTTTTTGAATTTGCATTTCATCTTAATAATCAAAAGTGCGCAAAAAGCATACCATATGACAGTTATCAAACTCGCTATGGTTTCTAGGAAGGATTTATATATCTTGCACCCTGAAGGGTCCCTTCTTTTGTTCATTTAGGTAAGCCAAATGAATCAGAGAACAATGGTTGAAATTGGGATCAAGATTGGTCTTAGGTTCGGTTTCTATAAATCATATTACATACCACATGTCCCCACCCAGAAGATTGTATGACCACAAAATAGTGAAAGCAAGCATTTAAAAAATAAAACCCGGAAGAGAGGAATTCCAGGGTGAGAGGGGGGAAAAAAAAAGAGCAACATACCTCAGCATTATGCATCTTCCATAGAGCATCCCAGCCCCTATTAACAACGACCATGCCGCCTAAGAAAGCCCTGCATAAAATTCATCTACCAATGAAAAATTTCCAAAGAGAAAACGTACCAAAAATCTTATATATAAGAAGATTTGGGTATCGTTAAAGTACTGACGTGTTTGCATCATTAGCTAATAGGTAGGTTTTTCTTATAGCATTCATCATTACAATTAGCACAAAATTGAAACTAACTAGACTAGAAAATAGCAGGCCAAGTAGGCACTTTGTTAACATCTAAAACCCATGATCACAAATTGATACAAATTACAATCTAAATTCCATAACAACTGAACAAATCAGATACCTTTGCAACATGTTTACCAGTCAAAGAAATCAAAATGAACAAAACCAACCATGTATATTCATACATTTCTCAATTGCAACCATAAATTCACTCGTAAAAATTAACCATGGAAAATACACAACAATACCCTGCAACGGAGAGATTCAGAAGAAACGCTCGCGTCGTGACGTAGCGAAGCACATTCTCAAACGCAGAGGAAGCTCCAGAGCTTCCAGAGGAGGCTCGTCTGTACTTGCCTCCATAATTGGTAGCACTATAACCATAACCATAACCATAACCAGGGCCGTAATTACTAGTATTTGCATTGTAATTGTGAGAGCGAGAGCTCCGGAAATTATAATCGGCGCGCTTGCGATCGTCGATGAGGACCTGGTAGGCCTCGGAGACCTGCTTGAATCTGAGGGTGGTGCTCTCCCTCACGGCCTTGGGGGAGTGGGAGTGCTTGTCTGGGTGCAGCTTCACCGCCAGTTTCCTGAACGCTTCCTTGATTTCTTCTTTGCTCGCACTCCTTGGCAACCCCAGAACCTTGTAGTGGTCCATTGGTTTTGGAATTTGATGATTTTCAATCGATGTTTTGTTTGTGATTGTTTAATTTTCTGTTGGCATGGCCATGGAATTGGAGTGAAGAAGTGACTTCAGAGGGGTATATCAATTCAATTCGTTTAGGTAAATATATGGTAAATTCAACCTCGTGGCAGCGCCATAGCCGCTTCCTTTTTGCCATGGTTTTGCAGTTTGCTTGCAATTCATTTTCAGGAAAAATGGGGCAAGCAAATTTCACTCGTCTCCTAATTTTGCCCAAATTTTCAATTTAGCCCCTATTGTTTTTCCTTTGACGACTTTTAGTTTAATACCATTGGCCCGTGTACATGATGTTATTTAGGTTGAGGAATACCACTGACGACGTAGTAACATATAATTTGATTTGAATTTTAAAGAACAAGGATCTACTTGTCTCGACGTCAGATCTCTACTTGCATTTTGGTGTTAAATCTAATCTTTATCACCATCTTTTTTTTGCGCTTTTTTCATGTTTGAAATAAGCCGCAGAGACTCTCTGGGTTTTCTGTGTAGTTTTTACCTCTCATTTTGTGAGAGTTTTTCTCTCTTTTGTAAGAGCTTTCCACCTCTTTTTTGTGAAAGTTTTATTTATATTGTTATGGCTTGGTTTTTTCAAGCTTTATCTCCTTTTAGTTAGTGACATTTTTGGTGTGCTATGGGAACCAGTTATCGCCCGACATCCATTGAAAAGGCCTAAAAGGTGACTGTGACTGGTGCCGCAAGTTACGGTTGAGTCGCAATATCAAACGATCCAATTCAATGGTGGGCTTATTGTGAAGTCCAGTTTTTTGCACCATTTTCCCAATTTTTAAGCCCAAATAGCTTTTAAGCACAATTTTTAGAAGCCTTCATCAAAGATAAACTCGACAGTTTTTAGGGCATTTTTTAAAGCCTTTTTTTATGTAAGTTTTAGGCCACTTAACTTAAAGCCCAATTTTGATTCAAAACTTTTGAACATAATTTAAGGCACTTTTTCATTCATAACATAATTTATCATCATGTATTGCATCATCATATCATCAAATTATTCTACATAACAAGTAAAACTTAATTAAAAGTTACAACCCAAATAGAAAATGAAGTGCAATGAAAATTTAATTAAAATTACAACCCAAATATGAAATAAAGTGCAATGGAAACTTATTTAAGTTACAAACCATGGTCTTTCTTACAACTCAAAATGATATTTCTTCAAAGAGGAGGTAACGATGTGGAAGCAAATCAAGGAGGTAGTGATGTTGTTATAGAAGCTTGAGTACTAGCCAAATCTAATAACAAGTAAAAAAAATATTAATGTGAAACAAAAAAACAAATAGAAAAAAAAAAAAAAAAAAAAAAAAAAAAAAAATATAGTCTTAATTTTTTTAAGCGCTTCAAGTTCTTTAGAGAACGTAAGCTCTTCATCTGTTGGTTCCTTGTAGAAGCAAAATTCATATGCCATGAGCCAATCACTAGTACGCACTAATGTCTCTACCATTTTTGGTTTCAATGAAGCTCTAAAAGGATCCACAAGCCTTTTGCCTAGGCTAAAAACATTCTCACTAGCAACAATAGAGCTTGGGATAGCAAAGATATCATTGGAAATCTTTGAAAGGATTGGATATCTACCCTCATTGCCTTTCCACCAATTCAAGAGTTTAAAGTCTTGCTAAAAGGGCTTTCAAAAGGATTGATGAAGTATTTATCAACTTCATTGGATGTTTCCACAAGTTTTTCCTCCTTCCTTTGTTGCACAAGTAGATGGAACATTTTAATTTGAACATCATCATAGCCTTCAACCTCATTTGCAAAATTTTCATCTTGGCCTTCATTCATTGGTTGGCTCACTAAGGCATCTACCCCTCTATACCCATGATACAAGTTGAACAAGCATGTTCTCACTTCTCTCACAACCTCATCTTTCTTATTAGAATCGGCCTTGAGATTTTGGAAGCTTATCTTAAGTATTTAAACTAATGCTATAAAGTCATTTTGTTCAAACTTTTAAAGCTCCCCCAATACTTGTCAAACTTCTTCTTCATTTACCAAGCCATCTTTGCAAGACTGGATCTCTTGGATCATTCATTTTGAGTTCCATCTCAACTTGTAAACTAACCAAATCATGGAAAATTAAATTGGATGTAACCATTTTCGTTGCACTTAGTTTCAAGGTTGTGTAATAGAATTTCATAAGAAAGTGAACAAAGAAGATTGACTTCTCCCAATCTTCATTACTCGGAGGACCCACTCTCTTCATCTCATCCTTCTCTATCTCCTCAAAGTAAGCTTGAAAAGTTTGATTTTCAGTCACCATCCTATTGAAAACTATCTTGTACTTGAAAGCTTCACACAATCAAGTTAAGGATATGACATGCACACCTCAAGTGCAGATACTTCCCATCAAGCAAAAGATCATTGAAATCCTTAAGCCTATTTCCTACATACACAACTACTCCATCATTTGCATAAGAATTATCAACGGTAATGCTAAACACCTTTTCAAACCCCCGAGCCTTCATGCAAGCACATATAGTCTTGCCTATGTCAATACCCTTATGGGTAGTGATTTTTCTGAAATTGATGATCCTTTTATGCAACTTCCAATCAATATCCATGAAATGGGGTGTCACTACCATGTAGTTGATGTTTTGGATCGATGTCCAAGTATCAGTTCTCAAGTAAAAAGGTCCTCACTTTCAAGCTCACTGCTCGATGAAAGTAAACAATGAGCTGGATGGGGGCAAACAATTTATACCAAGAGACGATTTTTATATTGTCATGCACAAGATGATTCATGACAAAATTGCATGGTGAAGCAATTTCAGGTTTTTTGGTCACGCTAACTTTCAACTATTTGTATTGGAGTGGATGAAGTCTATCTTAAATGACTTTGGTGACATCCTACGCCAAACTAATATTTATGGTGTTCTCTAAGAAGCATGGATTCGCACGGAGACACGATACGTAGAGGATACGTACGGCTACGCACATGATACGTATCCGAGTCAACGAATACGGTCAATCACAAAAGGATACGCGTATCTGACAAGACAGATACGGGTATCCCAATTTGAAGATACGATTTAGGAAAAAATTTCGGAAAAAAATTAGAATTTGACACAACTAGGAAGTCTTGAACAACACGGGATACCTGTTTTGTTTTGGACCTTTGAAGATCTTTTCCTAATTCTTACAGATCTTCATCTTCTTTGTATAAATAAAGAAGGAAAACCATACTGCCACCCATCAATTCATCATCTTCTTCTTCTTCATCATCAAATCTTCTTCTTCTTCTTCATCAAATCTTCTTCATCTTCTTCACCTGTGGTCGTGGTGGTTAGATTATTTGCAAATTTTTGTTCTGTCAGTTTCTCAAGCTTCTCTTTCTAATCTGTGTTTTTGGAGGCCGTCGGTATGTTCACCTCTCTCTCTCTCTCTCTCTCTCTCTCTCTCTCTCTCTCTCTCTCTGTGATAGTGTTCTCCCAAATTTTTATTTTGCCCTTATACACATATATATTATTGTATTATATGTACTAAGTTGGTATACTTGCAAGTTCACGTGCCGAGATTTCATATTATTATTATTATTATTAATGGCACAACTGATCTGTCAGTTGGGTTCTCTTATTATTATTATTATTATTATTATTATATTTCATATATATAGCTATCACATGGTATACCTACAAGTTCACATGTATGTCTTAGCTATTATATTACATAATCAAACCACCTCCCTCCCTTCCACATGACAACCAATTTGATTGTTACAAACAAAAAAAAAAATTGTGGTTAGGTAATTTAATAATATTATATTTAATATGTTGAATTTTTTTTATATTTAGGAACATGAGTCATCCGGATAATAATGCAAGTGATAATGTTAATCCTACTGAGAATAATGAAATCGAGATAGATGATCATGCACCATTATGGAAGTATGTTAAAAGGCTTGACAAGTTAGGAAAAGGAGGAGGATATACTATGTTTGAATGCAATTATTGTCATAATACTTACAAAGGCTCGTACTCTAGAGTCAAGTTTCATTTGTTGAAAATGTCGGGCAATGGGATTGCACCTTGCAAAAAGGTTACTGATGAAGTTTTTGCAGAAAGGAAAAAACTTGTGAGAGAATGTGAACACCGGTTGAAAAGTGCAGCTCCAAGACAAGTGTCTTTGCCTAATACTGGTTCTTTACTTTGTTCTTCTGTGTCTAATGTTGAGCAAAAGAAGAGAAAGGGAATGAATGGGCCCCTTGATAGAGCTTTTCAAAATGAGGCTAGAGAACAATGTAATGCTAAAGTTGCAAGGATGTTTTATACAGGTGGATTGTCCTTCCACCTAGCAAGGAATCCACATTATCGAAACTCCTATTTTCGTGCTTCTACGCTTCCAGGATATGTTCCACCAGGTTACAATGCACTAAGAACTACTCTTTCGCAACAAGAGAAGAGGCACATTGAGCGATGTTTACAACCAATCAAGAGTACATGGAGCACTAAAGGTGTAAGTGTGTGTAATGATGGGTGGACAGATTCACAAAGAAGACCACTTATTAACATTATGGCAACTTGTGAGAGCAGGCCTACGTTCTTGAAGGGAATTAATTGTGACGGAGAGTACAAGGATAAACATTGTATTGCCAACTTTCTTATTGACTCCATTAAGGAAATTGGTTATCAAAATGTGGTTCAAGTAATCACTGACAATGCGCCAGTTTGTAGAGCTGCTGGATTACTTGTTGAGGCTAGATATCCCAAAATCCTTTGGACACCATGTGTGGTTCACACTCTTAATCTTGCTTTGAAGAGCATATGTTCACCAAAACAAAATGACGATTGGTATGATAAATGTAGTTGGATTTCAGAGATTGCTGCTAATGTTGGGTTCATAAAATTTTTTATTGTGAACCATAATATGAGATTGACTATGTATAAGGACCACTGCAAATTGAAGCTGCTCTTCATTGATGAAACAAGGTTTGCATCTACACTTGTGATGATTAGAAGATTTAAGGAAGTCAAGGAAGGTCTAGAACAAATGGTAATTAGTCCAAACTGGTCTTTATATAAAGAGGATGATGTTGGCAAAGCAAAGGTAGTAAAGGAAAAGATATTGGATGAATACTTTTGGGATGAGATTGATTATAAACTTTCCTTTACAGCTTCTATATATGAGATGATTGGGATGGTTGACACAGATAAACCTTCTCTTCAATGAGTTGTGGGATACCATGATAGAGAAGGTGAAGGCAGCTATCTATAGGAAAGAGCACAAGCAACTGCATGAACAAAGCGACTTTTTGAATGTGGTGTATCACATTATACTGGAGCGATTGACTAAGAGTAGCACACCACTTCATTGCTTGGCACATTCTTTAAATCCTAAGTAAGTATTATGTGGTTATTTCCTTTTAAAGTATTTAATCTACTTTTCATACTGTGATAATTTTATAAAATAATACCACACTTTACTTTTAGGTTTTATAGTCCAGAATGGCTGCAAGAGGATCCTAGTCGTGTTGCTCCACACCAAGATGCCGAGATTACAAGGGAAAGAAAAAATTATCTTGAGAAATACTTTTCAGATGACCGGGCTAGAAGAGATATTAATGTGGAGTATGCCTCTTTTTCAATGTGCTTAGATGACTTTGGAGCTATTGATGCTATGAATGATAGGTTTCACATGGAACCAATGGTGTGGTGGATTGTTCATGGATCTTCAACACCAAATCTCCAATCCATAGCTTTGAAGCTACTTGGAAAACCTTGTTCCTCCTCGTGTTGTGAAAGAAATTGGAGTACATATAGTTTCATTCATTCTTTAAGAAGAAATAAGTTAACACCCCAAAGAGCTGAAGACTTGGTATTTGTGCATAATAATCTTCGTCTTTTATCAAGGAAGAGCCCAAGCTACAAAGAAGGTGTTACTCAAATGTGGGATATTGGAGGAGATGGATTTGATAATTTGGGTGAAGAAGGTGTTGGGATGCTTGAAATTGCTAACCTTTCTCTAGATGAACCATCATTGGAGGTTGCTTTATTTACCGGAGAAGACATTACAAATATTGTAGTTGATTGAAACTTTTGTTTTGTTTATTTTTATTTTTCTAGAGTTTAAATTTGAATTTGGTTGATGAATTTGAATTTTTATGTTAATTAAAATATGTTTTAAATTATATATATTGTTATTATTATATTTTAATATAAATTTTTAATTGTCGTATCCATGACGTATCGTATCCTAGTTTTTGGAGATTTGTCGTATCCCTGTATCGTGTTGTATCGTATCTCTATATCCGTATCCGTGTCCGTGCTTCTTAGGGTGTTGTTGATGTTTCCTGTTACTCTTACAATCTTTGCCCTAATGTTTATCAAGCATTCTGTGAGTTATGGGGGCCTTTATCCAACATGTTCCATCCTCGAAATGGTGAAATGAGCTTTTCTTTATACGACTTGAAAGAAATTGGCAAATTACCATTTTTGGGTCTCCCATATGATGAGTTTATCCTTTTGAACAAAGAGCTACGTCGCGAAGACTTATATCCGTCAACTGTTGGGGAACTTCTGAGGCTCCACACTCAACTATGCCTTTTCCATAAGAAGGAATAAATTTACTACTGTCATTGAATTCATTATTTTTTGTGTGAGGAGAACTCGTATATGGTGCTGCTGAGAATGGCAAGCAAATAATTCATGAACAGAAAGACAAGGCCCAAAAGCTTCCTTTGGACATTTCATGTGAAGGACAATTGGCTGCTTTCTTAGCCTTTTGGCTTATCCATTTTGTCTTGCTCTTTAGTGAGGCTATAAGACCATAATGTTTCTATATGGCTAGTTTGATGGCACAAGAGTTCAGAGTTTCACTTGGACCAACGGTATTAGGCCTCATTTACCATCCTCTCGATACATTTGCTACTCATCATAAAGGACCTCGGCTAGCGAATGCGCATCTTCCCATTCATTACGTGGTCGGATGGCTAGGTGAGCATTTTCTTGATTTGACTACTCGTCGATGTGATAGCGACTTTCCATAACATTATCCTCTTCTAGTGAGGTGTAGTCAGATTGAAGCCAAATATGTTAGTTCCAATCAAACTAGAATCATCTTCAGGAACAAGTTCATGGTTTATCAACCAGTGTCTTCCTCGCACATGAAGATTGTATCCTTTTAGACACAAAGACTCTAGCATACAATGTCTTTGAGTACTTGATTTGCATGCGCTCTACATTGCTTCCTGCGAGGGTGGGTGGCAATCTTTGGTTAGAGTTGTACTACCCAAACACATTCGCTCACCAGTTTGGTTTTAACCAAGGTGTTCCAGCGAACAAGCTTCTCTCTAATGTGTGTGTGTGAGAGAGATTGCCATGTGGGATTGAAAAATTAGAGAGAGCACAAGCCGTTCTTCTTTGCAAAGACACCATGGTGCGCTTCTATATTCCACGCTCTACTTGCGTAGATGGTGGTATTGTAGATGGTGGATAACTTCATGTGCACCTTACATGCGATTTTCTGTGTCAAAAAATTTCTCATTTGTAGACAAGAACGTCCAATGGAAGGACCACACCTTTTTTACTGATAATTTAAAAAATATATCGACATGAATGAGCAAAAAGGGCTCCAATTCATCTTCATCTCCTCATGGTGCTTCTTCGAGGAAATGACATAAGAAAAGAATTCATGATGCTAGAGGGCACCATTTCTCTGGGGTTAATCCAACGATGCACCCCTCCCCCAAGGTTAATTGAGACTCACACCTCAAACAAGCATGTCATGACAAACACAACAGGGTTGAGGTTGAAAGTTCTAGTCATGTACCCAAAGAAGGGAGTTCCTATCTGGTATAAGGGGAAATGAGACTTAATGATGTTGTTTTCCCTTGCGACATAAAGCCTATAGATGCAAATAACCTAGCTTTTGAGTTCATTTCTTCAAGTGAAGAGGAAAACATCTTCATAAGAGCGCTAACTTAGTAGTTATGCAACCTCTTTGAAATTTAGTATATGTCGAGAATTTTGTTTGTAAGATTCTTGGGAATGAAGTGGACCAAAGCAGGTGGGAATTCATTAGTAGAGAAATTGAAGGTATCTTCAACTGACTTTCCTCCTCATAGACACATGCTCAACTTCTTTTGCACCATTTCGAGGTCCAAAAGGCCATTCAACTTTTGTGGTCCATGGTTGATATTCTTGGGTGTGGTGAAGTTGCATTTAAACAATTTCCCAAGTTTGTGGACTAGATTTTTGAGCTTGCCAATCGACGTTTCAAGAGCAATGCCTACATTGAAGCATTAGGAGATGTGAATATTGATTTGATCTGTCAACACGAGGAATGTTTAACCACTAAGCAGGTAGCTAACAGAGATTGTTAAAGAGCTTGATGACTTAGATGTCAAGGAAGTTACTATCAGGGAAGCAAAAGAGAGAGTTTTCTAGATGACGGAAGAGCACTAAGTTAAGAAAACTTCCCTTAAAGTGCAAAAGATGAACTTGGAGGTTTCTTTGGAGCATCAGAATGGACGAGCAGCCCGACTTCAACAATTGAGAATTGATGCTAAAGAAGATCTACTTTCCCAGATTGAGAGTAGTCAACTGTCAATAAAGGCTCAAGAGCAAAAGATTCACCAACTAATCAATGCCCTGTTTCTCTTTATGTAATGAGCCCAAACAGATGAACTTGATTCTCTATTTTTTTTCTTAGCATGCTACCTTTTAAAAAAAATAATAATAATAATAATAAGCACTCTTGTAATGTGGTTCATCCACCAAGAACCCATAGGCAGGTTTTGTTTCAGTATTACTTGCTCTTGTAATGTGGTTTTTCCACTAAGAACAATTTTCTAGAATAAACATTTGGTAGGATTTTGCTTTCCTATTTCACATTATATGCTAATGTGATGCTGGAGTTTTTGCATCGTATACAAGAATTTAAGCAAGTGCTAATACCATCGGTGGACAAAATGAATTTGTGATAATTTACGGCTGCACATAGATTTTGGAATAGCTTGCCTATATACCTTGTGAAGGGATCGAGCCAAATGTAGTTTACCCTCTTTGAATTAAGGTAATGAAGGGGAATTTTCAAACTTGTGATTGAATCTAGCTTTTTAGGTACTAGATTGCCAACGTACCCCTTTTTAGGGATCAAGTCGACTATAGTTCTTTTTCTTGGGCTACCCTTTCGGGTTTTCAACCCACAAAGCTCTTTTTTTTATTTACAATTTTTTTTGCTCTAATTTTTGCTTGGACCGCCCTTTCAGGTTTTCAGCCCAACGAGCATTTTTATTTTCCCTAACTTTTGCTTGAACTGCCCTTTCGGGTTTTCAATCCAACGGGTAGTTTATTATTTTTTTTTGCACCCTAACTTTTGCTTTAACCGCCCTTGCGTGTTTTCAGTTCAATGTGCATTTTTGAACCATCAGGCATAAAACATCTTGACAAATTTCTCATTCACACAAGGATAGATGCATTTGCCTTCAGAGTTTGAGAACTCATAGGCACCCTTGGAGAAAACTTTAGAAATGACATAGGGCCCCTCCCACTTGGATTCAAACTTGCCATGCATCTTCCTAGTAATGACAAAGGGTCTTCGAATAGTTAAAACCAAATCTTCAATGGAGAAGGATCTGAACGCCCCTGCAACTTGAGCTTGATAGATTTCGAGCCTTTGTTGAGCTGCCAGTCTTTTCTCGTCTAGAGCTTCCAGTTCTGCCAGTCTCACATTTTCTTTTTCTTCGAGGTTTGTCAGGTGTAAAGCTACCCTTAACGATGGCAATTGGACTTCTAACGCTAGAACAGCTTCCAAACCATACACCAAATTGTATGATGTACATCTTGTTAAGTTGCATACAGTCGATAAGCCCATAATGCTTCAGGGAGGCGTTCATTAGAATCTCTTTTATTTCCTGCGACCATCTTCTTCAGGATATTGCATCGTATCTTATTGAAAGCTTCAACTTGATCGTTTGACAACGAATTGTAACTCGCGGAAAACGAATGTTGAAACCTATACTTCTTACACAACTTGATCATGGACTTGCACTTGAAATACAATGCATTTTTGGATATTCTCTTTGATGGAACCCCATAACAGTAGATGATGTAGTTTCTTATGAAGTTTGTAATATCGTTTGCTCGTACATCTTTTAAAGGAATTGGTGTTGACGTGAAGACTTAGGCTTTATGATACCAACAACATTCAATCCCCAAGCTTCAAATGGCCAAGACGAAGTTGTTAGATGCAATTGTTGGGGTGGCTGGTGTATGAAATCTCCATGCAACTGGCAATCTTTACATGTGGTTGCAAAATTCATTAAGTTTCGAACCATCGTTGGCTAGTAATAACCAAATATCTTTAGAGTTTTGGACCGACTTGATGAGCACCGCAAGTGCCAACATGAGTACGCCCAACTCCGTGTAAGTAATGCAAAGTTTTTTTACAGTCACAACCAAGGAGATCACATGTGGAATACTGACGTGCTGGAGGTCAGCAGAAGGTAGGAAAGCAACGTAGGCGACGGTCCACTTGTCCCTATCACATACTGCAACGGTATGTCATACTTTGTTGATCTGCTTAAATTTTATTTGAATTCTCTATTGTGTGACTAACTGTTTTGTCTACTGCTTGTAGAGAAGGACTTTAGCAAAAAGTTGGACCTCGACGTAGATATGGCTAAGGTCTGTCGAGCCTTCAACATCCCTGCGAGATTTCATGAATGGTGTTGTTTATTGAGCGAGCATCGAAAGAAGGCTGTTGGCATGCCCCCTACTAGGGACGTCGAAAGGTGGAAGCAGTATGGTCCTAACTCGAATGATAAGCTTGGTGAACGAGAAGAGTCATCGATCGAAATTCCTAAAAAGAGAAAGGATGCTCCTGAGCCCTCCAAAGATGAAGTTACGACCTCGCGAGCAAGAGATATGTCTCTGCTAAGAAAGAAATTGAGACTTCCTTATGCTGTGATCAACTCTTCTTTGAAAGAGTTCCTATCTACGAAGAAGACTCAATGATTGCTACTTCTTTGTCATTTGCCAAGGTTAAGCACCTCGTCGACAAGGACAACAAGAAGATTGATGGTACGCAGAATGTTCGGGACATTTTGCTCAAGTCTTAAGCTCAAAAATGTGATATGCCGGGCAAAAATGTCTGCTTCCAATCTACATAACCTACTGAGAAGCAGAGGGCCACTGACTTTTCTCACCAAAGTTCGATTTATCTACATTAGTCGAGGGATTAGGATCGAACTGGGAAAGTTGCTCCTCTACTTGACAAGAACGCGTCATATGCCAAGTTGTGAGAAGTCAAGCATGGAACTGGTCCATCATCATTGATTCCCTCCGAGGCAAGGATGCTATGGAGTCATCTGCTCACGCAAAAGGTCCTTTTGATGCACGAATTGCTAGTCCATATGTCAATAAGCCCAACTTTGCAGGGGATGTTTGCGTGTTTGATCTGCTCAAGATGAAATTTTTATCGAGCTCGTCTAGTTGCGCAAAACTGGCTGATCTCCTACATAAGGTTAGCAATCTTAGCTCGTTTTCGAGCCTTTCTTTGGAGAAGCATAAGGAAGCAGTTGTCTCTTTGCTTTAAAAATGAGCTATATTGTTTATTTTTTATGTTGAGGCTACCCAGAACTCGTCTGCTATTGCCCTCTCTTCTCCTCAGCTCGAAGAGTTGGAGAAGAAAATTGCTAAGTTGAATAGCATGCTTTCGCCCGAGCTGGCCTACCGTGAAACAAAGGTGTTTGAATTGAAGAGGAACATGTCCCTATTGAAGAGTTCGCTTGTTCTAAAAGATGGTGAAATTGACTCCTCTGCTTTTGTCATCCAAGAGAGAAAGGAGGCCTACTTCCATCTCAAACACAAGGATGTCGCCATTACCTACACTTATGACAAGCTGCTAGCCAAGTTTGAGGCCTATCTTGAAGTTACTGAAATATTTTAGTTTGAAGCCATCGTTGACGGCTACAAGCTGGGCTACTTGGATTGTAAGAGTGGAGTCGCCCCTTGTCATCCTATTGAAGATGAAGATGTTGAGCTACTTTGCCCTGAGATGCCCCTTGCGCTGGATAAGCAAATTAATGATGTCAATAGAAAGGATGTCGAAGAGCTGGTGGTTGATGAGCTTGCATTTTATGAAGATGATACCAAGGAGGGCGCAGTTGGTGAGGTAGCGGTTGAGGTCGTGCAACAGGTAGCTGGAGCTACTGAGCACACGACTGCAACTAATGAGCAGGTGATGGAACATGATGGAGCCATGGAGGGCGTAGCCGATCAAACAGAAACTAAGGAGGCTACTGATTAAGAGTCACCTATTGGAGTCTCGCAATAGATGAAGACTTCATTTATCTTTTCATGCTTTGTAGTTTGTTTTTTCTTTCGTGATAACAAGTCTCGATTGACCATCTTCTTTTTGTTGAACTCTAGCGAGTCAGTTACTTTGCTATGAAAACTTCCGTTATTATTATTTTTTTTAACTTCAATTCGCATTGAGTCTTGTGAGCTACTTGAATGACCTGCTGGCGCCTTGGTTGTGCATCTCCCTTAGGATGCTTGAATGTTTCCCCAACACTTACTTAAAGGGTGCTCTTCTACATCTCCATTAGGATGTTTCATTGAATTTGTCTTGCGTCTCCCTTAGGAAGCATGTGGACAATGTTATGCTTGGCATGCGTCTCCCTTAGGATGCTTCATTATAGTTTTCATGTGTCTCTCTTAGGACAATTTTGGACATTGGCCTGCTTGGCCTGCGTCTCCCTTAGGACGCTTCATTGTAGTTTGTCTCGCACACTTCGTTGAATGAAGACTTGAACTTGTATTGATGTTTCTTGTGATTACATTGCTTTATTGAATGGAAATAAATAGACGAACAGGGAAAAACATTGAAAATAGCTTTGCCTTCAACTATGTTGGAGACGACTTGGTTGCCTGCTAGGGATCGAGCTAGTAAGTGGAGACTTTACGGGTAGTATCTTTGGGGACGATGAGTATTCCACTATCTTGGAGTTTCCTTTCCCTCCAGGGTGTCAAGTGTATAGCTCCCTCTGCCCCCAGATCGGCCGATCATGTAAGGATCTTCCCAATTGGGTTTAATCTTCTTCGATCCATGCATTTGTGCTGAAATGAAATCTTTTCTAAGCACAAGGTCATGAGGTTGGAATTTTCTCACTTTGGCTATCTTGTGATAGTTAAACATCAACTTTTGCTAATAAGTTGCTACTTGAACAATGGCCTTTTCTCATTCTTCTTTAAGAAGGTCAAGGTTGACCTTTATCTACTCACAATTATGATAAATGTTGGCTACCTCGATACTCATTGATGGAACAATGATATGAAGGGGGAATGATTGCTTCAGTTTTGTAGGTGAGGGAAAATAGGGTTTCGACAATTGAGGTCTTGTTGGCAATGCAATAAGCCCACGGGACTCCAAGCAGCTCATCGAGCCATTTTCCTTCGGCATCTTCCAGTCTCTTCTTTTGGCAGTCTAGAACGATCTTGTTGGATGCTTCCGCTTGGCCATTGCCTTCAGATATCTAGAAGTTGATAAGTGCTGCTTGATGTCATACTTTGCAAAGAGCGCGTTGATCTGCTTAGCAATGAACTATGACCCATTTTTGGTGACTAACGATTGCTAGCAGCCAAACTAGCAAATGATGTTCTTCTAGATAAACCGCTCCATGTCGGCTTCTTTAGTAAAGGACAGACCTTTGGCCTCGATCCATTAGTGAAGTAGTCGATGACGACGATCATCATGTCCTTCTTGCAGGTGCTAGCAGCATGGGACTTACTAAATCAATGGCCCATTGCATGAATGGCCATGGCCTGTTCTATGGGTGTTATACTTCAGCTGGTAAGCTTAGGACTAGCTTGTAATGCTAGCATCGATCATATCTTTTGACATACTCCGTAGAGTTATGGCCTGTGGCAGGCTAGAAATGGCCTATACTGAGTGCCTTCTGGACTAGTAACCTGCCCCCAGCACGATTTCCACATTCGCCATTATGGATTTTGCATAGCACTTCGAGAGTTTCTGGTACTTGATGCAGGTGAGATGAGGACCGAAATATGATATTCGAACAAGCTTGTTGTCCTTCATATAGTATCTTGTCGCTTTCTGTTTGATATTTCTGGTCTCGAACTTCTCTCTTAGCAAATTTGCGTTCACCAAGTAGTCGATGATGGGGTCTTGCCAACTAGGGTCGTAATTGATCTGCATCAGGTCCAGCTGCTCTGCGTCTTCAATGCTTAGTTGATCAAGGTGCTCAATCGAAATAGAGCGTATGAACTGGGTGTCCAACACTAATCTTAGGCTTGTTGGTGCATCTACTGTAAGAATATTTTATAAATATTATGTGTGGCCCACATGAAGTGACCTATGTGGTAAATAAATTGTTTAATTGGTTTAATAAATATTATTCAGAATAATTATATTGGTCAAATAAAGAGAAGTAGTTTCCTATTATTACCGTGATGGGTGGTAATTGATTATGGGCTTCACTAGGAAACGGGTCCTCTCTCTGCCTATAATAGTGCACATACCCATCTTATGTGTACACTGATGAAGACATGGATTAGGGTTTTCTAAACGTGCAAAAGGCTAGAGAGAGAAATCTATTTCCTCCACACTGACGACTCGCCTACGGATTGCTCAAGACAAATATCTTGATATGGTAGAAGACTAATCATTCAAGGTATGTATGTAATTTCAGTCTAATTGAATTTCCGCCTAATGTTATTGTGAAAATCATGAAGTTCAAGATCTTGGGTCATGGATTGGGTTCTTATGGTTTTACCCAATATTAAGTTTACATCTACATGTGGTATCAGAGCATGGTTGAGAACTCTCTTGATTTTCCATTATGATTTATAGGGTTTGATCTTTTAATTTGATTGAACCGTAACCATGTTCATGATCTATTGTGATTTCGATTAAATTTCTTTGATCAAATAATTAGTACATATTTTGACGTTGGGTGAATGTTTAATAATATTATATATTATGAATGGTATCACAATAGACCATTTGTATTCATCTGCACTATAACTAGCAATTGTACATATGAATCAATATATCGGTTTTTTAGTATGCTTATGAATTAGTGTTTATGGATGAATACAAATGGATTCATAGAAACGACAGTTATTAAAGGTGCAATATTTGAAGGCAGTAGGCGCATGCTAACCTAAGGGTTCTATGATATGCATATATGGCTGTGTCGAAATCTTTTTATTGTATTTTCATTAATGAATTCATACAAAAAGTATGAATTAATTTTTTCACCAAATTCATACTTTGTGTGAATAGGATGATGTATTAAATGTATGACCACTTATGAACTCATGGAATGATCCTGGTGTAGACATGTACAGTGAATTAAAGTTATTTAAAACAAATAAATGTAAGCATATTGTATTTCATGGTCACTGTACATTGTCTTATGAAGCGAGGCAATCTAAAGGTCTATTGCCCACTACTGTGTTAAAAGGTCATATATTTATCGGTTAATCTAATGATCGGTTAACCATTAAAGTGTATTAATTGATCCTATGTAATCTATTAACTATTACAGCTGTTAATTTAATTTGACATTCATATTATGAATAGTTTGTTAGTCACCAAAGTGGCCAAGCTAGAACGTTCCTTGAATATCAAATTAATTAATCTAATGATCGATTAATCATTAAAGTGTATTAGTTAATCTTATGTAATTGATTAACTAATACAATTGTTAATTTAATTTGACGTTCATATTATGAATAGTTTGTAGTCACCAAAGTGGCCAAGCTAGAATGTTTCTTGAATATCAAATTAAATGATAATTAATCAATTACTTGTGATTTAAGGATGCATATAAATGAGGTTGAACCTTATAATGTTTTCAAGGTTCGAACGTCATGAGTATATTGATTTTCATCATTCATTAGATATACGGATCACCCAAAGGTGGATCCACTATTCATATGATTGGTGATATAAATGAGGCAACTTGTATATGTCTTATTTAGATTTGTTTTGGATATCCAAAGATATCAAAGCCTTTCTAACTAGGAATATACATTTAAATCAATTTTACTTATGAAGAAGGCGAAGCATTTACACAATACAATTCGAAAAGAAAGATAAGTCTTCCGTTTTTATGTGTTTCGAATCAATTTTTTAGATGAATTTTCTTATGATGTTTGATGGATTAAATTATGTGCTAAAATTCATGTTTCTAATAGTTCAATGCAAAGTTGCTTTTGATTTCACTTTTGGGAATTATATATTCAATTTAATGGCCATGATTTAGATTTATTGAAAGCGTATTATGTTCTTACTATTTCAAATCTAGTTGGAATTTTGTTTGGAATTTGGCAATAATGTTTTTTCCTTTAAAGTTTGGTGATGATTGTTTTAGTCTCTTAAAGAATGCCTATTTTGTTAATTGTGGTATTCTATTAATGATTTACGAAATTAAAGTATGATGAATTTTTTCTTTAAATGTTTTTGATACTTTGCATGATTGATTTAGAAGTGACTGCTATTTGACAAATTGAAATTTAATGTTCTTATGGCATAAATGAATGGTAATGTGTTCAGAGAAAGAACTAAGGGATCAGTAAGGAATGAGGTTCTTCTGAACCTATATTTTATTGATCTCTTATTGGTGTGTAAGTGGATTGTATTAAGGAAAACAATTTAAATACACCAAGAAAGATGCCATAATAAATTTGTACCTAACTGAAATTATTTATAAAACATGTGTTCACCTTATAATGCTTTGTCCTTTGGTTAGGGGTATATGAAGTAATTTATCATTACGTATACCATTATGGATACATGTTCTTACTACAACTATTATGCTAATTGGGTTCCTATTAAGGCAGTTTCAAATAAGAAATTATTTGAACTGCGGAAAGTAAGGAAATCCAATTTAAGGCACCATTATGTTTTGGGTTGCTTAGTGGGAGGAAGAATGTAATGTTCACATGAGAAGGGATTGGACCTTCAGAATGTTTTCTGATAACCTTATTGGTTACCTAGAAAAGTACAAATGGTATAGATTTTATTGTCCTAACCAGGGTATGAGATTATTGAAATCAGTAACGTCAGTTTCATTTTAAATGGTGAAATTAGTGGGAGTGGATAACCAAGAAAATTGGTTTTATATGAAAAGTTAGTGTGCAAATTTTTTGCATGCATACTTCATAGTGAAATTGTTGTTTCTATAGTTGTGAACAGTTTTAACAACAATAAACAAAAAATTAATGAATAACTAATCACTCCATTATGACTGCTTCACCAGTAAAAGTGTAGTAGAGACCCACAAAGAATAGCATTAAGATGATATCAAGACATTAAGCTTGTTGGTATCTGCTACTTTAAGTGATTACTTGGTATATCTACAAGAATCTGACTATGAGTGTTAAGAAAGATTTTGATTTTACTTTCACATGTCGTTAAACATATATTGATTATACTAAATAGATTTATGCCATGAATGATGAGTTGAAATCAATTTGCCGGAATGAAGTTTGTGATTTCATCGATTTGCCTGCAAAGGACGAGTTGTGTGTAAGAGTGTCTTTATGACTACATACAACTCCAATGGCAATATAGATGGATATAAAGACACACTATTGGCCAACGATTTTACTGAGAAAGACGGCATATGTTATAAAGTGACATTCTCACTTGTTTCTAAGAATGACTCACTTGGAATCATATAATGGTATTTGTAACTCATTATGAATTAGAGTTACATTGTATGGATGTGAAAGATAAAAGATTAGATGAGTGTTTAATAGAGAAGTCTGCATGAATGAACCTGAGGACTTTTCTTTTATTGAAAGAAACACATGCTTTGTAAATTGAAGAATTCATTATATAAAATTAATAATTTTAATTTTAATTTTAATTTTAATGAAAGCACTATTAATTGTTGTATGTATCTCAAGGTCAGTGGGAGTAAGTTTATATTTCTCATTTTGGATATTTATGCTATTTTGCTTGCTATGTATTGGTCTTGGTTTTCATTGTTGAAACCATTAAGCTTTTCTCTAAGAACCTTGAATGAAATATATGGATGAGACAATTTTTGTGATTGGAATTGAAATATTCTAGAATGGATCACATGAATTGTTAAGTTTGTCTCATTAAGCATATATTGTAAGTGTTCTAAAGAGACATGATATGGAATAATGTTTATCCATTAATGCTGCTCCAATTCAGGAAGGGGACAAGTTTAGCATTATGCAATGCCCATAAGAGTGAATTGGAACATTAACAGTACAATGAGAATTCATTATGCATATATGGTTTGCTTTGAGGCCATAGTTGATGAATTGAAGTTGCGGGTTTTAATCTTAGGACTTGGTGTTTATGTTTTATTGCCACACCGCTAAGAATTTATGTTGATACCGCAATTGTCCTTTTCTCCAAGAATGACAAGTGTTCTAAGAGTGCTAAACATAGTGGAATTAAATACCTTGTCATTAAGGAGGTTCAGAAACAAAGAGTGTCTATAAAGACAAAACTTATGCTTGCAAACCAAGTAAAAGGTTCTGGCCAAGGACATTAATAGTTATATTCAGAGGACTGTTCTTGGTTATAAACCATGATAGTATTTATGAAGTTGTGGTTTGCATAATGACAATTTATTTATTTTGACACTCTGAGCTCAATAATTGAATATGTTTCTGTTATATCCTGTTTTCCCTTATATGTATACATGAATGAGATTGGATGAATGATAACAGGAGTAGTCTCTGACAAAGACATTATTGGACCTTTTATGATACTTCTCACTTATGGACTGTTTTAGGCGATTTGCTAATGTTGTGGTACATGGAAGGGACTGTATCGCTTATTGATGCATAACCGCCATGACTCGCATTAGACATTTGCTTAAATGTGGTATTTATGTCGACCATATGAAAGTGAGGATTATTCTGAATGTATCGCGCGCCTAATGTTTATTTATTGAACCATAAAGTAAATTTATCATATGGGCCAAGTGGGAGAATGTAAGAATATTTTATAAATATTATGTGTGGCCCACATGAAGTGACCTATGTGGTAAATAAATTGTTTAATTGGTTTAATAAATATTATTCAAATAATTATATTGGTCAAATAAAGAGAAGTAGTTTCCTATTATTACCGTGATGGGTGGTAATTGATTATGGGCTTCACTAGGAAACGGGTCCTCTCTCTGCCTATAATAGTGCACATACCCATCTTATGTGTACACTGATGAAGACACGGATTAGGGTTTTCTAAACGTGCAAAAGGCTAGAGAGAGAAATCTATTTCCTCCACACTGACGACTCGCCTACGGATTGCTCAAGACAAATATCTTGATATGGTAGAAGACTAATCATTCAAGGTATGTATGTAATTTCAGTCTAATTGAATTTCCGCCTAATGTTATTGTGAAAATCATGAAGTTCAAGATCTTGGGTCATGGATTGGGTTCTTATGGTTAAGTTTACATCTACATGTGTGATCTCTGCCCAGGGAACTTGTTGGATGGTGAAGGTAGGGAATGCCTTCAAAATTTCTTGGACTTTGTCTAGGTACTGGATCACCTCTTCACCATGTACTCCCTTAAGCTTGATTGGTGATCAGCTGGGAATCTGAATATATGGCCAACCTCTTCATCAACAGCTCCTTTGTTGCTCGTAGGCTAGTGAGCAATGCCTCATACTCAGCTTCATTGCTTGACGCTAGGAAGCCCAATCTAATGGCTTGCTCTAATAAGGTTCCATCCGGGGTGATTATAACGACGCCTGCTCCCACTCCCTTGTGATTTGTCACTTCGTCTACGTCCAATTGCCACATGTCTTTGGGTACATCAGATTTGGCGGAGGAGGTCTCTTATGCTCTCTTACTTTCCTTATGTCTGCCTACTAGCTTCCTTTCTTCATCTATGGATGGAGTGAATTCTGCAATAAAATATGCTAAAGCTTGGGCTTTTATAGCAGTTTTCAGCCTGTAAAGGAGGTAATACTGACTCAATTCGATAGCCCATTTCATGAGTAGCCAGGAAGCGTCAGGACTATGCAAAATCGATCTCAAAAGAAATTCTGTCATGAGCTTGGTAATAGGGTCTTAACTTTCTCAAGGAAACTACAAGGAGCAAAATGAGCCTCTCCATTTTCAGATAGTGAGTCTTTGCATCGAGGAGGTCTTTTGACGTGTAGAATACTGGATGTTGTGTCCACAACTCTTCTCGGATGAGAGCTAAGCTAACTACTCAGTTGGACACTGTCAGGTAGATAAACAAATCTTCACCTGGTACGGATTTTGAGAGCGGGGGAGCTGAAGTGAGGTTGGTCTTCAAGTTTTGAAAAGATACTTTCCCTCTTCATCCCACTTGTCTCTTTATCCTTTCTTCAAAGCTTTGAAGAATGGTATGCACTTGTTGGTAGATCTTGAAAGGAATCGGTTAAGAGTTGCTACTCTATCCGTCAGACTTTGTATCTCTTTCATTTTGGTAGGCGACTTCATGTTGAGGATGACCTTTATTTGATTCGGATATGCTTCGATGCCTCTTTGACTAGCATGTCATCTAAGTAAACTTCCATAGTATTGCCCATCTGCTCTTTGAAAACCCAAATGGCATGACTTTGTAGTAGCATATACCCATTTCGATGATGAAGGAGGTCTTTGCTTTGTCGTCTTCGTGCATCATGAATTGATTGTAGCCAGAGTAGGCGTCCATAAAGCTGAGCAGTTGGTTTTCGAAAGTTGAATCTACTAGCTGATCAATTATTAGTAGTGGAAAGTTTTCCTTCGGGCATGCCTTATTAAGGTCAGTGTAGTCCACACACACTTTCCACTTGCCGTGGTCTTTCTTCTCCACAAGAACAATGTTGGCTAGCCATTTCGAGTAAAAGACTTCTTTAATGAAGTCGACAACTAAGAGTTTGTTAATCTTGGCTTCAATGATGGCAACTTGCTCGGGAGTGAAGTTGCGTCTTTTTTATGATACTGGTCTGCTGGCTGGGTTGACATGAAGGCAATGGCAGATGATCTGCAGATCAATGCTTGGCATGTCAAATGGTGACCATATGAACACGTCTTTGTTGTTCTGGAGGAAGGTGGTCAACTTCACCTTCTCTTCTGGGCTTAGGCGCAAGCCAATCTGCACTTTTCTCTCTGGCTTGTTAGGATCAAGGGGTACTAGGTCAACATCCTCCCCGGACTTCCATTCTTCTTTAGGAGATTTAGGAGAGACCTCCAGACGGATTCCTTAGTCTTGGTCCTGACTCTTTAATTGCTATTGATGGATGGCTATTCCCTTTCCCTTCAGGTCTGCTCGACTGTCAGGAATGAGATCTGCTTCCTTCCCTACTAGTTCTGTTTGGCTTACCGGTATGAACTGTGCTTGCTTGCTATTCTTCAGCCCTTGAGCTAAGCATCTTCTCACCATTGCTTGATTGTTGTCGATCTGCCCGACACTTCCCCTAAGAAATGGGTATTGAATTTTCTGGTACGTGGCGGAAGTGATGGCTTGATCTTCCCAATCCATGGTTTGCCTAGGATGCCATTGTAGGAGGAGACCTCATCGATTATCGTGAATGTCTACGCGCTAATCACTAGTGGAGAGTAGATATTGAGCTCATTCTTCTCGTGATCGAGGTTGCTCCATTGAAGCCAATTAGCAACCTAGCCTATTGATCTTGGCCACCATGCCCATTTGCTGGACTACTGAAAGTTGTAGGATATTGGCCGCTCTGCCCTCATCAACATGAATTCGCTCTTGTTCACCTGTTTTATGTTTGTTCTTGTGATGGTATGGTAAAGTTCCCCATTGCCTTGAGAACCATCGGCTGGTCAACAAGTCAACTTTCTTTGGTGTGCGAGCGTGCCACTGCTAGCAATGAGAAATCCTAGCAGGCTTATTAAAAATAGATAGCTTGAGCCCCAAGTTACTAATTTCTAAACATGCGATTGTGAATTTGAGTGAGGAATATCTCCCAAGTAAGTTCTTTTTTTGCCTCAGACTGGTGATAACTTTCACAATTTTTCACAGTACAAGATTGGTGGTTCTGGCCAGAATAAATGATAAGAAAGTGGATTGTTTAGGCAGAACTGCCTTTTACAAAACTCAAAAGGGAAGAATCAACTCTAGAAAGACAAAAAGAAAGCTGGACTTCCATTTGTGCCTGGATAAATGCTTTTGATCGGGGCTAGACTGGACATGCCTATGCTGGACTGGACTATCAGCAACTTCAACTATTAAGTTTCAGCTGTAAATCGATACCAACGTTCAAGTTTGGCAGAGCTTTAATATGTTTCAACCCCTAGGAGGCTTTTTGAATGGGCAGAATTGAGGCCTCTTCAGTCTGAAAGGGGCAGAAGTGGCTGGACTTGATTACTGGGCTGGAAATGCACTTTGGTACCTGTTCTGCTTGATCAGGGCTCTCCATAAATTTGTTGAGGTTTTCATATTTGTAGAAACCCGAACTCTGTTTGATTTGGCTTTTGCTGAACCAAATTTGTTACGAGAGAAATCTCGTTTTGAATGACTTATTTCTCTAAGTCTGAAACTAGAACTTGAGGTTTTGATTTGTAGCTGGCTTCTTTCTTGTGGCTCAATGAGCTTTCGGTTGTTTTAGTTTGTTTGAAGGTTTTGAGATCAAGTGATCATGTTGAGTTTTGTCTTTGATTGATTTTTTTTTGTTGTTGTTGTTTGATCTATTCACCTCCTCTCATATTTAAGGAAAATGTTGGAGTGGGATTTTTTAAAATGGGCGGCAGATTTTGTAGAAAACAAGATCTTTTGTTTTCAAATGTCAAAGAAAAGGGAAGTTATCTTTTCTGGCAAGAAGACCATCAACAATCAGTTTCTAAGGCCGCCACTTCCCTGATTTTCTTGAAAGAAAACCTAACCCTTCTTCGAATTTAACTGCTCTTTATAAGAGCTCCAACTGTGATGGTTAGTTTTGATCTTCCAGATGAACAACTCCCTGCACCCCACTTATCTCCTCAAAACGCAGTCTGCTTATCTCTTAAAAACGGTGCCTTCTTTGGAGCAGAAATTTTCTTTGAATATATAGAAAGGACTTTGATCTTTTGATGACAGAGATTTCAGAGATGTCTTTCTTTTATACCTGGCCTTATTAACTCCTTATCAACCCAGTTGAAATTGCTGACTTTTCCAAGTCAGGAAATCACGTGGGTCTGTTTCTTTTTGGGCTCATCTCTCTTCACTTGACCATGCAACCTCAATTTGGGTTTTTTAGAAGCCCAAGTTTATCCTCGTGGTTTGGTAGGTCCTGGGCTGGGCTTTCTTGGATTTGGGCCCTTGATTTCATTAAATGCAAATTTCAAACTGCTCGGGTCCTGAAGTTGTCTTGTTATTCTGGGCCTCCAATGTTGGGCTGAGTGTGTAATTTTGGCCAATTTATTAGGGAACGCTGGTGGCTGTCCAAAATTGATATGGGCTTTTGATCTTTTGGACTGGGCGTGCCAAATTAGGCCCAAACAGCTCTATCATGACTTACGCAATTTGGATGCTTATGACGAGGGCGTCATTGTGCGGCAAATCAAGTTCAATTAGGCCCTTCTTCTAGAAGACAATGCACAGCTTTTAATTGCTAGCTACATCAGCGATTGGAACAAGTTAGTTTTCTTGAGCCTTGCCTTCGCCTCATCTGGTGTGCATCAAGTGAGCTCTTCTTTGTGACTTCTTGACGGCCATGGTTCAACAAAGGGAACTGACATTATTTTTGTTTGGATCATTGTCATCATAGAAATCTCATAGCTTTATGTTGTTTGCTTGAGACTTTCTAATGATATTTCTTTGCCTTGTTCATGGTGCTGGAACCAGATAAAAGCGTGATTTCCTCGTTTGATGGCAACAAGAACATATGAATGCTTCATAACTTCGATGAATATCCTCGATGAGCTGTTGATGGGTTAAACACCCAAGCCTTCATTTTCGGTGGACTAAGCATGGAAATTTGCTTTGCGGGTTAAACACACATGGCTCTATGGTTATTTCACCAAATAATGTTTTGTGGATTTTCTCACCCAAAACGGACTAATTATCCATTGGAAATTTATGGGTTTTCCTCCCAATATTGCGCCTGAAAAACCATTGTAGGTGCCTCAAATTGCCCCCTTACTCAACTGGTGCACAGATTACCTTATTTCCATTTTCAACATTTAAGTAAATTGAGTAATATAAAAATAAATTAAGTAATATAAAAATAAATGAAAGTAAAAGGACAAAGACATTTACTTCAGTTTACAATGTAAATAAGGAAGTACCCCCCATTTGAATTCAAATAAAAATACTAGAAAATCAAATTCCCACCAAATCAAAAAATGAAAAATCGGTTTTAGTGCAAAATACGATTTAGACTAAAAATGATGGCTCATTAAATCAATATATACTTCATACTAAAATCCCATAAAATCAAGTTTTCTTATTTGATGTGTAAGGAACAAAAGCCACCAAAAATTATCTTGAGAAAATAAATTATTCCGAAAAATCATTTTTCATCCTTAATCAATATTGCACCTTCGCTAAAAAATTTCTAAGTCCGCCAATGCTCGGTGCCCATCTCTAGGGTGGCCCTGAACGCTAGTAAAAGAATGGGACATGCATTAGACGTGGCTATTGCTTTGGAAAAAAAAAAAACAAAAAAAAAAAAAAAAAAAAACCTTCCATGACATTTAAATTTTAATATTTTCATGTGCCAAATTTTACTATACACATACACTGTCACCCATGTACATATAATTTTTTCTGCAGCAAATTAAATTGAAAACATTTTTGGATGACTAATTTGCAAATTAAGAAGCTAGCAGAGTGAGTGAGAAGATGATCACATAAGGGTGCAATATGCATGAACATTGTCGTCACTGAAGAGATGTACAGTTTGGTCGGAGACGGTTGAGTATAAAGGGTCCGGGAAGTAGCCATGTACGCTTTCGTTAAAGCCGTGCATGTAGTAGTTATAGGAAGACGAATACGTGGACTCGTCTAAGTATTGAGATGCATACGGATAGTATTCGGTGTCGTATGGGAAGGGCCAAAACTCCGCTTTCCTTCCTGTTCTTCTTACAACCTTTAACACCTTCCGCTGATCCACATACCCCGTCACCGTTACCTTTTGCTTATCCATGTCTATTTCTAAGCTATCCACACCTGCACTTATGCATGCATGCAATATTATATTCTCATCATTACACATACAGATATGCATGTAAATGACAAGTAATTAACTAATCAAGAATTATATTATACAGGAGCAGAGCCAGGAATTTGCCAAAGAAATGTAAGTCCTAACTGAATATTGCCAAAGAAAAGGGAGAAATATGAAAGCATCAAACTCATTAAGGAGATGGATGAAACAAAAATGAATTATAAATTCTTGCCCTCTATTTTCGAAATCGCTCTTCGTATCCGTTTTTCGCATCCTTCACAATCCATATGCACCAAAAGTTCCACAATCTATCAGACAAATGAAAGAAACAGAACAAATCAAATTATATAATTAGACAAGTATTAGAGAACCTACATACACTGGGTAGCACTTACAGACATGGCATTAGATAATTGTGTGGACTTGCCATTTCGCCAACCAAACATGATGCTTGGCTTTAGATATATGCACAATCTGTTGTTTGATTTTATTAGACGTCCCTTCGAGAGATCTTCGCCTCTCATAATATATACCTTCTCAACTAAAAAAGCTACTTTAATGTGATATGTATATATAATTCTTGGCTTGTGGTTCAAGCCTGATATTTGCTTGCTAAAAGTTCCAATATATTTTCTTTTGAAATATTCCGTATACAACATTTCTAAACAATAATATTCATCATCTCTCCCAATCTAGCTACCTCTGGCCAAGAAGATATATCATATCCGATAACTTTCACGGTTTGCATTATCTTTATCACAAAATGCCCAATTTATTTCCTCAATTTATAGTACAGTATTCTAAAAATTTTATATTTCTAGCTCGGATTTTGCTCTTGTAACGAAAATATATTGAAAAGTATAAGAGAATATCAAAATGGCCAATATGTCGAAACAGTTGTCAATTTTGGAATATATACTCAGATTGGTTCCTTATATATCCTGATTATATATGGATACCTTTTACAAGCTAAATTAGAAGAGAGCATAAACCTTAATTCTTATTTGTTGAAGGATATGTTTTTCCTTCTTTTTTTTTTGGGAAAATTTGTTTTTCTTTTTGTTCTTGTTAATCATAGGTACACACCCTTAGCCCACTACTAGCAACATCGATATTGTCCCCAACTTAATAACATGTTTAGCATGTGTGAGGTTTTATACAAAAGACATCGATGTTATTAGAGCATGTGCAGCGCTAGGCCGTTGCCATGGCAACAGGCCCCCCCAGGCCCCAATTCCTCCTCCAATGTAGAAAGGCCAGCCCGAGCAAGCCCATAGGCAAAAATGGACTGGGCTATTGCCTTCAGGTTGCTGACGTCAACGCCTAAAATTTTTTTAAAAATATATAAACAAAAATTTAAAAAAATTCTGGAAATTTTTTCTATAAATACCTACCAATATTGTTCACTTTCCACACCAAATCTTCATTCAAATTAATCTTCTTCCAATATTGTTCACTTTCCATATCAAATTTTCTACTACAAAATTCCATTTGAAAATTTTAATTTAATAAATATGGACACGTGGCAACCGAAAATTTAATTTGAAAATTTTATCCGAAAATGTGATTTGAAATTTTAGGTGAGAATTTTATAATAAATAATGACACGTGGCAACCGAAAATATTATCTGAAAAACTATCAAAATTAATAGTTAAGTATAAAAAAAAATAAAAAAATTTTGACAATAAAGTAAAGTGAATAGTATTTGCCCTTACTCTTGCCCTTTGGGGTGGAACCAAAAAAGATAATGCTGGCACTATTCATGTGAATAGTGTCAAACCTTGCCTTGCCTTTTGAGGTGGAGGTGCTCTTAGGAGTGAAGCCATTTATTATATGGGACTTTCTATTCACTTTTTTTTTCTTTTTATATTTTTCTCTTAAAAACTAGAAGCCCTCACTTATGCTCTTTGATTCTGGTCACAATATTAATTTCCAGGAACTTCTTGCATCTTCTGAAGATTATGTTGTGATTTTGTTAAAAAAAGAAAGAATTAATTGTTGCATGCGAGGGAAAGAAAAAAAAAGAATAAGAAGAGCTAACCCAAACCCACGTTTAATAAAGAGCATATGCTTTAACAAATGACGCGTACAATTGTCACATTTCAATTTATATATCATATATATCCTTATTCTTTTCTTAGTTGGTAGGTGTGCAAGTTGATTTTTAGGGACCGAAGCAGGAGCATGAGAGTAAAGGAATTTTTATTTTTGCAGGACAATTTGGCAACTGACTTCTGCCTACATCTTATTGGCACATTATGTTTCAATGTCATGGATATATAGCTTTCAATTCGATAGCCGATCATTGATTGTAACCCAATAACCTTTCAGATGCTCATTGCTATCAAGTAATGCCAGTGTTCGAATCTATTGTTCCCAAATACACATCTGCGCACTGTAAGCGTCCTGACAAATGTTGTATTTTAGGATCCATTTGGAGGATCTAGCTTCTATGCTTTGATTTTTTCTATTGTAATATGCTTGACTTGTTCTCTCTAGGTCTGGGCACGGATCGGTTCGGAACGGTAGAAGGCTCTTCCGTTAACCAAATCAAAGACTTCGGTAGACCATTTTCTCTTCCGTTAACCAAACCAAAGACTTCGGTAGACTTCGGATCGGTTAACCTAATATTCAGTTCGGATTGGTTTGGTACGCCGGTAGTACCGTAATAAAACATACTAATAAAAATACAATTTATAATACTTTCACATAACATAAGTTCTTGAACAAATACACCAAATTATCCTTGTAAAATATAAAAATCTAATAGTCTAATTCATCCAAGTATGAAATCAAATAACTTAGTCACTATATCATTCAATATATACTCAATATGAAATGGGAGCCACTTGTGTTTGTTGTTTGAACATTTAAGTGTTATTTTTACTGAATTCTCTACATTTATGTAAATGATGTTGACATTTGTTCCACGTAGGGTTCTTTAGTTTTTCATGCTGAATCCAACCATATAAAGAAAATAAAATTTGGATTAACGGTTGGAAAGTTACAGGTAAAAAAAGGGACAAAGGTCGAAACTGAAAAACATAGGAAATTCATAAATTCATCTCTGACAAAAAAGTGCTACAATACCCGAGTGATAAAGAAGTGATAGAATGTGATAAAGCAGTGATACAATGGTGATAAAGAAGTGATACAACAGTGATAAATTAGTGATACAAAGTGCTGATTGTATTTATCTTTAGTTTCTTGTTTTGTATTTAAATAATAGAATAAGTATAAATATCAGATCAGTACGGGCTTCCGTCGGGTTAGAAATATTGTTCTGTTAACCAAACCAAATATCTCGGTACATAAAGTGGACATATAATTTAAAATTTTATTAAAAAAAATTAAAGAACCTAATTGAACTAAAATTTCATCTCCATATGCCACCTCAATTAAAATTTCATCCAAGGTATATAAAGTGGACATATAATTTAAAAATAATATTACCCTAACTGAACTAGTTAACATTTACTTAACAGCCATTCAGTCTTTCTTCTTACTATATTTTTTTTAGTTCTCTTCAATTTCTCAAGTACCAGTCTTCTTCCTTTCAATAAAAAAATTAAAGAACCTTAATCCTAGACATAAGCTTTTTTTTTGTTCGAATAAAATGGTCTTTCATTGCAAGAAAACTAATGAGGACAGCAATTCATACACGAAAATACCAAATAGAAAAAAGAAGTTGAAACAGAACAGACACTGGGTGACATCACACAAATCGCCCACGTTTCTGAGCTTCGCCTTGATTGTGCCAACGACATCAAGTGATTCGCTGCTTGAATTCCCAATCTTCCCGGTCCACGACCATTCGCAATACATAAATGACCTTTGGATGAAAGGACCTGTCCCGAATTCCTCTTTGGAATCTGTGACGAACCCTCTCACAATCTGACACGTGTCGGTCCAAATTAATAAAATACCCATCTTGCCCTAATTCTAAAATAACTTTAGGGTTTGACTTCTACCAGAAAATAGGCAGAGCCTCCCTTAAAAAAGGCTCTTAACCCAAAAATTTACTTGCACAACAAACACAATTTACTTCCCAAGCGTTTAGCAGACACAAGATATAAACCACACACCAATTAGCAAAAGTTTCAACGAGCTTCAGCGCCCCCTTTACCAACATAAAAGTCAGCAAAACCATCTTGGCAACTGAACAAAATAAACAAAGCCTAAATTTGCAACTGCACTTAGGTTAGCCTAGCTTGCCTACATACCCTTACTGAACAAGTGGCTGGGGCTCTTGGCCAACCCTGTGCAGATAACATAAGCAGGGTGGCAAAGAATATCCTGTTAACTGTACAGAAAATATTAGTACTACACTGTTCTCCACATAGGTGTACCCCAAAACATAATTCGTCAATTCCAAGTACTCCACATGTGTGGCACATCTTAGAAGAATTTAGGGACAAATGGTCAACCTGAGAACCAATCCTAGCAACACTTAGGGAGATATACCTAAGAACGCATATCCTAGTAGAGCTCAGGGAGATATACTCAACCTGAGAACGCAAATCTTAATACCACATGATCCGAGCATCCCCGATACTCGTGGGGTAATGTCATACGTGCGTAGAGCTTTTCGAAGGCAACTGAGTTGTCCGAAGACACCTTTATTTCCCAAAGGCAACTGCGATGTCCAAAGACATCAATATTTTCGAAGGCATTCAGGATGTCGGAAGACATCAATATTCATAAAGGCAACCATTTTTCCGAAGGCAATTGGGATGTCTGAAGACATCAGTATTTCCAAAGGCAACACAATCCAATTTCAAACCATTTAACACACACAAACGCGTGGGCACACACACACACACACATATATATATATAAGAATAAACATATAACCAAACATTTAAAATCAACTCAACCCAAATCCACACGATAAAACATAAATATATCATGCTTGGAAAGTAGAAGCGATAGAATAATACTTCATAAACGGTTAATAAAAATCTCATAGCATAATACCATTTAAAAACAAACAACCTGATCATAAACACCTCTTAACCAATTGGTCCCAATCGGGCTCGCTAGGCCCACCATCTAGGTCAGCTTGGCCAGTGGGCCCCATGACCTCTATTCTCCAATCCAAAAGTTCATATAGGTCCACAATAATCCACCAGTTGTGTTGGTTACAATCCGATGGTCAGATCATCAATAACCGCACGATCGGGCAACAATCAATGGTTAAAACCTTAGATTGAGGACGCGGAATGTCCGAATGTCCAATTATGTAGCGAGTTCCGACACAATCCTAATGATAGGATGAACGACATAACTTGAAATGGAACCGATCTTACGCTTCGATCACAATAAACCCGAAATTCACATAATGAACTCACTAATAATACTTCTTTAAATGCTCAGCATTCCAAGGGTGAGGCAAATTTGCTCCCTTGAGATCCCTTAGTCGATAAGTGCTAGGGCGTACAATGTCAATGACACGGTAAGGCTGTTCCCAGGTCGGTCCCAAGCTTCCATCTGCAGGTTTGCGAGTAGGAAGCTTGACCTTGTGGAGTACTAGGTCAACCTACCATTTTACAAGTGTCTTCTTCACCATGACCGCATTGGCCAACAAACTTGGATAGTTGACCTCATGACCTCTATTCTCCAATCCAAAAGTTCATATAGGTCCACAATAATCCACCAGTTATGTTGATTACAATCCGATGGTCAGATCATCAATGACTGCACGATCGGGCAACAATCAATGGTTAAAATCTTAGATTGAGGACGCGGAATGTTCGAATGTCCAATTATGCAGCGAGTTCCTACACAATCCTAATGATAGGATGAACGACATAACTTGAAATGAAACTGATCTTACGCTTCGATCACAATAAACCCAAAATTTACATAATGAACTCACTAGTAATACTTCTTTAAATGCTCAACATTCCAAGGATGAGGCAAATTTGCTCCCTTAAGATCCCTTAGTCGATAGGTGCTAGGGCGTACAATGTCAATGACACGGTAAGGCCGTTCCCAGGTCGGTCGCAAGCTTCCATCTGTAGGTTTGCGAGTTGCAAGCTTGACCTTGTGGAGTACTAGGTCAACCTACCATTTTACAAGTGTCTTCCTCACCATGACCGCATTGGCCAACAAACTTGGATAGTTGACCTCATGACCTCTATTTTCCAATCCAAAAGTTCATATAGGTCCACAATAATCCACCAGTTATGTTGCTTACAATCCAATGGTCAGATCATCAATGACCGCACGATTGGGCAACAATCAATGGTTAAAACCTTAGATTGAGGACGCGGAATGTCCGAATGTCCAATTATGCAGTGAGTTCCTACACAGTCCTAATGATAGGATGAACAACATAACTTGAAATGGAACCGATCTTACGCTTCGATCACAATAAACCTGAAATTCACATAATGAACTCACTAGTAATACTTATTTAAATGCTCAGCATTCCAAGGATGAGGCAAATTTGCTCCCTTGAGATCCCTTAGTCGATAGGTGCTAGGGCTTACAATGTTAATGACATGGTAAGGCCGTTCCCAGGTCGGTCCCAAGCTTCCATCTGCAGGTTTGCGAGTAGCAAGCTTGACCTTGTGGAGAACTAGGTCAACCTTCCATTTTACAAGTGTCTTCCTCACCATGACCGCATTGGCCAACAAACTTGGATAGTTGACCTCATGACGTCTATTCTCCAATCCAAAAGTTCATATAGGTCCACAATAATCCACCAGTTATGTTGGTTACAAACCGATGGTCAGATCATCAATGACTGTACGATCGGGCAACAATCAATGGTTAAAACCCTAGATTGAGGACGCGGAATGTCCGAATGTCCAATTATGCAGCGAGTTCCTACACAATCCTAATGATAGGATGAACGACATAACTTGAAATGGAACCGATCTTACGCTTCGATCACAATAAACCCGAAATTCACATAATGAACTCACTAGTAATACTTCTTTAAATGCTCAGCATTCCAAGGATGAGGCAAATTTGCTCCCTTGAGATCCCTTAGTCGATAGGTGCTAGGGCGTACAATGTCAACGACACGGTAAGACCGTTCCTCGGTCAGTCCCAAGCTTCCATCTGCAGGTTTGCAAGTAGCAAGCTTGACCTTGTGGAGTACTAGGTCAACCTACCATTTTACAAGTTTCTTCCTCACCATGACCACATTGGCCAACAAACTTCGATAGTTGACCTCACGAATGAAACCAATCTTTGTGAGCTTGTCCACTTCTTCTTTCGTGACAGCGTACCGTTCTGCATCATAAGCTCGACATTTCTAGCCTACCTACTTTTAGGCGGGATCGATACTTAGATGGTGTGATTTGATCTCGGGATCTATTTCCGGCATGTCTTTATACGACCATGCAAAGACCTCAGCATCCTCATGTAGGAAGTTTGTCAGGTCATCACGAATCTAAGGTGGTAATTAGGAGCCAATCTTGATGATCCAATCTGGATGATTATCATCGATTTGCACTTTCTCTAAGTCCCCTCCTGGCATTGCTTGTTTTTACTTGTACCTTCTCGTGGGTTGAGCTCGACCCCACGGTCTGTCCCATTTTGTTCGATGGCGTACATCTCCATCTTTCCCTTCCCTTTTTGCTTAGACGCCACAGCGTGACTCTCCCTAGAGTTTTTGTTGATCACCCTTCACATATCCCACAACAGCTTTGGTTGAGAACTTCATTAAAAGCATGTGGCTGGCAATGAAGCCTCGGAGAGAGCATAAGGCTGGCCAACCTAAAATAACATTATAAGCATAAGGGCATTCAACTATTAGAAAACTTGTATACATCGTTGTTCGTTGGGGTGCCGTTCCAATTGACAGAGGCAGTGTGACACTTCCAATGGAGTTGATGCTACCCTAGTGAATTTGAGCAAGGAAGTGACCACTAGCTTGAGCTCTTCTCGCGATATCTCCATCTGTTCGAAAGCTAATGTAAAGATGATATTGATTGAACTGCATGTGTCAATGAAGACTCATTTCACGCAACAATTTGCGATCTCAGCTTGGATTATGAACGGGTCATCATGTGGGTGAATTACCCCTCTTTCCTCCTCCTCATTAAGGGTGGTCGTTGAGCACCCGAGCTTGGGCGACTTTTTGGAGTCTGGTAACCTAGACCAATTAAGAGTGCCTCGAGTCCTACTTGAGTACGTCGTGCATACTCTTTTTGTGCTTTGTTGGACTCCCTAGCTAGGGTTGCTCCACCTAAGATAACATTGATGTCTTTCGTAGCATGTGGTTGCTTGTTTGGTGTGTTGTTATGCTACTATGCTTGCTTCTTTTCACTCACAAATCGGTTTAGACAGCCTTCTCGTATGACCATTATCATGGTGATAGCTGCAATATTGATTTGGATCCTTTCGCTCTTTGGAAAACCTCGAAGGTCAGGGTTTTGGCAACTTAGTTTAGATGTGGAAGAAGACCTTCTCTCGATTAGTATTCAACGGGGTGTAGTTGTTGAACCGTGCTCGAAATGGATTTTGTGGTCAATCTAAGTCTCTCCCACCTCCCCTAGAATTCTCAAATCTTCATTTCTTGTCGTCTGGCTTATCGCGTACATCATTTCGACCTTCTCTCCATTTATCTCCTACACTAGGTTATAACGGATCTTTCCCTTCTATTGTGTCATATGTCGTCTCCTCGGTGATGGCATGACGATACGCCTCAGACACTAAGTCCTCACAACTCTTAGGTGGAAACTTGTTGACATGGAATAGGAAAAGTCTCATTCATAACCCATCTAGAAGGGCAGTATAGGTTGTATCCTTGGAGCAACTAGGGATGCTAATTACTTCTCAATTGAAATGGTTGATGTAGTCTCGCAACTTCTCCTTAGGGCTCTACCTGATGCTGATGAGGTAGTTGGGTGGGTACCACTTCTTTGAGGCAAACAAAAATTGGTTCACAAAGCTCTGTTTAAGAAGGTTAAATGAGCTGATGGAGTCAGGCTTCAAGGACTTGAACCAATCCTTAGCTGATCCTTCTAAAAGTAAAGGAAAAGCTCAACATTTCATGGCATCTCCAGCATCTTTCACATTCATCCAATAACTGAAGTCGTTCAAGAAGTCCACCGGGTTGATGATCCCATCATAGAGTGGCATCCGAGGTTGTTTGAAATACTTTGAGAGTTTGAATTCAAGGATGTGTCTAGTGAACGGTAGGGTGTCAGTTGTCATGGCTAGGTCGAGACCTTTCTCACGCTCGAGGGCTATTAGGTGGACTTCCAGCTTCCGATCCATCTCATCTTGCATCCGCTTCATGGCTTCCAAAATTCTACTTTCTCCAATATGCTCATCTCCATTAGGGTAGATTTCAGACTAATCAACTTCTCGATCACAATCGACCTTACGATCATGATTGACTTCACGATTGCGATTACTAGGTCGTATGTATTGAGCTTTCTTTTGCTCAAGCAAATCTCTTAATTAAGATATTCCTTCTGGTTTTCAGCTAGCATGCGAGAAAAACCAAAGAATGAGTTGTGAAGGCTAGGCTCAAAAGTCTGCAGCTTCCTATGGTTCATTCCATTAGGAGATCGGGGATGGCTCTCACCCCTTTCATGTCCCACACATTGAAGTTCACCTCGTGTTGGGGTCCACCGCATTGAGGATCTCCATGTTCTTGAAGCCACTCTTCTAGCCTTCGTTGTCTTCCTGTATGAGTCTTCTCGGCTTCCTCCATGATGTCCTTGCTCTGATCACGGAGTTCGTTAATGTCTTTCCTCATCTCCTTCGGGCAAGTCTTAATGTTAGTTAGGCAATTGGATTTCTTCCTTCCTTTCCTAGACGCAGTAGGAGTGACAAGTTCGTCAGGGCTAGACTCTTGACTCATGGCGTTAAGCAAGTGGTTGCTGTCTAAAAACTTAGATGAAAATCAACAAGAAGTCGATTCCCACATATGGCGCCAAAATTGTTGATGCCTAAAATTGGTTCAACAGAAGATGAACTTTTCGAGATCGAGGTTGGGCAATACTTCTGAACTAGGTCAACTTGACCAACCAAGTCGTCCTCCAAAACCTGCAAAACAAGAGAGCTTCAATGCGTGACACTAGTGTGGTGTCGATCAAGGACCCTCTGATGCTTAAGTCAGTCGAGTGTTTGAGTGCAAAAGTGCACAATAGGTTCCAGTGCTTAGAATTGCATACCTTTCACAGAGGATGGCCTAAGCCTCTTATATCATCCTAGACAACCCAATCCATCTTGGAGTGGAACTCCAGAGCAAACCAGCTCCCCTCAAACTAGGACTCTAGAACAACCTAATCCTCCTTGGACTAGGACTCCATTTAGATAGGCGTCTTGGTGATCTCGAAACATCTTAACTTTTCTGGGACTCGAAGTCCTTTTGAGTGAACACCAAGTAAATAAGGTTGGTGTCAACCTCATGCGCACGGGGCCCAAACTCATGGACCAATGGGCCCATAAGCCCACAAGAGTTAGGGTGGAAAAATAGATGGCTACCAGGCTCAAGCCCAGCTCGACCACTAACACCATGGTCAGACCCAGCTCGACCACTAACACCGTGCTCTGGCCCAGCTAAGCCTAGAGGTATTTTACCTCACAAACAATTTTAAAGCACCTACGTACATAAGCCATACAAAGTTGGTGATTTAAAACCAATTGTTTTAAACCACAAATTATTTATGGTTTTAAAATAATTAAATAATAATATATGATTATTTAATTATTTTGTTTGTAATATTATTTAATTATTTTGTTTGCAAGATCCCCCTGATCAAAGCTTCCCCATTTAAGATGCTTGAGCTCTTGGTGAAGCTAAACTATGAGATGAGGAAACTCTATTATTGCCTTGTCTCGAATATACTACTTTGACTTGCTAGGAAGTTGACCTTTTCTGCCAATGCGGAAATATTCATATTTTCCATTACTGATTTCACGAACCTTCTGCTCTAAGATACAATCCTCCTGCATAGGGACTTCTCTTTCAATCTTTAAGTCATCAACTGATGGAAGGCGAGTATCTTCGTTGGGATTCAAGTAGAGATGGCTCAAAAAGCTTAAGATTCTCAGCATTGATGACCTAGTACATATGCATGTATGGTGGTAATTCAAGTTGAAAGGAATTATCACCAATTTGTTTGATGATCTTGAACGGTCCATAACGAATAGGCTTAAATTTCTTACCTTCACCGATTAGCCACTCCTTTCCAAGCTGTAACCATACTAGATTACCTTCTTTGAAGTTACATGGCACATGATGCTTATCATGGCGAACTTTATATTGTTACTGGGAACATTAAGTTGTGCCTCCACTTCAGTATGAATCTTTCTAACTCGTTCGAGAAATTTCTGTTCTTGAACATGTTCTTCTTCTTCTTTGCCACTTAATGGCTGGTCACTCATAGTGAATGCTAAATCAAAAGGACTCTAGGGTAAATAAACCAAACAAACCTCAAACGGAGATTTGAGTGTGGAGCCATGAAGTGCTTGGTTAAAAGCAAACTGTAAGTAAGAGAGACTTTCATCCCAAGTCTTCGAATGCTTGGAACTGTAACCCCTTAACAAGTGTACAATAGTTCGATTTACAACCTTCGTTTGCCCATTTGTCTGTGAATTAAATGCAATGCTTCTTTTCAATCTGGTATCCATCAATCCCCATAATGACCTCTGGAAATGGCCTAACAATTTACTGTCTCTGTTAGAAATAATCGATGTAGGTAAGCCAAAATGCTTCCAAACATGTTGGAAAAATAACTTAGTAACTCCTTCTCTAGTAACAGTCTTCTTGAATGGAATGAGAATTGCCATCTTACTAAAACGATCTACCACCACAAACAAGTAGTCGTTTCCAGACTTGGTTTTAGGCAATCCACCTAAGAAATCAATCAAGATAATCTCCCAAGGTCGGCTATGTACTGGCAATGGAAGATATAGTCCTAACTTTCTGTTAGAAGGCTTTAATGTGTTGCATAGAACACAACCTCGAATATATCATGAAACATCTAGATGCATCTTTGGCCAATAAACATAGTGACAAATATTCAATAAAGTCTTCGCAAACCCAAACTGTCATGCTACTTTGGAAGTATGAGCCTCACAAATCCACTGCAATATATCGCCATCTTCTGGAATGCACAATTATGTTCCTATTTGGGGCTGTCAAAAAATCACAGATGGGATATGCAAAGAGATACAGATGGGCGTTTCGTGGGGCTGGAAATCTCGACCGGGTATGGAGCTAGTCAGCTAGGTGCAGCTGGGCAATGCGAATACGGCTGGAGACTAATCTCGGCCGGGTTTTGGCGGCTAGGATCGTGAAAGGTCTCGGCCGGGTTTTAGAGTTGGACTTTGCGGATGTGGCCAGGTAGTTCGAACTTGGCTGAGAGTTTTGCGGTTGAGTTTTGTTCGAAATGGGGCTAGAGAGGGAAGCCCGGGTTTTTTTCGAAATGGTGCTCGAGTTGGCGGCCGGGCTCTGACTAGAAAAGAGCGGTTGGGTTCTGCTAGGAGTGTTGGCAGCTGGGCTGGATTGGAAGGCTGCGGTTGGGATTTGTTTGAATGCGGCCGGATGTGAAGTCTTGGAGTTGCGGCCGTATTTGAACTGGTGAGACGCGACTGGAGTTGGGTTTGAAGAATTGCGACCAAGATTTGGATCAGCTAGTATTTTGGGCTTATTGGCGGCTGAGTATTTGGAAGGCCACGGGCAAGCCAGAGCCCTGATTTTTTGCTAGAGATTACGATTAGGTTGCTTTTGGTTTTGACCAAACAGGGCATATGAATAGTGGTGGCTGGAGCATTTGATATTCTTGCGAATTGGGCTGCAAGCTTTTTGGTTTGGAGTCCAATTATCTCATTACATTCACATATATATATATATATATATATATATATTGAGTGCAAGTGGCAGCATTACGTTCATATATATATATATATATATATATATGAATGAATAATGCAAGATGCAGCTGGAACTTTTGGAACTCTTGCAAATGTGTGCTTTTGAGTGTTAGCCTTCTTACATTATTTTAAGTTTATCTAATATACATACAATTTATATATATATATATATATGTATGTATTTATATATATAAATGAAAGAGTGAGAGTGGGCAGCCGGGCTGGAGGGTTTAAGTCCTCATATTATTTCATATAATATATGTAATAAAATGAGTGGCATTTTGAGGAAGTCCAATTTTGAGCCACCTATTCGAGCCCAGATTTTTGGAGGATTATGTGCACGTGACGGAGGGCCTCACAAGGAAAGAAATCAAGGGATTTTTTTTATTTTATAGTAACTTCGAGTGTTCCAAAACAAGGAAGAATCAAGCATGTTAGAATATTAAAATCAATGCAATCCTACGGATTTAGGGGGGCTTCGAAAGGAAAGATTTTTAAGAAGAGTTGACATTTGGCCATTCAATGGCCAGCCCATGGGCTGACGAGTGCCCTATATAAACCTTGCTCGATGAAGACATCAGACACACAACATCAAACAAACAAACTTATCTTTCGTCTCGCACTTTTCTTTTCCTAGACTTAGGATTTTATTTTTCAAGCACCTAGTGTAGTGAGTTCTTCATATTTCTAGTGTAAGTTTACATTTTTCTTGTCATTTAAATTCATGTTTCGATTTATATTTCTTGTCATTTAAATTCAATTTTATTTCGATTCCTTTACATTTCATTGTTATCGCACTTCAATTAAGTTTAATTTCAAGTTTATTTCATTTTATCGTTCTTATCGTTCTTATCGCTTTTATCTCGTTCTTGCTTTATTTATCGCTTTGATTTATTTTATCACACTTCAATTCTTGTTTTTACGTTTATATGCATATTTAGTTTAATTGAATTATTTTTACATAAAACCCTAAAAATCACAAAAAAAACATCCGTACGAAACCTAACCATCCTCGAGCACGAGAAAGTGAAAGAATCTAGGCCAAGAGGAGGTTTCTTGCATGGTCGATCAATCGTTTGCTCAGAAGTTAGAAGCGCAACACATCCATCTATTCACATTCCATTCAAGCCCAAATTTGGGGCTTGGTGGTGGCATGCCCTGCATCCAAAAGAAGGACCAAAAGTTCCTTCCATCGGCCGCCCTGGCCGAAAAGAGGCAAAGTTTTATGAGGATGACATTGGGCCCCTTTATTTTACAGGGTCAAATAGGGACATCCGACCTATAGGAGTCTCGACCCAAAAGTTGATAGACTTGGGGGCACATGATGCCCAAGCAAATGGGGAGCGCCCCATTATAGTTGATTTTTTCTCCCTCAAACATAGAGGAAGAGAAGAAGTCCACTGTGGAAGACACGTTGAGACGGCTATATGTTTTTTGGGCCGAAAGAGCGGCCGAGCACGGGTCCACCGCCAACTTGGTGGAATTTCTTCATGAAGGTCTGGAGGATGATGCCCTTGAGCTCGAGGAAGTAGAGTTGCGCCAAGCGAGATGGATGATTCGAAGGCGGAAGTCCAAGACTCTTTGTTAGAAATTAAGTTGGGAACGGAAGACAACCATCAACCAATCTACATCAGTGGTCTAATGGAGCCAGAACTTCGGGCCAAGATGGAAGAGCTTTTGAGAGAGTTCAAGGATTTCTTTGCTTGGGATTACACCGAGATGCCCGGATTGAGTCGTGACTTGGTCGAGCATCACCTACCAACGGTTGAAGATTTCAAGCCCTTTAAGTAGCCGCCCCGCCGAATGTCAGCGGAAGTAGAGTTACAGGTTAATGAACAAATTGTAAGGCTTTTAAAAGCCAAATTTATTAGGCCAGCTAGATATGTAGAATGGCTTTCAAATATTGTACCTGTAAAGAAAAAAAGGGGAGCAATAAGAATATGTGTTGATTTTTGTAATCTTAATCTTGCAACTCCCAAAAATGAATATCTCATGCCCATGGCCGACCTCTTAGTCGATGGGGCGGCCAAGCATGAAATTTTGTCATTCATGGATGGGCACTTTGGCTATAACCAAATTTTTATAACCGAGGAGGATGTCCACAAGACAGGCTTCAGGTGCCTCGGATCCATTGGAACTTTTGAGTATGTGGTGATGCCCTTCGCCCTGAAAAATGTCGGGGCCACATATCAACAGGCAATGAATGCCATTTTCCATGACATGATCAGTCGAAATTTAGAAGTTTACATTGATGATGTTGTTATAAAGTCGAAGTCTAGACTAGGTCACTTGGATGACCTTCGGTCGGCCTTTGAAAGAATGCAGCGGCATCAATTGAAAATGAACCCAAAAAGTGTGCTTTTGGGGTATCCGTCGGAAATTTCTTAGGATTCTTGGTGCACCAAAGGGGGATTGAGATTGATAAAAATAAGGCGAAGGCTATCATTGATGCACCCCCTCCAAAAAACAAGAAAGGTGTGCAAAGTTTATTGGGCCAAATTAACTTCCTTCGAAGGTTTATAGCCAACTCCGCGGGAAAAGTTAAGCCCTTCTCATCTTTGTTAAAACTCAAAGATGATGAGAAATTTCAGTGCGAACATTGAGTTTATTTCCATGGCGCCTTTATTTTGACGGGTCTCGAACATCTAACATGGGTGGGGCAGGTGTCATCATTGAATCGCCCAAAGGATTCCGAACTCGTTATTCATTTCAATTAGACTTTGATTGTACCAACAATTAGGCCGAATACGAGGCCCTGATCATAGGGTTGGAAATTTTGAAAGAGTGTGGTGGTTATGGGAGATTCAATGTTGGTCTTAAAACAATTGTCTGGCAACTACAAGTTGACTAGCCAAGCTTTGCTCGGATATCATGCTTAGGCCAGCCAATTGGTGGAAGATTTTGATGATGTGAGACTCACCCACCTACCAAGAGAACATAACACTCAGGCCAACGCCATGGCCCAAGTAGCATCCGGAGTGGAAATCTCCGAGGGGCTCTCTGAGGAGTTTTTTAAAGTTGAGAAATTATCTCTCTCCTCCGTCTTTGAAAAAGGGACCCCAACGGAAGTTATTATGTTAACCATAGCACCAGAGGATTGGAGGCACGACATCGTGCAATATTTGAAAAATCCAAATAGGTCACATAGCCAACAAGTTCAGCGGAGGGCCCAATATTATGTGCTAAGGGATGAGATATGTTCCAAATAGGTTCCGATGACTTGCTCATGAAGTGTTTGGGCAAAAAGGAACAACTCGTAGCAATGACCGAGGTCCATGAAGGGATATGCGGTGCCCATCAAGCTGGCATCAAGATGAGGTGGCTTTTAAGGAGGCATGGTTATTATTGGTCGACTATCCTCAAAGATTGCATTGAATATGCCAAGGGTTGCAAAGATTGTCAAAAACATGGGCCGATCCAACATGTCCCGGCCGGACCAATGAATCCCATTGTCAAGGCTTGGCCTTTCAAAGGTTGGGCAATGGATGTGATTGGCCAAATCCATCCAAAGTCATCAAAGGGCCATAAGTACATATTGGTGGCCACTGATTTTTTCACAAAGTGGGTGGAGGCCGTCCCACTCAATCAAGTTACCCAATTCGAGGTGATAGAATTCATTGAGAAGAATATCATCCACCGATTTGGCTTGCCCGAGTCCATCATGACCGATCGAGGAACGGCTTTCATGGGCGAGGCTATTCAAGCCGCCGCAAAGAATTGGGGAATTAGGATGGTTCAATCCACCCCATACAATCCCCAATCAAATGGCCAAGCGGAGGCTAGTAATAAGGTGATAAAAGGGATTTTGGAAAAAATGATAGATAAAAATCCCAAGGAATGGCACTCTCTTCTTTCCAACTCTCTATGGGCGTATAGAACCTCCAAGAGATCTGCCATGCGAACAACGCCATTCGCCCTCACCTGCAGTCATGATGTCGTCTTGCCACTTGAGATTTCGGTTAAGTCCATAAGGGTAGTTTGCCATGCCAAATGTAGTAAGGATGAATATGAGCAAGCCATGGCACAAGAGTTAGACGACCTTGACGAGGTCAGATTGGGCGCTTTAGATAGATTGAGTGCCCAAAAAGAGGCCGTGGCTAGAGCATACGACAAGAGAACCAAGGCCAAGAGTTTTGGAGTCGGAGATTTAGTATGGAAGACCATTCTTCCAGTGGGATCAAAGGATCCAAAATTCGGCAAGTGGTCTCCAACTTGGGAAGGCCCATTTCTTGTCCACCAAGTGTTGGGGAAGGGGGCGTACAAGTTAAATGACCAAAATGGTCGGGTCCATGATTCGCCGAACAATGGTCAATTTCTTAAAAAATATTACCCAACGGCTTGGGAGATTGTGGAGAGATAGTCCGCCACAAAGAAAAATTTCATATTGAAACAATGATTTTTGTCGGAAGAATGGGCATCATAAAAGGATCTCTTCCAAAAGATATCATATATATATAGGTGGGCAAAAGTCTGCTACAAAATGGGGCCAAGTAATGGCCTAAGCATCCACCGAAGGTTTAGAAACTAAGCTAGTTCTACCACATATGGTGACCAAATAAGAGGAAACTAGCTAAGTACAAAATGGGCCAACCAATGGCCAAGTATGAACTTAAGCATCAGGGAAAAGGGTGTAGAGGGCAGTCCTAAAGCTCTCCATCACGATATCTCCGACAGACAAGGTAGACTGAATCATCAACTTCCTCTCTCGATACTCTCCCACCGCTGTTGTATCCTGTCGAAGTTGAGCCTCGAGAGGCTTATTGCTCCAGATAATCTCGGAGACTTTGGCAACAATGCCAGCCTTCCTCTCTTGAAGCTGCCTTACCTGCTCATCAATATCCACAGCCTCCCGTTGCATATGGCTGGCAATCTCAATATCTTTCCTCATGGTGGCACTACATGAGGTAATCTACTGCTCCAAGTCTTGGCCCATCCTTTGCTCCTCCAGAAAAGGACGGCGGCGGGGGGCAAACTTCTCCACTTGACCAAAGAGATAAGTGATCATAGCCGCCGAGCATGGATTGGGGAAAAATCCAGAACCCGCCAAAAGTCTCGATGGTGGCCTTGAGCTTGTTTCTCTCATCTTTGTTCTCCAAGGACATGAGATCTCCATCTTTGTATGACTGAAGTATGGCCTCAGCCCCGGAATCTGGTAGGGCCCCGGTCATGGTGGAAGAAGTGGCAAGGCGAGTGGAAGCCTCCACCGAAGATATAGATGCATCCCATTGATCTAGGAAGTCAAAAATGTCACACTGGTCATGGTGGAAGATATAGATGCAAGAAAATGGGCATTATATTTTTCCTTTCAAGTAGAGAAAATAAATGGCATATGTGCATATGTATATTTTTCTCATTTCATACCTGATCAAGGGATGGTAGAAAGGCCTCTTCATGAGGGACCATTGCCAAGCTTCTCCCATCATCCGTCGATGGATTCATGGTACTCTTGGTGGGCACAAAGCATGAAGACTCTCCAATCTAGCAAAAGGGTATAAGGATTATAATAATGGCCCATTCATTTGAAATAAACAAGATGGTTCGAGGCTTACCTCAAGTTGGAGTTCGGACGGAGTAGCATTGACCACCAAGGCAGGAGCTCCCGAGGTCAACATAAGGACGGGCTCAGGTGGTGCATTTCTGTCGGTGGGAATAGTGGGAGGCGCACCACTGGTGATGATCGCATGGTCGACCGTAATGGCAGTAGACTCTACCACATCCGCCTAAAAAAAGAGGATGTGAGCTCTCTAAAAAAACATAAAAAAAAAAAAAAAAAAAAAAAGTAAGACCGAGTGTGAGAAGAAGTTGGGCCACTTTGGGGCGCTTTCGAAAGGCGCAAGTCAAGGGAGGGTTCGAGCTTATGGCAAAAAGGGGCTGAAATTCGGCCTCAATGGCCATGGTGTCAGTCGAAGAAAGTTCGAGGCCAAAAATGGCCCGCTAATATGTTCAAACATTAAAAATAAGACATTAGGGGCAAGTGTAAAAGAAATTTTAAAAGTATGAAATTTCAATGAATCTAAAAATTCGGAAAAGGTGGGAAGTCTTCCTTGGTCAGCTTGGCCATGTGCTCAAGGAAGTGATCCTCGAGCATGGGGATAGTCTCGTGTAACCCCGTGGAAACATCCTTCGGGTGCTCCGTGGTATTGATCTCGGCCGACTAAGTTTGGAAATTTAGTAAGCGTAAAAAAAAAGGTAAGAGAAATTTCAAATGGCTAAGGAGATGAGTTTACCTCATCCTCGCCCACCAAAGTCATGATTTGCGCCCCCAATTTCTTTCTCAAGTACAGAAGTTCGAGTTTCCTAGATCTTTGGGCATAAGGGTGAGTTTTTGCCCTTCAAAATTAATAAATGAAAGTATGCAAAGACATAAACTTACCGGAGCGGCGGACGAAGTAGTAGCCAATTGCACGGCCCCGACCGAATGAGAAGAGGAAGGATGCTCCGCCAGCCTTGGGGAACCTGCAGCAAATTCGGTTTAGTTCGAAAAAAAAAAAAAAAAAAAAAAAAAAAAAAAAAAAAAAAGGGGCGCACCCTTGAAATGGTTTGCGCGGAACTTTTCTGGGCCGAAGGAATGTTTGCGAAGGGGCATAATATTTCCAAAGGGCTATCTCCTAAAAAGTTGGAGTTTTAAGTTTTTAGATGTGCCCATCAAGAATTCAGAAGGCTGAAAGTGCAAATATTAGAAGGGCAAAAATAATCATGGAGGATAGCTTACCTTGGATGGGGGTGTTGGGCCTTTTCTCACCCTGCCAAGAATTTGCAGCGGCAGATTTGGCCGAGCTCTCTCTCTTAATCATGTCGGCGGGATGACTTTCCTTCTCGGCGATGTTAGCTGTGAGATTTGAAGGGTTAGAAAAAAAGATGGCCAAAATTAAAATAAGGCAAAAAGTGTAAATATTTTACCTTTTGCTTGGGCCTTCTTCTTCTCTTTCTCTTGCTGAAAGACCAATGAGCATGGGAAATGCTTGAAGATCCTATCCTCAATCTCTGAGCATGGTTGAGAAAACCAACCGGCCGACATTTCTTTCCACCAATGGATAAAAATATTAGAGTCACCAAACCGGGGATCTCTAATTGAAATACTGAAGGATTTCACCAAGTCTTGGTTGAAATTCGTCAAGGTGGTGACTTCTTTTGCATCCTTGAATTCCACCTGCCAAGTGGAAAGCAGGTTGATGGAATCCATGGGTGGTATCAAGATGCTCTGTATAAAACCAAGCTGGTAGTCGGCGCGGAGGGATAATAAAGCTCACCACCACAATGATACTTACTACCTTTGTTCACCATTAGGCTGTATGGAAGATCTCGGCTGATGAGGATACTTGCCCACATATTATGTCTCTCCTCTTTCATCTCCGCCATAGGATACGAGGGCTAGATAATCCGGGAAACGGTGATCTAGGCAAATGGAGAGATGCTCCCTAGTCCTCTCCTGGCACTCATAGAAAAATCGGAAGCAATCCTCAACATAATACTTCCGGCGTGGGGCGTTGAGCAAGGGTGGACCAAGAAGCGCTTTATCGTTTGGGCAAACGGTGGTGGGACTTAATTCCGAAAAATATAGCTGAAGCCACAATTGAAAAATCCATATAGGGCCAGAAGCATGATAATTCATGGGTTTAGTAATTACCTCGTGGAGCCCTCTATAAAGATAGGCAAGAAAGATTGGGCACATGGCCACTTGCTGGCCATCCGCAAGTACCTCCGCCAAGGCTTGAAATTCCTTAGCAATCCCGCCGGATTTTGGCCATGCCAAGAACTTGCACAACCACATCACAAGAAAAGCCACATGCTCAGTATAGGATACGCCATTGATGGAAAGAGGGTCGGTGGGATCTCCACCATGGCCAAGATACGTCTTCACCCAACTCCCCAAGGTCTTGTTTGACTTGTGAAAATCTAAGCCCACCTTGGCTTCTAGAAGGTTGGCGCCCGAGAAATCATCTCCATGAGGGCGAAGGCCAGCGATAGCGGCCAAGACTAGCAAGTTGGGCGTCATCATCCCAAAACGGAGCCTCATGCGATTGGTGGAGGAAGACCAAAAACATAGGAGTAACGTATCATATATTCCAACTTTCTACCAAAGGCCCTTCAATTTTGGTTCCAATGCCTTGAACCAATTACACCAATCAAACTTGCCATCTGCCGAGCTTGAGTGGTTGGACTTCCCGGCGACGGATGATGCTTTCTTTGATGGGGCCTCTTTAGTTGCGGCGGGGTCCGTTTTGAGAGGGGTTCTCGTCGGCCAACCTTTGAATGGCTTGGAGCTCTCCCAAATGGTTGCCCATGTGAAGTCTGAAAAATAAGTTGGGCCATTTCTTGGTTGCGCCACCCATACCTTGGCCACCTTTTCCGAATAGGCGGAGAAAAATGAGCCAAATATATTTTGGGCGGAGTTGGGAAAGGCATTGAGAAAGTAGGCAAATACTTGCTTGCCCAAGTCTTTGTCCATGGCCACTTTCATATCTTCAAAAAATTGGGCACTATCATTTGGAATGGATTCAATCCTACAAACATGAAGTAAAATCGAATCAAAGAAAACGAGATTCGAACCAAGAACGCGAAGAACACCATGGCACTATTCACATATTCAAAGTTTCAAGTCTAAACTTTTGAAGGCTATATAGATGCATCAAAATCATACCAAAATCAACCAAGAGTTAGTGCAACGTACCTAGAAACTTGCAAATTTCAAGTTTGACGTTGATTCAGGTGGATTTGGTGTGTGAAATGATGAATGTGAAGATGAAGAGGATATGGGTTTTGAGAGAACCTTCTAAAGCCTATAGCTATGGTGGAGGTGTTTATGTGGAAATGAAAGAGAACACTTGGATATTTGTAATATCTAGGGTTTTTAATAGATAGGAAGTTCAAAAGTCCCTCCAATTTAATTGGCGTCTTCATAAATTCCTACCCAATTCAAAACTTAATAACGTACAAGGCAAGCAAAAAATCTCAAATTTCAGAAATTGAAAGGTCTTGGGTTTCGATTTGCTTACCTCTACACCAAGTCTGAGCTAAACAAATCCGGGGGCAATGTTTCGGGCTATCAAAAAATCACAGTCGGGCTATGCAAAGAGATACGAATGGGCAGTTCGTGGAGCTAGAAATCTTGACCGAGTATGGAGCTGGGCAGTTAGGTGCGGCTGGGCAGTGCGAATACAGCTGGAGATTAATCTCGGCTGGGTTTTGGCGTCTAGGATCGCGAAAGGTCTCGGCTGGGTTTTGGGGTTGGGCTTTGCGGATGCAGCCGGGCAATTCGAACTTGGCTAAGAGTTTTGAGGTCGAGTTTTGTTTGAAATGGGGCTGGAGAGGGAAACCCGTGTTTTTTCGAAATGGTGCTTGAGTTGGCGGCCGAACTTTGACTGGAGAAGAGCAGCCGGGCTCTGCTTGGAGCATTGGCGGCCGAGCTGGATTGGAAGGCTGCGGCCAGGATATGTTTGAATGCGGCCGGATGTGAAGTCTTGGAGTTGCGGCCGTATTTGAACTGGTGAGACGCGACTGGAGTTGGGTTTGAAGAATTGCGACCGAGATTTGGATCAGCTAGTATTTTGGGCTTTTTGGTGGCTGAGTATTTGGAAGGCCACAGGCAAGCCAGAGCCTTGATTTTTTTTGCTAGAGATTGCGATTAGGTTGCTTTTGGTTTTGAGCAAACAGGGCATATGAATAGTGGCGACTGGAGCATTTGATATTCTTGCGAATTGGGCTGCAGGCCTTTTGGTTTGGAGTCCAATTAGCTCATTACATTCACATATATATATTGAGTGCAAGTGGCAGCATTACATTCATATATATATATATATATATATATAAATGAATAATGCAAGATGCGGCTGGAACTTTTGGAACTCTTGCAAATGTGTGTTTTTGAGTGTTAGCCTTCTTACATTATTTTAAGTTTATCTAATATACATACAATTTATATATATATATATATATGAAAGAGTGAGAGTGAGCAGCCGGGCTAGAGAGTTTAAGTCCTCCTTATATTATTTCATATAATATATGTAATAAAAATGAGTGGCATTTTGAGGAAGTCCAATTTTGAGCCACCTATTCGAGCCCAGATTTTTGGAGGATTATGTGCATGTGACGGAGGGCCTCACAAGGAAAGAAATCAAGGGATTTTTTTTATTTTATAGTAACTTCAAGTGTTCCAAAACAAGGAAGAATCAAGCATGTTAGAATATTTCAATCAATGCAATCCTACGGATTTAGGGGGGCTTCGAAAGGAAAGATTTTTAAGAAGAGTTGACATTTGGCCATTCAATGGCCTGCCCATGGGCTGACGAGTGCCCTATACAAACCTTGCTTGATGAAGACATCAAACACACAACATCAGACAAGCAAACTTATCTTTCGTCTCGCACTTTTCTTTTCCTAGACTTAGGATTTTATTTTTCAAGCACTTAGTGTAGTGAGTTCTTCATATTTCTAGTGTAAGTTTACATTTTTCTTGTCATTTAAATTCTTGTTTCGATTTATATTTCTTGTCATTTAAATTCAAGTTTATTTCGATTCCTTTACATTTCATTGTTATCGCACTTCAATTAAGTTTAATTTCAAGTTTATTTCATTTTATCGTTCTTATTGTTCTTATCGCTTTTATCTCGTTCTTGCTTTATTTATCGCTTTGATTTATTTTATCACACTTCAATTCTTGTCTTTACGTTTATACACATATTTACTTTAATTGCATTATTTTTACATAAAACCCTAAAAATCACAAAAAATATTCGTACGAAACCTAACCATCCTTGAGCCCGAGGAAGTGAAAGAATCTAGGCCAAGAGGAGGTTCCTTGCTTGGCCGATCAATCGCTTGGTCAGAAGTTAGAAACGCAACACATCCATCTATTCACATTCCATTCAAGCCCAAATTCAGGGCTTGGTGGTGGCACGCCCCGCATCCAAAAGAAGAAGGACCAAAAGTTCCTTCCGTCGGCCGCCCCGGCTGAAAAGAGGGAAACAGTTCCCTTATACATTAGTCCATCCTTCAATTGGAACTCATTAGTCATTCCTTGTCGCAGCTTGGCATAGGCTGAGTTGAAATCATCATCTGTGTTGTACCCCTTGGCATATTCCAAAGGAACAATGGGTTGGATTTGTCAACTAACTAGTGTAAGTAGTGTAGATAACATATCTGTCAACTTCTTAGTTGCTCTCTTCTTGTACTTTATCACAATATTGAATTGTTGTAGGTAAGACATCCATTTCATATGATGAACTTGCTGCAACTTAGACCGTGTAGTTAAAAACTAAAAAGGTTTATGATCTAAGTAAACTACCACTTCCTTTCCGTAAAGATAGCTCTGATTACCCAAATGGACATCCGCAATGGTGGGAGCCATAAGACCTATCGATCTCACTTCAGATAGCTCAACCAAGTTGTTGGGTGTGAAGACTGAAGCTTTCCGGGTCAGTTTAGAAGAAGATGAGATATAGAATGGGTTGGCCATGGAAGCCATAGGATCGAATACTCCTCCTCTCCCTTTCTCATCATTTTCATTTATTTTTGCGAATTCATCAAATCTCCTCAGACTAAAAAGTCCTGTAATGGTGCACTTCATGCACCCTCACCATGGTTTCCATCTTCAAGAACAAGACTACCTAAATAGGCCTCCATAACCATCGTTTTATTTGGGATTTAAATGTTATTTTATTTCATTTTTAATTTTTATAATTAATTTATAAAATGAACCCGGGGCTTTTTTTTAGGAGAAGACGAGGAAGCTGGATTTTTAAAATATATATATATATATATTATGTTTTCGTAATTTAGACTCTTATAAATTGTTCTTTTGTTTTTTTATTGTTATTTTTTCTTTAATTTTTTAGAAGATTAAGAATATATTTTTTATTTTTTTATATCTTAAGGTGGCTCCACTTTGCCACATCGTTCACCCAAATTAATTTGTCCATATCTCAAATGTATAAAATTACTTAAACACCCCTGTCATGTCATCAAATTTGGCAAACTTTTAGATGGAGCTAACAGCAGGGAGCAATGTGGAATATCAAACCTTGGTCAAGGAGGTAAAGTGAGTCATTTTGACTTTCAAGAGGCAATATGGGATTTGACCATCGTTTTAGAGGGCACTACAGCAAATCAACCTTTAAAAAAAAGGTGCGTAATGTATTAGGCAATTAGAGAAAGAGGTGAAATTAAGTGAGAGCATGGTGAGTGGAGTTCGTGATATGGTATAAGTGTCCAGTTTGGATGCCTAATGAATCAATTTATTTTCGGGAGACGTCATTAAGCCGTTGTGATATTTTTATTTATTAATGGATATACTTTCCATTTTACTTTTTAAAAAATATTTGAGGGTGGTACTCAAAAGATAAAAAATAGTTGGCCGGTAGGTATAGCTCATGTGTCTAGGGGTTCAAAACCCTGATCCCCCAATCGCTAGTACTAAGACACAAATTTTGAACCATATATATCAATAGCACAGATTAAATCTCACAACTAATTTATTATTATATTTCTAATAATAATTTTATTCAAATTATGATTATTTTAATCTAATAATTATGAATTGCACAGTACCCCAAATTCTACATCTCCCATCCGAGAGCAGATTCGCTGTCCCCATTTTATGTGTCCCTTCATGTCCCTTGCATAATTTTTTTACACGTATCTATTAACTTAACCGCCAATTAACAATGTTAAAGTATGTCCCTTCATGTCCCTTGCAAGATATAAAATAAATATAAATAAAAATCTAAAATCTTTTTTTTTTATGAAAAGGACTTTCATTCAATAATCAAATAGCATAATACACGGAGATGAAAACAAAAAGATGTGCAAGTTTGGGCCTCTGTAAAAGACCTTTAGCATAAAAAACCCCCAAAAAAGGAGGAGAATCCGCCAAAGGAAAAAGAGCACCTCCCACTTGCCATCAAACATAAAGATCAACCATTAGCTTCTATATCTGCAGAAAGAAAAGGAGTTAGCCATAATGGCTCCTCCTCAATCCATGTGAAAAAACCAGCATTCCGAGTGCCAAATTGAGCTAGCTCATGGGCAACCTTGTTACCTTCTCGTCGTTGCCAATTACAGGAGAAAGATCTAAACCACCCCTGCATCTCCTTGATATCTTCCACTATATTCCCTTCAGCTTCAAAACACTCTTCATTAGAGTTGATTCTATCTACCACCCCCTGCACATCCATTTCTAACACTATGTCACGAAAGCCAAGATCATACGCGAATTGAAGACCTTCCTTTGCAGCAGTTAGTTCCATAGCTTGTGCACTAAAATGTCCTATCACTTGTCGAGAACAAGCAGCCATAAACTCTTTATTTCCATTGCGAATCACTACTCCAACTCCCCGTAATAACCCAGCAAGTTTGGCTGCCCCATCAACATTAATTTTGTACTGACCATCCAATGGGGCATGCCAATTAACAGAACTCTTACTAGGCCCTTGCCTATTATGGGAGCATATAGGGGCAAAAGTTACAAAGTAAAACTCCGTCTGATAAGCCAAAGCTTTGTTAAACACTGATACACTCTCAAGACTGCGTCCTTGAAACAACAGATTGTTTCTGTCATTCCAAATATCCCAGCATAGAAAAGCAAAAAGATCCACCTCCTGTTTACTTGAGACCACAATCACAGCTTGCCAAAGTTCCTTGAAAGATGTAATTCTCCACTCATGGCGATTGGCACTCCAAGGTGATAAAGACCATATTGCTTTCACTTCACTACAAGCCCATATTGCATGAATAACTGACTCCACTTTCTTCCCACAACGTGGACATATTGGAGAATTCAAGATCTTCTTATGGTACAAATTTTGTCTACTAGGCAAAAACCCCCATATACATCTCCATAGAAAGAATTTGATTTTATTAGGCACCTGCAAACTCCACAATTTTTTCCATAAAAATGTACCATCTTGTGTCGAGGACCCTTCCATGCCATTTTCCTTTTGCTTCTTCATGCATGCAACCATATAACCACTCCTGACTGAGTATTTGCCGCTTTGATCATAATGCCAAATTAATTTATCCTCTCTATGATTTGAAGCTAGTGGAATTTGGAGGATAGCCTTCACTTCCTGTTCCCAAAAATTAGCTTTTAATAGTTCTTCATCCCATTGTCCAGCTGCATTAAACAACTCACATACTTTCATAGAAACATCGAATTGTGGCGTTGAGATAATCTTGAAATTCATTGGTAAAGGCACCCACCGATCCTGATAAACATATATATCTTCACCATTTCCAACTCTCCACCGCAAACCCGCCTTCAACAAATCCTTCCCCCATATCAACGAACTCCAAATACGTGAGGGTCAATACCCCAATCCAGCTTCTAAAAAATTACAATGCGGAAAATATCGGGCCTTGAAAATTCTCGCTACCAAGGAATTGCAATTAAAGAATAATCTCCAACTTTGTTTTGCCAAAAGAGCTTGATTAAAAGCCTCAAGGTCTCTAAATCCCAATCCTCCAATCTGCTTGCTCACACATAATGTCTCCCATTTAGTCCAATGAATACCCCGCATATTCTTACTTTTAGACCCCCAGAATTTAGCCATTAAGCCATGAAGTTCCTTACACATCCCCTTAGGCATCTGAAAGCAGCTCATCGAGTAGGTGGGCATAGCCTGTAACACAGCTTTAATCAGGACCTCTTTACCAGCTCTAGATAGGAGCTTTTCCTTCCACCCACTAATTCGTTTTCCAATTCGATCTTTGACAGTCCCGAAAATCTGCTTTCTTCCTCTACCTGTCACCATAGGCAAACCTAAATATTTTTCATGGCAAGACACCAACGGAATTTCCAGTAAATCCAAAACTATTTGTTTTTCAACAGCAGTAGCATTTGGGCTCAAACTGAAAGCCGACTTTGTAAGATTGATCTTTTGCCCAGAAGTCTCCTCATACACTTGAAATATATCCTTCACTGTTTCACATGATTCTTTAGTTGCATCAAGAAAGAGAATACTATCGTCGGCAAAAAATAAATGATTGACTGATGGAGCTCCATGAGCAATTCGAATCCCACGCAAACTCCCTATCATTTCAGCATTCTGCAACAACCTTGAAAAGCCTTCAGCACACATTAAAAATAAGTATGGTGAAAGAGGACACCCTTGTCTTAACCGTCTCTGAGGAACAACATGCCCGAATGGATTACCTTTCCAAAGCACCGAAAAGGTAACTGTTGTTAAGCAATCCATTATTCGTTTGACCCACTCTGAAGCAAATCCCAATCTCAACATTATTGCTTGCAAAAAGGACCACTCTACTCGATCATAAGCCTTATCCATATCAAGTTTAATAGCCATCTTTGTTTGTTGTCCCATCTTCAAGCCTTTCATAAAATGCATTGTCTCAAAAGCTGCCATCACATTATCAAGAATTTGACGTTGTGGTACAAAAGCACTTTGCGACTCGGAGATAACGGAAGGCAATAAGCACTTGAGTCTATTTGCAAAAGCCTTTGCAATAATTTTGTAAATCACTGTACACAGACTTATTGGTCGAAATTCAGTCACTCTGGAAGGTGTTTGCACCTTAGGAATTAAGGAGACTAGAGTATGATTAAATTCTTGGACACTACTTTCTCCATTCAATATCTGCAAGCACTTGTGCGATACCTCGTCCCTTACAATGTGCCAGTAACGTTGATAAAAAAGAGCCGGCATTCCATCATGCCCCGGTGCCTTTGTAGGATACATGTTGAATAAAGCAGTCTCCACATCTGCTCTAGTAAAAGGTTGGAGTAATTGGTAATTCATTTTATGTGTCACCTTTGGCTCAATCACTTGTAAGACTCTCTCTATATCCCTGCCACCTGAAGTAGAAAATAAATCATTGAAAAAATTGTAGAACATCGAACCAATAACTTGCTTATCTGTTTGCCAAAAATGATCGTCGTCGTACAACCCTTTTATTGTATTTTTCCGTTCCCTTGTGTTGGCTCTTTCGTGAAAAAACCTGGTGTTTTTGTCCCCTTCCTTTAACCAAGCAACCCTGGAACGCTGCCGCCACATTACCTCCTCTTTCTCGAGTAAGACAACAATGGTCCTTTCTACTTTTTTCTTTAGTAACACTTGATCTTGTCCCATTCGCCCCTGTAAAACCTCCAGTTCTTTATGGGCAGTAGCAAGCTACTTTTGCACATGCCCAAAAGTTAATTTATTCCATTTTGCCAGTTTCCCTACACAATTCTTAATTCCCTCCTTCACACCTCCCATAGCGTCAGTTGAATCCCAAGCCTCTCGAATAATATCTTCACAACCTTTCTCAAGTGTCCACATTTGTTCAAAATGAAATCTTCTTTTCTTCTTTGCCTCCACGATGGGAGCATCAGTCAATAATTCACCAAGTATCGGATAGTGATCTGACCCCGATGCTACTAAATGATATGTCAAACTATGACCATAATCTGCACTAATTCTCCCATTAACCACACACCTGTCCAACCTTTCCTCCATCATATCCCCACTCGGGTATGTTCTAGCCCAAGTGAAAGGATATCCTTGGTATGGGACACTACGCAAGTCGCAATCCACCAAGGCTTGGCGAAAAGAGTTCATTTGATATGTAGGGCGATCTCACAATCCTTTTTTTCTCTGAAGCCATCAAGATTTCATTAAAATCTCCAATGACTAGCCAAGGTCCATAGACTGACTGTGAGAGACGTCGAAGTAATTCCCAAGAAAATCTTCGATTTTGGGTTTCTGGATTCCCATAAAAGCCCGTCAAACAGAAACAATAATTATCTGAGGTTTTAACTGATACATGTATATGACCTGTCGAGTATGATAACAAATTCACCTCCCAACTAGTTGTCCACATCAACAATAAGCCTCCCCCTAATCCCACTCTTCCCACATAAATTCCCCCTGTCATACCACATTGAAATCTTCTTTTCTCCATTTGAGCTTTCGTCATCCGCGTTTCCATAAGGAACACCAGCTCGGGTTTTTTCTCCCTCAAAATACGCTTGAGAGAATGGAACGTCCCAGGGGTCCCGAAACCCTGGACATTCCAACTTAAAATTCTCATTGTTCGTGGTGGGCCAGTCCCACTGGTCCCACCACATGTTCTATCTCAACAAGTTTAACCTCTTTCTCTATCTTCACTTTTTTTTGTTACAAATGTATTTGTAACAGTCTCTTCCTCACATTTTCTTTTTCCCCCCTCCTTTCCCACATTGTTATCTAGCCCACTACCTGTATTTTCTCCAATCGGTTTCACCAGTCGTGCTTTGTGCTTCCATCTCCCTCCACATGCTTTAACCAATTCCTCTCCTCTTGTTTCAGAACCGCTGACATTATCAATTTGCATAAGTGCATATTGTTGAACTTTATTCGCCATATCTACTGATTCCACTTTCTTAGGTTCACTTTTCAATTCATTCTCTGCATCAGCTCGTGCTCCTCCTTGTACCATAGCATCCTCATTATTTTTTAATGTGCCCAATATCTTATGAAAACAATCTGCTACTGTCATAACATTGTCTCTCGAAAGAGACCCAACATCACCTTGTTGAGTGTCTATCTGATTTATCAGCACAGCTCCATTTCCCTTGCTTTTCATATCACCTCCCCTTCTATTTTCCTAAACACTCAGAATTTTAGGCATGGTATATGACTTATCAGCAGCTACTGCTTGTGCTGTCTCCCAAGCTGCCTCGCGCAACACTCGTTGAATTTCGTCTTCTTCTGCCTTCCGTCGGCGAGCAGCCTCAGCCAATTTGTCAGCCAATGAATTCCCCTTAACAGATTGTGAATTTATTCCTCCCTTCACCGCCCCCCTTTTGGACTTGAATCTATTTGCCAAAGATGCATTGTCAACTAAATCATCCTCAATTGTAACTGAACCACCAGTACCATGTTCCTTATGTTTAAAATAATGCCCATGTGGCCCACCTCTAGGCCCCTTATCTCCACATACTCCTGAACAATCTCCTTCTTTATTCCCAAAAGATCGTTGACAATTCCTCTCTTCCTCCTGCTTCCTTGGACTGATAGTTCTCCCCCTCCCCACCTCAAACTTCGAATGTAACCAAGAACCATAAGGCTTTTCTTTTGCTTCCTTCTCTATGGCACCCACCAATTTGCACTCCTTGACTACATGGCCAATCCTCCCACAAGCATAACAAAAATCAAGTAGTCGTTCATATTTGAACTCAATCACTACCTCTAAAGAGTGGTCAAATTGCAGCTTCATCACTCTGCGAAGAGGTTTGGTTCCTCCAACCGAACCCTAATACGCAAATACCTACCCAAACATTCACCATCTGCTCCTTCCATCACATCAATGCATTGGCCCAACCTATTTCCAATCTGGCGCCTGTCTTAACAGTCATTCTATTTAACGGCAGATTGTGTGCTTGAACCCAAAAATCAGCATTCTGAAGAACCATTATGTTCGGTGCTCTATTACCATCTGGTGTTTCTAGTAAGACCAATTGTTTATCAAAATTCCAAGGTCCCCCCTCGTATCACCATCTCCTTGTCCCGCATAGTTGTGAACGTGAATAAGAAAAGATTATCTCGTAGGTCCTTCACACCCACCTCTCGCATCGTACCCCAGGCCCTCAACATGGTTTGTTTGAAAGCCTCACGGTTGAAACCTTGATCAGTGAGTACCGTCCCTACCAAACAGAGATGGAGCCGCTCGTTCATCATTGTCGTATCATCTGATTCAATGTGAAGGCCGTCTTGTTCTTCGTTAGTTAACGACAACACCTTATCAAAAGAACACACCACTTCCTCCACATCTTCCTTCTCAGCCATAAAATCCATGCTATCCAACATAGATAACTAGTTTCGAAAACCCCTAATAGGCAGACAAGTAGCCGCAAAGAAACCTAGAAGAAAACTAGGAGAAAAACCCTAACCCTAGGCAGGGAGTAGACTCTCACCGAAAATTCAGGAGAGAGAGAGAGATGACTTTTGGGTGAATTCTAAGCCATTATAATAAAAATCTAAAATCTAAAATCTAAAATCTAAAAGCAAACAACTTAGTAGTAGTCACCACAACCCAACGAACGCCACCCCATCCTCCCTCCTCCCTTGTTCATCGCAAGCGTTGCACATCAAAGCATCCCTATCAGCACAACGACATTGATTGTTGAAAGTCACTATCTTTCTTAACGAAGTGATAACCACTGCAGAAAATACTAATTTCGCAAAACAAATACATCGAAAGATAATTGCATCACAATCCAAGAGAAAATTTGGATAAACTTGCATAGAACTAAAGGGAATCAAATCCCTAATTTCTTATTCTAGGTTACCATTTAAATGTTAAGGGGGTGTATTCAATTCTAACTTTTAAATACTTTTACAGTGTGTTTGGACGAGAAAATTTAAAAGTACAAAGGATTTCATAAATGACGGAAATTAATGTTCTAGAATTTGTAAAGTTTATTGTTTGGGTGATGGATTTATAACACGGAATTTAACATTTATTTGTAAAGTCATCTTTTTTAAAAACTCAATCTCTCTTGGGATTTTAGAAATGACGACTTTTAGATAGAATTTAAAGTTGGGATTTATGATATCCAAATTTCATGTTTTTTCCTTCGCGGAATTTCTAAATTTCTATGTTTTTTTATCCAAACACGGGAATTGGTTCATGTCAATTTAGAAATTCTGACTTTTCCCAAGTTTATTTCTCTTACCCAAACACACCATTACAGAATTTAAAAGTTTGGAGGTATTCAAGTGTGACTTTTAAATAGTATTTAAAAATTGAGTGGTATTCAATTGTGACTTTTAACAAGTAGTTAAAAGTATTTAAAAGTTTCATGGTATTCAGTTGTGACTTTTAAAAAGTCTTTAAAAGTTTGGTGGTATCCAAAAAGTTAATGCCTTTTAAAAAAACTTATTAAATTAATGACTTTTCCATATTTTTAAGGCTAATTGTTAATAGCAAAGGTCTTGCCAATTTACTAGTAACTTTTATCAACTATGCAGCTGAGTCGGTGGGTGCTCACGTTGGTGGCTGTTTGTTTTATTTTTCTTTCAATTTTAAATTTTTATTTTTTTAAAAGTTTTATTAAGTTAACAATATTAAGTGATTGAACACCTGTCAAAAAATTATGCAAGGAACATGAAGGGAAACAGAAAATGGGGACAGCGGATCCCCATAGCCTCGATGTGCCAAAAATTTCCCTTGCCTACTGCTAGTTATATTTGAGGGTGCGTAGAGAGAGAGACTGGGTGCAAACGGGGAATTCCTGACATATCAGTGACGATGTCTAACCAAGGCCCAAAATGGGCATCTAAGCAAACGTAAGCAAGCCCCAGGTCGACTCGGGCCCGGATTGCTCTTGTTATTTACTCTCTCAGCAACACAAAGGGGTTACTTTTTCTGCCACCACTTTCTTCACTCACCGACAGAAAGAGGCGGGTATGGATCTTTCTTTCTTCGATTTCTTACCATTTTTCATGATTTCTTTTAATGGTTTCAGTTCTTCGCTTTCAATTTTCTTTACTAGAGTTTGTTAAACCATCTGTTAATGCTTTATTATAGTGTTTTCCTTCTTCCTTCGTTGTTGTTGTTTTTTGTTTTTTATTTTTTTTGCATAGATTAGTTTGATTTATTATCTAAAAGCGGGAACTAAATCTCAAATTTTATGTTTAAAATTCGATTTTTTTCTGCCCTGCTTGATTTTATTGGTTGCGTTCAATTTGTTACTCAGAGTTTTCAACCTTAGCATATGCAAGTAGTTGTTAATCGTAAATCTCTCGCATTATACTCTTGTTGTGGAGGGCACGGTTCCTCATGTTATGTCGCATTGTATTTGTTTCCCCTTTGGGCTTATTGGGTAATGCTTAGAAGAGTATTTGTTGCTGGTTGAGATGTATGGGATTGCCATTGTGGTCTCTTTGCACATTTATTGACTCAGTTTCTCTCTTGTTTGTGCTTTGGGTTACTGGGTACAGATCATTTGGGTCACAGGAGAAAGATGAAGAGCCAAAGCAGTTATGCCCCACCGGCGTACATTCCTTTAGGGATGTCGGATTCTGAATCGGCAATTGTTTTGCGAAATGAAGAGCCTCCCAAGGAGCAAAACAGTGTTGATGGGCCTGTACAATGGTCTTCTGGAATCTGCGCATGCTGTGACGATATGCAGAGCTGTACGCTACTTTCTGCCTTGTGACCTTGATTTATCAGAAGGAAAAAAAATGAAGGTGCCTCTTGAGTAGGGAAAAAAAAATTAGCTTGTGCTTGTCATACTTCATTTTCTTAGGACTTTCTTAGAAAGGCTAGGATATGAGTTCAGTTATTTAACTAACCATACAATAATATTGCTCAGCTCTTAGCTTGCTATGTGCTTAACGTTCTCTGAGTACTCTACATTATGTGTTGGACGTCTATTGTGTCTGAATTTGTGGCTGGTATTCATTTTGTATTATTTAGAAGACATTCCAAAGAAAGGAAGCAGCTTTAAGAAACCATAGGATTCGACTGACTCAAGTTAAAGCATACTAGTTCGATCATCGATGTGCAAGTTACATAAAATATATAAGTTCCAAATGAAGGCATTGACTTTTATATCAAGATTAGTAGCTCAGAAGCTAGTAAGCTTTGCATATCGTTTGGTTTTGCATGCTTATTCAAGCAGCAATATTTTGAGTTTCCAGTTTGGGCCAATTTAAACTACCTTAAGTTGGCTAGTTAACGTCATGGATGATATAGTTCTTTATTGGTCCCCATGTTTAGCAGTTTATGTATAAGAGAAATGTTTCTGGTTTTTTTCTAACATTCCAGTGTTACTAGCTCTGAGAACCTATAAGATTCGGCTAACCATTTCCTTGTATCCGATGAGTAATTTCTCTTGCGGTCTTACCCTTGATTACCATGGCGCCCATAATTACCATCACCCACCAATACTGCAGGGACAATAAAGTTACGAAAAAAGAGTTGGTCTCCTAATTTTTATTTATTAATATATTTATAAAATAGCAAACCCCTTGAATTTTTGGAGATAAATTTGGATAAATATTATTTATAAGCTTCACATCTTAAGTAATTTAAATCTGATTTTGAAGACATCAAATCCGGTCTGATGTGAGATAAAGCATTGGCTGTTGGTAAATAGTTGGTGTTGTTAGTAGTGAATATAGAGATAATAATGGTTTGTAGAGGTTGAATTAGAGGAGGTCATTCATTGAGCTTTGAACATAATGTCTCCACACACAAACTAATGATCTGCAGACTGGTTAAAATGGTTAGTAGGCCTTTCTTGTTTGAAGAATAAGTTTTATCTATATGGGTAAAAGTTCAAATGAAGAAAATGGGAATTAGGTGGACTGAGTATAATATGACTTGTTTCTTTTCGTTTATCATGATAACGCATAATACATGGGAGCAACATTTGAATTTTGGTCAGTTACACAAATATCACTGTGAGCGCAAGCCAACAATGATCATCTAATTGCTGATTTTTGTTTTGTACAGGTTGTATAGGTCTATTTTGTCCTTGCTTTTTATTTGGAAAGAATGCAGAATTTCTGGGTTCTGGGACATTCATAGGATCATGCATGACTCATTTTATTTTGTGGGCACTCATTAATACCGTCTGCTGCTTATTGACTGAGGGTCTTGTTTTGGGAGTACCGGGATGCTTTGTTGCATGTTATGCTTGTGGCTACCGCAGGACCCTAAGATCAAAGTATAATCTTCAGGTATAGCATTGTTTATCAGTTTTCCAGGCTATAGATTGTTAATAGTGAAAAAATTGATTTTGTATATTTGAGAAATCCCAAATAAGTGGCCCTTTAGAAATATTAAAAAGTGATTATATTTTATACATGCTTGTTCTTTTCTTTATTAGAAGAACTCTCCTTTTTTTATTTATTTTTTATTTTTTTATTTTTTTGCTCTTTTCCTTTAAGAGATAATCCCATTTCAATTAGCTTCGGTTGCCTTTGATGGCCAATTCTGTTTCAGTTTCATTAGAGGTTACAGAAAATGATTACCAAAGATGTGATATTTATTGGGTGACATGTTGGGCCTGAGTTGCAATCAAAGGCATCTTAAACCAATTGGCAATTCGTGGCCTTGCATGACAATATATAAGCCTCTTCATTTTTATATTGTCATGCAAGGCTTCAAATTCCCAATGTGGGATTTATTCTCAACAAGGGAAGATATAATTACCGTGCTTGTGTTAGGGAATATGAATTTATACGGGGCTCGTTGGAAAATAGTTTATTGTATAACTTCAAAGTAATTTGGGGGGCAAGGTCACGGATTACAAACTTTGTGGGACAACTTCTTAAGTTGAGTTTTATGGCTTCACTAGGGCTTATCATTTCTTGTGATTTCATTTTGTAGGAAGCACCATGTGGAGACTTTGTCACTCATTTTTTCTGCCATTTGTGTGCCATTTGTCAAGAGTACAGGGAGATGCGAGAAAAATCTGCTGATTCTGGCTTTCCTGACCTGAGTCTGGCCATAGTTACAGCCCCACCAGTCCAGACAATGGAACCGGGTCTTGAAGAGTAAACCACTGTTTTTGTACTCATGCAGGATCAGCATTTGGTCTAGGTTATGCAACCTTCATCATGCCCCAGTGGATATTGTTAGTGAAGCCCTCCACAATTTATTTTGTCTTTTAAGTTCTTTGGTGTAGTGACCAGGGTTGATTTAATTATGCTATCAGTCCTATGGTGTGCTTGTTTCAGTGGTTCTGCTTCAACCTGCAACCTATGCGGCTTTTCCATATGAAAGTACATCATGAATTTTATGAAATGAAAAAGAAAATAGGAGTTGAAAAACAGTACTCTCTCTCTCTCTCTCTCTCTCTCTCTCTGTTATATTCCGGTATCCAGGCAGATTTACTGTTCGTACTGTCTCATTCCGTGCTTATATTTTCTGTGTAAAGGGCCCCATCTCCCCTCAATGTTCATGGTTGCATTTGCATCATCGTGCATGTTGAATACAAAAGTGGAAAAGAAATTTTTTGCCTACCACAAAATCTGAAAATATCGACTGGCACAACAAGCTCAAAATCAAAGCTTCCGAAAGACTGGAAATCAGCTTATGCAGAAAATTGATTCTGGTTAATTGTAAACCACTTGATCGAGATGACTCTAATATCAAATCTTATATAGCTGAAAAGACTTGGATAGTGTAAATGGTGACTCCTTCTCCTTCCGGGAGGCCCTTGGTATGCAATTTGGCTTTGGTTAGAGAAAAGTGGCCTGGGACTCAAGACATTCTAATAATCTTGCGCTCAAAGACATTCGGAGTTTGACGTGTCATGTTTTAGGTCGTTAGGTTATTAGAATGGTCCAAATATAATGAAATACGGGTAAATTCACACTATCTGAATGCAGGGACTTGGAATCCGAGCTGGAGATAGGCCATGATGCCTGTTAGGACACCCATCGCTCAGGACATCTATCACCTTGTTGGATTAGTTGAGGTTAAGATTGGGCATGTGTTTTGTGAGGCCATGATTGTTGAAGATGTAGTTCCTATTCCTTGGATGAGATTTTGCTTCGACTATATTTTCCTCCTTGTTCTAGAAAAAAAAACAATTAAAAAAAGAACTCATTGATACAATATTCACTGTTGTTGTCATTGGGGGCTTGACTAAACATATGTGATAATTTGTTTATCAAGAAAACAAATTACGACAGAAATCTAGATACACACATAAAATAAGAAAAATTAGAAAGCCATACACTAGGATGACAGGAGTTATGTCCTAAATTAGCAACTATCATTTAGCGTCCCGCTTCAAACTGGTCCAGAAGCTTTTGAACGTCATGAACTTGCGAAGAGCTATTTTGGGAATTTGATGGTCCTTTATGGTGTTCCCATTTTTTTTCTTTGGGAATTCAATTTCTGGAAGGATCCTATAGTAAGGATCTTAGATGAGGTCCTATCTCTTAACAGTCGAATCAAGCTAACCAATTTGATCCGATGATTAGAAATATGGCACTAAGGGCCTTGGTATAGGATGACTCAGATGATGACAATAGTTGGACGTGATCAGATTTGTGCTGCACTCATAGGTCCATGACAATAATTTTACTCTTATTCAGCGAAGCCCATTCCTTTTTTGGACTTTCGACTTTTGACCCACGCTATTGAAAATCAAACTTTATTTTTTCTTTTTTCTGGTAAAAAAAAATCAAACTATTTCTTTCTTTCCAAACACACTAAGAACTTTACTTTTTGTTTTCAATTTGTTTTTTTAGCAGAAATTGTATCCTTTCTTTCTTGGGATTCATTGTGTATTTTTTTTTCTTTCAATTATTCTTATCATCTAAGATTTATTATAATTAAAATTTCAAATAATTGCTTCAAAATGAAAATTACGTAAAACAATAGTTCAATTCAAATTCAAATAATTAGAAAATAAAAATTGAAATATGAACCAATGTCCCAACAAAATTCTCTTTAAATAATGATAAAATCAAATTTTTTTTATAAAAAAAAATTGAACACAAGCGTAACAGCAAGTTGAGAGGCTAATATGTAAATAAAATCATTCTACTAAAAAATTTCATAAAATCCAAAAACAAAAAAAAACATTGAGATTATTATCAACTCCTCTTATAGGTTGTTTTCTTTGTTGCTAGAAGACTCATCAATGGCATTGGGGTCCCAAAACATGGATGCGAATAACCTTCATCAACGTTTCTTTTTGCGTTCATGTTCATGTTCGTCATCAAGTTCTTGTTCTTGTTCTTGTTGGTGTTTGTCTTCGTGTTCTCGTTCTCCTTCATCTTGTTGTGGCAGGGCTGCTTCTTGTTTTCTCTTCCGGTTAGGGTTGGGTCGCGAGAGTAATTTTGCTCTACGGCTACAATTACTTTGCGCTTTGGTGAATGAAAGGGTGCGTTTGGTGCCATTTTTGGTGTGTGGAAGAGTTGTCGCGTTGGGAGCACCAAGAGCAAGGACAATTGAGACGAATGAGTTTGGGTTTTCTGTCGTTTCTCTTTTTGTTGAACTCTCCATGTTCAGTGTGTCCTTCATCATGAATGTGTAGAAAACAAAGTGTGAATTGAAGAGAACAAGTATGTCTTTAATTTATAGGGATATTTGCAATCTTATGTTCAAATAAGGGAAACTCTACGAATCCAAAAGCAATAAGGAGAAAGTAATATCAAGTTTCCACTTAGGCCTATTCACATATAATTAATTCCTTGCGGGAAAAGGAAATTAATAAATATCAACACACAAGCCAAAAAAATAAAAAATAAATATAACTAACCAGAAATACAATTGAAAGAAATAAGTGTGTTCCATGTAAACAATGACTGTAAGTCTGCTAATATATTCATAGTCATGCGCTGCATAAAATGAAAATCATGTTTGTTCATTGCGTAAAAATCCCCAAGAAATATTAGAATTATTGTTACATATATAAAATATATCAATTAGAATTTTGAAAACACCTACAATTTTAATATTTTAAAGGGCTAACGACAAAAGACCCCCTTAAGGTTTGGGGTCATTCTCAATCTAGGCCCCAGAGTTTCAATTTCATCAATTTACATATTCTGTTAATAGTAGGTTGAGTTGGCCTAAAAATGAGTTGTTATTGGGTTCAAAAAATCATAAATTGTTATGTACGGAATGAAATTAAAACCGACCCAACTCAACCCGTGTCCACCCTTACCGTTAGTCAATATGATCCAATCCGTTAATTTTACCGTTAAAATTATATTATAAACCTTTTTTACTTTTAAAAACCTAAAAGCATTTTGAAATTAATTATAAAAAATTGAATTAACTTTAAAATATTAAAACTTCATTAAAACATAGCAAATGATGAAAAAGACCCTCCATCACCAATCCCTTGACATCACAGTTTCTTCAGCTTTCTACAGCTTCTCCAAAGCCAAACCAAGCCCCAATCACCAGTCCAGCTCTAATTCCAGATAATCAAAGACTTTCCAAACCTAATTCTGCATCAGAACCCATATTCTGTATTGGCATCAACAGCTTGTTCAAAACTTTCCCCATAACAAACCAAGATTGACAATTCTTTCAAAGAAAGGAAATTGAGAATCCACATGAGGAAAAGAGGCCTGGAGAGATTGATACACATATAGGTGAGTTCGGTGCATGTTGCAGAGAGAGAAGTACCTCAAATTGTTGAGGCACAAAAGTAAGAGACTAAGAGAAGGAGATGATCAGCAAAAGTGGTTGATTTTGTGGTGATGAACGGGTGGTGGGGGGGGTGGGTTGGGTGGCGTGGGGTGGTGTGAGAGTTGTAGTGGCAGAACTCGAGGTAGCAACCGAATCTTAGAAAAGCGCAGACGGGATTAGTAGAAGGGATGTACAATTCTGTTCTACGTTTCGATGATGACGGCAGATTGGATGGGCGGGCAGGGGGAGGTGGCTGGGATTATAATTTTTTAAAACTTTTTAATAGAAAATTAACGAATTGGACCACATTCCCTAAGGATACTAAACACAAGAACCACATTGGCCAAAATGTTTTTATCACAAATGGTATTTAAGGTTTATGAAGTTATCACCTTCTGTCAGTAACTTTCTTTGTGACATTAATAGTCCTAAGGTGACCCTCCATACATCAAAATGGTCTCTACCGTTAGTATCCGTCAAATTTTCTGTTAAATTGCTGACGTGACACATGTGTAGAGCCCACACGTCCAATATATAAAAACAAAAATTAAAAGCAACTTAAATCTTTTTATATATTTTTAAATATCTTTTATAAAAACAAAAATTAAAAGCAACTTAAATCTTTTATATATTTTTAAATATCTTTTTCTCTCCTTCCCTTTCTTTGTGTGGGCTCCATTCATGTGCCACGTCATCAAAATAATGGAAAATTTAACTGAAGCTAACGACAAGGACCTTTTTGACGTGCGGAGGGTAACCTTAAGGACTATTAGTGTCACAAAAAATATTAGGGACAAAATGTGATAATTTCACAAACCTCAGAGACAATTTGTGATAAAAAGCCTTGGCCAAATTAAAAACATAGGGACTAAATTGGCTAACACGGTAAACACAGTGATCATCTTGACATTTAAGTCTTTTTAATATATATATATATATATATATAAAGCAAAAGGCAAAAAATGAAAAAACATTCAAATATCCAAAAAATATCCTTGATTAACCAAAGTGCTTAATTACTGCAAATTAATATAATAGGAATAAAATAGTAAAACACTTATTTGCTCAATTATAAATAAAAAAATAAATTCCACCTAGGTAATTGTATGAAGGAATTTACTGTAAAATCCCAGACCCAATTTAATTTTTTTTTGAAATTACAATTTTGCCCCTGGGGGTAAGGTCACTCTAGCCACTTTTTAATTGCACTGTTGCGTCGGGCTCGTCGATACGAGTTCATAGCCAGGTGGCACGCTCGATTCTGAGTTGTAACGAACGCATACAGGTCTGAAAACTCAAAGGACATATTGGTCATTTCAATTGTTCAAAAAACCTTAAATACCCCACCCTCCCCCTTGTGCACGTTAGACCCCCTCCCCGAACTCTCTCTCTTCTCAATCTCTCTCCTCCAAACGACGACTCTCTTCTTGCCGTCGATACGCCGCCGTCACGACACTTGTCCCAAATGAACGACGTCAAGCTCCTTTACCGAACCACCCAGTTTCCCAGTCGGAAACCTCGAGAAACGACGACGGTGGCGACTGGCAATTTCACCAGTTTTTCGGCATTGTTTCTGACGACTCTGGCGACAGTTTCTTCAAATAAGGTATGTATTTTCATCCACTCGTTGTGTTCTACCTGGTTTGGTAGGTATTGAGGATCGATTTTGGGTTTTTGAAACTAGAAATTTTCGATTTTGGTATAGGTAGTGTAGGATGTTTCAAGAAATTTCCGTCATCAGAAATTTCTCAAGGCACCCACATGCTGCCGGCGCTTAGGCCATTATGTCCTGTTTTGACCCCCATGTCGTTCAGAACACGACGATATGCTCGGATTTGAATTTGGTTATCGTTTGACAGTCAAATGGATTTAAGCATATTAGGCAATATCTGAGTTCGATATGTTCAAACCATTGGATAGACTTTATTTTCAAATATGTTGATCTAGGTATCTTTAGGACAATGTAGGAATTCACGGATCGAGAATCAGAGTCTTGAATACTTCGAAGCAACGATTCAAAGATTTCGTAAAATGGTGACCGTCCGATTGTGTGATCACGAGTGATCCGACCACTCGATCTAGACCAAACTTGTAGGACATATTTGGTAAACTTTGTTGAACCCGTAGGATCAACCAAGAAAAAGACTATTTTACCCCATGGACAAAAAAATCTGGGCCATCACTCTCCATCCTCGGGCCACCAATTCCGGCAAATAAGGTATGGAATTTCGACTATTTTCCATGCTCTAGCTTATGATGGGGTAGGATTTGATCAATTCCCAGCGTAGGAAACCGATTTTGGAACTAGGTTTTGGCCGGATTTCTGGTTGAAATTCCGGCCACTTCCGGCCATTTTTCGAGGTATGTCCAAACAAAAGTGGCTCCAATCGATGTCCTGAACCTAGGGTTGGAAGCTTGGCCCTTGATTTTGAGATTCAGCGATTGGAATTGCTTTGGACACCCACCAATTGCCGGTGCGTGTGGCGGTGCATGGGCATTGTAGCAAAGGGGCATTGTGTCCCAATGCGATCCCTTATTTGTCACGAGCGCTTAGGCGTGCTCGGATTCCAATTCGGTTATCGTTTGACCCTCCAACGGATTTTGCATATTGTGCGATTTTCAAGTTCGATAGGTTCGAATCGTTGGATCGAACTCAAACTCACATATGTCGTACCTCGTATTTTTAGGATCACAGATGATGAATCAGAGTCCCGGATACTTCGAAATCACGGACCCTAGGGTTAAATAACCATAACCATCCGATCGTACGATCGTGATCAATCCGACTATCCAATTCGAACAAAACTTGCAGGACGTGATTATTAAAATGTGTAGAACCTATAGGAAATCTCGGTTTGACATTTGGAGGTCATGGACCCCACGGGGTCCCTGGTTGACCAATATGAAAATTTATTGCTTATCGAGTCTCGGGTCTTTTCAGACCGTTCTAACCATCCAAAATGCTTAAGTGGGCATAGGAATGATCTTAAATTTGGTACATGCACTCTTAGGAGTCGGGGGTCAGGGTTTTGGGATTAAATATTTATGTTGAGTATTTTATTGATTAAATATTTATTATGGCTCAAATAGGTACTCGGGCTCAAGCAGACCCGCAGGAGCGACCCTCAAAGGGCCCAGCTAGCTCGGACGCTCAGTGAGTGGACTTTTGTTTTATAAATGAATTTTATGCAATTAAATTTCATTATTTGATCTTGAATAAGTTTTATTTATTGCGATTTTCCTAGCATGATTGATGAATTTAAATATTTTTATTTATATGCTGCCAAGTTGAATATGCTAAAAGGATATGGAAAGTAAGAATTGAGATAGCTATCGGATTGAATGGCAACAGGATTTTAGGATAATTAAGAATAGTTTTATAAATGCTAATCTTTTCATAAATATGTATATTTATTTTAAACCACCATAGGTAATATGTATATTTATTTTAAACCACCATAGGTACCCAAGGTTGCCTTCGGAATAAATGTTGCCTCGGTTATAAATGTTGTCTTCAGAATAAAAATTGTTGCCTTCAGTATAGTCAGCGCGCTTGACTTTTGCCCCACGGGTCTTAGGGATATCTGGACCGTGGGAACGAGGAATGCGGATCAAGTTGACCAAATGGCTCCTGAGTCCAGCGATGATTGCGGCTCGGGTTACTTTGTGTTTCCCGAGGCCTGCGAGGACGTGTAGCTTCGGTGGCATGAGGAATTGACGGAAAATAAGGGAATTGACGGAAATAAAATGGGTATACCTAAGTGGTAGAGAAATATTTATTTTTCAATATTTAAATGTTTGATGGTTTTTGTGAGTGTGTGAATGATTATATAAATATAAATATGCGTGTTTGTCTTCTGTACGCATATAGTATGCATATGGGTTTTCTAACCGTTTTTACAGTGGGGTTAGTATGTTCATATATTATTTTCTAAAACTTGGTTTTTGTCCACTCACATTTTTGAATGTTTTGCACCCCCAGGCAATAGACGTGCACCAGAGCACCACCACCAGGCAGTTTCCACACTCCGCACCACTCTTTCTCTCTCTCTCTTTTGTAGGATTTCTTTTGAAATCATATTGTGCTGTTGTAAATTCTTGAATTAGTTGCTCTGATGAATTGCCCTATGACTTTTTGTATGGTCTGAGGCCATTTAGTTTAGTAGAACTGTTTAGATGTAAATCAAATGCAAGCTGGAAGTTGGGATATGTTTATATGCTTGTTGACAGGTTGAAATTTTGGGAAATGATCAAATTACAAGGGAGACTCTGCTGAATTTTCGGCAGAAGTTGAACTTGTAATTAAATTTTGAACTTTAGTTAAAAAGGCAATTTAGTCATTTGTGCCCGGCACCCGCCAGGTGTCGGACACGCATAGGGTTCGGCTCAGATTTCAAAGTGGAATTTGGGTCGGGTCCTGTCATTTGACCCCTCGGACAGTGAGTCTTCCGAGGTAGTTTCACCCTTTGAAAAGTACTAGAATAACCTTGTAACGAGTCCTGATTGTTATTTGAGTTATTTTGATTATGTTGGGTTTATGAGATTGTTTTATAGTATTTTATGGAATTTATGCTTTTGTGAGTGGACTTTGTTTTGAAATAGCATTACTTTCAACAATTAAATTATCATGCATTTGAGATGGATTTTTGTGATTATAGAGTGTATATATATATATATATATATCATTTAATTGTGGAGATTTCGATTATCTTGATAATTGAAGTCTATAATTATATTGTACATGGATTATATGTTTTGCGAGATTGATATATGTTTTAGGACTAAATAATTAGGCAAGTAATGGATAAGAATTGGGTACTTGTTGATTATTATATGAGTATGTAATTGCACCTTGCTAAATACCCTTCCCTGGTTATTGTACCCACATATGGTGTTGGATTATTCGGCATGTGGGCACATTCGATTATATTAGTACTTTATCACAAGTGGCATTGGATTGTCCAGTGTGTGATAAAGCAGTCTGCGTGCGTAGAACATGGTTTGTTTGGGACACACGTGGCGTTAGATTATTCGGCGTGTGTGCTCACTTGGATACTGGTTACTTTACCACACGCACGCGTTGGATTTTCTTGCGTGTGGTAAAGGATCTATGCACTTTGGATACTGTTACTTTACTATGCGTGGCATTGGACTCTCCGGCATGTAGTAAAGTAATAGGGAGAGGGAAAATAATTTTTATACTATATTGGGAAAAGAATTAATGTTTAAAAGAATTAACTTGTTGGTATTACTGAAAATAATTGTATATTATCTGGTTCGTGATTATGGATTGAAGAACTACGTGTGACTTGATTCCTCAGTAAGGGTATGTAGGTAGTCTGGGTCTCACCCAGGTGCAGCCGCAAGATAAACTATATTTTTGGAACTTTAATATGGTCGTTGGGATCAAATCCTATTTATTAGATTTGTTGAGTTTGGTTTGAAATTGGTGGTGGTTGTGACGGGGCTGAATCCCGTTTTAGATTGACGAATGATTGTGGAATGAGTCTTTACAACTATTTATGACTGTGCTTGGATGGTAGACTGTGCATGCTGAAATTTGGGAATTTTTAAACTACGATGTTATTATTTTTACAAGTGAAAATAATTTGGCAAATGTCCATTTTTCGAGGGAGACTCTGCCGAAATTTTGGCAGAAAGTCTTGACCCTCTTTTCCTTTGTTTTTGGAGTAGAGGATAATGTTAGTCAGTGAGCCCGGCATTGGGTGGATGTTGGAAAAACCACACGATTCGTCACGGATTTCTAGGAATTCGGGGCGGGTCCTGTCATTTACTCTCCTACCCCATCCACATTCCTCTTTTTACTCCCCACTCCACTCCACCCACATTCTTTTTTTTAGTTTTATTTTCAGTTTTCTATTTTTAAATATCTTTATATTTACTTGATGTAAAAAAAAACATGATATTTGCATATGGAAAATATATATATATATATATATATATAAAACAAGTCTTTCTTAAAAATTTAATATAAATAAAAAAAGAGAAAAATAAAAAGGCCAATTGGCACAAGAGACTAGTAAAATAGAAGGAGAAGATTGAAAGGTAATCTATCCTAGCTTTCCCAATTCAAAAAATTGTATATAAAAAAATCTATAATTTTGGGAAAGAACACCAATAAAATAAATAAATAAATAAGAATCCAATGATTATGGCATGTTTACTTATTGGAAATAGGGGAAGCCATGAATCGAGGAACCTTTTAAATTGTATCAACTACTCCTTCTAGTTGATCAAATTCTTGTTTTTGAAAGTATTGGTTTACGTGTTTTATTGTGGAACCAATATATATATATATATATATTTATGTTACTTATGTGTTAGCAAATGTTGAGCAAATTAGGAATTGGAATAATTCCAACATCTATGTGTCTACATACACAGTGGAAGAATGTATTGGAATTGCAATACTCATTTCTCATGACTAAACATGTTATTATTAACAATATTTAAATCAAGACAATATTCAATATATTTCCCAACTTATTCTAAAGATTATATGCAAAACGACCATCTCAAAACAAATGAGGTAAAATGTTGAATCCACATTATAAAGCGCACATGAAGTAAATAAAGAAAAAGAAAATCTTGATATCAATTCCCTAGTACTTTAAGGGGTATTTTTTTATTTTCAATTTTATGTAATATTATGTTTTATTCAAAATTATTGTATGATATTGAGATATAGTCACATGGTACAACTTGTCTAGGTGCTATAATTATAGACAGACGACATGATTCATATTTCTCACTTTTAGAATATGGTGTCAATAAATATCCACTCACAAAAGATAGAAGGAGTAAAGACACCAAGTCATAAAATAATAGTGATCATGTGAGATTGTGGCCTACAATTCAGAAAAATAAAATTATATTTGTGAACTTTCAATGTTTTTAGGTTAAAATGTTCTGAAAAAATAAAACATTAAGTTATAAACAAAACTAATTCAAGAAAAATTAATCGTAACAAAAAAGTTAAATCATTCTTAAATAATTAATTGAGTCGGGCAGGGTTGTAGAAAAAATGTTTGAGTCCAAGCAATACATGAATCTTTGTATTTTAAAGGCGAAATTTTAGGTTTGAGACCTCTAGCATTGAAGATGGGTTGATGAGAGTTTTTTCCCTAAAAAAAAAATTTCTTGCGAGGTTATTGTTATTAATTTTTGTAATCTTGGTGAACCCATAAGAGAGTAATGGGTTTGGATTTAGTCTTGAGTCTCATGGATCGATCAGTCAAACCAAAAAAAATAAAGCTTGAGAGTAAAAGTGTAAGGAAACAGGTCAATATATTTGGATTTGAATGATCATTCGATGATGACTCAGACTCGATGATTCAAGTTTTATAAAAAGGGGTATTATAAATTTGGGTTGAACAAAGCTTCCAACAATTTGGTGTTAACCCCTTCTTCTTCCTCTTTTGCTTTTCTTGGAGGTGGTGGTGTCATTTGGCTTTTTGTCTGGTGTTGGATTAATATATAGGTAAAAAGTCACTTTTGGTTCATGTAGCTTACCAATTTTATCACTAAGGGTTTGAGTTTGATCAATTTTGTCCTTGTAGTTTGAATTCCAAGAAATTCAAGGACAACTTGAAGGAAACCTTGTATTTTTTAAAGATAATTTGAACATTCATGAAAGCTTAATGAACATTATGGCAACAAAAGCTTAAAGATTAAAACATGATTTCAAAACAAATCATTTTCCCATATCTTTAAGCCTAAATGATTGAAGCACCTACACTCTTTTAATCACTACATGAGGGAGAAGAAGTTCCTTTATATCTTTGAAGCACTACCTTGAAAAACCTCAAGGTTTGATCACCCATGAAGGGCCTTCACTAAAAGATTCTCCAAGAGAAAACCACACAAATGCATGACCTCTAATTTCATACACACCAAAGAAGAGAGCATGGGGAAGGAGATGAGAACCTAGGGAGGTGTAGGTGCTAGCATCACACTCCATAGGTGGTTGGCCATGGTAGAGGGGAGAATCAGAGTGCCTCACTAGCCTCACTCAATCCCCAAAACTCAAAACCTAAGTTGACTCAAGGCTTAGCTATGTATATAGGCTAGGCATTTTAATATGGGTCACCCATGTCCCATGTGAGTCATCAAATGAGTCAAACCCATTCCATTTCCCTTATGGCCAATTTTGGCTTATTTATTGGGTCTCTTGTGCTTCTTCATTTAAATTGTCATCTACAACTCATCTTATAAGCCCAATAGGCCTCTAACCTTTATGATCCAAAACTTATAGTCGATAGAACTATGAATTCCTAGTTTATAGGAATAAGGGAACGAGAGAAATTTTAAGACAATCAGAGAAACAAAAGGAAGAAGCTTAGGAATTGGTTTGAGTTCAGCTTGTCTATTTCATTCATCAAATGGGGTTTATATACAATTTCATCATCCTAAACTAGCAAATTGAAAATAGCAAGTGTTTTTAAACCATAAGAGTTGAATGGTTTTAAAACATTTACGTACATAAGCCGTACAAAGTTGGTGGTATAAAACCAATTGTTTTAAACCAAAAATTATTATGGTTTTAAAATAATTAAATAATGATATAATAGTATATGATTATTTAATTATTTTGTTTGAAATATCCTCCTAGATCATGGCTCCCTCATTTAAAATGCTTGAGCTCCTGGTCAAGCTATACTGTGAGACTCTGTTATTGCCTTGTCTCGAATATACCACTTCAACTTGCTAGGAAGTTGACCCTTTTAGCCAACGCGAAAATATTCATATTTTCCATGATGGGTTTCACAAACCCTCTGCTATAAGATACAATCCTCATGCAAATGGTCTTCTCGTTCAATCTTTAAGTCATCAACTGATGGAAGGCTAGTGTCTTCGTCTGGATCATTATCAAGTAGAGATGGCTCAAAAAGCTGAAGATTCCCGGCGTTGATGACCGAGTACATATGCATGTATAGTGGTAATTCAAGTTGAAAAGCATTATCACCCATTTGTTTGATGATCTTGAACGGTCCATAACGAATAGGCTTTAGTTTGTTGCCTTCACCTGTTAGCCGCTCCTTTCCAAGGTGTAACCATACTGGGTCACCTTCTTTGAAGTTACATAGCACACGATGCTTGTCGTGGCGAGCTTTATATTATTGCTGACAACATTGCAGTTGTTCCTCCACTTCAATATGAATCTTTCTGACTCATTCGAGAAATTTTTGTGCTCTAACATGTTCTTCTTATTTGCCTCTTAATGGCTGGTCACTCAAAGTGAATGCTAAATCAAAAGGACTCTGGGGTCAATAACCCAAACAGGCCTCAAATGGAGTTTTGAGTGTGGAGCAATGAATTACTCGGTTAAAAGCAAACTGTAAGTAAGGGAGATTTTCATCCCAAGTCTTCGGATGCTTGGAATTGTAACCCTTCAACAAGTGTACCATAGTCCTATTTATGACCTCCATTTGCCCATATGTTTGTGGATGAAATGCAGTGCTTATTTTCAATATGGTATCCATCATTCCCTATAACAACCTCTAGAAATGGCCTAAGAATCGACTGTCTCTGTCAGAAATAATGCTTCCAAACATGATGGAAAAATAACTTAGCAGCTCATTCTCCAATGGTGGTTTTCTTGCATGGAATGAGAATCACTATCTTACTGAAACAATCTACCACCACAAATAGGTAGTCATTTCTAGACTTAGTTTTAGGCAATCCACCTAAGAAATCTATCGAGATACTCTCCCAAGTTCGGCTGGGTACTGGCAATGGAAGATACAGTCCTAACTTTCTATTGGAAGGCTTCGATGTGTTGCATAGAACACAACCTTGAATGTATCGTGAAACATTGAGATGCATCTTTGGCTAATAAACATAGCGACGAAGATTCAATAAAGTCTTCTCAACCCCAAAATGTCCTGCTACTTTGGAAGCATAAGCCTTACGAATCCACTGTAGTCTGTCGCCATCTTCTGGAATGCACAATTGTGTTCCCTTGTACATTAGTCAATCCTTCAATTGGAACGCACTAGTCTTTCCTTGTTGCAGCTTGGTATAGGTTGGGTTGAAATCAACATCTGTGTTGTACCTTTTGGCATATTCAGAAGGAACAATGGGTTGGATTTGTACAGCCACCAGCAATGCGGAACTAACTGGTGTAGGTGATCTAGATAACATATATGCTAACTTATTAGTTGCTCCCTTCTGGTACTGTATCACAATATTGAATTGTTGTAGGTAAGACATCCATTTCATATGGCGAGCTTGCTACAACTTAGATTGTGTATTTACAAACTGAAGAGGTTATGATCTGAGTGAACTATGACTTCTTTTCCTAACAAGTAAGCTCTCCAATGCTTCACTGCTTGATGCATTGTATATAGCTCATTGTCATAAGTTGGGTAGTTCAATACCGATCCACTAAACATCTTAGAATGGTATGCAACTAGTTTCCCATCCTGAAATAATATAGCTCCTATGGCATAGTTCGATGCATCTGCTTCCACTTCAAATGGTTTCTGCAGATTCAGTAAGCTAGTACGAGGGACTCTGTAATCTTTCATTTCTACAATTGGAAAGATTCAGCATGGCTTCCACTTCTAGATGGATCCTATTTGTTTTCTCCAGTCATAATGTCTCTCTTTGACCTTAGCTTTTGGTGTAAAAGCAAAGGACCTAAAAGTTATTCTCCAAAAGCTTTACATTGGTTGCAAGTTGAGACCATAAACCACCATCACCTTCTCGGATTTGGTGCTCTGATACCATTTGATCCAAAACTTCTGGTCGATAGAACTATGAATTCCTAGTTTATAGGAAAGAGAACAAGAGAAATTTTAAGACAATTAGAGAAACAAAAGGAAGAAGCTTAGGAACTGCTTTGAGTTCTACTTGTCTATTTCATTCATCAAATGAGGTTTATATACAAGTTTATCGTCCTAAACTAGCAAATTGAAAATAGCTAGTGTTTTTAAACCATAAGAGTTGAATGGTTTTAAAACATTTATGTACATAAGCCATACAAAGTTGGTGGTGTAAAACCAATTGTTTTAAACCACAAATTATTTATAGTTTTAAACTAATTAAATAATGATATAATAGTATATGATTATTTAATTATTTTGTTTGCAAGATCCTCCTAGATCACTGTATGGGTGTGCAATCCATTAGATACTAATCGACAAGACAATGGGCTATTCGAACTCTTCCTTAATCGATTGTGAATTAAAATCTCTTTTTAATTCTCCATATTAAGAGGACCCATTTATGGCTTATTCAGGACTTCCACAAACCATGAGTGACGGCTAGCAATATGTCACAGTTACCCAAGTCAATATAGAATGAGGTGGATAATGTATTCAATTGGAATTACAATGTAATACAATCCTTCTCTAACTCAATGCTCTTGATCACCTCATTAGGTCACATGTCAAGCCTTTAATATGAACTCCAATCTTGTATGACTTATATGATTATGGCACTATTCTCAATCATACCTAGTGCTTCAGCCGAAGACTCATGAATCATATGGTCAGAGCATTCTCCCACTTTACTAAAGGTAGAGATCCCTTATTGTATACTCACTTACCTCCATGAATTGATCATGAATCCCGACCATACCTTGAGACCAGGTAGCCGAGGAGCACAATGGTTTAGTATGATCAAAGGCTCACAACGCTTCCATGAGACAACTGTGGTGCCTCTGGTCTATGACTAATTTATGTTATTACAACTGTGGAGATCTTGTTTGACATGTAGGTAAAATGTCACGCCCTGAACCCGGGGTTGGTGAAAACCCTGCGCCAGGCGCGTGAGAAAATAAAAAGTAAAATAAAATAAAAAGAAAGCCGAAACATAAAATTTAAAATAAACTTCTCTTATAAAAATAGCTCCCAAAATCTTACAACTTTACAATAAATAAACAAAGCTCTACTACTCTCCTCTAATTTAGCCTCAACTTGTTTAGTCCTCATCTTGCCCACTAATTCAGATCATATCACATCATCCCTTCATATCTCGGTTATCCTTCATAGCATGTAACCAACCACGTGACCCCTATTGGCCTCACTGCCCTATGTTCCCGTGTGGTACATCTATCCATCGGATACCCCAACATTGAAGTTCTCATGTTTCATGAATAATACATACTTCACAAATATTCCAATCAATATATAATATAGGGTGAAAGGTTGCACCAAATAAGACATGTTTGACTTGAAATAGAGAGATATTTATAAATAGAACAAATCCACGATAATTCATGGTTTTCATATTTTATCACGAAATAAGAACTTTTAGAACACATTACATAAACCACTCACCTCGACAATGAGAGCTCTTAAAATAAATTGGCAAGACAACCCATTTACCTATCTCGTCCAATATCAAATTTCCTTGTATATATATATATATATATCTCTCTCTCTCTCTCTCTCTCTCTCTCACGTTGCATTTATTTCTTAGTTCTATTGCCTCTACGCTTTTCTGAAGAAGGAAATGGGAATTGAAGAAAATAATGGTTGTATTTATAGGACTCCAAGGGCGGTAGCTATGAGATAACTTCAATGCTTTAGGATCATCTCCTTATTTCTTAAAGCTCAAGTAGCTTTTCCTTCACTCTAAGGCCATATAATGATAAGAAGAAATACAATGAAGACACGTATTGATGATGACTCAACCATTTAATTCATTGACATCTAATTAGTTTGCAAGTACATAAAACAAGTAGACCATCTAATGCATATTTGATTGACACATGCTAACTATGTGGAGTGTATTAACTCAATTACACAACCATGCATGAAATTCTAGATAGCTAAGGACAAAATCCTGCTACCATTAAATAATATTAATATTAAAAGCAAGTTTTAAGAAAATCATCATTTTAAAAAAAAATGGACTCTCACATAAAACTTCCATACAAGCTCTCTTGGTTGATCGCATTCAGTGAATTCACTCTTTAGTGAATACCCATACACTTGTCCTAGTTTCTCTACACAAATAACTTGAGACCAGTTATCCTCCCAATTGAGCAGATATAGTGTATGCCGATCTTTGCCGATTGTCAATGCCTAGTTGACAATCCTATGACCAGGAACTTTTCAAGGTGTGAGTTATAGGGAAAGGTTTCATGGACCTAACTTCTTTAGATTGTTTTCCGCATCTCACTGCCCATAGACTTGTCCTTTAAGTAGATAACTATTAATGAGACTATTACCTAAATTGAAGTAATTACCCTTCTGATTTACAAAAGGTAATGAAACATCCATAATTTGGCTTTAGAGCATATTTTCGACACAATCCCTAATTCCTATCAAATTTCTGTTCCACATGGAGGGACATTTCAGTCCAATCTTACAACCCTTCCCTAACCACCTAGCAGTCTCTCCCCAACCACCTTCTCCCATCCCTCTTCCCCCCTCCCAGCCCAACCCACTCCCCGCCCTATAGCCATGACCCAACCACCCCCACAACCATCTTTTGCCCTCCCTCCTCCCCCTTGCAACCTAGCATTTTGCTCCCCTCCTCTACAACCACCCTTTCCCTTATTTCTTTCTATTATCAACTCCAACCATAATTTCATACATAGCTCCAAACCTGTTCTCATGATCCCAAATTCCCAAAAACAAAAGCAGAGATTAAGACTAAAAAGTCGCACAACTTTTTATTCAAGATTGGAGGTAAGGGACTTTAAGACTTGAAAGGAGGGGCTGTGGGAGTGGTTGAGAGCAACTCCACCGAGGCCCCTTTGCCTCGGGTTGGGGGATTTTTTTGCAAAAAATGGTTTCCAGCGGTGAGCCCAAGCCCAGGCTGGAGTGGGTCCCATGCAAGTCGGGCTGGCCCGAAGGCCAGTTCAGCCCGAGGTCCAAAACGCGGGGTGGTGACGTCAAGCTAACGTCATCACGCGGGGTTGACATCAGCCCTGAGCATCTCCAACGAGAAGCAGCCACGTGTCATGCCCCCAGCCCTCCGATCTGCTTCTCCAAATCTAATCCAACGGCTGACATTTTTTTGGCAATAAAATTATGAAAAAAGTCGAATTTTTTTTTAAAAAAATACTAAGAAATTCTAATTTTTTTTTCCTATAAATACCTATCAATACCCTTCACTTTCAACACCAATCCTCATACATTTTCTTCTACTTCTACTATTATTCACTCTTTATACTCAACATCTTCCTCTCTTTCACCTTCTATTTTTAGTTCTTATATTTATGGCTTCTTCTATCGAAACCGGAGGGGCGTAGAGCACCATGGAAGATGTTTCCTTCTGTGAGGCTTGGCTCCAAGTTTGTCATGATCCCGTGTCAGGCAATGAGATAAAATTTTTTCATATGTGGAAAAAAATTCATGCCGAATATTGTGAAAAATGTCCGAGGTCGACTCATACGGAAATTGCTTTGTCTAGTAGGTGGAAAATTCTCAATAAAGAGTTGGGAAAATGGAGAGATGCCTTGGCAAAAGCGATGCACAACTATAGAAGCGGGGAAAATCGCACTAACGAGGTAAGTATTTTGTAATTTTCGTTTTATTAAGTTTAATGTCTTAATATATATATATATATATATATATTTTGTTAATATTTATTGCATTTTCAATATTTTGTTAATATTTCTTGCATTTTCAATATGTTGTTAATATTTCTTGCATTTCCAATTGTTTCTTAATATTTCTTGCACTTCCAATTTATTTGTAAGGTTAATTGCATTTCCATTTTTTTGTTAAATAGATTATTCAAGCACAGATGTGGTTCGGTGCAACCGGGGGTGGCAAAAAAAATTCAACCATCATGAATGTTGGGAGGTGGTGAAATATTGCAAACGCTTCATAATTATTCCCACGGGTCCCGAGGTTATGTTAAACGAGACGTCACTCTGTGAGTCAATGACATCGGATTCACCTATTGATTCCCCTATGAGTCAAGACTCACCCATTGAACAGGAGCCGAGGCCCATTGGCCGAAAGGCTGCAAAGGCAAAGAAAGCGGGTAATTCGAGCAATAATAATTCAAAGTTTTTGGAGGAAATTGCAAGGCAGAATGCCATAAGAATTGAAATGGAGCAGAAACGCCAAAGTAACGAGATGGCAATTCAAGCCGAGTATGCACGAGAAAGGGAGTATTTGCGCAAAAAAGATGAGTACAAGACGGATTGGGAAACCATGGCGATGGATACAAGCCATATGTCCCCAGAAACAAAACAATTTTGGAAGCTCGAGCGAAGGGATGTTATGCGAAGAAGACTTTTCCAGGATGATGGGTCTAGCAACACGGATTGGTTAAATGATGGAAACCATTAAATTAGTTGGCATACCTTTTATGTATTTGTATTTTTCATGTTTTCTATTAAAGTTGTTGTAATTCATGTATTTTATTTTAGTAGTAGTAATTCTTAATGACTTGTATTGGATTTCTTTATTTAATACACAAAGCATTCAATAAAATACCTTTTTATTCAACATATTCCATACATCAAACAAAACATAATTATAAAATAAATAAAAAACTACAAACAAGGCACAATAATAATAACAAACTACAACTAACCCATAATAAATAAAAAACAACACAACCAAACCATAACTAAATAAAACATAACCAAAGCATCTATGCTTCATCATTCATCTTCATTGCCTTTCATCGCCCATAGATGCTCCATCAAGTCAACTTGACGCATTTCATGAATATACGAAGATTGCATCTCTGTATATCGATCTATCACCTGGGTCATGAAACGACCATCCCTCACCAACGGTTCTGGCTCAAACGGTTCTCCATTTGGCCCCATGGGCCTTTCATAAATCCGTGTCAAGGTCTTGTTCATTGGATCCGGTTCGTAGACCTCTAAAGCATCATAATCGTACTCATCCTCCACAATCATATTATAGAGGATGATGCAAGTCATCATAATGCTTCGGAGGATCTCCTCATCAAACATACGGGCCGCACCTTGAATAATCAACCACCGAGTTTGAAGGATGCCAAAACACCTTTCGACATCTTTCCTGTATCCTTCTTGATAGGTAGCAAATAATTTTTACTTTTGGGATCGAGAATTCGGAATGGATTTCACAAATGTGGTCCACCTCGGGTAGATGCCGTCAACTAGATAATACCCCATATGGTAGACTGTATTGTTGACTTGATAGGTGATATTGGGGCCTTGGCCTCTCAAAACATTGTTGAAGACCGGGGATTGACTCAGCACGTTGAGGTCATTTTGGGATCCGGCAACTCCAAAGAAGGCATGCCAAACCTATGTGTCGAAGCCAGCAACGGCTTCAAGGATGATACTTTTTTGGCCTTTTCTATTTCCGTAATCACCTTGCAAAGCAGTTGGGCAATTCTTCCATTGTCAGTGCATGCAGTCGACGCTACCAATCATTCCTAGAAATCCTTGAGCTTCGGCTTTTTGTAGAAGCCGTTGGAGGTCCTTGGGAGTAGGTCTACGCAGGTAGTCCCTAGTGTATAGAGTTTCAATTGCATCAAAAAATCTTACCAAAGCCTCCAACGTAGTGGACTTCCCCATCCGGGCAATCTCATCCACCTGATCAGCAGATGCTCCATACGCCAACATTCGTATAACAGCTGTAAGCTTTTGCTTCAGAAGAAGTCCCAAAACCCCAGCAACATCACACTTTTGAACAAAGTATGCATCATAATTGCAAATATCATGCATGACTTTATTGAACAAATGGGGTTGTATTCTAAATCGCCTTCGAAAATCAACATCAGAGTACAAAGAAGTTGGGATAAAATAATCTTCCAAAAGATTCTTACCCCGAGAATGCCTATGTCTGTCCACATTTCGGCAGCGGCCGACTTGTGAACCACAACGACGACCTTGGTTCTCTTCATCTTGCAAAGCCATTGCTATGACAACTTGTTCATCGACTTCTCTCTGCAACTCATTGATTTCATCTGCTTTACGGTTTCTCTAATTTGTTTCTCGCTCTTGCCTCTCCAAGCATCTCCTAAAATCTTCCATTGAGAATGAATGGAGTATGAATTCTAAACTCTGAGAAATGAAAATATAGAAAGATGTGGTGTGAGAGGTATGAGCTGAGCCTCTGGTTTTATAGAAAATTTTGGCAAGATAGAGATGCCACGTGGCTTTATTTGATTGGATGAAAATCTTATCTTAAATTTGAAATTCATCCGAAATTTGAACCCAAATTTATCTGAATTTTGAATTTTGAACCCAAAAATTTATCTGAAATTTGAATTTTGAAATTCATCCGAAATTTGAACCCAAAAATCTTATTTGGAAATTTTATCTGATTATGAATAGTCTTGGCACGTAGGAACCCGGAAATATTATCCGAAAATATTATCCAAATTAATTATTGAGGTAAAAAAATTTGTGAAAAAAACAAAAAAAATGAATAGTAATTGCCCTTAGCCATGACAATGGATGGAAACACAAAATACTATTTGCAAGGGCAACCTATTCACGTGAATAGTGGTTGCCCTAGCTCCCCCCCTTGCCATGGCTAAGAGCATTTCCAACAGCCCACTCGGGCTCGGGCTGGGGAGGGGGGGGAGCCCAAAACCAGCTTCTAGCAACAAGTGCTGGCCCGGGCAGTGTGGGGTCCACTTGCCTGGGCTGGCTCGAAGGCAGGCTGACGTCAGTAGGCGCAATTTAACTTTTTTCTTTTCGCTGCCACGTGGCGCGATCTGGTCCTTCCAATTTTTGAATTTTCATCCAATCCAACGGCCTGGAATTTTTCAAGGCAAAAAATTATGAAAAAAAATCGTAAAATTTTTTTTAAAAACCCCAAAAAATACTGAATTTTTTTCTATAAATACCAATCCATACTCTTCACTTTTAACAACAAATTCACTTTCAACTCTAAATTTTTTTCACTTTCAAGTTTAATTATTCACTTTCTACTCAATAATTTTTCACTTTCAACTCTAAATTTTTTTCACTTTCAAGTTTAATTATTCACTTTCTACTCAATAATTTTTTCACTTTCAACTCTAAATTTTTTTCACTTTCAAGTTTAATTTTTCTCTATCAAAGAAACTATTAAATAAAATTCCTTTTTATTCAAAACATTCCATACATAAAAAAACTAACCACAACCAAAGCATTAAATATATAAAAACAAACAAACCACAACCAAAGCATAAAAAAACCAAACATAACTAAACATAAAACATAAACATTAAAATCTTAAAAATGTTCTTCACTTCACTTCATTCACCGTCATTGCCTTTCACCGCCCATAAATGCTCCATTAAGTCAACTTGACGGCGTTCATGAATATATGAAGATTGCATCTCCGTATATCGATCAATCATACGGTTCATGAAAAGACCATCTCTAACCAACGGTTCATGCTCCACTGGTGCTCCATTTGGCCCTATTGGTTTTTCATAAATTTGGGTTAAGGCCGTGTTCATGGGATCGGGTTCGTACACCTCTTCAGCTTCGTAATCATACTCATCCTCCACAATCATGTTATGAAGGATGATGCATGTCATCATGATGCTCCTCAACACCTCCTCATCAAACATACGCGCCGCACCCCTAATGATCGCCCACCGAGCTTGGAGGATACCAAAGCACCTCTCCACATCCTTTCTGTAACCCTCTTGATATGTAGCAAATAATTTTTGCTTCTGGGTTTGGGGATGCGGAAGTGATTTCACGAATGTTGTCCACCTCGGGTAGATCCCGTCAACTAGATAATACCCAGTTTGGTAGGCGGTATTATTGACTTCATATGTGATTTTTGGGGCTTCTCCTCTCAAAACATCATTGAACACCGGGGATTGACCCAGGACGTTCAAGTCATTTTGAGATCCAGCAACTCCGAAAAAGGCGTGCCAGACCCATGTATCGAAACCTGCAACGGCTTCAAGGATGATGCTTTTTTGGCCTTTCCGATTTCCGTACTCACCCTGCCAAGCAGTTGGGCAATTCTTCCATTGCCAGTGCATGCAGTCGATGCTACCAATCATTCCTGGAAATCCTCTCCGTTCGGCTTTCTGCAGAAGTCGTTGCAGGTCCCTGGGCGTGGGTCGGCGCAGGTAGTCCCTGGTGTACAGAGTTTCGACTGCATCACAAAATCTAACCAAACTCTCCAAGGCAGTGGACTTCCCCATCCGGGCAATCTCATCCACCTGATCAGCAGATGCACCATACGCCAACATTCGTATAACAGTTGTGAACTTTTGTTCGGGAAGCAGTCCCAAAACACCAGCACAATTTCTCTTTTGAACAAAGTATTCATCATAATTGCAAATATCATGCATGATTTTATTGAACAAATGTTGTTGCATTCTATACCTCCCTCGAAAATGAACATCAGAGTACAGAGATGTTGGGATAAAATAATCTTCCATAAGATTCTTACCCCGAGAATGCCTATGTCTGTCAACATTTGGGGCACGGCCTTCATGTGAACCACGACTGCTTTGGTTTTCTTCATCAAGCATGGCCACAGCCATGACAAGTTGCTGATCTAGATCTCTCTGCGCTCTTTTGCTTGTTGCTCGTCTACACCTTCTTTCTCTTATTTCTCGCTCTTGCCTCTCCAAGACTTCCTCCATGTCTGACATTGTGAATGGAAGATGAAATATGAAATCTAAAATATGAGAACTGAAATTTTTGAGAAGATGTAGTGTGAGAGGTTTGTGAGCTGAGCCTTTGTTTTATAGAAAAATTTAGGTCGATAGACATGACACGTGGCGCAATTTGATAGGGTGAAAATCTTATTCGAAATTTGAAATTCAAATGAAATGTATCTGAAATGTGAAATTCAAATGAAAGTTGAAATTCAAATGAAATTTATCTGAAATTTGAAATTCAGATGACACGTGGCGCAATTTTATAGGGCGAAAATCTTATCCGAAATTTGAAACTCGGATGAAATTTATCTGAAATTGAAATTTAGATGAAATTTATCTGAAATTGAAATTCAAATGAAATTTATCTGAAATTTGAAATTCAGATGAAATTTATATGAAATTTGAAACCGGAAATCTTATCCGAATATTTTATCAAAAAATCTCATCCGAAAATATTGTCCAAATTAATTGTTTAGGTAAACAAATTTGTGAAAAAAACAAAAAAAATTGAATAGTACCCCCCCCTGCCATGACAACTGCTGGAAGTGCAATTTACTTTTTGCAAGGGCAGACACTATTCCTGTGAATAGTGTCAACCCTAACCCTCCCCTTGCCATGGCAACATTCTCACTACTGGAAGTGCTCTAAGGGCAAATGGGTAGAGTTACTCTGAGGAGAGGCCATAGATTGGACCTAAGTGCCCCTCCATGCAAACAAAAATTTGACAAAAATTTGGGATTGTCCTTGAATGGCTTGAAATTCAAATTACAAGGATAAATTGATCAAATTAAAATTATAGAGACTTTAGTGATAAAAATAAACGGACCAAAATGACATTTTACCTAATATATATTTGTTTTATTTTTAAGTGAATTATTTCTCGGCATTTTTGGATTTAACTCATCAAGCAGCAACACACTGGCATGCACTGCCTTTGATGCTATCGTTTTCTGAGAAAATGACGGAGACAATTTTTCTAAAGGAAAAACTATTTTTTGATTGGATATTTGTTAATTGCTCCAAATAGAAATATATGGATATTTTACATAACGTTTTTGATTCCTAGCTATTTATGGTCTGCCTTTGATTATTATTACTTTTTTGGGTGCATTTGGAATTCATTAGAAATTGAAATTGTCTTCTAATATTTCTCTCACTCAAATAAACCCAGAGAGAGAGTGTGAGTGAGGGGGAACATTGAAGGAAGGCTGTGTTGGTAGAGAAGAGAAGAGGAGAATAGAGAGAGAGAGAGAGAGAGAGAGAGAGAGAGAGAGAGAAGCATGCAATACAATACAGTGATGGGAGGAATGGCAGTGGGGCCCACGAGAGATGAGCATTGTTGGGAATGGGGGAGGAAGTACATGGAGTATGATCTTTGCAGCGTCAAAGACGGCGTTTCGCTGACACTAGGTTTAATCAGTGTGGTGAGTTGGGGTGTTGCTGAGATACCTCAAGTCATCACAAACTACAAAAACAAATCCACGGACGGTCTGTCTCTTGCTTTCTTGATGACTTGGATACTCGGGTAGGCTACTTTTATGATTTTGCGGCTTACTGCTTTTGCCCTTTTCTTCGTCTCTTTATCCTTTATTATTATAATTTTGTTGATGTTCTGTGCATTTTTACTTTTATTTATGTCCTCATCATTCATTCCAAATCCCATTTCAGACTTTTGCTTCCTGTTTGCTGTTGTTTTCAAATGTCTTCCTCATGTCATTTATGTGGTGGTGGAGGTGGACCCAGAAAGAAATTCAAAATCAAAGCTATTCATTCTTCTTTGCTTCACAATTCCCAAATTCTTGTCTTTGTAAACCCTCCACCAAACCCACCAAATTATGCTTGGAGTTCAATCCAAATATATATTTTTTGATTCAGAATGCAAGCTTATCAATATCTTTGTAATTTATTTCTCTAGTTTTCTAGGATTTTCACTTTCGTCCTTGTAGTTCGAATTTTGACAATGATACATTTGTGTTTACTTGATTAAGCCAAAACTTGGTCACTAATTGCTTCATACAGCCTGCAGCCATAATATGTGAATTTATGTTCTAACATCTAAGCTGAATTGTGATATTGACAAGAGACTAATTGCTTTGCTCTTGTAATTTATTTCATATGGAATTCTTATGCAGGGACCTTTTTAATCTTTTCGGCTGCATGTTGGAACCTGCTACGGTAAGTGTCCTTTAATGATTCAGTTTCAGTTTCTTCAATAGCTTTTTAAACTTGGTTTAATTTTTTCACATACAGGGACACGGTTAAGTTTAGCCAATAGAAAATGAATTCCTAGGTATTCTTGAAACTAATATGAAAACTTCTATTTTTGTTAAATTTAATTTAGCAGCTCTGTATTACTTTGGTGCCTGATATAGTTCATCTGCATTCCTCTACCAATGCAAGTGTGGAACTATTTTTAACCTTAATGGTGCATGTAAATGTAAGATTCTCAATGTTTGTATGTCAACATTACAACCAAGGGCAAAAATGAGAATCTACTATTTCTTCCTTGTGGCCACCACTTGGCTAGTTTGTAACAATCAAACCAGCTCTCCATAGAGCAACATGATGTGAGGTGATGGAAATAGTCCCTCCCAAGGCGTAAGAACGGTCTTCTCCAGGCCAATGCTATGCTTAATGTCCCCTGTAGCCATGACATGGCAAGGTCTGTACTAGAGGATCATTGACTCACCCTTGGTTGGCATCAGTCTGGTTTCTCATATGATATGACAAGGTATAAGTGGCATAAAAGGATAATGAATACATACATAAAACTATTGTAGAAGATTCAATGTTTGTCTTTCTACTCACTGATGCATTTTGTCCAAAAAAAAGAGGCGGAATCTGGAACTTGCTTGTTTTTACATTGTTCATATGCATTGCGGCTGCTGTGGCAGTTAGTCAGGGAGGCAAGGGTTAATATCCTTTAGTCACCTTCAAACATGCTTTGCGAAAAGTTTGTTGTTTGGTGGTGGAAGGAAGGCAAGAATGTTGTGGAATCGCACTGTGTTAGCTGTCCTTTAGGTAATTTGGTTGGAGAGAAATCGAAAAATATTCGAGAACTATAGTGTGGAGGTAGAAGAGATTTCCTGGGAAAGAATCAGGCCATTGTTATGGGGTTCTCTTTCTCCAACTTATAGGGATCTTTCATTTTCTGTAATTTTATTAGATTTGGGAATTTCCTGTGGTATAGTTTTTAGCGTTGTTCTACAGTGTAGGGGGTATATTTTGGATTTGTTTGTTAGGGCTGTATCATTTTGATGGTGGACTTCTGGTTCATTAAGTTTTGTATTGTGAAACATGAAACTATAGACTCGTCTTAGCATGCGACCAAAGCTCGTCCTCTTCATTCTTCTTGAGATGTCATCTTCAACTTGCTCGACACAAACTCTTACAACTCTAGTGTTTCAGACATGGAATTAGCCAATACAAAGTAAACTTAACATGATGGTGTATGCTATTGCAACCTAGGGTTCTCCAGTTAGTGTTGGTCTGTTGATTGATGGTAATCCAGATTGAGAGCCCTTTATCTTGGTGGGTCCTTTATCTTGGTCCATGTGCCATATATAAATTCTGTGTTATATGGATAAAGAAGACTTGATCATATATAGAATATGCAAATCAAGTTACAATTCAGAACTTGCTGAAAGTGTCTACCTAAGTTCTTGTTATCTTTGAATTGATTTGGATGATCTAGATAATTGGTATGCAATTTCTGTTAAGTATCAATCTTCTATATAGAAAGTTTGCTTTTTGCAAGAAGACTCTGTCAACAAAAGTTCACCATAATGCTTACTTATTGGGATTATTTTGTTTTATTGCTTCCCAATGCATAAGGGTAATGATCTCAGATTAGCTTTGGACATTTTTGGTAACTAACTGCTCCTTTGTATACTTGCTTATGCAGCTTCCCACACAATACTATATGGCAATGGTACGAATGTCGAGACTGGAGCTTCATTTTGATATCTAAACAAATTGATTTTTCATTCAAATTGATTTCATGTCATTAACAAATGAGGTGATGCGATCTTTCACTGTTTTCTTGGTGTGCAGTTGTATACAATTACCACAGCTGTTCTTGCGGTGCAGACCATATACTATGGCTGCATATATCCTCGACTTAAACAAAATTTGAGACAGAAAAAGGTTGGAAGCTGATGTCCTCATCTCCTCTTACATAATCGCATAACCTTAGCCACTTACTCATTCATGTTTGCCTTATTGTATATTTCTAGTGGAGTAGGAAAGTTAGAGCTTCTCATTTTGGGAACCAGGAAAATTTTAAAGAGCATGTAATGGAAAGCTTGTTGAAAGATCCTATAATAGATTCTAAGTTCAAATATGGCAAAAGAATCAAGATTTGGAAAAATAGGAAACTTGAATATAATCCGAACTGAGAAAGATTCAAGTGATTTGAGGTTTTCAGAAATTCATGCGCATCTGATTAATTTTCGATTACATGAAGTAGGTACACATTAACCTTATACGGATCTGTCAAATATTTTCTGTATGTTTGTTTAACCAGCTGATATGACCTCAATTTGATCGAGATTTTATTTCAATCTTAGAAAAGAAGGAAATCTTTTCTGGTTAGCTAGCATTTCTGTACTGGTTTCTTCTATATGTATGGGATTGAAGAAGCACCTCATTGTCTTCTTCTCTTTCTTGTGGCCATCTAATCAGATTGTGGAAATAGAACTTTTTTATCAGATAGCTTCTTCTTTCCAGTAGGTTTTACAATGATTAGTTTGCTTATAGATGTGTTGTTCTGATTTCTAAAGGCGAGTGATGGTGTGAATACAATTCCAGAGAAGAACGCAACAGTAGCACATAACTTGGAGCACATATTTTACTTATGACAGTTACATTTGCTAATTCAACTACTTTATGTATTACTTATTTTCTGCTTTAGGTTTCTTTTTTGCCTTTTTGCAATCATACATTGAGTACGTTTAATGCTTGTATCAAAAAGCAAAAAGAGAATACCTTTAATGCACTAATCTGTAATGTAGGGTTCCAAGTCTAACCTGACTGAGGTTAGAAGAAGCAATACTGACTTCGTTGGGAAACAGGTCAACCATGATGGCAGGAGTATTGGGTTTGACACCCCCCAGTGCAGGAAATGTTTTGAGTTCACCCATTCCTCTTCCTGGAATTTGTCCAAGTATTTCCCCCGGAAGAGAATCATACTACATGTAATTAATATTTCTCATCAGATTTCTCAAATGTGCTTCTATGGAGTGACAAATTATTATCGATTATCCCTTTTTATTTTTGTTTCTTGTAATGTATAATCGATGAAGACTTCAATTTGGCACAATAAAGTTAGATCTACATTTTGTCTAGTAAAACGAAGAGTTGGACATGTACTGGATATACATTAAACCCTGCAGGGCTTCTGAAAAATAAGGGGAGCAGATGGGTTCACATAGGAGGAAAAAAAACAAAAGAAATTACATTCAAAGCAAAACACTTGTCCTTTGTTAAAGTTTTAGTCATCTTTGTGAAGCAGCCAGTTGATAGAAAACTTACTGTTCTGGATAGTTCTTGAGGATCTAATAAGTTTCTTGGTTTGGGGCTTTTAGGCTGTTAATATATACATATATGTACATATAAATTTTTTTTGTAATTTGTGTAAGTCAGTTTTTTCTGTTACCTTTTTCGGGCATGCTCTTGGAACTAGAAAGTATTGAGTAGGCTAGTTGTTATCAGATCTATTTAAGTGGGGTTGGAGCTAGTGTAACTTGGTCTTAATTTTATCTAGTATATTTATCTTAAGAACAAACCTCTCTTACTTTCTTGAAAGGTTCTATTCAGCCTTTGGGTACTCATACTGCGGTTTGGATACCTTTCCAGATTTGTCATGATTGTAATAATGATGTTAACTGACATTTGGTGGCTCTCTCCTCGATTAATCTGCATCTTTTAAAAGAAAATGAAAGATAACTAGAGCTGCAAATTGCTCACCCTTGCTACATATCTAACCTTAAAATCTTGAAATGCAAGATGTTGCTAGCTGAAATCTGCCAGCATTTTTATGAAGTCTGCAACTATAATCAGATGGTTGCTGAGATAAATGATTTTAAATTTTCAGAGTCAAGTGATTTATCTAATTATCATTGTTGAAAATCATGATCATGTTGTAAGATCTCTATTTTCCTGGGAATTCATCAGATCAGCAAGATCTCTATCAAGGAGTCATACCCCCACAGAAAGGTCTTATTTGGCACAAACAACAGCTCCTACATTTAATCATATCCGGAATTCCAATGAAGAGCCCTTGCTTGGTGCACTTGCATCTACACAATCTGCACCATCTAATAATATCAAGACCGTCCTCTCTGTGGTAATCTCTATACCGGTGTATGTATAATTAATAAGTATATTGCATTGTCAGAATATTGATCATACGATGTAAACTGTTATCTTTTCCTTCTGATTTAGGTCTCTCTGATGACCCTCTTTGGCACTTTTAATCACCGATCAGTAGATAACAAACTTGATTTAATTGTTGAAAATCCAAGTCGAGGAGTAGTGATGCGAGTAGGAAGAAGGCTGTTGCAGGTAGTCAAAATTCCAAACTGGCAGTTTACTTTCTCTTTTACAATTCTTAAGATGCTATTGAGAAAACAGGTTAGGCGGCACTATTCTTGTTGCACAAACCACTAATGTTGCCAGTTTATAGCTGAGCAGTTTTCTCTTCTGGTTGCCTGTTTAATATGTTCTATACAAAACTTAATATAATAGATATACATGGTGTGCATCTGTCTTTCTGTAACTTCATATAATGGGTATACATGGCATATTAGTTGGAATGTTGGGTAAAACATATCTTATCTTTCATCATCATTATGGCTGGTGGAAAAAAATGCCAAAAAAATATGGGGTTGTCTGGTGATGGCTATTTTTGGTCTGGGTCATAAAGGAATCAGCAGATCTTTGAACATGTTACGGGGGGGTAAGTGGAGATATGGGAGCAGGTCAAGTTCTGGGCAGTGCTTTGGGCTTCAATATTATTCTAGATTGAAAAGTTACAGTGTCATGATTTATTTTGGTTTCTTAATCAATAATTTCTGCTATTAATGTTATTTGCTCTTCTGCTCTTGGTGGATTACCTGTCCCTTTACTGTACAGTCTCGCTTATGAAATCAAATTTAATCTTCTAGTCTAAAAAAAGTTCATTATCATCACCATTATTGTTTTCTAGTTCGGAGTTTGGACAAAGTTTTAAGATTGGGGATACACAAAGTCATGTTTCAGGATGTTCTCTGGGTCAATATGTCTTGTACACAATTTTTTTTTCTCCAGTTTTATGATAATTTTCTGTAGAAGTCGTAAATGTTTTCCAAAGAGGAAGAATGAAAACTCAAGCATTGTTCTTTTCTGCTGAATCACAATTTGAATTTCAGGTAAGTAGTGAGCCGTTGCAAGCAAAGGGTACTAAAGATAGCAGCAGGATAGGAAATTTGCTTGGTTGGGGAATGGCAGCTATTTACATTGGTGGACGGCTTCCTCAAATTTTCTTAAATGTAAGTAGTACCCTTAAAAGTAGCTATACTTATTGGGGAGTAGGTGCCATATTGTGCAAAGTTGACAACTTCTTTAGCTTCGCTCGCTTCTGTGAGATCATTCTAGTTCTTATGTTTTTTCTTCTGCGGGGAAACTTTAATTTTGCCACTTCTATCTGCTAATGAATACGTGGGTTGTCATTGTGCATGTAGTGAGTATGGTGTGCTCCAGCATGATATGCTGCTATCTATAAGACGTGCAAACCAGAATTAGTTACTTATATTCGACAAATATCATTGTCTTAATACATTCCTTTTTTTTTGGTATCTTATGTTATTTTAGAATATGAGCATTTGTTTCTGTCTCAGTGATGTGAGTGATGTTAACTTCTGGTTCTTGATCAATTTTGCAGATCCGAAAGGGCAATGTTGAGGTAAGCATTTTCACCGTCATAGATGTGGTTAATGATTAATGGAAGAAGAAAATGAATCTGTGTTTAATGTTAGGCCTAAGCTCAAGTTTAGAGGTTAAGTTTATTTTGTATAAGTTTATATTTATCAGAATTAGGACTTAGTAGGTTAATTATTTGTGTCAATTTATATACACTAATAATAATTTAAGGTATTATTTAAATGGGTATCAATAATAAATTGAAAAATGCAAGGAAAGTATGATAATTGTACAAAGTCCCCACTTTCCAACCTCTCCTACATTTACAGCTCTTCCTACACTAATTTTCTGTACACATGTTGTGTTTGATAAACTCTCTAGTTAATTATGTAGGTTTCCTATTATGTTTTGTTAAGTTATTTTAGTAATGTGTGATTGCCTCTATGAAGAGGCCTTACTGGGAATAAGTTTTCTTTGATTCTTGAGAGATGATTGAGATTCTGGAAAAGCACTTGGAATTTCTTCCAGGAAGTACTAAAAGTGCTAAGCACTTTCAAATTTTTATGTCAAACGCAGTCTAACCACTTTTGGTTGTTAAAAAGTTCGTGCTAATCCCAAACATGCCCCTAAGAGATGATTCTAGTTGATTGTGTTTATCGATTCAAATTTACCGTAATTGTTCTCTTTGTTAGTTTTCTCCCTATTTTCTCTTTCAGTGGTTTCTTGTTGGCACCGTCAGATATTGAATGCTTCTCTCATGAAATTTTTTAGGGATTCTTTTATTACATCAACTACACTTTTCTAAAACCCTTTGATCCCACTCCTCAACCCAGAGGAGAACGCAAATATCCTTCTGTGTTGCATGCATGATGTGAGAGAGAGAGAGAGAGAGAGAGAGGGAGAGAGAGAGTGATAATATTTTTCTTTGTAATATGCAGGGGCTTAATCCTTTAATGTTCGTCTTTGCTGTTCTTGGAAATGCCACTTATGTAGCAAGGTGAATGTTGGTTGTGGTTCTTTTCCTACTGTTTGGCCTTTTGTTGTACAGCCATTTAATTTACAGTTAGTTCCAAAGTTATGATGTATTTTTTTAACACAATATGTAGATTGTTTCAGGTGTTACTTTTATTCCATTTCACTTTCGATCTTGGTTCTTTGTTGTGCAGCATTATTGTGAACAGCTTGGACTGGTCGGAGATCAGACCAAATCTTCCATGGCTGGTGGATTCTGGAGGATGCATGCTTCTGGATATTTTCGTATCCTTCTTGTGTCACTGTTACATATGTTTTTTTGAATGTAGCGTACCTGTTTGAAAGGGCTATATATGTTTATCTTAAAATAGTACAAAGTGCATTCTCAAGCTGTCAAAAATTTGCTAATTTAATAGTTTTTCTTAGAAGGTTGAACGGTTTTCTTGTTGTACCTCTTACAGAACAAGGGCAATATCTTGAACAGTCTGAAACTCTTGTACCTTAATGCCTTTTAGATACTAATTCAATTCTTCCGATATTGGAGACACCAAGACCCAGAGGGTAAGGATGTACACTCCAATGCAGCCTAGTTAATGAAGGGATGACATAAACTTTTCAAGGTATATATATATATATATATATATATATCTCTCTCTCTCTCTCCCCCTCCCCCCCCCTCTCTCTCTCTCTCTCTCTCTCTCTCTCTCTTGAACGTGAGGCATGTTTTTTTTTGTGTGGCTTGTGGCTTTAAGATGTTTTGTTGTGGCATGTAGTATCATCAGTTTCCAGTTGCATCATTCCACTTAAACTTTGTTCGCTTCCTACTTAGAATTGTAAAAACTGTAAACTGAAGTTACTTTTTTCTCTCTCCAAACATTGGTCATTAGCTGTCTGATTAGATATTCTACAAATTGGTATGGTGTCTTACATAGTTATGTAGGAGCATATAAAAACTAGAACCTGACATTCATATGATTTTTGACATACTACTATACTAGAGAGGGTCTAAATTTGCAGTACATTGTGACAGAGAAACACAATCTTTTACGTTGGTTTTTATTAAGTTTGCAAATTAGTAAAAGCTAATCAAGATTCAAATGAAGTTCTATAACCTCATTGCTGTCATATGCTATAATCTAATTTGTTTACTTTGTTGAAATCACGATGCAGATGCTTTTATGGAGCCATGGATGTTTGTAAATCTTTGGAGCTGCCTTTTTGGGGTCTCATCCGAAGTGACGCAGTAGCCGTCATGTGAGCCGTTAAACTGAAATAAGTTCATATTTGTGCAGTCAATTGAGTAATCAGCAGGCTCCGCAGCCAATGGGTCATTTTAGTGCTTTGATTTTGCACCCCACATTACCAGATCAGCAGTCTCTGCACATGAATTCTGTCCAAGCTATGTAGCTGTTGACATTATTTTGTCTATTTTTTCCTTAATTGAAGCAGGTGCTTTTCTCAAAAGTGTACCCTCTCTTTTACCTTGTGATGAAATCTCTCAGGAGCTGCCAACTGGTTGGAATGATATTAACTCTTATTTTATTCATTTCTATGTTACGTCAAAATGATTTTTGTAGCATGCATTCCAGCTTGGAAAGATCCTTCCCTTTTTGGCCGGTTGTGGGCGAGGGATCGAATCCATTTTTTCTAAACAATGTCTTTGTCATTTGATCCAATAGCAGAGTAGAGGCTATCAATGTGATGTTCTAACGAGTCTAGTTGGTCTGTCATCTCTGAAATATGTGCCAAAATCCGTTTGGAATCAGTTTTAGGATCAATGGTAATCAATTTGATATCTGTTGAGAGAAGTTGTGTAGATAAAGCATTGACTTTGAACCTTATTCTAATACTGGCCTTTAACCTAATATGAGTATGAACCAATCTCCTTGGCGGTTTGGACTAGCTAGAGTGCAAGACTTCCAATCTCAATCCAATCCTTATTTGAACGTATGAGAATTTTGATAAAATCCAATCAACGTTAAGAACATTTGACTCTAATCATTAAATATATTTGCTTTTTATTTTGGTTTTTATTAATGAATCAAGAAAATATTGGACTCTACTCATTAAGAGTGCTATTATTTCCACCCCCTTATCCTATTTTCCTACCCACTTTATCTTCAAAATTTTAAAAGCAAATTCACCCTATTGTAAAATGACTTTTAAGGACTTAACTCTAAGTTAACACTGTTAAGTCAAGAAAATAAAAGTAAAAATAAAAACATAAAATTAGAACTGCTATTCCCACCCCCCTTGTCCTATTTTCCCACCCACCTTATCTTCAAAATTTTAAAAGCAAATTTACCCTATTGTAAAATGACTTTTAAGGACTTAACTCTAAGTTAACACTGTTAAGTCAAGAAAATAAAAGTAAAAATAAAAGCAGAAAATTAGAATAAATAAATAAAAGATCCCACCAAACAACTCTTAGACTACCCACCCAACCCCGTGACAACGAGAAATTATAGAATAGTACGGATATACCACGTCAGCATGTGATATTCCTATTTAAATAATGACATGTGTCCATTTTAAAACAGAAATTAAATATTTGTTTACAGCTGGACTTATATTGTGAAATAAAATTTAAAATTTGAAAAACACAAAAAAATAATAATAATAATTTATTCCCAATCGCCGCCCCTCCCCTAAAACCCCATTGTGTTCCATGGGTGCCATCCCTCTCTCTTCCTCTTCCTCCCTGTCTCTTTTCCTCTTCACCATTGCCACGGGCGTCCAAACCCTCATCTTCCTGAAATTGATGATGACAACCTTTCCCATCATCATACTATTTCGAAACCCATATCCAATACTGTAACTCCTTGGTAACAATTACTTCAATTAGTACAATACAACAATTCTCTCAAGGGGTCTCTCTGTTTTGCATTCACTCTAACATTTCCCAACCATTAACACAAACACCAATGCTTCCACAATTCCATTTCATCATCATAATCATCAATACTAGTTTTCTCTACCTCTCTTTAAACTCCATTACCTACAATTACTATAAGGGTTGAAAAGGAAAAGGAAAAAGGAAGAGGAAGCGGAAGAGGAAGCGGAAGAGGAAGGGAGATGGGTGGCAGTCATGGCAGGTTGTGTGGAGATGGGTGGCAGTCATGTCATGTTTTTGGGATTAGAGGCGTTGGGTTCGGGAGGGGTTGTTGTTGGGAATTCTCTTTTTCTTTTTCTTTTTTATTTTTTAAGTTTTTCAATTTTATAAAAATTAAGAAATAAATCCAGCTGTAAAAAAGTTTAATTTCTATTTTAAAATGGACACATGGCAATATTTGAATGGAAGTATCACATGCTGACGTGGTACATCCGTAATATTCTATAATTTCTCCATGACAACCAAACCAACCTCCCCTCCTCACCTCACCGCCAGCCACATCATCAAATGCCACCTAAACCAAATGAGTTGCTCTTGTAAGATTCCCAGTTGCCTTCCTCTCTATTTTTCTTTTTTCATAAATCTAAATTAGCCAAAATAAATTTCTTTTACTCTTTGTTTATTGTTGTCTAGGTAGGCCATAGATCTTCATACGATTGCAGCTTCTATTAAATGTTAGACTTTGCTGCACTTATGACATTGATTGACAAAATCCCGGTGTCGCTTTTATGACAACTTTTTGCATTAAAAAAAAATTTATTTAGGTTTTGGAAGGGTTGAATCCTATAACCTCAAACTGGGCATGTCTAGGAAATAGTTAAGAAGGAAAGAATAAAGATTGGAATGTTCTATCTCTCTCAAATTGGAAACTTGGAGGAATAAAGGGCCATGAAGTTGCTGATATTGATGAAGACTAGGATGAGCTACTTTGGCAGGCAATGCAGTCGAAGTGTCGTCTCAGATCTAGGGCAATTGATGTAATATTTCTTGTGGGTTTGTTTATTCATGGGTTGATTGAAATGGAGAGAGGAGAAGAATGTTAGATTGGGGTTGGAAGGTGTTGTTCAAAACAACTGAAATAATGGTGAAAGAGACATGAGGAGGAGGACGGAGGAGGGGAGGCTTGGCCCGAGGTGGAAGGTATGGGTGGTTCTTGTTAAGGTTTGATGGAGTGTGCGGTGGGTGGCTGCTTTAAATTTTTTCGGACTCAATCAATAGTGTTAAGTTAGGGTTAAAAGTGTTACGTGAATGGAAGGGTATTTTAGGAATAATGGTGGGTACAAAGATAGGATTGTGGTTTTTCAAATTTTCATGGTGGGTGGAGAAATAAGACAAGTGTGTGGAAATAGCAACATTCACTCATTAAATAACTCAAATTAGACTCATTATTTAATAGTCAAAAGTACACATTTTGCCCTCGACAAAATCAGGTCCACAGTGACTCGATCCAACAGAAGAATGCATGCCCTGACCACAATCATTCCAATAAGTTCAAGAGTATACCATTTGGGCACACCAAGAATGGCGGCATCAGGAAAGACTCAAATGGTTTTTGGATTTTGTATTTTCTATAACAAACCTTTTTAAATGGAAATCAATTTTTACGAAATACAAAAAGAAAAACCAAAGACAAAACTATAGATGATAATCACGGTGCTTTAATTGTCTGTAATCATTGATTCTGCAAATCATCAAACTTTCCATAAACAACAGTCTAAACAATGACTTTCAAAAACTCAAAAACAGAAATGAAACAGTTGAACTACAAATTTACCATGCAGCATAACTTATGCCTTTAGAAATTAGAAATTGATAAACTTAAATTTGACATGTCACAACTATATGATAAAACGGGGCAATCCCAATGTATGAAACAGAGTAAGTCATTTAACATTCAGCCATGATAGTATATAAGAATTAAAGACAATACACATTACAGAAGTTTGGTTAACAAAAAAAAATATAATACATGCGAAGTAAATAAATTTGCTTTAAAAAAAATTACTAAAGCTTGAAGATGTCTGATTCATAACCATAGTGAAATCTTTAATATAACACATACTCAGTTCATCAATTCAATCAAAAATCAATCCTACCACATATTCAAATCATAATTTCAATTAAAAAAAGAACTCTATACTATTCTCCTATGTTTTTCTCTCTCCATCAGTCATCAACGTCATTAGGTTGGTCTCTCTTTCGCTCTATCTCATACATGTTCATTCATAATCATATATTGGCAGCAGTCCACATCAATAGCTATTAACACAATTTTTAACATCTCTAACATGAAATCACCAAATGAATATATATTACACAAAATTAGTATAAAAACATATGAACATAAAAAAATAGAAAAAACAAATATTAACAACAATAGATCATTACACAATTTAAAGTAACCCCAACAATAGTTGATGAATTGATTATTTTTGTTGGGGATGAAAGCAAGTGTTTCTAAAACAGATAATAAAACAGTTTGCTCAGCAAGAGAAAATAAACTCTCATATGCCAATAACCATTGTTCTTAAAGAATTATCTTCTAAACCTATCACTGACTCTTTCTAGTAACCAATTTGAGTAATGAGTTAAAGGATTAAACAATTTGCTTAGCAACCCATCATCAAGTCATTAATTTGTTAAAAAGTTGGTGGGATGTAAACCTGAAGATAAACAATGCAAGAACTCGTAGCCAACAAAGATGGAAGATTTCTCATACCAATATTCTACAATGTCATGACCCGACTCCCCTAGCAAGATATTGTCCACTTTGGGCCTCCCTCCTCACGGTTTGTTCTTGGACTCAAGCTAATGTTATCTTGCCCAAAAGGCCTCTTGCTAGGAAGAGATGTGCTCACACATATAAGGCACTTCACCTTTCCCTCCCCGAGTGACGTGGGATTGCTCATCGTTCTTGTTTCCCCAAGACACGAGTCTTACAATCCACTCCACTTGGGGTCTAACGTCCTCGCTAGCACACTTTCTGTCGGGGTCAGGCTTTGATACCATTTGTCACGACCCGAATCCCCTAACAAAATATTGTCCACTTTTGGGCCAGCCCCCTCACGGTTTTGTTCTTGGGCTCAAGCTAATGCTATCTTGCCCAAAAGGCCTCTGCCCACACATATAAGACACTTCACCTTTCCCTCCCTAGCAATGTGGGATTGCTCACCTCTATTGCTCACCGTTCTTGTTTCCCCAAGACACGGGCCTTACATACAAACGATGAATAATCTCTCAACCAACAAACAAATCGACGAGATGAAGAGCAAAAGAAGAGTGAGATTCACAACATGCCACCCCAAATGGGAATCAACGGCCCCAAACGAATCCCGAACATCTAAGCAGCTTATCCCATCGCTGCCCCCCAACCAACTCAACCAAGCTGGTTGGAACTCAACTACATATCTCTGCAAACCAAACAGTGCCGCCTGTAAACATCCGAAGGGGGAGTGGCAAAAAGGGAAAGGAGGAAAAGTTTTAGTGGATGGCACTTTGGACATTTTACTGTGCTATTGGGGAAAAAAGAGGTTGGCTAAGAGTAAAATGGGGGTAATTGCATCATTTCACTGTGCTTAGGAATAGTGTCTAGTTGGATTGGGTTTTAGTATATATAAATTTTGTGAGAGAGTACATGGTAGTGCAAGGAGATTACTCTAGAGCTTAATAGCTAAGGTTGAGGGGGTTGTGATTTCAAAAAGATAGTCGAAAGACCATAAACAATAGCGGAAATTCAAGGTAGAAGCCCAACAGAACAGATAATGCATTAAAATGGGTTTTCCATACGGGCAAACCAAAACACTAATACATTTACAGGAGAGAATGATGCCCTGGACACAATGGACTACTTATGTCAACTCATATGTAGCAATTACACAAACTTTCAACGGTTTGGATCTTTACAAAGAAATGGTAATAAATACATCACATATTCTCTTATAAAACAAACGCTTCAGAAGTGCAAAAATAAATGATTTTCTTTTTTTGGGGTCCCCTACTGTACTAGGGAACTGCATGCAAACACATCCATATAATTTTAAATTCTCGGTTCCACCACGGACACCACCACAAAAGCTCAAAAAATTCTTGAAAATCATGCTCATCTGTGCAGATTCCCATGAGAAGCAATCCCAAAACCATTTTCAGAGCAAGGAACAGCACAAACATCACCGTAAACGAGTTTCTATGCTTGAAATTCTTCAAGGGATGCAGTCATGCCAGTCTCCGAAATTTTAAACAAGTATTCTGTCTCAATCAATGGACTCCAGATCATCACATTGGACATTTGGCATTAGGTATCAAACACTTCCAACAAAATTTCATGTCATTGCAGCCAGGAATTGTTAATGCTCCAGATGATCCAGAGGGATCACTTCAAATGGAGTGGCCCTTGAAAAGGAAACAATAAACCTTAGCCCGACGTATCAATTTCCTTCCCATGATCATCCTCATTTATATTTCTCCTCAACCTTCTTAGCCATATATCATAGTCCATGGGATACGGTGTCCCACATAGACTATCAACATAATCGGCAAATGCTTTCAACACGGTTGACGCATCACCTAACTTCTGCTGAATCAATCTCCTAGACCAAGAAGTCTCTCTCCACTGCAGTGCCCCCTCAACTGAATCAAGATCAGGTAAAACTCCACCACAGGAAATATAAAGCATATAAACAAGGCTCTCTGCATCTGAAGCTGAGCACAGCTTTCCCTCCTGGAGAGCATAAGTTGAAGAGAAATGAAGGTTCATTGCAGGGCGGTCCCTATCTTCAAGTATAGCACGTCCCCAACCAATAAGAACAAAATAAGGTTGCCTCACAGCAGATCTGACACAAACCACGTTCTCTGGCCTGATGTCTCCATGGCGAATCCCTGCAGAAGCAGCAGTCAAAAGTGCAGATAAGCAATCATGGCAACACCTAACAGCCTCCTCCATACCAAATCTGGCCTCACTTATCAACTGAGACACTGTCTCACCAACTGGGCTGGTCACAAGAATGGGGGTGCCACACCAGGGGTGATCACAGTTCCCACCAGAGCTGGGTCGCTGACACTGACCAGGGTGAATAATCCTGCCAGAAGCACTCAACTGAGGGAGATACTTGCTAGATAGACCTTTCTGTTTCATAATAGTCAAAATTTTGGTCTGCCTCTGAACCTGATACCACAGATTCATATCCTCCCACGCAGGCTCCAGCTGGGAAGGATGAGAACCAACATACAGAAACAGCCTTTTCTGAGGATCTTCAACTGGAGATGCAATATAATATGGATGTTCACTGTTATTCAAGACTTGATTGATCTGGTAACCTTTTTGCCAGTTAGAATCCTCCAACCATAATACAGATCCTACTTCTAGCTTCATTAACTGTTCAGTCTCAATTTTGACAGAATCATCTTGAACTTCAACAATTTCAGGGGATACACTGCGTTGCTGGAACCGAAATAGACCATTTCCATTCACCTGGGCATCCCCCAACTGCCTCTCAGCCCTTCTTGCTTGGAGACGAGGACCATGATCAGCAGCTAAATCCTCTACTGAATGCTTGGGAAATCCAGCGAATTGCATGATACAATGGAAGGTAGCAAAAAGTAATTGTAAAGCGCCGATATCTCCCCAGTTGGCATTTCCAAGCTTGTTCCAGATCCTATCAACCGAAGAGACTGCAATCCTAGAATGTTTTATAATCCATTCAGCAGCGCATTCATAAACATTATTGACATCAAACACCAACTTATTTACATCTCCTTCAACCTTTACTACCCCACCATACTGAGAATCAACAAGAAGAATAAAAACTGAGTTTGAACTCTGAGAGTAGTTCAGTCTGCTCAAGCTTCTTGATAATAATACACGTAGAGCATAGAAAAGGGCCTCACCTAAAACAGATAGAGGGAGCTGCCTGTCACTATCCATCGCAAAGTTTCTGATATCAGGCCTTAAAAGAGCCAGTTCAAGAATTTGATCCCACTTCCCATGGGGATGTCTAGGGTTTGTAAGCAATATACTAGTAGCACAAAGACCTCCAAGCTTACCATCAGCAACTGCTTTCTCAGCCTGGTAGAATTTTAAGTTTTCATCGTATAGACAAGCAACAGAGAAAGGCATCGGCTCATCCTGACTCCAGAATGCTTCCCACAAGCCCTTCACACCGGCATGCAAAAAATCTTCAATAGCAAGATAAGCAGTTGCTTCGACAGCATCAGATGTTGAAGCATAAACGGCATTGGGCATCCTAATCACCTGCTGAAATGAAATCCCTTCCAATGCATAGTCAAACTTTTGAAGTTCTATCAACTCAAAAGGCACATCAAAGGCAGGTTTCTCCGGTTCTGATTTATTGGATATAGATTCAAACCAGTCCTCAAGTTTTGCAGTCAGCATGCCACTGTCCACAAATCTATAAAGAAATTCCTTGCGATTACGAGGCCTACTGCCAGATGATGCGTTAGACCTCTTTGTCCCAGACCCAACTGATCCCTGGTCTGGGGACCCACCTGCCAAAGACAGTGTAATAATGTTGATCAGCTAATTGGGGATTCCAAACAACTATATGTACACGCATCTGCACGTGCGTGTTTGTATAGCATGTTTTCACAAACACAACGACACAGTTGATATATATCTTCGAACAAAAACAACTTTAAATAATCTTTTTTAAAATGATACAATAACTGTGAATGTCCACATCATACAAAGAAAAGTACATCCCCACAAGACTTTAGCCTTCTTCCCTCTGCCAAACAGAGCAGACTTTCCAACCAAATTACCCTTATATCACTGCCAGTATACAGGTGATATATAGCTACTGAACTCCAACTGATAATTTGGACAATTCAAAAGTTCTAACACTGACAAGTTCAATTACTGATAGAATGGACAACCATAACCATGAAACTTCGCAAAGCCTGCAAAGAAAAAGAAATTGGGAAAATCTCGCATGAATGATTGTCACAGGAAGCCAAGGGTGAAACAATGGCAGATTCACTACCAAACCAGAGAAAAGGCGGCTAGGAGGGAGTTCCAGGGCCTTAGGCACAAGAGGAAATAATCCAGTCCAATAAGCATCAGGGAGAATCTTTGTAATGCAGAAATAATTATTGTTAACCGAAAATAAATTTCATTGGACAACTTCAATTTGTCAGATCAAGAAACTAAGCTAATGAGTCAATGATTTTCTGATGACAAACAGCAGTAGTGAAGACAAATAAACTTTGTTATAGAAATGATCTCCCAACAAAGTTTATCCTCGTTAAAGTTGAACATTATGGTATTATACCATAATCACCACCAGGGACGGAGCTGGGATGGGCTGAACTATGTAGGATGTGGGCTTTAAATGCAGTCCTGGGCTGCAGTCCTATACCTAGTTTCATGCTTGATGATCACTTACTAACTAATCGGCCATAAAAGAACCGCTGACTTGCTAAACATTTAGCTTAAAATTGAACCGGCGGCAGGTTTACCATTCCCAAGTATAGTCCACTTCTAAAAGTCCAGTGCATAAAACTGCATATTAAACCTTTTATTTGATGTTTCAGTGGTGAAGTTTATTTCCAAAGTATCAGTTGGGTGCAAGTCTTTTCCTTTCCACAGGGATTCATTTTAGTTATTAAAGAAGCAGATTAAAAAGTATATCAAGGTAAAAAAACTAAAATTTTATTAGGATAATGAAAATAAAAGAAGGTAAATTCATATCACAGAAAATCCACCCTCCTCACCCCTGAAGCTATCAAAAGTTCCTCCTACTTCTTTTCCACAAATAACTCAAAATATAGCCACCACTCCGCACCTGCCTAACATTTCAACTCTCTTACCACCACCAATATCTTTCACAAAGATGAGCATATAACATGATTCCAGACACAAATAAGTTTACTTAAATAATCTTAACCACAAAGATAAAGCAAAAGGGAAATGTGAGATAAACTGATCTGCACTTTCTACCTCACTTTAACACATAAGAAACTGATACATCAATGAGGATGAAAGCTGCATATCCCTTAATTGTGAAGCAGAATTTTATTTTTAAAAAAGTAAAGACTTGAGTTATGAAGAATTCAAAGTGTAATTCTCTGGGTACCATTCTGTGAGGATCATAATGTGTATGCGTCACTATTATATTACACTCTGCATCTACAATCATTTGTTGTCATCAACTGAAAGGTGTCATATACATTGAGAAGTAGTTGTCAGGTTTTTCTTGCAATTCTAGATAGAGAATAACTAAATGTAACCCCAGATTATCAAAGTTTTCAAAAATTGACTATCAGTGCTTTGGTACCTCTTCTATTCTTTTTTATAAGAATCACAAGATCTATTAAAGAATAATGATGAAAGACACAAACAAAATGGATATGAATCCATCATAAATGTTTTTGTATCCTAATTATAATCCATGTCAACACTTTGTAGCTTTTTCTGGTCAATTGTTGTACCTTGGATATATTATTCTTTGTTTCGTTTTTCCTTTTTGTTCTTGGTCAATCCTTATCAAAGATATGTAATGCTTTTTCTCTCACACCAGACTACACTAATTTTTCTCCCAGTTAACTCGCTCAACCAGTATTATATAGACTACATCCAAATTTCTATCCAGATTCAACCAAAAGCAATATCCTTCCTCACATGGTCATCCATGTCCTCCCCTCTAGCATTAGACTCGCATGGTTCCAAATCTGCCCAAAGAATATTTGTCTCTGCGCCTGTCTCTTTCTCTCATGCATCTAAGCTATTCACCCTCTTGCATCGAATTGTGGTGACATTTTTTATCTGGACCAAGTTTTTTTTTATAAAGAAAAACAAATTAAATAAATATGAACAAATTTGTTCATTAAAAATCCTGGGAAATTATAAACAAGACAACCACAAATTGGATTAGAAGACACCAACCAAGGGAATGAAAAAAAGAAAGGAAGCAGAACAGAAAGCCCAGGATAAATTTTTTTGCAGAGTGCAGTTGCAACAATGTGAACCCAATTTAGACATTTCATTTATATCCTAAACTTTCACAGAGTACAGTCAGAAATCCCAACGCAATTGCGCTCATTGTACAAGGAAACCAATAATTTATCCACCAAAGACTCAGTTGGGCATATCAATTAATTATATCAAACTTAATTTCACTTCCTTTTGGGGAAGAAGCTTTTCAATTTACTATAAAAAATAAAATTGAGCACAAACAAACACTTGAATAAGAAATTGTCTAACATAGAAACCCTAGAGTTGACAAAGAAACAAAGCAAGAGAGACAGAAAGAGTAAGAGAAGGAGTCAAATTTGATGAGCAGAGAGAGAGAGTGTGTGTGGAGGAGATCAAAGGCTGACCTTCCATTGCGCTTAGGGCTACAGTTTATACGATGTACGGACAGTCCAACTCAGCTCATTGACCAGCCATGTCTACGCCTACTCCTTCGCCGATCAACGCTGGCAGGCAAAAACAGGGACTTCTCAAATAACCAAACTCTCTCTGCTAATATTATTATTTTCTTTTACTTTTACTTTTATTTTTTCCGAATATCAATGGATTTGATTTCCGGATCGGTTTCTAGGGATTTATTTGAGTGTTTGGTTTTGCCGGCCAAGTCTCGGATTATTCAAACCCGCACCATGCCCTACAAGTATTTGATTTTCTTTTTTCTTTTATTTTTCATTTTTCATTTTTTTCTTTTATATTTTTCTTTTTCAATATTTTTTGTGAAAGTTAGGAAGGGGAATGGATTTTCTCACAAGCTTCAAGTTAAGGTCCTTTTTCATTGAGCTAAACCCCCATTGATTCACTTTTGCTTTTACAATTTATTCTATGTATTTTTTATTAGTTTTCAATTTTATATCTGTTCTATTTATTTTTTTAATTATCAATTTTATGTCTGCATATAGGCTACACGCCATAGGTTGGAGAAGAATATTCTTGTTTTTCTAGTTTTCCATATAAAGCCAAAATACAAGTTCTCCAAGCATTGGTGGTCTAGGTCTAGCACCAAAACGAAAAAAATTTGGGTTGGATGTCCTAATACGTGACGCTCAACTACTGGTTTTTGTGTGTTTTTTTGGCTCCAATCTCATATTTTGGCGTGCTAAGAAACAACAAGCAATTTCTCGCTCTTCTACTAAGGCTGAGTATCGCTCTCTTGCTCACGCCTGTGCTGACACTATATGGGTCTCTTAGGGGGGGTTTGGTATCCTATTCAAATAAGGAACTCAAAAACTTATATTTTTCTTAAAAACAAGGAGTTCTTAAATCTATTTTTTAGATTCAAAAACGTGTTTGGTATGCAACTTGAAAACTGTTTTCAAATCTTAAAATTTTGAGAACTTGTGGGTTGTTAGAAAATAAAAAAAATAAAAAAACAGATATTTTTTGTTTTTAATAATTGGGATGATTTTTAGTTGTTCTTGAGTTTGAGTTTTTAAAAATAGGGTTACCAAACATGTTTTCTTTATTTTGGACTCAAATTCTGTTTTTGAGTTTAAAAAGTTGGATTCAAGTTGAATACCAAACAGGTTTACCTTTTGAATGAACTACAATTTCCACCCTCTCGCCGTATCACCTTGCTGTGTGACAATCTCAACACTACCTACATGGCGTCTAATCCGATTTTTCATGCTCACACTAAATGCATGGAGCTAAATTACAACTATATACAACAGTACCGACTTTCTGGTAGTCATCGGGTTCAATTTGTCCCTTCTTCGTATCAGATTGCTGATTCTTTCACTAAGGGCCTTTACACATTGGTTCCAACTTCTCTGGTCAAATCTCATCTCTCCTGGATTGTCGGATTTGTAGGGGAATTTTAAATCACCTATTTTATCTCCTTAGTCATCTACTTAATTTCCTCTTGTAAAGGTCAACTATAGCTGTCAATTAGTTGTGTGATTACTCAATTTTAGGACTTTAATTTTCCAGCCGTTTGTTAGCTGTACAGTAAACCTTTGTCAAATCTTTGTATTATATACACATATTCTCAATGAAAATAATATATCAAGAAATTCCAAATCTTTCATTTATCTTAGCACTTGAGAAAGTATTAAATCACAGCCTTTCATAAAGCCCAAATTTAAAATAATGAGCCACCGAGGATTAAAACACACGTAAAAATCTACCCATATTACAAAACATGCCACTCTCGTTAATATCCTAAAATCATTAATTTGGTTTACTCATTGTTGGGGTCTTTTTCCGTCGGAAGGCTCATCCGGGCTTGTTGATTCTTGGACCTCCATAGAGTGGTGAATCAAGCCTTCGTTACCCCTTTTTCTGAGTTAGTGAGAACTAGGCCCAAAGCATCTCGAGGGAGAAGCAAGGCCCAGGGGAGTACTTTGTTCTTCTTCCAGCGGCCGCGTGTTTTGTGTTGATGTTTCCGACAGCTAGACAAAGAGTTGGAGATGGTGCATTGATGTTGCACAGGCTTGGCATGAGAGTTTGCTTTGGTGAATCAAGATACTACTAGGCTTGGCATGAGACGATTGTGGCGTGGGAGTTAAGAGAAAATGAGCATAAAGAAAGGATTAAGGCATCTAGATGAAGAGCTTGCCAAAAAGGTAATGACTATGGTTTTAACTTAGCTTGAGAGAGAGAGAGAGAGAGAGAGAGAGAGAGAGAGAGAGAGAAGATGGGTGGCTTGAGTAGATTTCCAGTAGCTTGACGAATGCTTGGTAGTGCTTTTGCATGGTTGAAGATGACTTGATGATGTTAAACCGAGATTGTACGAGCTTGTCATGAGAGCTTGGAGTGTGGGAGCTAAAGACCTGCAAGTTTAACAAAGGAGAATGCATGTGCTTGGCTTGGTGTGGATAGGCTTGAGTTTGGGTATTGAGAACTTATTGTTTATAGGACTATGGTGATTTAAGAGTTTCAAGAGAAGGATGATGGAAGGAAAAGTTTGAGGCTTGAAAGTTATGGTGTTTAAAGCTTGGAAGGGTATGAGGAGGAAGGAAAAGCTTGGAGTTATGCTTGGTGAGGCTTTATGAGGAAGATGAAGGATTTCAAGGATGAGAAAGTAGAAGAAATGGTTGTGATAGCTAAGGAATGGCTGGGATGGATGCTGGAATGCTTGCAGCGGCTGAAGGGAGGAAGGAAGGAAGGTGGTCTAATGGTTGCTAGGGTACTTGAGCAAACAAGAGATGTTGGTCGATGGTTACTGGATGCTTGCAGCAACCAAAGGATGAAGGTTGATGGCTCAGGAATGACTGTGATGACTGATGGAATGCTTGCAGCAGCTGAAGAAAGGTGAATTCTTATGGTTGCTGAGAGGCTTACAACAACCAAGAGGAGTTGGTTTTGCCTGGGCAATGCCTCCCAATTTATAGAAGGTGAAGGCTCTATTTAGATTCCAATAGGTAAAAAGAAGTGTTGGAGCTAGTCTATTTCCAATAGGTAAAAGGGAGCATTGGGACATTCTTATTTCCAACAGGAAAAGTTAGGAATTTGAAAATGACTATTTCCTATGGGTAAAAAGAAGTGTCGGAATTGCCTTGTTTTAGGTGGGTAATAGGGAGTGCTTGAAGAATATCTCATTTTCTCACCCACATTGGAGAACTCAAAGTAATGGGTTTGAACTTTGGTGCTCCCAAGTAGTTAGCCCAAAGTCTCCATTATCCAAGAGCTTCTGTGGGCCTTGCGGACCTCCATAACTGTTTGGGCCTAATTTCCACGTGCTAGCCCATCTGGCTATTGGCCCATATCGATGACAGGGGGGCTTTGTTTTACCAAAATTGGAAGTCAGCCCAGGACGTTTTAAAAAGCCCATACCATTTCAAAAAGGAGGAAATGGAATCAAACCAGTTGCAAAATAAGTCTTCTCAAGATAAAGTTTAAAACTGGAAAAAGCCAGATTTAATTGGTACCCAGCTTCTTAATTTTTTTTTCCAAAGGCTCAAGGTTTGATCGTCACCATTAATTACCAATTCAAAGACTAGGTCAGGAGACGAGGGGGAGGATTTTCTTTCCACAAAAACCCACATGCCCCCAATGACAAGACATCAACAGGAAAAGGGCAGAAAATGTGCATGGGAGTTGGTAGAAAGGCAAAATCAAAAACCACTGCCCATAACCATTTAATGCCAAAAAAGAGGGCCAAGTTTCCTTCCTATACTCGTGAAGGTTTTTTGTAAATACAAGTTGGGTTAACAAGAGATAAACAAGAAATAAGAGAGTTGGTTGTCAAAAGGTCAAAACTGATCATCATGAAAACTGACTCTTGATGGGGGGGTTTTTCTTGTCAAATTAACTACTCTCCTTCTTTTGCGCTGGAGCAGAGAAACCTCTCAACAATGTGTCCTCCAAGATATTAAGGAATAATCACTCATGCAGATTTCCTATAAAAATAGGAGGATGTGAACATGATAAGGACATCAAAAAATCCAATCAAAACAAAAACTCTCAGTCACACTAACAAAGATAAAACAAGATCACACGATCCCAAAAGTTTTCAGACTTTGAAGCAATCAAGCCATTTGGTTTTGAAAAAGCCATCCAGCTCCTAATAAGTAGGCAAAACTCAGACTTCTGACTTCAGTTCAGCACAAAGAAGCAGTTCACAAAAGAAATGAGACTTCTCTCGTTACAAATTTGGTTCAGAGCAAATGAATGAAGTAGGAAAACCTCAACAAATTTCTAGATATACTTTGATGTCTCATAATTGCCAGAATAGCTCTTAGGTGATTCACAGTCAAGGAGAATAGGTACTGAAGTACAGTTCCAGACCAGCAATCGCCAATCCAGCCACTTCCAATCCAGTCCAGACTAAAGAGATCTTAATTCTGCCGATTCGAAAAGCCTCTCCATGGCTAAATTTGATTAAAAGCTCTGCCAATCTTAACATTTGTATCAATTTCCAGCTGAACTCAATCAGTTGAAGGTGCTGACGTGCAATTTCAGCACAGATACATCCAATCCAGCCTGAGTCAAAGACAACAATCCAAGTAGAAATCAAAGCCCAATGTTCTGTTGTCCTTCCAGATATGGCAGTCATTCTTTGTTTAAATTGTGTAATAGGCAGTTCTCTTTGAAACATTTTGATTTATTTTCAATAATTCATTTTGGCTAGGCTTACTAGTTTTACTGTGGGAAATTGTAAAGTCCTCACTCATCTGAGGCAAGAAAATAACTTACTTGGGAGATCTTAGGAGATATTCCCCACCCAAATTCACAATCACTTGCTCAAAGTCAATAGCTTGGGTTGCAAGTTATTAAATTTTTATAAGTCTGTTAGGGTTTTTAGCCGCTAACAGTGGCACGCTCGCACACAAAAGAAAGTTGACTTGTTGACCACCAATGGTTTTCAAGACAATGGGGCATTTTACCCTACCACCACAATAACTACGTCAAAACAGGTAAACAATTTGGTGTATGAATACTGGAACTTCTAGCCAGAATCCACGTTTTGCTATGGAGAGAGATCAACCAACTTTTCGGGGAGAAGGACATGACTCAAAAGAGAGTGACGCTAGGCAATCAGCTCACGGCAGTACTAGGAGTAGACGTTCTCAGTCCAGTTCCAGAAGATTGAACCAAATACAAGAGGCTGTACTTCGACAGGAAGTTGCAGCTCAGAGAAGTCAAGATACTCTGAACAATATGAATGCCATGATACATTGGCAAGTCAACAGGCAATTCAGGAAAGATCGTAAGGCTGGTACTACAAGAAATCCAAATCCAGACGCTGTAGTCCAACAGCTAGAACTCCCTTTCGGATCTCCACCAAGGCTGGCATGGTCATACCAAAAAAACCCTCTCATTACACAAATGGCGGAAATACCTGAACTGGTAGAGGCCCATGTTGGACAAAGGGGAAGAGCCCTTGTAGTCCAAGAACAAGAAGTTCCAACTCTTCTAGCAGGCCCATCAGCAGTACAGCCCCCCTGGAACCAACCAGAACTCCCATCCGTTCCACGGCTGGAAGTTCCACAAGGCTTGCCAATTGCACATCTGCCCGAACATCCAATAGTGGTGCCTTACAAACCTAGAAGAATTGATCCTAATTCATTTCCCCCCACTAGCAAGGGGTAGAAGGGGCAGATGAGGAGTTAATCATTTTGCCAACTTTGAAAGGAACAGCCAGGAGGAAACTGGAGACACCATCTAGATTTCGAAAAAGAAGAAGAACATAGGGAAGAGGTTGTGCCCATACCACACATAATTGAATAGAGAGCTGAACAAAATAAGCCAGAACAAGGTTAGAACCTACCCCCTGTTAATGCTTTAAACGACATGGGGGCACTGCAGAGAATGATAAGAGAAATGATGGATCCTGAGGCCAGAAGAAGAGAAAGGCTGACCTACAGGAAGCCATATCTGGCCTACATTGATTAGATGCCATTACCACCTGGTTTTAAAGTACCAAATTTCACTCTGTTCAATGGAGAGGACACACAAGCATCATCAGTTGAGCATATAGGTAGATTCTCAGTCCAATGCATAGCCAAAGGGAATAATCCCTTGTTAATGCTTAGGTTTTTTTTGGGAATTCCTTGTCTGGACATGCTTGTACCTGGTATACCAATCTTCCAGCCAATTCCATCCAAACATGGGAATAGATGGAGAATGCCTTTCACGACTACTATTTCAGAATTCAGCTAGAGGTCACCATCAGCAATCTTGCTACTCGTAAACAAAGTGAGGATGAACCTGCCCAGAATTTCATCACCAGGTTCAAGAAGCTCAAAATGAAGTGCAAGATCCCCATGGATGAAATACATTTAATCTAAAATGGCTTAGACCGCCCTCAAGATTTCTCTGAGGAAGTGATTCGATGGAATGGTCTTTAGAGACTTGGTAGAACTGGCAGACAAGGCTTCTAAATATAAAGAATTGTTGAGGGAAGAACAACATAAAAGAAATTCTTCTAAGGGTACATACTACAAGACACCATCTTCCTTAGTCCATTTGGTTGAGGTAGAGTCAGAAGATGGTTGAGAGAATTTATAAGAAATAGAGGTGGTAGTGGTAGAAATGGCAAAGCTAAAGCATCCTATCAGTTGCAAGGCTTTGACAAAGCCACCCAAGGATCAAAAGCCACCACCGTTCACAGGAGGTTTTGTCCCGAACAAGCCAGTGCAGAACAAAGTCTACTCTTTCGATTTAACCAAAGTAGACGCTCTGTTCGATGTGATGATCTTACAAAAGGCAATAGAGAAGCCTCACAAGTTGCCTAAACCAGCAGAACTCAAAGGCAAGCAATATTCCAAATGGTACAACTCTTGGAATCACTCTACCAACAATTGTGTTGTTTTCAGGGACGTTATACAAGACGGAATAACGGCAGGAAAGCTCAAGTTAGTCGAGAAACCTCCTACAGTGACAACAAACCCTTTTCCTTAACCTCAAGTGAACATGGTCAACCTGAGCTCGCCAAAATAGGAGAAAGGCAAACTGGTAGTGGAAGTTAGCCCTAACATGGGTAGAGGAGTCACAAAAAAGGTGAACTGAAGGCTAAAGGCTACTATCTCAACTGGGATAGTTCTGTGTAGCAGGTGCAAATGTGAATGCGAGCTAGAAATAACTTTGGACATAATCGAAGCACCACACCAACAAACCATAGTTCCAACTCCATCCAGGAGCACAACCATATAGAAAACCTATCAGAAGCCTACCCAACACATCAGAAAAGTAACTGAGCAACCAAGGAAGGAAATGCCAATTAAAATACCAAGAAATGATATGCCATTGGCAACTATAATAGAAGGTAGGTGGTATTCTGTAGGAAAGAATGGTAGGCCAACTCTCGAGCTGACCAGAACACAGAGGAGGAGAATTCAAAGGCAGTACTGCATCTTTCTCAGGAACAAGGATAGCACACAAGTGTTTACAAAAGCTAATTCTATAGGAATTGAAGTAATCCAGATAGGGATATTCGAACAAAACAGACAGTATGTCAACCAGGAGAAACTGGCGGAAGCAAGTTTCCTAAAAGAATCCTCTTTGCAACAAGGTTCATCTTAGAATAATCAGTTGGAGCTCTCACAAGTACAGAATCATGTTAGATTCCTTCTAGTAGATGATCAAGAGAACTGGACTGAAGAATACAAGGAAGAACAAGTGGATTAAAAACCATCTGCAGACGATCAGCTAGAACCTTCACAATTGCAGGATCATACTGGATTCCTCGAAACAGATGATCACAATTGGAGGGATCCCAATCCCTAAAGTAATGGTAGATGGAGCTAGGCAGAACAGAGAAATATCTAATCCCGACACGTCTGACAGTCACCAATTTCGTTGGGGGCATCACCAAGACCCATGGGATACTAGATGTGGATGTCATAGTAGGAACCAAGAAGTTGAAGATTGCTTTCTTTGTGGTAGACACCATTTCTACCACTTACAATGCGCTACTTGGGAGGGACTGGATCCAATAGAGCCTATGTTCCTTCCACTCTACACCGACAGTTGGCCCTCTAACATGAAGATGTCATCCACGGCCATTTCTATCGTCTGCCTTATGTTTCGAGGCCTGGTATTAGCATGATGATCTTGGTCCTTTTACTTTCTTTGTAGTCAATCAGAATGACCGCCCCCATGGTGTCACGACCTAGAGACTCATTAAAGAAGGTCTGGTTGGTTCTCTATAGGACTGGAATAGACTTTTTGTCCTAAACCTCTAAGCCTCTGATGTCTAGCTCAAACCAACAAAAAAGGATCCCGATCAATTACGAATAGATTGTTGGTATATTGGGCAGAAAGGAAGTTTTCTATGCAGAATTCATGCATGAAAGTGCAGAGGAGCAGGAAGAAAGTTTACAAGTTGAGGAATTGGAATTTGCACCAGCGGCGTTGGATGACTCTTTGCCAGAGGTAGAGGACCCTTTGCAAGAAATAAACTTGGGAACAAAAGATGATCCCAGGCCCACTTTTATTAGTGTGTTGCTGGATGAGCCGTTAAAGGGTGAAATCATTGCACCTCTGCATGATTTCAGAGACTGTTTCGCATGGCATTATCACGAAATGCCTAGATTGGAAGCTTTTCTAAGGATGAGACAACATAAATTGAAAATGAATCCCAAGAAATGCATTTTTGGGGTTCAAGCAGGCAATTTCCTATGTTTCTTGGTTCATCGAAGAGGCATAGATAGCGAAGAATAAAGCAAAATCTATCATAGAAGCTTTGCCACCTTGAAACAAGAAGGAATTGCAAAGCCTCTTGGGCAACATCAATTTTCTTAGAAGATTCATATCCAATTCTGCTGGGAAAATCCAACAATTTTCCTCCTTGTTAAAATTGAAGCAAGAATAGGTATTTCAGTGGGAAGAGCCCCACCAGCAAGCTTTTGAGGAAATAAAGCGTTATCTCTCAAATCCGCTAGTTCTGTCTCCACCAAAGAAAGGCATACCACTCAAATTATATGTTTATGCATCAGAAGGATCTATTGGGAGTTTTTTGGTTCAAGATAACAAGGAAGGGAAGGAGCAGGCAGTCTACTACCTGAGCAGAACTCTGACAGAGGTGGAAAGAAAATATTCTGTGATTGAAAGGCTATGTCTGGCTTTGTACTTGACTTCTATAAAGCTCAGACATTACATGTTACCCTTTACCATCTATATCATTGCCAAGACGGACTTGATCAAGTACATGCTGACAAGATCAATGTTGAGAGGCATAATTGGTAAATGGACTCTGGCCTTGTCAGAATTTGCCTTCCGATATGTTGCTCAGAAAGCTATTAAATGACAAGCAATGGCAGATTTCTTGGAAATCCATCCATGGAAGAAGATTGAAAACATGGATTCCATGGATATAGCCAACGTAGATCTACTAAGTAGAGCTCACACTTATCTCAGTAATCCTATATACTTAGTCCATCTCACCCCATGGAAGCTATATTTTGATGGATCTAAACCCATCCTAACCTCTGGTGCAGGAATTGTTTTAGAAGATTCGCTGGGAATGAAACACTGCTACTCATTTCAGCTGGACTTTCAATGCACCAACAACATAGCAGAGTACGAAGTTTTGATCATTGGCCTTGAAATGTTGATAAAATTAGGAGTCCAGTTTGTGGAAATCCTAGGAGATTCTATGCTTGTTCTGAAACAGATCGTAGGAGAATTTAAACCCTTCTTTAGCTGTTTATTTGGTGTCAGCCAGAAACCACTTGGTGGAATTCAAGGAGGCTACTTGGGAACATATTCCAAGGGAAGAAAAGTTTGCAACCAATGAAATGGCTCAGATAACAACAAGAGTGCAAATGCCTTAGGACTACGTCAAGAGCATCATCAAAGTAGGGAAGAAAAGTCTATCATCTATTCTGATTAGAGGACTGGAGATAGACGTCAATTCTGCCACAACGACTGAGGAAGATTGGAGAGTGCCTAATTAATTATCTGTAGTATCCACCCTTCCTTCCGAAAAGAAGACAAGAATCATGGCCATGAACTACCTTATGTGAAACGGAGACCTGGTCAGAAAAGGCAAGGATGAAATACTCTTGAGATGTTTAGGGAAGAAAGAGTACATGAAAGTCATGGGAGAAGTCTATAAAAGAATCTGTGGAGCTCATCAAAGTGGAAGAAAAATGTGTTTGCTGATCAGAAGTTGCAGTTATTTTTGGCCTACGATGATGAAAGAGTGTATAGAGTACTCCAAAGGATGCGAAGCTTGCCAGAGACATGGACCAATCTAGTAAGCTCCCTTAGTTCCCATGAATCTAGTTGTTAAGCCATGGCCATTCAGAAGATGGGCAATGGACCTCATTGGTAAAACCTATCCAGCCAGTAGCAAGCACCATTGCTTCATTATTGTGGCTACGGATTACTATACCAAATAGGTAGAGGCTAAGCCAGTCAAATCTACGACATCTCAAGAGATCATTACTTTCATTGAGGAACAAATTGTGCACAGGTTTGGCATACCAGAATCAATCACAACTAACAGAGGGACTTCTTTCATATCTAATGAGATGCAAGATATGGCAAGAAGGCTCAAGATCAAGTTACTCTAGTCCACTCCCTACTATGCTCAGGCAAATGGGCAGGAAGAATCAAGCAACAAAGTAATCATTAATATCATCAGGAAAATGCTTGAGGAGAATCCAAGGCAATGGCATGAAAAGTTGTCAGAAACCTTATGGACCTATAGAACTTCAAAGAGGGAAGTAAGCAGCATGACCCCATATGCTTTGACCTATGGACATGACGCAATTCTACCCATGGAAATCATAGTCCAATCCATCAGAATTGCCCAACAGCACAATTTAGTTGGAGAAAACTACTCACAAGCAATGCTGCTAGAGTTAGAAGGACTGGACACAAGAAGAATTGACATTCTCAATAAACCCTTGGTAGGAAAAGAAGCTATAGCAAGAGCTTATAATAAGAGAGTTAAAAACAAGAGTTTTGAAGAATGAGAAATTGTCTGGAGAGCAGTTTTGCCCCTCAAATCCCACGTTGCTGGTTATGGAAAGTGGTCACCCACATGGGAAGGTCCTTTTCTAATAAAACAAGTCCTTGGAATGGGGGCATATAGGTTAAAGCATCAAGATGGAGAAGTCCATGTTGCACCAATTAATGGGAAGTAATTAAAAAAGTTATATCCAACCATTTGGGATTCATAAGCAGTACAAATAGATCCTGGAATTGAAGAAGAAATGGATAAAATTGTTGTTTAAATTTTGAATAGCTAATATATATGGTTCATTTTGTTTGTTCTGTCCATCTAATATGCATGAATATGGCAAAAATGCAAGTTGTCATAAATAAATAGAATCTTTCCATTCATTATGTCATTAATAAATGACTAGTTTTATTACAGGATAAATACATTCCAAAGACCTAGTCTTTTCAAGAGTCTTCTGCAATCCAACCTTCTTTGTGGAGATCTCTTTCAGAAGGAGCAGACCTTGATGAATGGGGCCTCTGCAATCTCCAAGGCAGGTCTTGAAGCCGAGACCATGCTTTGCAAAAGAAAAGTGGCCTTGGTTTTCGCACCCAGTCTAGCTCCCATATCCTTCTGAGTCCCTTTCTGTGCAGCCAGTTGCTTCTGGGGATCCTCGATATGTCTTTCCCGCTTATGAGCGGCAGATTTGGTCTTTTTGTAACCTATAACCATTAAATCCAGCTCCGACTTTTCCTTATGATAATCCACCAAGTTGGCTTCATGCGTAGTCTTGTAGAACTTAGAAATATTGAGAGAGGGCCTAAGATCTTCATATAGATCATGAATATTGGCTACGTCTCTAGCCAAACCCCGGCTGATCTTAAAGATAGAACGAGGAGCCATGTTCTCCTTGTGCAGCAAGTCCAGATCTTTCATCTGTTGATCAATGACTTCTTTGTTTTCATCCAGATCTACCTCAGTCGTCTGCCAAATTCTTATCCTATCCATCGCCTCATCCACTACTTTGGACTTGGCCTTGCTTAGGGTTTCTCCCAATTCCTCAATCTTCAGCAGTTGGGCTTCCAAGTCCATAGCTTCAAATTCTGCCAATTCTGGATCAACATGTGAGGCAATTTTCGATGAGCCTAGGACAAAACGGAGGGGCATCTGCAAGGAGTAGTCTAGTTAGTTTTGTTTCAACCAAAAACCAAGAAATGGAGTTCTGAGGCCTTAGCAATACCTACAACCACGACCATGGGCTTGAGAGAGCTCGTCACTACCGCCAACTCTTCAACAATTTGTCTTTTCCAGTCTGGAAAGATAGAAACAATGGTCAGTACTTTTCTCAGAACCAAGAAAAATTGAGAAAATAAAGGGAAATTACCTCGAGTGGAGGGACAACAGTGGAGTTTTCTGCCTCCACATCATCAAACAAGACCTAAACGAGTAAGTTCTCCTCCTTGAGCTTCTTGTTGTTTCTTGGCCAGCTCTATGCTCTCCTGTAACAACCCGGTCCTTAATTAATATTTAATTATTAATTTATTCTAGTAAAAGACACTTATACCTCTAGAATATTTTATTAGGTTTAAAAGTTGACTTTTTGACTGGGAAGGAATTTGGGGATATCAGTTACACCATTGCGTAGAGCGCAGCGAGATGAGTCCGTAGACACGTAGCGGACTCAAATTGGAGTTGTAACGAAGGAGTTACGATTAAAAGAAGTTCAGTGGCATAACCGTAAATATTTCGAAGTTCAGATTTTATAAACCCAGAAATTTCTGGATTCGGGGGAGGCTGGAGCAGCTGACTTTGGGAGCTGTTTTCTCTCAGCTCCGACCCCCAATTCAAGCAAGACCGCTGCTATAATCGCCGGAATCCGCCCCGAAACAGGCGGTGCTGGACAGTTTTTGACAAAACTTCCAACCCTTCGTTCTCCGTCGTCCGGCCACCAAATCGGACGAGCGAGGTATGGTTTTCCAGCTATTTTTCATGCTCTAGCTGCTGGTTGGGTAGGATTTCAGAAATTTCTAGCGTCGATAGCTCGATTTACGAGTTAGTTTTCATCTGATTTTTGGGTCACTGTTTCGGCCACTTTCGTCCAGTTTTTGGGGCAGGTCCAAGAACAAAAGTGGCTCCAAATGGGGTGTTATACCTAGGATAGGAGTCTTGAGTCTAGATGTTGAGTTTTTCCTGCGAGGCGTTATCGCTTTAGGCACCAAGCGCTGCCAGCGCGTGTGGTGGAGCGTGGGCAGCAGGGTGGGGACCATAGTCAGTCCTAGAATGATCTCCTAGTCCTCACGAGCGCGTAGGATTTCGCGGAGCTTAATTCGAATATCGTTTGAACCCCAAACGGATCTCGCCTACTGTGCGATTTCCAGGTTCAATACGTTTGAACCGTTGGATCGTAGTTAATTCCAAGTATGTTAATCTAGACTTTCCCAGGATCGTATAGTATTTGACGGATCATAAAACGGAGTCCCGAATACTCCAGGAATGCCAACCCTAGAACCAGGTTTACAGTAAACAATTCAGTTATAGGTCATGAACAGAGGAAAGAACTACGTGTGGCTTGATCCCTCAGAAAGGGTACGTAGGCAGCCTACAGTTATCAAGCCCAGCCACGAGTTAGGGGCTCAGGGTTTAGGTTATTGTTTTCAGGGCATTTTGGTCTTTTACGACCCACGTTTACTAGGTGTTAGTTTTAAACAGGTTTCGACCCGGATTCCAAAGTGGAAATTGGGTCAGGTCGTTTCATCTCCTCTATCACTTCATCTAGAATCTCCTCCAACAAAATAGCATAATTCAAATCAGGAAGGATTCGACACAAATATAGACCATTTTTGTTTTAGTACTGATGGGAGTCCTACTTATTCTTCCATATCTTTAGCGGCTTCTTTGTCGTTGTCAACAGCGTCAAAAGCCTCACGTAGCTCTGTTTGGGCCTAATTTGGCACGCCCAGTCCAAAATCAAAGAGCCTATGTCAATTTGTGACAGCCACCAGCGTTCTCCTTATGTTTGGGCCAACACTCTGCACAAAAAGCCCATTTTTACAAAAGCCCACAAAGTAGAAAACAAAATAATGGACCTTGATTTAGAAAAACAGCCCAATCCACATCAAAGGCCCATGTCTTTTACGAAATGGCAAAATTGACCACCAAACAGATCAATAAAATTCTAAATGAAAAATCGGATTGGGCACAGCTTCTAAAATTCTCACCATTACTCTCAAAGAAGCCCAAAAACAAATCAATAGATTCTTCTTGGAAAGTCCATTATCAGAGAGTTGATAGGGAGTTAATGAAGGCAAGTCTTAAGACAGGAAGATATCACCAGTCGTTTCAGTCAAAAGAAGATCAAAATCCCTTTATATATAATTCTGCATCAGGACGGACATCATTTCCGAGGGATAAGCAGACTACATTTTCTAAAGAGATAAGTAGGGTGCAGGGAGTTGTTCATTTGGAAAATCAAACTAACCATCACGGCATATTGAACTCTTACAAAGGGGAGTTAAAAGTCAAAAAGGGATTAGGTTTTCTTTCAAGAGTAGAGAAGTGATCACCATAAAGGACTGACTGTTGATGGTTTTTTTGCCAAAATAGATAAAATTCCCTTTTTCTTGGCATTTAAAAATAAAAGATCTTTCCTTTTGGAAATCTGCCGCCCATTATTAAAAGATTAGAAATCCCACTCCAGCATTTTCTATAAATATGAGAGGAGGTGAACAGATCAAGAAAGAGCCAAAAAATTAATCAAAAACAAAAAACTCAAAATGATCACTTGATCTCAAAAACCTTCAAAACACTGAAGCAACCAAAGCTCATTGAGCCACAACAAACAAGTCAGATAGCATTCAGAATCTCTAGAGTCAGTTTAGTTTCAGAGAAATAGTCATACAAAGCGAGATTTCTCTCGTTACAAATGTGGTTCAGCATAAGCCAAAACAAGCAGAGTTCGGGTTTTACAAATATGAAAACCTCAACAAATTTATGGAGAGCCCTAATTAAGCAGAACAGGTACTACAGTGCAGCTCCAGCTCAGTAAATCATCAAATTCAGCCACTTTTGCCCCTTCCAGACTGAAGAGGTTCCAATTCTGCCTGTTCAAAAAGCCTTCCAGGGCTTGAAATAGATTAAAGCTCTGCCAAACTCGAACATTGGTATCGATTTATAGCTGAAACTTGACAGTTGAAGGTGTTGATAGTCCAGACCAACACGGACACATCCAATCCAGTCGGGATCAAAAGTAGCTATCCATGCAAAAATTGAAGTCCAATGCTCTTTTATCTTTTTTAGAGTTGGTCTTTCCTTTTTTAGCTTTGTAAAAGGCAATTCTGCCTAAAAATAGTTCACTTTCTTATCATTTATTATGGCCAAAACAACCAATTTTGTACTGTGAAAATTTGTGAATTCCTCACCAATCTGAGGCAAAGAAAAGAACTTACTTGGGAGATATTCCTCAACTAAATTCACAATTGCTTGTTTAGAAATCAGTAACTTGGGGCTCAAGTTATCCATTTTTAAAGAAGTATGCTAGGGTTTTTATTGCTAGTAGTGGCACGCTCATACACAAAAGAAAGTTGACTTGTTGACTAGTCAATGGTTTTCAAGACAATGGGGAACTTTACCCTACCATCACAGAAACGAATCTAAAACGGGTGAACAAGCTCTTCATCCGTTTCCGTGGTGGTTGTGGGAGCAGCCACAGGTTCTTTCACCTTCCTCTCCCTAGCAGCCCCTTTTATGAGGCTCTTCATCTCGGTAGGAGGAGGAGAAGGGCTTTCAACTGCAAAAATACAACAGAGGAAGAGTCAATTTTTTGATTCGGAACTGACCAAAGAGAATGACAGAAGAGGTTATTTTGAAAATTTTACTTGGAAGTTCAGGCTGGACAGGATTATCTTGGGCCTGGATCGTCTCTTTTCCCTTATTCTTTCTCGCATAAGGGGTTGCTTCAGAGGTTTTCTCCTCTATTAGAACTTCATATTCAATATCTTCTTCCCTAAGATCTACCTCTAGATCTCCGACAGTGATGATGGAGTTTACTATACAAAAGACAAAAGTTAGAAAACTCAACCCAACTAGAGTTAACAAGAAGACAGGGTTCAAAACTCACCAATCATTTGTCTAGTCTGGACAACCTGCCTACTAAGGTTGCTTGCCACGGAAGGATCTGAAACAATACAGACATAATTGAGTAAGCACTTTCCAAAGGCACAAAACTCAAAATAAGAAGGGGAACTGACAATTACCTTCAATCACTTCAGCATTTATGCCCAGAAGCATCTGCGTGACGAATTTTTTGGCATCTGGTTCTGCAAGGACAATTCCCGCATCCCATTTAACAAAAACCACCCTCGCAACAGTCCTTGCATCAGACACACCACCAAATCTAGCCTTCCAACAAGCGTCAAAGTCGCCAAAACAACAGGAATTCGACTCCAAAGATGGATAGAGAGCATCCATACTGTTGTTTATCTTGTTCACCGTGCATCTGCAATTCTTGTGCACCTCCAAGTCATCTTCATCTCTCCAAGAAGTGCCTCTATTGCAGCCTTTACAAAACTTCAGAGGGATCAACTGGGGGCAAATAAATTGCTTGGCACAGAAGTTCGGTTGATAGACCTCTTAACCCAGATGAGAGTTGGGAGGCTTGCCTCTGCCAAAGGGCAGAACCCGGATCAACATAACACTCACAAATTTCTTCCTAACGTCAATTTTGGCCGCTTCATCTTCAAGCTCCTTTTCATCCAGGTCGGAACCAAGGGTAGCTTTTTCTGAGTACCTCTTGCCAATGTGTAGCAGACCACTTGTTGCAATGCCTGAAGAACATCAGATATTCTTCAATTGAACTCTTGGGCACTTCTGCTGACATAAGAGGAAGCGCCATAACCTGGTCTTTAGGCAGAACTATGTCCGAAAACCTCAGTTCTTGAAAGTATACCTGCAGCCAGATCTGCACCCGAGGCTAAGATATTTAGAGGGTTATCCAGAGTGGCGCTATGGAAGTTTTTCTTGCCCAGCTTCTCGCCATTTTTCCATCTGTGATAATCCCCAACAATATCAGCAGGTCTTCCATGAGGCCTGAACCCAAATATCTGAGCCTTGTTTAGCAGAGTTGGAGACATTGGGCCAACACGGAAGTCAAAGGTGTTGGTGGTAGAATTCCAGAAGTAGGGAGCGGTAGCTAACATGTTCTCATCCCTATTCACCAACTGCCTAGACAGAAGAATGGCGTCATAGATTCCAGCCTTCTTCCAGTGTGCCCCATACTATGGAGAGAGCCTGTTAATCCAATCTGACCACTTCACAATGCTATTCCTCACTTCACTTGAAGGATATGACCGGCTCAGATGCTTGCTAATCCAGGAGTGAAAAGCCAAAAAGGAACTCTGGTAGTAGAGAGGAGCCTCAACATCTTCCTCAAAAAGCTTGGCCATCTCTTTAGGAACTTTCCCAAACCAGTGGGGACCCAAAACTAGGGTATTCCCAAACATCTGGAGGATGTTTTCATCCAAATTCTTCTTGGTGTACGGGTGGAGCTTGCTGCAAATCTCAATCACATGATTGTCAACGCCTGCTCCTGAGATGTAAAGAGGAGGAAGTGAAGAGAAGGATTTTGGCGCGAGTTTTTGGAGAAGACATTTTCGATTCAAGAAGAATCAGAGAAGAATTGAAGGTCAGTTGAAGAAAGACAGGGGTTTTTTAGAGTAATCAAAAACTGGAAGGAGTTAGGTTTTTGAGTGAATAGTGGAGGAGTTCTTATAAAATCAGAAAGGAGGAAGATCGTGGAAGAAGAGAGGTTGCCCAAAATTAACTAGCCATTAATTCTTCCTATTAATAAAGGTTAATTGAAACCTTTTAGGACATCCACAAATCATGGTTGTCGCCTAGCAGCAAGTCACGGTTATCCGAGCTAAATGAGACGTTGTGAAAGAATCTATTCAAATTAAAATGACCGTGCAATTGAATCCTTCTCTTATGTCAATACTCCTTATTCACATTATTAGATCATGGAATCCGATTATCAATATCCTAATGTGAATAATTCCTTTTATATGATTATCCTGGTAAGATTTGAAGACTTCTTCTTTCAAGTCTTATCCACTACTCTGTGCAGAGATTTGACCAATCATATCTTGGAGTATTCTCTCTCCTTTACAGAGAGTAGAGATTCCTTGTTATACATTCACTTGCTTCCATGACTTTATTGAGAATCCTGATGAGCACCTTTAAGCTATGCCTAATTTAGCATAGCCATAAAACATCTATAATGCTTCAGGTCTGAGGATTAGTTTGCACCATTGCAATTTATAAATTCTAGCTTGACACGTGAGTAAAGACTTCCATGCTGTAACTCATGAGTTGGATTGCATTCAGTGTACTTGTTCTTCTACAAGCATCTACACACATATCGATGTCTCTCCACACTTAATGACTTGAGATCTTGCCATTCCCTACATATAAAGACGATACTATGTGTACTGGTCTTTGCTGAATATTGACGCCCAATCAATATTCCTATGATAAAAAACATATTCAAGATTTAGGGATGATGAGAAGTCTCCATGTATGCAATCTCATTACATAGCTCTCATATCCACTTGTGTATTCCTTGGGCTATAGTTGTTCTACATATTGAAAGATAATATAGGATAATTTAATGTATAAAACAACCTTTCTTGCCCATTAATAACAAAATATGTCTTTTGTCAAAGATGTCCTTAACTCTAACTATTACATAATTAGTTGGCTTTAAGGGCATATTTCTAACACCACTCCCCTTTTTTTGCACTGGAGCAGAGAAATCTCTCAACAATGTGTCCTCCAAGATATTAAGGAATGATCACTCATGCATATTTCCTATAAATATAGGAGAATGTGAACAGGATAGGGACAACGAAAAATCCAATCAAAACAAAAACTCTCAGTCACACTGACAAAGATAAAACATGATCACACGATCCCAAAAGTTTTCAAACCCTGAAGCAATCAAGCCATTTGGTTTTGAAAAAGCCATCTAGCTCCTAACAAAACATGCACAACTCAAACTTCTGACTTCAGTTCACAAAAGAAACAAGACTTCTCTCATTACAAATTTGGTTCAAAGCAAATGAATCAAGTGAAGTTCGGTTTTTAATAATATGAAAACGTCAACAAATTTCCATATATACTTTGATGTCTCAAAAATTGCCAGAATAGCTCTTTGGTGATTCACAGTCAAGTAGAATAGGTACTGAAGTAGAGTTCCAAACCAACAATCGCCAATCCAGCCACTTCCAGTCCAGTCCATACTGAAGAGATCTCAGTTCTGCCCATTTGAAAAGCCTCTCCATGGCTAAATTTGATTAAAAGCTCTGCCAATCTCAACATTGGTATTGATTTCCAGCTAAACCCAATCATTTGAAGGTGCTGACGTGCAATTTCAGGACAAATACATCCAATCCAGTCTGAGTCACAACAACAATCCAAGCAGAAATCGAAGCCCAATGTTCTGATGTCCTTCCGGACATGGTAGTTCTCCTTTGTTTAAATTGTGTAATAGGCAGTTTCTCTTTGAAACAGTTTAATTTATTTTCAATAATTCATTTTGGCTAGGCTTACTAGTTTTACTATGGGAAATTATAATGTCCTCACCCATCTTAGGCAAAAAAAAGAACTTACTTGGGAGATATTCCGCACCTAAAATTCACAATCACTTGATCAAAGTCAATAACTTGGGGCGCAAGTTATTAAATTTTTATAAGCCTATTAGGATTTTTAGCCTATAACAATGGCACGCTCGCACACAAAAGAAAGTTGACTTGTTAACCATTACCAATGGTTTTGAAGCCAATGGGGAATTTTACCCTACAACCACAGGAACCACGTCAAAACGGGTAAACAATAACATTCCACACCACAATCCCTCGTGCAAGGCCAGTGAACCACATGTCTTGGGTTCATGTGAGCTTGGTAGGTGATTGACATATCAAAAATGTATTATTGGCTTGGCATGACATGCACACTATTTCATATTTATTTAATGAATTACTTCTCAAAATACATATTGGATTAATGCATGACTAACATTATATGTTATATTGGGCTTTAAATGTCTTTGGGCTTCTCGTGACTTTTTTGGGCCTCAACACTCACATAATAAAATGATTCTATGATTTAGGGATTTTTATTAAAGTCCAGTGAAAATATGAACTAATATTCCATAAATGGCAAAATCACAATAAATGCAGCCATTTTATATGTACAATGACAAAACATGTGCTTCATGCAACAATTTTTATATTATAAATAAAAATATAGTGTATTTTTTTCATTACAATTTGTTCGAATTGAATCCTTTTGTTAAAATTAATTGTGATATTCTTGATATTGATTTGAGGAGATTTGGTGTTAAAATTAATTGTGATATTCTTGATATTGATTTAAGGAGATTTGGTTTTAATTAATAGAATGTTTTAGTAATATTCTAATTATTCTCCTTTAAATGAGGTGTCCTTCACGTCCTTCCGAGTTATAATAGGAAGCATATCTTATTGATTGTCCATTGGTTTATTAAAACATTGCTTGCATCCTATTTATTAAAAGATGCTGATTTGGTTTTCTTTGTGGTGGAGAAAACATCTTTAAATGAGAGCCTTGTGCCTCTTCTTCTACACCTCTTTTCAACATCAGGTTTTGTGTGCTTAAACATTTAAGAAAGCTATGTTTTTATTTGAGATGAATTAGCAATTGTTTCATGTTTACTTGGTGATTTATCAAACATTTTTTTCATTCATATTGCAATCATTTGCATTGATCGGTGGCTCATACAATTGAGGGAACCAAGACCGTGGCGGTAGTTTTTCTCTGGTGAGTTTGAATTGATCGCGACTAGTATCGGATTCAACATAAGGAGAGTTGGAAGAACTCCGACGAGCTTGAAGCAATTGTGACCAGTATTGCATTCAACATAAGGAGTGTTGAAAGATCATTCCGCGAGAGGTTGAGTTACAAAGAAGTCAGTATACATTATCTAGATTGTGTTTAGGATAAGTGTGTGAATACTTCTTGTAATCTTCGTTCTATAGTGGATTTTTTTTTAACTGAGGAGTTCTGTGGATTTTCCCCAAGGTGTGAAACTTTACCACATAAAATAATTCTCTACGTGTTCTTTATTTCTATTCTTTGCACAGTGAGAATTGATAACATGTATCAATCCTATTGGCGTTACTTATTTTCATTTGTTACTTCGTTCATGTACAAGTACATTTATTTTAACGTCTTATTTGTGTTCAGGATTATTGTCTCCATTTATTGTGATGATTTTAAAGATATAAGACAACACATTAAGTGGGGCTATTTTAGGAGAAAAACTTCCCTGGCACGGGGATGCCAGGGTCAGCCATCCACATAAGTATCCCCATCTAATAAGCAATTGACAGCTGGCAACCTATGTTGCCTCAATTTAAAATATTAAATGCATTTTCAGTATTAAAAATCTGCTCATCTGCTAGCCCAATGAAATCATGCTAGCTGCCAACCACTTTGACTTCCCAATTAATTTTTTTTTAGTGAAACTTTAATTCTTTTTTCAGTCACTAAAAAATCTACTCATCTGCTTCCTCTTCTATCTCCGTCGTTACTCTCGCTCCTTCATTCATCTTTCTCTTTCGATCACTTCTCCTTCATCAACCACACCACATGCATTGATTTGTCTCTTATTTATTTAATTTATTGAGTTATCAATCATCACTCTCAGTCTTTGGATAGCATATGCGCTTCTTTTGAAGTTGTGGGTTACCAGTTGAAGATAGTGACATCGGAGATACCAATGGAGGAGAAGATTGTTTACTAAAAATGCATTTAATATTTTAAATTGAGGCAAAATAGGTTGCCAGCTGTCAATCGCTTATTGGATGGGGATACTTATGTGGATGGTTGACCCTGGCATCCCCGTGCCAGGGAAGTTTTTCTCCTATTTTAGGGATCCGAAATGTATTAAATTTGAAACATATGTAGGAATGGTGATTCTCAGACGAGGGAATCGCTCCTCTCTAAATTAAAATATCCCCATTTAATTAAAAATCAATGCTAACTAAAGAAAAGGGACGAGCACCTTTTGAACTTATTCAGGTCAGTCTGTTAAGTAACTTACTTAGTTGGATCCTAGTTCTTGGATTTTACTTATAAAATTGGGGAGCATTTTTCCTCACCACATTAACCAAAGGTGTATGCTCACCACCACTCTTAAAAAGGGACACATATCCCATTGTTAACCTTAGTTAACTTTTATGTGAGAATTAACTTTTATTTGAAAAAGGGCCTGCAAATCATCTTCCCCTCTTTCCTCTTTCTTCTCTTTTTCTTTCTTTCCTCCCCCACGACCCTTCTCTCTTCTCTCTCCCTCCCTCACTTTGTATCTCTCCCCCTCCCCTGACCTTCCTTCTATCGGTGTCACATGTCTACGACTTGTAGGGGGTTTCATTGATATTGCACTTTTCCGTCTTCTGCAACCAAAAAACTCAATTTTTAATCTTCTTCCCATGTGTTTTGTTCTTAGTCTATTTAGTTTCCCTCTTCTAGGAAAATGCTTCTCATGGGGTCATTGATGTGTGTTTCAAGTTTCATACGTTTTATGTTTTATGTTCTTTGGTGCAACTGATGGTTCTTCTCTTTGTTTATCTGAGAAGTTCATGGTGAGAAAGTAGAAAAAGAAAAAATTAGGCGTAGTGGAAACGACTAAACCTTTGGACCGAACTTATGCTGCTACAAAGCTCCACTTGATTTATTTATCCATCAAACAAAGTAGGGCAAATATTCAGTTATGCTCAAATTATTATTCTTCTCCAATATGGAGGTATTTATATAAGTACCAAGATGTGTTAACCCTAAATAAAATAGGAAATATATCTAAATTACAATAGGAAATAAATCCCATTTATAATAGGACTAAATGGTAAGTAACCAAAATCCTAACTAAATAAGGACTCACCAACACTCCCCCTCAAGTTGGGGTAAAGATGTTTCACATGCCCAACTTCACAAGCGAGGCATAGAACACCATACTTGAGACGAACAAATTGTAGAGAAGGTTTTTTCGTCAACCACGAGTGGAACAACTGACAAACCAAAGCAAAGATCACATCGGAAACACAAGAGAAAACCCTAACAAATAGGGCACATAGCAGAACACATAAAATTAAAACATAGAAACCCTATGAGCACAGTAGTAGATAAGGCAGAACATAGAAACCCTGTGAGCACGGTAGTAGATAAGGCAGAACACAGAAATCCTGTGAGCACGTCAGTAGATAAGGCAGAACACAGAAACCCTGTGAGCATGACAGTAGGTAAGTTAGAACACAGAAACCCTATGAGGAAATAAAGGCATCAACATTGAGCATGGTGATGAATGGTGGGGTAGGGACAGCAGCAGCAATAGCAAAAGTAGACAATGGCGGCGAGCTAGGATTATAGGCTAAGTGTATAATGCAGCAGAAATAGGTAGTGTTTAGGGTTAGGGTAGAGACGGATCAAAACACAGCAACATCATCGGCAATGACCATAGCAACGTTAAGTGAAGCAAACAAAGGCAACATCAACGGTAGCAGCAGCGGCCACAACAATGGCAACGATCACAGAAACGGTAGTTAAAAACAAGGACAAATTCTTCCATATCAACCTTAGCTAATTCATGTAGACACAACTTCTCCTCACTCCCCCTCTCCCCCTGAAGAGAAGGGGTCGTTGAAGCCAAGAAATAAGCAATTTCCTCATGGGAATACGTCAAGCAACACATTTGAGAGAGATAAGGTATAGGAAAGAGAAACAAATCCCTTTTCAACTCAAAATAATTAGGGTTTAAACTGATATTTTATTCTTCTCTCAATGAGGAATATATATACTACATACTGAGTGGTTAGAAATAGGAAATATGTACAAAATCTCCTAATTCTACTCAAATTAGATAATTACAATAAAATATAAATTCTATTCCTAATAGGGACAAATTCTATCCTTAATAGGGACAAATTCTATCCCTAATAGGAAGATTGACTCACGCCAACACTCCCCCCCAAGTTGGTGCATAGATATCGGTAGTGCCCAACTTGTCAAGTGAGTCTTCAAATCGGTGCTTTGACTCGGCATGGGTCAACATATCTGCAAGCTGCTCTGAAGAAGGCACAAAATTAACTTATGCTCCAGCTTCTCCTTAATGAAATGCCGATCAACTTCTACATGCTTTGTAACACCCCGACGCTATTTAAAAGGTTAAAATTAAATTAATTGTGAAATTACGAAACTACCCTTAAGGTAGGGTATTTTGGTCATTTTCTTGTCCGGAAGGATTTTGGGACCACAAGTGGTTTCGTTCTGTAAGTGGTTCTAAGATGAATTCGTAGACAGGCGGTAGGCTTGAATCGGAGTTATAACGAAGTGTTGGCGATGAAATTTCCTTCGGTGGCAAAATTGTAAAAGAGTCGAAAAGGGTATTTGTAAAACAAATCAGATTTTTCCATTTCAGTTCATTTTCCTCTCTCTCTCTCCTGTGCGTTCTCTCTCTCCCGCGAACTCTCTCTCTCTCGTCACTGTTCACCCGAACAGAATTCTCCACGCTGCCATCACTTCCGGCCACCGCAGCTCTTGAGACTGGTCCCAAAAGCTTCGCCTCGACGTCCTGGTCAAGACCCAATAGCTTTCGTCGTCGGAAAACTCGAAAACAGCTGAATGAAGTGCTCCCCTAGTTGAGTAGAACCTGTAGCCAGTTCCCGGTGAGGTTGGGCTTCGCCGTAGTTGAATGAAGTGCTCCCCTAGTTGAGTAGAACCTGTAGCCGGGAGGGTGATTTGTGATTTGGAGTTTTTCCGTCGCCGGAATTTCTCTGCACACCCGCTTGCTGCCGGCGCGTGTGGCGGCGCGTGGGCAAGTGTGGTGGAGCTGCAAACTGTTCCAATGTGATCCTTACGTTGTCACGAGCGCATAGGATTTCGCGGATCTCGATTCCGAGGTCGTTTGACTATCGAACGAATTATCGCATATTGTGCGTTATTCGGGTTCGATATGTTCTGACCGTTGGATCGTTTTCCAATTTAAGTATGTTCCTCTGGATAACCGTAAGATCGTGTAGGATTCGACGGATCGTAAAACGGAGTCCCGGATACTCCGGAAATGCCAACCCTAGGGTGAGGGTTTCAGTAACCGTCCAATTGTGCGATCGTGAACAATCCGACCGTCCGTTCTGAACCAAACTTACAGGACGTGTATCCTAGACCTCGTAAAACCTATAGGAACTCCCGGGAAGCTAGGGTTTTATTTCAAGTTCTGTTTTGAAGTGCTTGATATTCATCGCATTTTCGTATTCTGAATCAGGTACTCCGACCCAGCATACGCAGCAGGCGGGACCCTCTAAGGGTCAAGCTGTGTGGGACTACTTGTGAGTGGACTTTTCTTTTGAAACTCAGTATGATTTTGTTCATAGAAATATGGCATATCGTTTTATTATATCTAGTAATTATTTTTATATGCTTGAATGGGAATTCGAGGTTTTCATGAAACTTACATTGATATTTGAATTTTGAGAAGCTATATTTACATGCGGCTATGCATGGGATACTTGGTGGTTAAGGTTAATATGAACTATGGACAGGTAATGTTGGATTTATTATTTGGAGTGCGTTAAGCACTAATTGATGTACCTCCCCTGATCTGAATTTGGTTACGATGAGAACTCAGGGCATCCTTGAGGGGATGTTGCTGTGGACCCTGGATTTGGGGTAGTCTGCGCGCGTAGGACTGGTATTTCAGGCGTACAAGCTTTGACTATGTCGGCTGTATGTGCTGGCTGAGAGTTAGTCCCCCGGTTGGACGGCTCGTTCCCTAGACACATGGTGAATTGAGGAATGGCTCTGCCATGTGGCCTAGTCAAACAGTCCCCCGGTTGGATTGTTTCCCCGGTACAATTAACTATGGGTTATCTTTATATACTACTATTATTATTATTATTATTATTATTCTACTATCTCATATTACTATTATTATTATTATTATTATGTATATTATATATATGTATGTATATGAATGTTCCTTTGTTCTATTTTTCGGTAAGGATACTTCCTCGCCGGTCGTACTTTTGAGTACGTTTACGAGAGTCTAATCTCTCGGGACTCTTAAGTTGAGTGGTGGGTTTCGTGAAGCATTATTCACGGATTACGGATTTGAGATCCGGTATATATATATGTTCGTGTATGTTTATATACCTTTTTCTGATGGTTGTTATGCTTATGGTTTCATTGTATGTTTTTATAAAGGTGGGGGTTATACTACTTTGATTTCTTTTGAACTGAACTTGATTTTTGTCCACTCACAACTTTCTATTTTGCGCCCCCAGCCAGTAGCGACTGAGCTTTGCAGTTGAACCGGACCGGGTGCATCTTGGAACTCGAGTCTTCGTAAAGACTCTTGGTGCTTTGTTTTTCCTTTCAGTTAAACGGTACTTCGGTTGTATTTTGAATTCCTTAGTTATGCTCTGTATCGCCCACTGAGGGTTTAATTTTGTGAGGCCGGAGGCCTTTGTTGTAAAATGTTTTGTTGCTTGTAAAGCATGCTGCCAGTTGGTTGTAATTAACTGTAAATTTTGAACATGTTGAAGTTTGGGAATGTTCAATTTACAGGGGAGACTCTGCCAAATTTTTGGTAGAAAGTCTCAATCTTTACTAAGTGGGCCCGACATTAGGTTGATGTTGGTAATTAGGCGGGGTTCGTCCCGGATTCCGAGGAAATTCGGGGAGGGTCTTGTCATGCTTAGTTCGATCATGTTGCACCGGATTGTTAGCAATTTCAAATGCAGACTGATTATCACAGTGGAGCTTTGTAGCAGCATTCAGTCTAAACTCAATTTCAGCAAGTAACTACCTCAACCACAGTATTTCACAAACTCCTTGGGCAATCCCTCTATACTCATACTCTGTAGAGGACTGAGACACAACGTTTTTCTTCTTGCTACGCCATGTAACTAAGTTACCACCAACAAAGGTGATATAACCTGATGTAGAACGTCCCCTGCATAATCTGCGTCAGTGTAACCTTCTAGATCCAAGTGGCCATTTTTCTTAAATAATAAACCTCTCTAAGGAGCATACTTTAAGTAACTCAGAATACGCATCACAACAACCATATGATCCTCACTAGGTAAATGAATAAATTGACTAGCAACGCTTATAGCATAGGCAATATTAGGGCGTATCAATGATAAATAAATCAATCTCCCAACCAACCTTTGGTATCTTTCTTTGTTATTGGGACCTAATCCACATAAACACCAAGTTTATGATTCTCAACAATAGGTGTATCAGCTAGTTTACAATCAAGCATTCTAGTATCTGCTAGCAGGTCCATGACATACTTTCTTTGTGAAAGAAATAAGCCATATTTAGATCGAGTGACTTCCACTCCTAGAAAATATTTCAAACTGCCCAAATCTTTCATCTCAAATTTAGATGCTAAACGCTTTTGCAGTACCTCGATTTCTACAGTATTATCACCAGTCACAATCATATCATCAACATAAATAATCAACAAAGTCACCTTACCAGCCCTATGTTTAATGAATAGAGTATGATCAATATTGGCATGTTGGTAACCAAACTTCTTCATAGCTGTAGTAAATCTGCCAAACCGTGCATGTACGCCTTTTTTAATTTGCACACGTTTCCCGTTTCACCGGTAACCCTATACCCTAGTGGAAGACTCATGTACACTTCTTCTAGTTCACCATGTAAGAATGCATTTTTTACATCAAATTGCCTCAGGGTCCAATCCAAGTTTACTGCTAAGGACAACAAAACTCTAACAGTATTCATCTTAGCCACAGGTGCAAAATTATCATGATAATCAACTCCATATGTCTAAGTGAACCCTTTAGCTACTAATATTGCCTTGTACCTCTCCACAGGCTTCGTTCCCTTTGGTAGATCAACAATGTCCCATGTATTATTTTTCTACAACGCCTCCATTTCAATATTCATGGCTCCAGCCCACTTTGGATCATTAAATGCCTCCTCAACACGGGTTGGAATTTTAATACTATCTATTCTAGTCACAAACGCTTTGCACTCAGGAGATAACCTGTGATCAAACACATAATGGGCAATAGCATATCTTGCTTTGCCTTCTGGTGAGTAACGATCAGGTGGAACCCCATGGTTCTGTCTAGGCGATAGAACATAAGAATTATCAGAAGTATGAATATAAGCACTTACCTCAGGAATATACAGGGGAGCTTGATCGGGTACTATTAGAGAAGCTTCATGGAAGGCAATTGGTTCAATGACAGTAGTGACATAAGTTAAAATAGCAGGTTCAACTAGTGTAGCAGGTTCGGTTGGTTCTTCCCTTTGTATCAAACTATCCACTACTACTCCCCCTTGTAAATCTAGCCAGTTATGTCCTTCACTATGTTTCTTTATGAAGGACATGCTCAGGTGTATCAGAGAAGAACATTTCATCCTCAATAAAGGTAACATTCATAGAGACACATAGACGTCGGGTTGCAGGATGATAGCATCGGTAGCCTTTCTGATGAGGAGAGAAACCCAGAAAGACACAGCGGAGAGCACATGGGTCTAGCTTACTCCTCTGATTTTGATGGAGGTGTGGAGACAGAGTCAGAATAGAAGAGGTAGAGATATGATGGGTCAGTACCTGTATAGGAGTTTGGAAATCCAAAACTCGTGAAGGTAGATGATTCAAGAGATAGACTGCATAGGTAATAGCATCCATCCAGAACCGCTTTGGAACTGACGCACCAAGCAGTAGAACAAGGGCAACAGCAAGGATCTGCCCATTTTTACGTTCAGCAACCCTATTATGTTGTGGTGTTTGAGGGCAAGTAGTCTCATGGAGTACACCCTTAGTGTGAAAAAAAATGGGATAATGCTGAATTAACAAATTCTCTACTATTATCATATCGGAGAGCATAAATTGAGCCTGAATCATCTGATAGAAACGCTGAAAAATTTCAACCACATCACTTTTATTTTTCATCCCATATAACCACATCATACGAGTGCAATCATCCACAAATAACACAAACCAACGAACTCCCAAGGCTGTAGAAACAGGGGAAGGTCCCTAAACATCATAATGAACTAAATCAAATGGCATAAGTTGTTTATTACAACTTGGAGGGTAGGATACCCGATGACTCTTAGCTAAAATACAAGTCTGACATTGGAAAGCAGACTCGTTGACACCACTAAATAATGTAGGAAACAAATGCCGTAAATATCCAAAGGAGGCATGACCAAATCAGCAATGTAGCAACCAAATTCAGCGATGTTAAGAAGTTTCGGCGCTACCAGCACAAAGAACCCGACTAGTTGCCACATCATCCACATAATAAAGACCCCCCTCTCTTTTAGTACCACGACCAAAGATCTCCCGACTCTGGATATCCTATAGTAAGACAAAAGACGGATACATCAGTACAACACAGTTTAACTGCTCAGTAACTTGCGGTACAGATAATAAATTACTAGACAAATATGGAACTAGTAACACTTTGTCCAATGGTAAAGCATGTGCTAAGAGTATAGAATCAGCCCCCGTGACAAGAGAAGCAGCATTATTAGCATTCATAACATGATCACAATGAGGTGAAATAGTAGTAAAGAATAAAGCAGAATTATACGTCATATGGTCAGTAGCTCCTGAATTAATAATCCAACCTGTATCGCAGGTATCAAGGGCATGGAAAGCCTTGCCAAAGTTACTTGGAGGCGGAGGTGTTGGAGTGCTTGAGACCGCGGTCAAAATCGAAGAAGGAGTAGCAGTAAGGTGGCCGTGCCCAGTGGTGATGTCAGCTACAGAAGTGGCAGCAACAGCCACATGAGCTTTGTTGTCAAGTTGTTCCCTTTTTAAACGCCTCCACTCTTTCTCCCAATATGGTATTGTTCACCCGTTTTATGTTTGTTCCTATGATGGTAGGGTAAAGTTCCCCATTGCCTTGAAAACCATTGACTGGTCTTCAAGTCAACTTTCTTTAGTGTGCAAGCGTGCCACTGCTAGCAATGAAAAATCCTAGCAGACTTCTTAAAAATAGATAACTTGCGCCCCAAATTACTGATTTCTAAACAAGCGATTGTGAATTTGGGTGAGGAATCTCTCAAGTAAGTTCTTTTCTTGCCTCAGACTGATGAGGACTTCACAATTTTTCACAGTACAAAACTATTAGTTTTGGCCAGAATGATTGATAAGAAAGTGAACTGTTTTAGGCGAAACTGCCTTTTACAAAGCTCAAAAAGGGAAAACCAACTCTAGAAAGACAAAAAAAAAGGGTTGGACTCGGTATGTATGTGCTGGATTGGACTATCAACACCTTCAACTGTAGAGTTTCAGCTGTAAATCGATACCAACGTTCGAGTTTGGCAGAGCTTTAATCAATTTCAAGCCCTGGAAGGCTTTTTGAACGTGCAGAATTGAGGCCTCTTCAGTCTGGAAGGGGCAGAAGTGGCTGGATTTGATGATTATTGAGCTAGAATTGCACTGTAGTACTTGTTCTGCTTGATCAAGGCTCTCCATAAATTTGTTGAGGTTTTCATATTTGTAAAACCCGAATTCTGCTTGATTTGGCTTATGCTGAACCAAATTTGTAATGAGAGAAATCTCATTTTAAATGACTTATTTCTCTAAGTCTGAACTGAAGTTTAGAGATTTTGAATTGTAGCTGACTTTTTTCTTGTGGCTCAATGAGCTGGTTGCTTCAGTGTTTTGAAGGCTTTTAACATCAAGTGATCATTTTGGGTTTTTGTTTTTGATTGATTTTTTGGTTGTCCTTTGATCTGTTCACCTCCTCTCATATTTATAAGAAATGCTGGAGTGGGTTTTTTTAATCTTTAAAATGGGCGGCAGATTTTCTAAGGAAACAAGATCTTTTTATTTATATGTCAAAGAAAAAGGGAAGTTTATCTATTCTGGCAAATAAACCATCAATAATCAGTTCTATGGCAATCACTTCCCTGCTTTTCTTTGAAAGAAAAACTTGATCTTTCTTTAATTTTCAATTGCTCTTGTGAGAATTCAATTTGTCGTGATGGTTAGTTTGATTTTCCAGATGAACAACTCCCTGCACTCTACTTATCTGTGTAGAAAATGTAGTCTGATTATCTCTTGGAAACGATGCATATCCTGTTGTAGAAATATATAGAAAAGGGGTTTTGATCTTCTGGTGGCAGAGATTCAGAGATGTCTTCCTATTATACTTGCCTTCATTAACTCTCTACTAACTTCTCTGTGATAGTTGATATTGTTGACATTTCAAAGTCAGGCAATCATGTGGGTTGAGAATAGGCTTTTCAAGAGTCTGTTGATTTTGTTTTCTAGGCCTTGTGATCCATGGTGAGCATTTTTAGAAGCTAAGTCCAATTCAATTCTTCTTTTAGATTTGTATCGATCTGCTTGGTTGTCAACTGCCAATTATTTTGGCATTTTTACAACTCTGCCATTTCGTAAAAGACGTGGGCTTCTATTGTGGATTGGGTTCTTTTTTTGGAGTCAAAGCCCAGTCCTTTGTTCTTTTTCTGTTTTGTGGGCCTTTCTTGGCGAAGATGGGCTAGCCCGTTTTAGATTTCTTTTTGGCCCAAACAGGTACCCCTTGCAATGCCTAGCAGGTGTCTATAGTATGTCTCTTTTCACCACAGTGATCACACTTCAGTTTGTCTTTTTCTGCAGAAGTCAGGCGACGAGGAGAAACAGCAGAAGAGCCAAACCCTATAGGCTTAGAAACCAAAGCAGTGTTTTTGGAAGCAAAAACAAAAGTAGGTTCCCCAATCTCGGTGTTGGATCCAAGCATAGTAATCTGGCGTTGAGCCTCTGGACGAACCATAAAAAATACATTTTCGATACTTGGAACTTTAACACTTCGTAGAATATCACTACGGACCTTGTCATAAGTATAGTCAAGGCCAGCCAAAAAATCATACACACGATCTACCATAAAAGCAGCCCGAAAAGTCTTCATATCATCATCACACTTCATCTGAAAGGGACGTCTTTTGTCCAATTGAAGCCAAATTGCCTTAAGTTTGGCAAAATAGGTAGAGACATGACGACCCTCTTGCTTGAGACGGGTAGCCTGGCACAGCAATTCATAGAGCTGGGATATGTCATAGCCATCTTAAAACATCTGATTAACAGCATCCCAAATTTCCTTAGAGTAGGCAGAATATGAAACATATTCAACAAACTCGATTCCATAGTTCGCAGCATCCAACTTTTCACAACAGCATCAGCAATTTTCCACTTCCCAAATTTCGGGTCTTGGGAATCAGGGGCATCAATGTTGCCAGTCATGTAACCCAATTTTCCTTGTGTAGTGGCATAGAGTTCGATCATCGAAGCCCATATCTCATAGTTGGATCCATTCAATTTGAATCTCGTAAGTAGGTTGGTGGACAATTCGGTATGAACTGTCACAATATGAGTAGAAGAAGAAGATTCAGTGACATCTGACATGGTGATAGATGGCAGTGGCAGCAAAAGATTAGGTGGTGACGATGACAGTAAGATATATAAGACGGCACAGGCTCAGGTGTATAGGCTAGGTGCAGCAAAATTAGGTAATTTTAGGATTAGGGTTTTGATGTTGTAGGGACGGATCGAAACCCACTCTGATACCAACTCAAAATAATTAGGGTTTCAACTGATATGTTTATTCTTCTCTCAAGGAGGAATATATATACTACATACAGAATGGTTACAAATGAGAAATATGTACAAAATCTCCTAATTCTATAGAGTGATTACAATAAAATATAAATTCTATCCTAATAGGAACAAATTCTATTCCTAATAGGAACGTTGCAGTGTCTGGTTGGAAAAAGCTTTATGTTGCTGTGTCTGGTTGGAACAAGCTTGGGTTTCTATTCAATGGAAAACAAAGGATAAAGTTACCAATTTCTCATTTTCCTTGGACTTTCTGCTAAATTATATTTTCTTGTTTTAAAAAAGATTAAGTTTTTTCATGTGGGTACCTCTTAATTTGAGCAATTCGGTTTGGATTCTAGCATTCTGCAATTTTTTTTAAATGGCGCAGACCTAGGTGGCAACAAAGTGAGGGAGAGAGAAGACTCGAAGAGAGAGAAAGGTCGGGGGAGGGGAGGAAAGAAAGAAAAGAAGGGGGAAAGGAGGAAATAGGGGGAGATGGGTTGTGGGCACTTTTTCAAATAAAAGTTAATTCTGACATAACAGTGTTAACTTTTAGGGAAATGCACGTACATACTCACAAACCAGAAATCTTAATCAAGAATACTCACTTTGCAAATATTAACCACAAATATTCACTTCCTCATGTGAAAGTACTAAACTGCCCTTCATATAAATAGATACTATATTGACCATGTATCCTTCTCTGAAACCCAATTCCTCCCAACTCTTCCTTCCTCTCTCGCAGTCCTCTGTCGTCCCCATCGCACATCTAGAACGGCGAATCAATTCATAGCATTATAGCACATCTGGAAGAAAGGCATAACGCAAGAAGATCGTTTTCAAAATTTCTAGAGAATGGTAATGACAATCTTCTCTCTTCTCAATCCCTAGTTTTCTTGTTTTTCTTTTTATGTACTTTTATGTCATTATTTTGTCAAAATAAGTAATTTAAATTTGCACAATTAAGTCGTTAGGGTTCCTAATATTACAACTCATATTCAACTCAAAACTTTTGCATTTGTTGTCTTTAGATTTGTTCCTAACTCTGTGATAATTTTTATTTTTATTTCCAACGAGTTACATAATTAGTAAGCCACCATATGACCCACCCAACTACAGAGATTGATCACCAATTGCAAGTAATTAATTGGGTTTTAGTTCGTATCATGTGGGTTTCTGTTGAGTATTGATATAGTGATTCTTAATATGCTTCCGGATATGTTTTCTGCTGAAATTCCTTATATGAAGTGTATGAATTTTGAATTAGAAATTGTTGCATTTGCCTTATCAAAACCTGATATGGATGCAAATAGGTCTTGTTGCGATTGATTTTATTATTTATCAGAACATGGGAAAGCTGAAAATAGGTATCTTCATGAGATCCTTGACCAAAATTTGAAGTATTGCAAGAGCATTAAGTAGACCTCCCCTGATATATACTGCTTCAGAAAATTTTGGTTGTTCTGTTCACCATTGCCTTCTTTAGGAAGCTTATAAATTACATGTGGAGCTTCTTGAGTCAAACAATTCCACATTACCCCATTATTGTTCACCCTTTGAGGTGTTTTGATGTCTGGTTCTGTGCCTTTTATTTTGTTTGACAATTTCTTTGTGCTTTATGTGTTCCACTTTTTGCGATTTTCTCTTGTTGGTGTTCTAGGTTAGGAAGCTCCTTACCAATTAGTCTAGGAATTTCGTATGTAATAGGGCATGAATGTCTTGTGAGAAGAATTGTAATTTATGTAGGAAGCTTTGGTAATACAATAACAAATGTTAGAAACTAAATGATTCCAATTACAAATGTGAGAGAGTCACATACTTTAACTTAATGTTTACACTCGCACTTTTCTGAATCTTTAGTTTTGTTGTCATACTTTGGTGAATAAAAAGCAATTGGGAATGTTGCAGAAATGGGGAGTGGGGAACTACACATGCGAGAGAATATCACCTTCATAACACAGCTCATCACTTGGAGGTTCGAGATTGGACAAAAGCTACTGGTTTCTTCACGGTTAGAAGATGGCTTGAGAAATGAAGATGCGCCACCAGTTTTGTTTCACCACATAAACATTGTTGTAATAGGAGTGGAATTGGATATTAGTTGTGCTTTGATGTGATCAGCTATTCCTTATTTATTAGTTGTGGTTTCATGAATTAGTAACCATGAAACTAGAGTGGATAGAGAAACTGCATATGTATATGTTTAGCTAATAAGTAGCCTCGCAATGTAAACTCAAGTTTATGTATTGCGCTTTCTTATTATGCCTCTATTGTTGTCTTAACTATTTTTTCACCTCTGTCTTGACAATTACAAAGCTAAAGTTGGACTAAGAGGTTTACGTATTGCCTTCTTAGCACTTTGTTTTTCACATCTCTTTGCAATTATAGAGTTAAAATTGGACTTAGGTTTACGTATTGCCTTCTTATTGCCCTTTTATTGTGTTCATATTGCTCCTCTATTGTTGTCTTTGCAATTATAGAGTTGAAAGGCAATCAAGTTTAAGTATTGCCTTCTTATTGCTCTTATATTGCTTTCCTATCGTACATCTATTGTTGTCTGAACTCTTTTTTCACCTCTGTCTTGACAATTATAGAGCTGAAGTTGGACTTCCAGGTTTACATATTGCCTTCTTATTGCCCTTTTATTGTGTTCCTATTGCTCCTCTATTGTTGTTTTAGCACATTGTTTTTCACCTTTGTCTTTGCAATTACAAAGTTGAAAGACTATTAAGTTTAAGTATTGCCTTCTTATTGCCCTTATGTTGCTTTCCTATTGTACCTCTATTGCTGTTTTAACTCTTTTTTCACCTCTGTCTTGACAATTATAGAGCTAAAGTTGGACTTCCAGGTTTACGTATTGCCTTCTTATTGCCCTTTTATTGTGTTCCTATCGTTGCTCTATTGCAGTCTTAGCACTTTTTTTTTCTTAATGTATGTCTTGGCAAACAAATTGTAGTTAGACTATGAATTCTTTGTATTGCCCCTTTATTCCACTACCCTTGTATTGCACCACAGTTCAATTTAAATTTCTAGCCACCTGCTTTACGTGTCTACACCAATCATGCACATAAACATCATACATACACATTCAATAAATGTTATAAATAGCTGCATCATGATCTATACAATTGGGTACCTATAAAGATACCTATTTCCAAAAACAAAAACAGTGACATGTTAGGAACACAAATTGTACATATAGTTAGGTAGCAAAGATCCCCACTTAATGGAATGAGACATACAAACAAAACAATTGTAACATCTAAATGATCTGCTTCTTGTTAATGACGGGGATAGCTTCTTTGCATGTACTTCGATAGTGGCCCTTCACACCGCACCTTGAGCATTTTCTTTGTTGTGAGTCCTCTCCTTTAGAATGTATTCTTTGCATCTTATGACGGCCTGACATAACCCTTGAAATAGGAGGGAGGATATTTACATATCGGATATTTTCGGGAAAAACCCATGTCCCTTGAGGTTGTACAAGATAAATGGATTTTGCATATGCAGCTGCCCATGTAGCTCAAGTGTAATATGAAGAGGCAAATGAGTATGGATTCAATTTCAAGTGTCGACATACCGCAATAGCATGCTTGCACGGGAGTTGCTCTAAGTCAAACTTCCTACACGTACAACTATGGTTTTGCAAGTGCACAAGACCGTTCATATCACCATCAAGCTCAGAAAATGTTACGTTCCGTGATACTATTATGCCTTCAACCTCACCACCTTCATAACTCTCAATATTATCCTTGCGAACCCAGTTTCCGTTGTAGAATACCAATATTCCAACAGTATTCATTTCTGCAAATAACAGCAATAAATCAATCTATTTGCATCCCCATCATAAGGTATACTCATTTCTTTGCATTACCAAATTGGAAATCAAAACAGAAAAACTAAAGTTCTTAGCAAAACTAACCTAACCCAGAATGTCAATCAAATCCAATTCAAAGACCTAAAATTTCACACTTAAGCTTCTAAATGAGGGAAAAACTTGTCTAACTAACCTATTTCTACGCTAGACAAAATTAAGATCTGATTTTTATGTTTCGTGTTATTTTGGGGAAAATGCTTTATGGGTATTGAAGAAGGGGACAAATAGCTTAAAACTCAAAATTACAAATAAGGGTTGCATGCCATCAAATTTATTGGCATATATATGTAGACAAAGCCACGCACTGGTCTTGAAGCAGCCTATAAAATATCACAATTTCAAATTTTTCTTCACATTTTTTATATTAATCAAATAACACAAGCCATGTTTGGATAAGTTCAGCAATTCTAGGATAACCCTACCTATCTTAATTGAACACTTGGGCTTTATTGTTCTTACACTTCTATCTTTTTTATGGCCTAGCCAATTGGAGAATTGAGTGTCAAGAAGTGGTTGGTGGTTAGATTGAGAACATATATAATAATAGTCATACTGGATTTTGCCAGTTGCAGAGAAGGGGAAAAGGAAAAGGAAAAGTGATTCAAGACATAGAGTTACCTACAAAAGCAATTTGAGGAACTAGAAAAGAGGGACCTGGTAGCAATAGGAGTCGCAGGTTGCTGTTGTCGCTGCTTCTTTTCTTTTCCTTTTGGGGGTATCGTTTCAACAATTAAGGTGGTGGTCAAAGCTTCTTCTAGTTGAGGTTTAGATAATCATCGAAGAACTTGGTTGGATGCCCTCCAGTTTTTTCTTGGTTCGACAGCGGAGAGGAATTGGGAGAGGTTGGTTTCAGATTCTGAGAATGAATTTTTTAGGGGATAAAGAGTGGATATTGATGTATTTATGTTGAGGGCAATTTAGTACTTTCACATGAGGAAGTGAGTATTTGTGGTTAAAATTTCTAAGGTGAGTATTCTTGATTAAGGTTTCTGGTTTGTGAGTATGTACGTGCATTTCCCTAACTTTTAATTAAATTCAAAAATAAAAAACTAATAATTGAAGGGGAAAACCCCAACAGCGAAGCTCCTCTGCTTCTCCGTCAACAACCCCACCATGCTGGTGCAGCCCCTCCCCTTGTTGCCGTCAGAAAAGCATCTTCTCTCTCTTCTTCCCCTTTATTTCGGATCCAGATTTATCTTCTTCCCCTGCTCTTTTGGCTTATTCTTTGAAGGAGAGAGGTAGATCGAGGTCATTGGTATGAAAAAGGAGATAGAGAAAAAGAGAAAAGGAGGCTTTGTCAGCGGCGAGAAGGAGAGCGAGTTGCCGTCGGCCGGGTTAGGTGGTTGTGAGTATTGGTGGACGGCTGGTTTGGGGTTGCTGAGGGTTGAGGGTGGGTGGGAGTTCGTTGCTGGGTTTTTTTTTGTGGCAATAAGATGCATGGATATACAGAATTAGAGCATCACACAAAGAATAAAATTTGCAAAATAGCCAAGCAAGTAGAAAATCAAGCCAGCAGTTAGCTTCTCTTTTCAGCTTCCTTTTTCTAACGTCTCACCTAAGCTTTGACGATGTAAAACACTGCTTTCACCCTAAGAGAGCGTGCAAGGGGACATTAATAATTGAAAGGTTGGTTCATAGGGTATGCATCCATGACTCATAAATAGAATTGAACGAGGACTATATCCCACCAATATCCTAGAAAATAGAAACATTATAGGGAAAGCATTGGAATTAGCTGCTAAAGTAATCATCAGCACAAAGAACTCCACTAGTGTAGTGGTTTGGAGCAATTGCTCTTTCAGGAAAGGTCTTGTGTTCAAGTCCTAGCATCCGTGTAGTTTGCACGAGTTTAGTATGTTATCGCCATTGTCAATATAAAAGGTCCTAAAAGAAAAACAAAAAAAAACACATGAAAACAAAGTAATTCATCAGTGCTTCCCCTTCCTACCAAAAGCTGGTCATTCTCTCCCAAAACATTTTTCATTCAGCCCTTAGAGAGAGAGAGAGAGAGAGAGATCCCCGAAATTTGAAATCTCCAGCCCTTAGCGTTTCACACTAAGCAAATAAGAGAGACATTTATATTACATTAACAATACAAATTTCCATTCCATAAAAGGTGCAACTCCATGTGACTCGAAAAAAGAAACACAAGACATAATATACTGAATACAAATTTCCATTCAAATGAACAGGTTAAGGAACAAACATCTTTATTTCCTTCATGCTCGGGTTGGCACCACAACCTACACTTCCCTCTCATTTGTTTTTATTTCACCTGCAGTTCTTGTCTCTTGGCTTTGGTTCTTCATTGCTGAAACTACTGGATCTGGGCCAAAGTTTTCTTTTGCTTCTCCATTCTCCAGTTCATGCTTGCTATCTAACTTAGCATTATCGCATTGAATGAGATCTGCGCCGTTATGTTTTTCGTTGGCATCTCCATTCTCCAGTTCATGCTTACCATCTGAAATAGTACCATTGCGTTGGATGATAGCTGCAGTCCAACCACGTAACTGCTCGGTGGCTGCTTCATCTGTTCATGAACTCCGAAAACTAGTTAAGACCATGTGTGTGCATGTGCATCATTTTTGCATACATGTGTGCTTGTGTATGTATGGCTCAGAGTGAGAGAGAGTAAATTAGACCAACCTAGCCTTGGGACCATATGCCCCTGTGGGTGCCTGATGATGAGCGGGTTGTCGAATTCGGCAGCAAGATCCTCGGAAGGTAGTTTCAACCAATCTTTAGCTCCTATGAAGTGGACAGATTTGGCCTTGATAGTGTCTTTGTATGCAATGTCACATATTTTTGGATCTCTGAATTTTGCTCCTGATATGGATATAAAAAACTTGAAAGGTGGATGCTCCTTCAACAGCTTTCCCTGCATTCCCAAATTTTGTAGTTCCAAATGATATATCTTGAGTATATACCTAAGAGAGAGAGAGAGAGAGAGAGGGAGAAGGGGAGGGGGGGGTGTTGGGGGACTTATATACCTGAGCTTGGTAGCCCAACAGGAGTCCTGATAGTGTTGCACCCTGAGTAAATATTTTGAGAATCTGAATTAGTAGTCTGTGAAACCATTAACATAGGTTACTGTGTAGTGCTCTGCTAATGAAAACATAAATTTTTGATATTTTTAATGGTGTTTATTGTTCCAACATGTTCCCTAAATTTTGATGCCAAACAAAGGCAAAACACCTCAAGTGTCCCCAAAACATAACCAAGATTCCCATCTAAATTTCAGTAGGAAATTCTCTTATATTTTCAAACAGCTGGTTTTTGCAGCTACAGAGGCAGTCATTACTTTGCATCATATGGTTCATAACTTATTTCCCATGATTTATGAGATTCAATAGATTTCTAGTCAGGGTTGGATTGGAAGATAAAGATATCTCTTTAGGACAACAAAGCATGCTTTCACAGCAAAGGTTGAAATAAACTATCAAAGTCCAAGTATTTTTATAGCTCTTGACAAGAGTTTCAAGCAATTTGAAAACCTAATTTCTTCCAAAATAAAAAAATAAAAATAAACCCTGAAGGGTGATATCATAAAAGTCTTACAGAAACATGGAGGCATACCTGGGAAAAACCAAGCAAACCATCAAAAGGACCTTTGCTTGTTATGTAGTCACATAAATAAGTGATGCATTCTTCCAAGTTTGTGTACTCTGTGAAGTCCTGATCCACAACATCATAAATAACAGATCCATTAATTATACTCAATATCAGTATAAGCATAAGATATATCAACAAACTTGGTAATGAAAGGATTTCATTTTGATGGACAGAAGGAACAACTAAAAGCCTGAGGAGCAAGCAAGCAATATAAAAGTTGGAGTACAAGTTATGAGGACCAGATTGGCTATGTAAAATTAATCAAAAAGATTTTACCTTGTCAAATTGAAACCACTCGTAGTAAGGTGGTGGGAAGATGCCTTCTATATCGGATTTTCCTCCAGCAGGAAATATACCATCTGGAAAATCCTGTTAAAATTCCAGAAGTGATTTGATTATATTGTCAAATATCTACTAAATTACTACGAAAAAGAAAAATAATGTTGGAAACAGGTAAAGGGGGAGATTGGCTATTTCTATATAGTTCGTATCTTTAGTTTTCCGAAAAAATAATTTGGGTGGTTAAGTCTCAATCGGGTGACAGTTCAGGGGGTAAAATGACAGTTTACTCAATAAAAAACCATTGATATTTAGAACATGATAGGAAAATCATGTTCAGAAAATACTATTGTATATCCCAATAATACAGAAAAAAATTTCCAAGCACAATCTCTATGATTGATTAGTCGTGGTGAGATAAAAACAGTAAACATGCAGGTAGTAAACTGTGTCGCTTTTTTTAAAATTTTTTATTCATAAACAAAACAAATTATAAAATTATAAACAAAGAACTCCACAATATGATCATTAATCACCAGATGATATTTTATTAAAGCAAAGCATGAGCTATAGAATTATATTATAATTTATGCGTACATACCAAGTCAAACTGAGAGAAGATAGAAGCACCCCATTTGCCAATTTGCTTTTGCAGAAAGCTCCCACTGGTTCTAAATCCATGGAGGCAAAGTATCTTCATCTTCTTCTCCTTGTGCTGTTGGCTTTCCATTGATCTCCTGCTCTCTTCTCTCACCCAGCTTATCTGACCACAACAACTATCAATAAACTTAATTTAACTTAATGCACGGAGAAAGAATGCAGTAGCTAGCTGCACGTTTTGGTTCTACCTACCTCGGAACTTAAAGACCCCAACTACTACTCTCACTTGTTCATGTAGTTTCTGTTCCACATGCACTCGGTCAAAACTTTTTTTTTAATAATTTTTTTTTCATACAAGTGATACTGGGAGAGGAGGGGGGAAATAGAACTTAAGACATCGAGTGCAAAGGTAAATATTGTAAACCACTTGAACTACAAGCCCCTTCTGCTAAAACATTTTGTGGTTGCCAATTGTCTAGTTTTCTTATTTTTTTCTGTAAGATTTGCACAAATTTATTTATATCATGAGTTTTATATTAAAATAAAGTAAATATATGCTGCATTTCTCTGTTTTGATCTTGTTTCCATTTTCTTCTCATACTATTCCAGAAACCAGAGAGTAAAACTCCTCTGCTATATTGAAATGCAGGTATATGGAAATTAATGTTAATGAGCACTAACAAAGATGAAGATAAAGGGAAACTGGTAAATTTAATCCATCAATTTTTTGCCCAATTCCAGTATTTCTTACACCACACATTCCCCCCCAACCCCCCTCATATTTTGGCTCTTCACTTTTCAACCCCACCTCTCATTCTCTCATTCTCTCATTCAAACGAGTCACAAACTGCACAACAGCAAATTCAATCATTTTTCCCTGTTTTCATAATCTCTTCAAACTTTTCTTCCTTGCATCTATTTTCTTCTTGTCTGCCTGTGCTTTTGCCAATCCACCTTCCTTCCTTAGCGTTGTAGTAGTTGCTGCTGCTGATGCAGCACAGCCACTAACTCCAGTCTCCACTGGAGCAACAACAGCTGGTTGATCCTGACCATTTCCTCTCGTCACTGTAATAGGGGCCAGTGGGGACGGGGATGCAGAGATCACTGGCATAGCAGCACCAGGTGCTGTGATCTTTTGATCAGCATTAAGTGCAGAGCTGTTAGTTTGGTCAACGTTCAGTGCAGTAGTCGACTCTGAAATAGCTCCTGTTTTAAACTTGGGTTTTGACTTGGCATGGATTCCAGTATAAAGTCTGCATGTAAAAGCACACTTTAGTTTCATAGTCATGTATAATGGTAATGTATCCAATAGTCATATCATTTAGTCTATATGGGGTATCATTCAAGTTGGTATGTGCATCTTTCATTTTCCAATCATCTGAATGTTGTGCATTCAAATTACACAAATCTACTCTTTGACAAAGTCTACATATACAACCACACAAAGTTTACATATATAAACTTTCCCTGCTCCATTAACCAGAACATGAGCACATAACATGATGACCATGACTCACCTGGCATGTTTTGCATATTCTTCATAATTTTCAAGCAGCATCTTGCCCGCCTGTTCATTCAATGCTGATTCTGGAAATGGTTCGATCAATAAACATCTAACTACCTGTTATTGCAAAGCACAAAGCCGTGACAATTAGACTTGACCAGGAAAAAGAACATCTCAAGCTGGATAAGTGGAAATGAAAGGAAGTCAATAATTGAAGAACAAAAGGGAACTTACAATCAGAATATGTCGTAATCCAAGACTTGGATTCCAATCTTTTTTCAAGGTGTTGACACAAATCTCACCGTTAGTTGCAATGTTTGGATGGAAAATCTTAGTCAGGAAGTAACCTACAACAATCATGTCCCAGAAATTTCAAATTAAACAAAGTAATAGCTTCAACCAGATAGGGACTCAAATTAAGCATGGACATAAATATCGACTAATCCGAGAGTTATATACAAGCGTCGCATCAACAAAACTTCTCTTCAGTTGTATCAAGCACACCAGTTTTTATTTACAGAATGAAGCCACATAAATACAACATGTTCATTTAAAAAATATTGTGGTATCAGTTATGTCATTGATGACAAAACATTGCAAAACAAACCTTTAGGAGGAGAGTGTGGGAAGTCACGAGACAATAACAACTTCATGCGGAAAACACCATTCTCGTAAGGAGTGCCAGCTGCAAGGCCAAGATCTTAGCTCATCAATCATACTAAAATATAGATGCAGGAGTGAAAGACATTACATACAGTTTGCCACCCAAAAAAAAACCTATGTACATGCCTGGGCCTTCAATATCCGCATATATGATCGAAAAATCATCATCATTAACACCAACTTTAATGCCTTCAGGAGGGGATTCATCAAGATTCTTCAATTCCTTCGCAAGTTGCTTAATTACGTTTGGTGGGAGATTTTCATTAGTAGCCTGAAATTGAAACACGACCAAAGGAATTCTAAGAAGAGTTAAAAAGAAAATAAGAGGTGGAGTTCATATATTTTTTAAACACAACTCCTAAAGCCATTGAATAAACCAAACAAACGTGTGCACAACCACCATGTCATGGCTGATGTTTCAATATAAAGAGGATTATATCTCATACACCAGGAATAAAATTTCATTGTGCACACGTATTGATGTCCAACTATCATGTACTCTTAGAAGTAGAATGAAAACAACATCAAATTATATTTAGATGAGAAAAAGCATGGCACTTAAACATCCACCCGTCTTTGAAATTAGTCCAGTGACAATGTATGGAACATTAGTCCACATGATTACTATATTATATTTTATAATCAATAATATCCAACAATGTAAAATAAAGAATAGTTTTTTATGGGGAAAGAAATAACATTACCATAAGAATAAACAAATGAAGTCCCAAAGCAAACTTTTGCTACCAAAAGAAAATCAGCAAATCAGCTGAATATGTGCCACAAAACTTTCAACCCCACGAATTAGAGTGACAGAATAAGGCAAGCTGTAAGCCGAAATGTCTGTAATAACAAATTAACATTTAATATTAAAAATCAGGAAAATAGAAGTCAGATCAGTCATATCATACACTTCTCACAATGAAAAATAGCACATAGAACCAAGAAGCACAAACCCTTCCTACTCAAAATTTAAACCAAGTATTACATCAGCATATTCAAACACAATAAACAAACAATAATTTCCAAAAAATCATAAATAAAAAATGAAATCGAAACAGCTGGTAAGTAGGTAGGTAGGTAGATATCAAGATAAGTTTGAGAGGAAGTACATGATTGACACTCATGTACAAGGTACGTTGATTCCGTGAACACATCTATGCATAAGTTGTTTGGCCCATACAAGAGCTCTGGATACCAAGAACCAATCAATCAAACAATAGAGATAGTCATTTAAAGAAGCCATTTTAAAAAAATTGAATTTCATCATGTCAGCTAATAAGACAGCAACAATACGGGAAAAGTAGAGGGGCTGGATTTGGACTAGTAGAACTTCTCTGGATTTGGACGAGAAAACAGAAGGTTTGAATTACCTCTCAAAAGCATTGTGAAACTAAATTCCCAAATCCTTATAACTAATCAAACCAATCCTGTATCTGTCCCTTAAAATAACAACTAAGACTAGCTAAACTGTTATCTCAAATCATTGAAAAATACAAATCGAGTATGATTTCAGTGTAGACATGCACCAATCGTCTTCTAACCTATATTTTCCACCTTCTCACTTTCTCACTTACTCGTTTGGCACACTAGTACAGACCAGTTAGTTTCCTGATAAAAGGTTAGTAGAGTTGATTTGGGCATGAACAGCACAAATTTCTCCTACGGTTATGACTTTCTAAGGGCTGTCTGAGTGTTTGATAGGGGATCAATGGGCCAGCAAGAGAGATTAAACCTGTTTTTCTCCTAAACCCTAAAAAAGTTCTAAAGCTAATTTAAGATAGACACGAAGTCAAAGGAAAATCTCCAACACCAACATATTTTAACTTTCGAAACTCCTAAAAGACAAGTGATGAATAATTACACCCTGAATCCACTTAGACCTAAAGACATTAACAAGAACCAGTTAACTCACTTTAAATTAATACCCATACGAATACCATTAAAGTCAACAAAAACCAAATGCCTTATCTTTCCTGGGAGAAAGGGAGAGGAGAAAGCACTATCTTTCAAGTAAAACATCCATAAAACAACCCATTTGCCTAGAAAGCAAGAAAAGCACCTTAACTGAGAAAAACCCGAAACAGATCAAACTAGAAAAGTGAACTACCAAAACCCTTATGCCCAAAAATCCCACGTTTTCCCATTTCAAAAAGACACAAATAAAGATGCAACACAGATAGATATGTACTAGTTCTTAGGAAAGAAAATCAAAATCAGAGAGGTGAATAATCGAACCCAGAACAAAGAACAGGAATCCAAGAAACATCAAATTGACCAAACTTACGGTATTCACAGTCCAAAAAGACAGATTGATAATGAAAATCGAAACCAAAGAAAGGAAATTTACCCTAAATAAAGAAAACCCAGATGAGAATTCGTCTTATCTCATGAAAAAAAGCTCAGTCTAATGTTGTAGATTGAGGGCTTTGAGGGTTGCGATGCAAAGAACAGAGAGAGAGAGAGAGAGAGAGAGAGAGAGAGAGAGAGAGAGACTGTGCGTGCTCAAGAGAAAGCGATTTCTCCTTGGAATGATTGATTGGTTGAATTTGAGGAGCGAGAAATATTTTTATTTTATTATTATTATTTACATAATTCAAATTTTACTGACTTACTTTAAAAGAAAAGAAAAAAGATTATTATAAAAAATTCATATAAATTTAAAAATATGGAAATAAAAAAAGTACCGTTTGAGACAAGGTGTCGCTGTGCATGGTCTCCTTCATCTTCAGGGCTTATAGACGTTGGATTGTCAGTGGTAGTTCCCCAGACGCGCTCTTCTCTCATTCTCACTTTGCGCCGCCCATTTTTAATTTTTCTCACCAACGTCACCCATTTTCTTAGTCTAGGGTAAATTACCTAACTAGTGTGTGTGCGTGAGAAATTTCCTTTCTTTTAGTTTAGATTATCGTTTTTATTTAAATAAAAAAAATTATAAATAATTTACCGCTTTTTTTAAAAGAATAATTAAGGGTTTTTTTTTTGTCAATAATTAAGGGCTTGTTCTTTTTTTGTTAATAATTAAGAGCTTGTTTAGGAGTACTTCTAAGGACTCAAAGTGTTTTCTGACAACCAAAAGCGATTTTGATAGCATTTGGAAGAAAAAAAAATTATTAGTGTTTCCGATCACGAAAGCATTTCTTTAATAATCACTTTTAAGTGCTTTCTATTTTCAATAAATTTTTAACGTTCTTCTAATAAAAGCACTTTAAAAAACTTATGTTGTGCATAAGTATATTCCCAAACAAACTTATGCTCATTCCAGGCTTGAAAAGTTAACGTAAGTTTGTAGTTTTGCCAATGATATGAAGCCAAATATTTTAATTACTAAAGCACAAAATTCTTTTTTATTTCCCTACAAAACACTAAATTCTTTACAAATATTTTAAGAATTATCATGTATTTATTTATTTTTATCGTAGAACTGTCCTGTATTTATATTTTTATATAAATATTTTTAAAATAAACAGTGTTAATATCAGTTTGTAGTTTTTTCTCTCAAAAAACAAAAAAAGAATCAGTTTGTAAGCCAATTTCTCAACAAAAAGAAGCCATCTTTCAAACTATTATTTATTATTTACTTATGATAAAGAAAATAAAAAAGCAAAAGATTTATTATTTACTTCCGACAAAGAAAATAGATTTATTTATCTCTACGTAGCCGACAGATTTGGTTAGGCTAGTGACCGTTGAGGGGTCATCTTTCAAACTAGCCGTTGACGGTGCCTGCAAAGTTATGCTTTGCTGTTTGGTCACGGGGAGGGTATACCATATTCCAAACTTAATTATTTTGATTTTCTACGATATGCTTTCCTAGCCTCCAACTTGTACTTCTTAAATATTAATAGTTGGTATTGCATCCAACAAGAAAAAACAATTCATACTTGTACATCACTCTCTGGCCCAACAAATTGAACACACGTGTCACTTTTAAGTTAGGGTTAACTACATATAGGTACCCAACTTTTAGGGCATGTTTACGTAGTAATGGGTATGGAAGGAAATGGAATGATTTCCATTCCTGACTTCTCCTGTATTTACTTGCAATCAGGAATGAAAAAAAAAGTGGGCCCTATCTCAAAATCCGTAATCACATTCCCTCAAAACTAGGAATCAAATTAACTAGGGGGAGTAGTCGATACGATTCACATTCCTGTTTTCTCTTAATAACTTTCAAAAATACCCTTATCACTTTACCATAATTCTAAAATTAATTTGGATTCTGATTTATGCAAATTAGTAAACAATAACAATGGGAATCAATCTCATTCCATTGCTAATTCCATATGTTTAGTAAACAGCTTAATAGAAATGATTTTTCCCATACCGATTCAGTAGTTCTCCAATTCCTAAATTCTTTGATTCCTTAGTTTCTCCATTACTGATACGTAAACATGCTCTTAGAGGTATGTTGAAAGAATAATGCTACTCTTACCACATTTGTATACCACATTCTCATACCACCTTATGTGGCAGCTAAGGTGGACAGCCACATCAATTAAAATGATTTAATATTTTCTTTTCTTTTATGGTTTATTTCAGTATTTGTTTTTCTAATTGCCTTAATTAAAATGCACTTCATTGATTTAATTGATGTGGCATATAAAATGGACATGCCACATCATGTGGTATAGAAATGTGGGATAAAAATGTGGTAAGTGTAGCATTACTCATGTTGAAATTAGTACTCAACTTTTAAAATCATGCATGTAGGTACTGTGGGAGCAAATATTTCGGCAACTAATTATTAGGCAGCACGGACAATGAGAATATTTCTTAGGTCAACAATTGTGCTCCATTTAATTGGCCAATTATTTAGACTTAAAATAGGAATAATACCATAAATTAGGGATTTGATTTTCATTAAATCTCTAGTTGATTCAATCTCTCCATTTAAGGGAGAGAATAATTCCCTTCCATATGGAAATTATTCTCTGAAAAACCCTAGAAGGCAAGAGCACTATAAATACATGACTACATCACATACATGAGTCAAAATTGGGAGTGTAGAAGCAACGTTTCAAAATGTTGACTTGAGCAATGGTGTAGAGGAAGAAGTATACTTGGTAGTTGGAGGTGTCTTGAATTCGAACATGGCAATGTCTTGTACTCGGGGAAACTGCTGATCATATGGTTGTACCTTTTAACCTAGGATAGGAAAGTGCTGGTGGGTCTGGATCCTTCTTCTGGGCCCTCGTCCTTCGTTCTTCGTTCTTCATATTTGTGTATTTTCCCTTTTGAAACTTTTCTCACCCTTAGACAAAAAAATTTCTCACCCACTCTTTTATCCCTCCTGCACCAGTTTTTTAGGGTTATGTCTGATCGTGGGAGCGAATCAGACTCTTCTAGCAATGTATTACAGTATGAAGTAGAATGTGTCATCCCTTTGTTGACCTAGAAAGGGAAGTAGAGTCTCTAGTAGATTCGATGCACCTTGCCACGACCAATCTCTCAGTCGTGTTTGGAGAGTTAGAAAAGATGTCACAAGGTTGTGAACTCAGTACTCCTAGTGGGGACGTTCATGCAATTTTGCATAGTAGTAGTGGCTCAATCCCTTAATAAGATCAAGCCTTTGTTTTACATACTCAGAATAATTTATTTTGATGTGTTGTACTTTTTGAGAACAACTTGAGCAACCTGTCACCTTGGTGTACTTTTATACACTTAGCTTTTTAAAGGGTTTTGTCCCGATCATCTTTTTAAGAAA